CTGGAGAGAACAGAGGACTTTACCAGGAACTTTTTGCAGACAGAGCCTGGGTTCTATTGCGGAGCTGCAGCCCTTCAATATGAAGATTCAGCCCACCCGAAACTTGATCGTACACCCGCTCTCTCACTACCAAGAGGCCGGCCATGATGGAGCTCTTCACCCAGCAGATCAGGCTCTTCGGGGCCACCACCATGGCAGAGAAGGCGCTGTGTCCAGAGGGGAGGCCTCGCAAAGAGAGCAAGAAGGGGACCCCGCCCCCCCCGCCGTGGGAACACCCCAGCTCCGCACAGGAGAGCCGCCCCCGGCAGGCCCGGCCTCTCCAGCACCCGAAGCACCGCGCGGAAGCACCGCGGCCTCTCCCGGGGCGAAGGGGGGTCCCCTCAGGAGCCGCCCCGCTCGCCCGGTGGCCGGCGGAGCCTCGACTCGCCTGGGCGGCGGACGCGGTCCTCGGGGCTTCCTCCGGGAGCGGGCGCAGAGGCGGCGCCGGGCCGCCGGGTTTCGCCTCGACCGCGTGGCCCGCCTCCAGCCCCGCTCACTCACCAGCGGCGAAGGGAACCGGGCCCGCCGGGCCTCGGAGGGGCTCTGCCGCCCCCTGCGCTGCGCCGCCGCCGCCGCCGCCTCCTCACCGGCAGCCGAGAGCAGGAGGCGCACGCGCGGACCCGCCCCCACGACGTCAGTGACGCCTCAAAGATGACCTGGAAGAGGAAGGCGCTTCCAGGGCGCTGGGCGCACGCGCGATATCCGGGTGCGCGCAACCCCCACGTGATAGAATCTTGGAAGGGACTTCAAGGGTCATCTAGTCCAACCTCCTGTAATGCACAAATCTCAGCTAGAGCATCCATGACACATGGCCATCCAATCTCTGTTTAAAGCCCTCCAAGGAAGGAGAGTCCCCCACCTCTCTTGGGAGTCTGTTCCACTGACAAACAGCTCTTACTGTCAGAAAGTTTTCCCAAATGTTTAGTCAGAATCTGCTTTCTTGTAACTTGAAGCCATTGCCTCAAGTCCTACCCACAAAAGCAGGAGACAACAAGCATGCTCCCTCTTCCATGTGATAGCCCTTACAATATTTGAAGATGGCTATCATATCTCCTCTCAGTCTCCTTTTCCAGGCAAAACACACCCAGCTCCTTCAACCGTTCCTCATCAGTTTTAGTCTACAGACCCTTGATCATCTTGGTTGCCCTCCTCTGCACACGTTCCAGCTTGTCAACATTCTTCTTAAATTATGGTGCCCAGAATTGGACACAGTATTCCAGGTGTTTGTCTGACCAAGGCAGAATAGCGGGACTATTACTTCCCTTGATCTGGACACTATACTTTTGTTGATGCAACTTAGAACAGCGTTAGTTTTTTTTGTTTTTTGCTGCTGTATCATAAGCTAGTGGCCCACAAAGACCCCTAGATCCTTTTCACATGTATTGCTAGTAAGTCAGGTGAAACCCCCCCCACCATCCTATTATTTGTGCAGCTGGTTCTTCCTGCCTAGGTGCAGAACCTAACACTTGTCCCTATTGCCATTCATTTTGTTAGCTTGCGCCCAATTCTCCAATCTGTTAAGGTTATTTTGAATTCTGATTCTGTTTTCTGCAGCATTAGCTACCCCTCCCAGTTTGGTGTCATCTGCGAATTTGATGAGCATCCCCCCAATTCCATCATCCAAGTCATTAATAGAGATGTTGAACAACAACGGGCCCAGGACAGAACCCTGCAGCACCCCACTGGTCACTTTTTTCCATGATAAGGAACCGTTAATGAGTACTCTTTGGGTTCAGTCAATCAAGCAACTACAAATTGGTAATAAACAGCAGGGGGTGGATTTCTTCCAGGAAAAAAGACAGAGAAAGTGTAGAGTGATGCAGAGCCAAAACACGTCTGCTTGGGAGCAAGTCTCTGAGTCCCATAGCCCCCTCCTGTGATTGACAAGGATTGTAGTACAGTGGTACCTCTGGATGCGAACGGGATCCATTCTGGAGCCCCATTCGCATCCAGAGCAGAACGCAACCCGTGTCTGCACGTGTCGTGATTCGCTGCTTCCGTGCATGCGCATGACGTCATTTTGAGCGTCTGCGCATGGGCGAGCGGTGAAACCCAGAGGTAACGCATTCCGTTACTGCCGGGTTGCCGCGCAGCGCAACCCAAAAATGCTCAACCCGAAGCTACTTCAACCCGAGGTATGACTGTATAGTCTCAGCTTTGTAGGGAAGACAGGAGCACAGCCACCAGGAAATGAGACTCCAGAGTTTCTGCATGCAAGTTTTTAATTCTGGGGTTTGGGCTGAGCCTCCTTGAAGTGGAAAAGGCCAACTGAGATCTGTTGCACAGCTGAACACTTTGACTCACTAGCAGCGAATTCTCCAACAAGCAACATTTTTTGCTTACTGAAACAGAAAAAGTAACAGCAAGCAATTGGGGAAACCAATCAGAGGCTGGAACCTCTTCTGTTGTTTATATACAGCTGATGTAGTAATGGGGTGTTAGGGGAGGGGTAGTACCTCTAGGAGGACACATTGTGCTCGTTCAGGGGTAGTTTGCCCGTTTTTGGTCCCCCTATCTTGCACTCAGCTCTCACTTGCAGCTCAAGAAGCTGTCAGTATGCAACAGCAGCCACACCCCTAGAATGGCTAACTGCCAGCTAAACCAGGGGAGGGTAGCCGATGGGTCTCAAATCCTCAGTGATTTAGGGACTTTCCTTGCATGTGAAGAGAGACTCTGGCAGATTGAGCAGACAAGACCAAGAGTGGGTCCAATGGCCAAGAAAGTGGTTTCTGGATGTGCTGTAAAGGGAAGTGGGGCAGGTGAGGTTCCTCCACCTGGAAAAGTAGCCCATCTAGGAGAAGGAAAACTCTGATCCTAAAACTCCACTGCCTTACAGGAGATCTTCAGGAGAAGAAAAGGCTAAGAAATAAACTCTACAAAAATCTGGAGTAGAGTCCCTAAAATGGTTGGATGGCACCTTGAACACTTCCTTCCAGCAACTCCTGCAGCCAAGTTGGTGCCAAACATTTTGCTCTGCTTTCCTTTGGACATCAGTGAGGCCGAGAGGGCAGTTGTATCATCTGGGCAGCTCAGGACCTCCACACACACACTGCCCAGACTTGCAACCTCAGGAATGCTGCTAATGCAGTGGTTTGACTTCATCCCCGGAGGCATATCTCTTGAGACAGACAGAGGCCAACAATTCCATGAACGTAGATTAATTCTTTTTACCAATTAGGTACAACATTTTAAGCTATTTTCCCAAGTAGTAAGATACGCTGTGGTCTAAACCTAGGGCTTGCCGATCAGAAGGTTGGCGGTTTGAATCCCTGCTATGGGGTGAGCTCCCGTTGCTCGGTCCCTGCTCCTGCCAACCTAGCAGTTCGAAAGCATGTTAAGTGCAAGTAGATAAAAGGTACCGCTCCAGCGGGAAGGTAAATGAAGTTTCCGTGCACTGCTCTGGTTCACCAGGAGTGGCTTTGTCATGCTGGCCACATGACAAACGCCAGCTCCCTCGGTCAGTAAAGCAAGATGAGTGCTACAACCCTAGAGTCATCCGCGACTGGACCTAATGGTCAGGGGTCCCTTTACCTTTACAGTTTTGTCACATCACTTATTAAAGAGACATTTAGATGCATATTGCTTCCATTCCTGCCTCTCCTCCCAAAGCTCTGGTGTCTGGGCAGCCCAGGAGCTCCGTAATAAACATTGATTGATTGATGCAAGCCCAGGACCTCCATACACACTGCCCAGGCTTGCGCCCCAGGGAGGTCACTTCAGTGCTGTTAATGCAGCAGTTTGACTTCACCACTGAAGGCATACTCCATTGTCTCTCAACAGACGGGTGCCAGCAGTATACATAAATGTATGCTATCTACAGGTTTTATCATCAAAAGCTGGTAGGAGAATGACCTGTCATTTTATTTCTAAGAAGAAATAGGGAACAGAGTTAGCAAAAGCCTTTGAATGTCATCAGGCATGGAGAGTTGTGGAAAACAACAAAAAGGTATCACCAACACATGGCTGTGGCATCTAAACACAAAGTGAAGGTACCTCCTACCACAGATAGCAAAGGTAACCAGTGTGATGCCCTTTTTACGTTGTTGGACTACAACTCCATCATCCTTGACCATGCTGGCTGGCTTTTCTCTACTTTCAGGTTAATACAAGTTTGTGCCCTTGTGCTTTTTAGGGCTCTCTTTCACCTTCTTGTGGTTGGATGGGAAGATAGCAAAAACAGGGAAGTGAAGACATGGACAGGCTTCACAAAATGAGAACTATAGGTGGATTTATCTGGCACTCTGGCAGTGATGAGGTATACGAGGCTGGTAGACAACTTGTTCCTGTCACCTCTTGCACAGATAACAAAAGAAGTGGAGGCTGCAGAACTAGAAGAGATGTGGGTTACCAGGAAGGACAGAGAAAGACAGGGAAGCAGCAGCAGCAAATAAAACAGTAATTCACACTTTCAAGACATCCTGCCTAATTAACACACACTCACAGAACATTTGAATGTACCTTTTATTAGACTCTCTTATGCCTCCAAGCAGCAGCACAATAAAACAGTTTGTTTGTGCATGGCTGCCTTCCTTGCCCTGATTCAATAGCCAGTCGCCCTCCTTTCAATGTCTGTTAGCCAACAGCAACTACATGGAAAGGGGGTGGCCACTTAATGCCTAGAAAAGTCTTTGCTGCAATACAGCATCACATCTAATCAAAATCCTGCTTAGAGAAGTTGGGGCTAGCTTAAGCCGGTAGTAGCAAAAACACTTTCCCTTTCCTTTTCCATTTTTTGGGTGGGGGCGGGTTCCCACTTAAAACCGTATGAATATTTCTTTAAAAAGACTATATACAGGCAAGGCTAAAGGCCACTGGCACAGGGGCGAGGTCAAAGGCTGCTAGATTCTACAAGATAAAGAAGAAGGGGCTCAGAGCCAAAACACCAGACCATTTTAATTAATTTTTAAAAAATGAGAGCTTATGAAAATAAAAAAAAAGGTTCTGGTTCAGTTGGCACTTAATCATGAAGGTCTGGTCATGAAGGAAAACACCTGCAGAGGAAAAAGACAGACAGACTTTAGGGAAGGAAAGACACAACACAGGACCCTACCATCTTCCCCTTAACCGAGCCAGAGATTCCAGCTGCTGCCCTTTTGCAGGAAAGTGCAGGCCAATTCGCATGCAAGCAATTCAAGTTGTTGATCAGACCCAAGGAGAAAAAGCCTCCCTGATCATTCCTGTGGTCACAGTAGCCAAGAAAAGCTTTTAATCCTGGGCTCATGGCCAATGCCAAAGGTTGACAGGGGTTAGTCAGCTCATGTAATTGAGTCCTCCTCAGCCAAATTACCTCCAGTCCCTGCCCCGCATGAGCACTCAGCATCCTGGACTGACACTGATGCCACTAACTCACCAGCTCAGCGGTTGGTGGCTGTGCGCAGATCTGTGGTCAGGGGGTCGTGCTGGATCGTCTGGTGCAGCATGAGAGCGAGCAGCCCAGCGCGGTTGGTCATAGCCATGCGGACGTTCCGCTCCTGCTCAAACAGCTCGTCCAGCTTGTACCACTGACACAAAGGAACAAGAGGAAAGCAATCAGACCTAGCCCATCGTCCAAAGGATTCCCATTAGCTGCAACCCTCCCTGAAATTGACAAGCCTATTTCACAGGCAGCATGACAAGGCCATTGTCCTTTTGTGCTGTCCACCCGCCCAAGGTCTAACACGAGTTCCCAATCCGTACCACACGCACTCGCTCCAGGTCCACCTCCGCCCGTCGCAGTTTCTCCCAGCAGTAGTGGCGGTTGCATTTGCGCTTGGGCACGCGGCAGAATTCCCCCGTGAGCTCAAACACGTCTTTTACCATGGGACACCCACACACCTCATCTGCTGACACCTAGGGAAAAGTTGCAGTCGAGATTGAGCAGGATGAAGCCATAGCCGTGGTGTGTGTCTCACTGAAAAATATTCTGCACAAAGATAATCCAAATGGAACACAAGAGAAGTGCAGTTCTACAACCTGTAAAAATTGCATAATTTTCTCATTTTGCATAACTTATTCGGGCTTTACTAGTCATAGGATCAAAGAATCACAAAACTTTAGCATTAGAAGGGATCCTGAGGGTCATCTAGTCCAACCCCCTGCAATGCAGTAATCATAACTAAATTGTACACGACAGATGACCATCCAGCCTTCCGAGGGAGTCGGTTCTGCTGTCATGAAGGACAGTTCTCTCTGAGAACATTGTTCAGTTATGCCTCTGGCTTGCCATACTTCTGCAGGCATCACCCATTAGCTTGCAAGTGTATCCGTGATAGAAACTAAGGGCTAGAAACTTGCTTTCCTTGTAATGATAGCCAATTCCATGTTCAGTGCTGCATACCATGCTTTCTCTGCACTCTTACTGAATCACCACAGCACAAAGCCCTGGGTAAAGCTCACAACACTGTATTTCACCTAATAAATAGTCCTTCCCCTCCTAAATCTGAATGATGGCCTATCCTAGCCTGTTCCTAAACTACAGTGGACTAGGATCTCACCGGAAGAGCACTCTGTTCCTACCTTGGGGTCACGGGAATGCTCTGGGCACAAGACCTGCAAGCGTTTGCAGTAGGTCTTGCTTTGTGGGTTGTAGACATCACAGAAAAGGCGAGTTGCCCTGGAGAAAAGAATACACACAGGTAAGATTACAAAGTCATGGCCTTATCCTCAGCGAACTTGATAAGAAATGGGTTATTTTTAAAAATGTAAATGAAACTTTAAAAAAAATAATGGAGTGTCAATTCAGGTTAAATGCTAGGAAAGCAAGGTTGCACATCAACACTGTGGAACACACCTTGCTGCCTCACCTGGAGTCAGGCCTGTCCACTCTAATGGGCAGAAGCACTTAGGGGTTCCAGACAGGGGTCTGGAGTTGCCAGAGATTTAAGCAGAGATATTCTACATGCATAGCATGTGTGTCCCGAATTTAGAAGCAAAATTAATTAATTATCTGAGATCAGAGTTTCTTGATCAGAAAGAGCAGCAGTTGGGGGAAGAGAGAAACCTGACGAATGGGGTTCCTGATTTCCCACAAATACAGTTTGAGGTGGGAGAATAACCCTCTCCACAGATTTCACTCCCATTCTGTTTCCCAGATGTTTCCACCCAGTGCTCCACAAAGTAGCCCAAAACCAATATGTGGGAATGCACACAGCAACCCCTTCATAACTCGTAAAAGTCAGCAGTGGACCAAGCTATTTAGGAAGACCATTGAAATGAAGATGTTGCTGAGTTTAAAGACAGTATTAGGACCCAATTTATAAGAACCCAAGAAGCGCTGTGCTGAATCAGGTCAATGGCCCATCTAGTCCAGGATCCTGTTCTCACAGTGGCCAATCGGATTCCTATGGGAAACCAAGGTGGCCTGAACTACACAATTTCAGTCTACAGTTAGAGATTCACATGCCCACTAAAGGGGGTCAATTCCCCAAACAAAAAAACTAGATGTCAGTAAAAGGACCCATTCCTTCTTGACATTTAGTTTTCTACATGAAGGAGTTTTATTTTCCCCGCCCCCTAAGCCCCACCTAACATCTATTGGTAGATCCCACACCCCTTTAATAATACCTCAGTGAGAACTGGGCCTCCTAGCCTGCTACCTGTTTAGGCTGAAGCATGGTGTCTATCTTGACAAGCCAATCCTTTTAATCCACTCTCTCCCATGTACCTGCTCATGTAGGAGTAAAGTGAGGGCTGTCAGTTTCTTTCCAAGTTACCGAGCAGACAAAAGCCACCATTCATTCATTCATTCATAAGCAGCTCAGACAGACATCAAATTCAAGATTACATACTCCAAGCACCCTTTTCTTTGCACTAATACCAACTAGCAACATGGGGTACACTTTTAAAAACCATTTATGCCCATCCACCTTTCATAAAAAGAAAGTGAGCATGGAGGTGGGCACCCAGTACTGTTGACATAAGGCACTAGGATTCCCTTGTTCCGTAAGTGAGATGCAAAAGTCTCACATTGTTCTGGGAGTGGAAAGGAAGCTATGGATTCCGACTCTTGCAATGGCCTACAGCTACAAACATTAAATATGTATTGGCAAAAACTAGATTTCCACCCAGTGGACAGTACTGGGTTTGGAAAGGGCCATTGCATTTCTTCACAGCTTCTTGTTCCCATCAGGGTAACTATGTAACAAAGGAGCAGAACTGCATAACAGATGGCACCAGTGGCATGCAACCTGGTGAGGAGGGTTTGGTGAACAGCCCATAACGAAAAGGAACTTGAGAGTTGGGCAGGTAGCTTACCCTTCAATACGTGTTGGATACATAGACCCAAAGGATGTCTGGCTCTCGTACTGCGGGGGATGGGGGGAGACAGACAGAAGAGAAAAACACAGCCATGAAGTCACAGCAGAACAAACATTAAAAGCACCATCAAGTGAAGAAAAGATCCTCCACCTAAGTTCAACTAGCTCTTAACCTACAGGCCAGTGAGCTAGAAATCCAGTGGACTTCCAAGCCCCACTATGACAGGTGGGCAGGGCTGGTGCAGAAATGATAGGTAGCCCCCGAGTTCCAGGCTCTGACTATAGAAGCCGAGCTCGTTTCCAAGGCATCTAGCCATCAACAGAAATATCCCAACATATTTATGCAATACATTGGCTAAAACTATTTATGGTAGCCAAAATATCATGTGGCCAGCAGTTCCCAAAACATCAGCTATGCAGATAATAGGTTAAATATGGGAGAGGTCAAGCTACAGTGAACAGTGTATTGCATTTCAATACCACCCTTTATTCAGAAATATTTTCATATACATTTGGGGGGGTGTAGAAGTTAGTTCTTAAAAATGTAAGTTATTTATTCAGCTTCCTGAACTCAATTGTTCTTTGTACAGAATTTGCATTGGTTTTTTCCATGCAGCTCTGTCTATAGCTGCTTGACAAATGTTAAAGGACAGTAATCTCCCTTGATCCACTGATGGAGCAAATTAGAAAGCTGCTCCACAATCCAGCAGAGGAGGCTCTTTGGCTAAGACTTTTCCACATCCTGGGGTTACCTACCACGTCTACCAAACCTTTTTTTTAACCCAGTTTCAGGTATGCCACAAAGATCCCTGTTTCAGAGGCGGGATAGCAGCGTCTCAATTCAAACACAGGCCCCTGAAGCCCAACACCAAGGTTACCCAGCGCAGAGAAGACAGGCAGCTAACCTTGGCATAGCACCGCTCCATGTGCCGCAGCGCCACCTTGGGGTTGATGGGGTGGCCGCAGGAGACACAGAATATCTGCAAGTCTGTGTCGTCACTGTCTCCTTCACTGGTCTGTGGCAGAGGAAAGAGGCAAGCAGGTGTCAGGATTTAGTGGTCAGATTTTTAAAGCAAACAGCATTCCACCCTACAACTCCATGAGGAAGTTCTGAGCAAGCCTGCAGAACTTATAACCCACCAAGGCAAACCCCCCTCAGCCAGACACCTGAAAATCCCACCCCCAGTTTCTGCAGTTCCAGGTAAGCTACAGTACTAAAACATTTAGGAAGCACTTAATAAATAAAGGGATGGGTGCCCTGCTGTGTGCTCAAGAACATTTCAACACCTTACGCCACTGCTCCTAGCAAAGAACAATATTGGAGGAAACCCAGCCAGATAGGCGGGGTACAAATATAATTTTTTTATTATTACTACTACTGCTGCTGCTTTGTTTTCACCCGAATGTGTTGTAATGCCTAATGCAGATCCTAACGCTTGGTCACACCAGGGATTAAACAAGTAAGCTTTGATGGCATGCATACTTATGGTATGATAAGGTCAAAGCACATAAAGCATTCAAAAACCACATTGTCAGGAAAGCGCTGTTTAATGTTTGGATAAGGATTTATTAGAAAACAAAACCCCAAGGTGGCTGTCACCAATGGAAGTGAAAGCCTTGAAAAAGGTCAATATGGAGGTCAAATGGCCGAAATATTGGGAAATTTTGGAACAAGATGGAGATAGACTGAAATTGCAGAGTTTTGAAAAATTAAAAAACAAAGTGCGAGACTGGCTTCATTATTATCAGATAATGGAGGCATTTAAATTGGACAAGAAAATTGGCTTCCAGGTGGAAAGATCAAAATTAGAAACTGAACTGTTAGAACCCAAAACTAAGAATTTGTCAAGAATGTATAACTTGCTGCTGAAATGGAACACTCAGGATGAAACGGTACAATCGGCTATGATTAAATGGGCACAAGACGTTGGACATAACATTATGTTTGCTGACTGGGAACAGTTGTGGACCACAGGTATGAAATTTACGGCATGTAATGCCTTAAGAGAGAATATTATGAAAATGATATACAGGTGGTACATAACCCCAGTCAAGCTTGCAAAAATCTATCATTTGCCCGATAACAAATGTTGGAAATGTAAAGAAACTGAAGGTACATTTTTTCACCTTTGGTGGACGTGCCCAAAGATTAAGGCTTTCTGGGAAATGATATATAATGAATTAAAAACGGTATTTAAATATACCTTCCCTAAGAAACCAGAGGCCTTTCTCCTGGGCATAGTCGGCCAAATGGTGTTAAAAAAGGATAGAACTTTCTTTATGTATGCAACAACAGCAGCAAGAATACTCATCGCAAAGTATTGGAAGACACAAGAACTTCCCACGCTGGAGGAATGGCAGATGAAACTGATGGACTATATGGAACTGGCGGAAATGACTGGCAGAATCCGTGACCAGGGAGAAGAGGCGATGGAGGAAGATTGGAAGAAATTCAAAGACTACCTACAGAAACATTGCAAAATTAAAGAATGTTAGAGTGATGTTGGATTGAAAATAAGTGGTTTCCAGCTGTACAGGATAAAATTATAGACAGACTAAGATTAAAGATTAGGATTAAAGAAGTTTAAGGAAATGGAAATTTGGTACTTAAGAGGTAAAATTTTAATGCTATATTACATCAAGATTAAAGATTAGGATTAAAGAAGTTAAAGGAAAGGGAAATTTGGTACTTAAGAGGTAAAATTTTAATGCTATATTACACTAAGATTAAAGACTGGGATTAAAAAAGTGGAAAAGAAATTGCTGGATAAACAATTTGGACTGGAATACAAAAGAGGGACGTATGAGGAAGTCCAGAAAATAAGTAAATTTAAAAAAGGAAATGAAAAGGTGATGTTTTTAATTGTTCTGTTTCTTCTTTTTTGTTGTTTTTTTGTTTTTTGTGTTTTTTCTCTTTTTCTGGGATTTGTATTGTGTATTTGTGTATTTCTTTTTTATGTCTTTTTTGTTTAATTCTTTATTGAAACCTTAATAAAAATTATTTTTTTAAAAAAACAAAAAAAAATAAACAAATAAGCTTTGGCATCAATTGAAATCAGCAGATGCTGCCAACCTGAGAATCATAAGGCAAAAGCAAGCTGAACTATAGCTTATTTTATCATAAGAATTAATTTGGATAAGAAAATTGGCTTCCAGGTGGAAAAATCAAAACTAGAAACAGAACTGATAGAACCCAAAACTAAGAATTTGTCAAGAATGTATAACTTGCTGTTGAAATGGAATACTCAGGATGAAACGGCGAAATCTGCTATGATTAAATGGGCACAAGACGTAGGACATAATATTATGTTTGCTGACTGGGAACAGTTATGGACCACAGGTATGAAGTTTACGGCATGTAATGCCCTAAGAGAGAATATTATGAAAATGATATACAGGTGGTACATGACCCCAGTCAAGCTTGCAAAAATCTATCATTTGCCCGATAATAAATGCTGGAAATGTAAAGAAACTGAAGGTACATTCTTTCACCTTTGGTGGACGTGCCCAAGGATTAAGGCTTTCTGGGAAATGATATATAATGAACTGAAAAAGGTATTTAAATATACCTTCTTGAAGAAACCAGAGGCCTTTCTTCTGGGCATTGTCGGCCAATTGGTGCCAAAGAAGGACAGAACTTTTTTATGTATGCTACAACAGCAGCAAGAATACTTATTGCAAAGTATTGGAAGACACAAGATCTACCCACTTTGGAAGAATGGCAGATGAAGGTGATGGACTATATGGAATTGGCGGAAATGACTGGCAGAATCCGAGACCAGGGGGAAGAGTCGGTGGAAGAAGATTGGAAGAAATTTAAAGACTATTTACAGAAATATTGTAAAATTAATGAATGATATAATGATGTTGGTTAGTAATTAAGCGGTTTCTAGCTGTAATGCTTTAAGAGAATATGAAAAAAGGGTTATAAATGGGTTAAAATCTAATGGTAAGGATTTGCTGAACCAATAAATTGAAGTGGAATACAAAAAAGGGAGGTATGAGGAGGTCCGGGAAACAAGCTAAATGAAAATAAGTAACTGAAAATATGTGTGTTTTTAACTGTTTTTATTTTGTATTTTTCTCTTTTCCTTTTCATTTTTACTGTAATATCTCAAAAAACCTTAATAAATATCTTATAAAAAAAAAAGAATTTCTATCCTGCCCCTCGCAATAAAATTCCCAGGGAAGTCTGAGTTGTTGTCATTTTCTTTATCCCTTCAGAACATCAGAAATAAATTGCTCTGGATTGGAGCATCAAGCTCACATGCAACCATGCCAGCACTGAATCAGTCACAGGTAGGGCATACCTATAATAAGGGTATGTTCTCTGCTTAATCTGGGAACAGACCCATGCTGTCAGTGTTCACAACTATCTGTGAAATTTACACCCAAATGTACGAAATAAAACACACGTATACAGTTAGGTTGCAAAAGGGCTCTAGTCTAATGCACCCAAGTCCTCCCTGGAAGGTTAAGGAGGTGCTGTTTGCAACCCCCCAAGAGAGGAGGCCTGGCTGCCTGCTCCTTTCTCCTGCACTTCTTCCAGGTACCTCTTCGTCTTCTTTGATGGCTTGCTGCTTGGCCCGGACAATGACAGCCTCCAATTCATGGAATTTGCGCTCCATCTCCTGTAACTTGAGCCGGGCCTGCTGCTGCTCCCGCCGTATCCGCTCTAGTAGCTTCTTGCCATGCTCTTCCGCCACGCATGGACTTTGCTGCCACTGCTGGATGCGCTGCGGGAGGATCTCATATATGCGGCTGGGAAAGGACAGAGACAAGAGGGTGCATGCAACTGAAAACTGGCCAATATGATGGTAACAGGGTGCGCCACACAGCATCACACTGCACAACACAAACCTACAGGATGGGAACATTTTCAGCTCATAAGAAAACCACCCAGAACTCCTACAACTCAAACTGATGCACTTGCTCCCAGGCTTAGGCTGTTACGGGATTCACTTTGCCCATTACTGCATTATGGCATTCCTCCTCCCAATCGCCCTTTCAGTTATGTCATAATTACTTCTTTGGGACAGCTGAAGAGCTGAGGCCAAGGTTAAGCATCCAAAGGGCCCAAGTGAGTCCACATTTTAAAAGCCCAAAGTCTCTTTCCTGCCACACAAACCCCTGCATTACCCAACCCATGCTGGAAAACCAATGAATGGGCAAAGATGCTAAGAAAAGAAATAAAGCTGCCCCCCAAGGAAGGCTCCCCCACTTACTTTGCTGCCAGCTTCATGCCACATTCATCCGAGCAGTACTTAGAGTTAGTCCGAGCAGCCTGGATGCAGCCAGGGCCAAGGCACTGATGGAGTGATGATGGGTCTTTGGTGTCCACCCGCTCAGCATGCTTTGACCGGTCGCGATGCTTTTGCTTCTGCTTGTGACGTTTGTATTTCTCCTCCTTCTGCAGGGCAAGAACCAGAGATGACACGGCTAGAATTCGCCCACCCTTGCAAGAGCAAAAGGGACACCGGTGTTTACTCATGACCTTCAAATACAGGCAATCCCATTTACTGCCGCCTATTTCCTACTTCTGTGATTAGGATAGTTTGGCCATAAAGCCAATAGTACATTCATCCAACACTGACACTTCAGGCAGCAATGACCTGCCAGCTGCCTGCACTCCTTTCGCTAACCCTAACACCCCCCCACTGGTAATTATAGCAGGAGAGGTGGAAGGCAGATACCTTTATTCCTTTTGCTATCCTTTTGCAAGGTATCTCCAGCCTGCAGGCTTAATAAGGCCTACCAGGCCCTTTTGGCCAAACCAACCAGGGCCAAAACGGGGTTGCAGACAATGCTAATCAGCTAATCAGCAATGCCTGCAAAGTCCTTTGAAGCCCTGATTATTAGCTAATTGCTGAGGCTTTAATGTGCAGCATACGGCTCTCTGCCAGCAGCAGCAATCAATTAATGGTCAGCGCTTGAAGAGAGCTCTACACAGTGGAAGCCCCACAGGTGGCAGGGATTGGCTGCACCATTGAGGAAGCAGGCTTGGATTGGAAGGGCTTCCTCCAGAGGGTTTGAATCTGTGTCTGTCTGCTCACAGTCCAGAACGCTGAGCAACTACACCACAGTGGTTTTATCATCATCTAACAGAAGCCACTGAAGTCTAAAGCAATCACCAAAATGGGTTGTCATACTAGTTATTGTATTAAAACAACATCTTGTAAATATATTCATATGTTTAGTCTTCTGTCACAAGTCACAATGCAACAACTCTCCTCTTTCATATGTATTTTTGTGTCGCCATGCAATGACTGGATACTTTTCACATTAAAAAATGCATAAGCCAGGACCACAGCTTCACATGTACTAGGTCCCAGGTTTAATCTGTGATATATTCAATTAAAAGGAGCAAGGGATAGGGAGAAACACTTCTTGCCAGAGACTCTGGAGGGCAGGGGTGCCATCTCCTAGGAGCTGAGCCCTTTGGGGCCCCCTGATATTTTTGGGAGGGGGCAACCCCACCCCACCCCAAAGTCCAAAGGTGGCAGGTGGCAGGAAACAGCCCCAGGCCAATGGCAGCAGGAGGAGCCAAAGCCACAACTATGGAAGCTTGTGCTGCTACTTGTGCTGCTGCGGGGTTCAGCTCTGCCCCAGCTCCTCCAAAGTAGGACAAGCCTGGAGCCAAGTGCAGTGCAGCTTCAATGCCCGCGGCTCCTTCTCCTCTTGCCACGGAGGGGAAGAAGGTGGGAAGCAGCGCCAGACCAGTGGCAATGGCAGCAGCAGAAGGCGTTGCAGCCACTGAAGCCATGCCACTGCTGCAATGCTGCGCCCAGCTTCTCCAACATCACACATTGCCACACACCCACCCCCCAATTCTTCGGAAGGTGGCACCTATGCTGGAGGGCCACTGCCAGTCAGCGTAGAACACCCTTTCTCCAACTGTTGTGGGCTGTAACTCCCACCTTCCCTGACTACTGACAATGATGACTGCGGCTGATGTGAGTTGTAGTCTGAAACCTCATAAGGGCACCATGCTGGGGGAAGCAAGAGTAGACTATACTAGCACAGGTTGGAGGGCTGGGTAGTTCCAGCCTTAACGCCACTGTGGCCCTGTTGTATGAGATCAGTTTCAGTTGTTGGCACATGAAGATGTGGACCAGAGGTATGAAGAAATACCACTCATGACATGTTCTCTCGACCCTTGCCTTCCTTGGCTTGTTTGAGCTTAGCTTTGCTGGAGCAGTTAATGCTTTTTTGCAAAAAGGGCTTGTCCCAACCATCTTGGAAAAGGTGATGGTGCCCCTACTCCTCAAGAGCCCCCCCTCCTCGGGCCCCAAGGTCCTTGATAACTCCTGCCCAATTGCTAACATCCCCATTTTAGGCATGGTGCACAAGACAGTTGTGGTTGTGCAACTTCAGGCGTGCTTAAATGAAGTAGATTATCTGACCTACTTCAGTCCCAGCCTCCTGAGCAGCTCCCGGGGTTGGGAGCTGAGGCCACAATGATACAGTGGATCAACGGGGGAGGGGGGTATTTGCTGTGCCACCCAGTATTGCTCACTGTGCTGTACCATCCTTCCCAGGGACTGTGCACTAAATTTGGAACTCTCTCCTCGCAGAGGTGCTGACAGCAATATTGTTGTTAGCCTTCGGTTGTCCATTCAAGACTTAACTCTTCTCCCAGGCTTCCAGTTGAGTTGTTATGGTTTCAGTTTGGCCTGTTCTGTGTTGTTCATATTGTATGATCTAATCTAAAATTGTATTTAGTTTTAATTTGTGGAAGCCAATTTAAGATCCTTAGTGAAAAACCATCTTAAAATCTCAATAAATAAACAAATATTCTGATTTTACAAGTGTGATTTTGTCCTGTTACATACCCAAAAAGAACTGCAGCTCTGGGAAAAGGCCTGGTCACTAAAAACAAGTCTGGCACTCTTACAGTTGTGACATTTCCCACCCACCATCTAGGATCATACCTTCTTCTCAGACTTTTTCTCCCTCCGCTTGACATGCTTCACTTTCACAGCGCGTTTCCGCAACACAGGATCAAGGAAGGGCGCATCGTCAGTGTCGCTGAGCCACGGCTAAGAGAGGAAAAGAGAGAAAAGTAAAAGGAGTCCTCCAAGAAATCTAGATGTGCAAAAGTAGAGGGCCTTTTCTGTGGCCGTGCCCGCCCTGTGGAACACCCTCTGATCAGATGTGAAGGAAATAAAAACTATGTGACTTTTAGAAAACATCTGAAGGCAGTCCTGTTTGATGTCGTATTGTGTTTTAATTTGTTGGAAGTTGTCCAGAGTGACTGGGGGAACCCAGTCAGATGGGCAGCATATAAACAACAAATTTTATTATCATTATTACTACTTACGACTACTACTACTACTACAACCTGCGGACTGCAACTCCCACCAGCCCTAGTCAACATGGCCAATGGTCAGGGATGATGGGAGTTGTAGTTCAGCAACACCCAGAGGCCCACAGCTTCCCCATTCTCATGCTAAAAGGATCTGGAGGTTGTCTGGTAGGGTAGTTTGGCTTAAGGAGGGCAGGAAAGCATTTGGTCCCTGCCCCCAAGAAAGAACTGTGTGCAGTCTGAACTTCACATCCTGGTTAACAGCTAGCTTTGTGGAAGAACCCCTTCACTGAGGGAATTAAGAGGTTCCAGGCCAAACCCATATATGCCAGTGCTTGCAATGGTGGCTGCAGCCCTTTCACACCCTTATTTTCTTCCTGGCAGCTGCTATCTATGCTACAACTTCATCATGCAAACTCAAATCTGGTTTCCCCCCTTTGTAGGACAGTTAATGGCTTTGCATGCTTCACAAAGCAAGAGGGTCACCTTTGTACTGGGCTTTTTAAGTTGGATCAAATAGACGGTTATACTGCCACCTATGGACATCTGCCACGAAGAAGTGTTTCTTTGCCAACCTCAACCTCTAGGTATCAGAATGACTGGGATCCAGTCCCAAGTAAACAGAAGAAATAGTAGCCATCTTCAAGTATCTAAATAACTTTCACAGGGAAGATGGAGCAAGTTTGCACTGGAGGAGGGGACCTGAATCAATGGATTCTAGTTACGATGCAGGAGATTCTGACTCAACACCAGGTAGAACTTTCTGATGGTAAGATCTGTTAAGATAGTGGAGCAGACTCCCTCAGAAGGTGGTGGGCTCTCCTTCATTGGAGGTTTGTAAGCAGAGGTTGGAGAGCCATTCATCATGGATGTTTTAGCTGAGATTTGTGCATTGCACAGGGTTGGACTAGATCAGGCATAGGTAAACTCAGCCCTCCAGATGTATTGGGACTACAATTCCCATCATCCCTGACCACTGGTCCTGTTAGCTAGGGATCATGTGAGTTGCAGTCCCAAAACATCTGGAGGGCCGAGTTTGCCCATGCCTGGACTAGATGACTCTCAGGGACCCTTCTATGATTCTATGGCAGATCTTCTGGTCAGCAAGAATTGGGTCTTCAATGCCCTATAATACCACAGGTGTCTATCCCATGGTGAATGTACTTTCCACCTTAATTGCCATTTAGTTCCACCATCCTAATCTTTGCTTCATTTTTTTTAAAAGATCTTGGGATTATTTAAGGTAAAGGTAAAGGTAAAAGTAAAGGTACCCCTGCCCGTACGGGCCAGTCTTGACAGACTCTAGGGTTGTGCGCTCATCTCACTCTGGAGGCCGGGAGCCAGCGCTGTCCGCAGACACTTCTGGGTCACGTGGCCAGCGTGACAAGCTGCATCTGGCGAGCCAGCGCAGCACACAGAACGCCGTTTACCTTCCCGCTGGTAAGCGATCCCTATTTATCTACTTGCACCCGGGGGTGCTTTCGAACTGCTAGGTTGGCAGGCGCTGGGACCAAACGGCGGGAGCGCACCCCGCCATGGGGATTCGAACCACCGACCATGCGATCGGCAAGTCCTAGGCGCTGAGGTTTAACCCACAGCGCCACCCGCGTCCCTTAAGGTAAGTTATAGCAATTAAATGCAGGCTAAAAAGCAACTGCTGCCTGCCTAGAAAGCAGCTAAGCAGCAGCAACAGCTTTGAATGTTCACAAAGGGTTACCGTATTTTTCACCCCATAGGACGCTCCGGCCCATAGGACGCACCTTGTTTTTTTGGGGGGAAATAAAGAAAAAATATTATCATCCCCCCCCCAGCCGCGGCTTCAGCGCGCCCCGCGCTCCGGGCAGCAGGCTGCTATCCGCAGCCTAGGGAGCCCTGCGGGAACTCCTGCAGGCTCCCCAGGCTTGCTGATAGCTTCCTGAAGCCTGGAGAGCGAGTGGGGTCATAGAATCATAGAATCATAGAGTTGGAATAGACCACAAGGGCCATCGAGTTCAACCACCTGCCAAGCAGGAAACACGACCCCTCTCGCTCTCCAAGCTTCAGTGAAAGCCTGCATTCGCCCCATAGGACGCACACAGATTTCCCCTTCATTTTTGGAGGGGAAAAATTGTGTCCTATAGGGCAAAAAATACGGTATATTCAGTGAGAAGCACACAGAGTTCTGCTTGTGTAACAGATTTCCCCTTCCCTCCTCTCCCCACGCATTCCCAAAATCTACTTGCAAAGGTCTCCCAGCCTCCTGGAGATTTCCGGGGGGGGGGGGCAGCAAGGAAAATTCCATACCACATGTGGAAGTTTGTTGCACAAACAGAGCTACCATGGTGGATACAACCCAAACATCCCAACTGCTGGGGGCGGGGGTTGTCAGCAGTAGAACATTAATCAACAGTACAGCTTCTGTGAGAGAAATTGTTGGGAGACTTAGAAGCTGTCAGCTCCTGGAAATACAGGTGGGGCTGAATGACTTAGAGCGAAGGAATCAGCATCTTGCCCAAAAGCCATGTAAGAGGGCTCAGGGCATTGGGTCTGCAAAGCCTTCCTTTAAGACTAAAAGGGGTTTCTCCATTTGCTGGTTGAAATTTACATCTGGTGTGTGAGCTAATTTCCGACTTTAAGAAGAGTTGATCGTTTGAGGGCTGAAGATAAAACAAGTATGCTCTAATTGTTAGAACCAATAGTTTTAAAAAATCAAGGGAGTTCTGAGTGCTAGGATCCCTATTTTCTTTATGTTTAGTACTCTGTTATCCTTACGAAAGTATTGCTTTGAAATGGAATTTTGCTACTTCATATTTCATCTATGGGAAAGGATTGTGTTTTGATAAGAAATAACGCTGTGAAGATCTTAAGTTGGATAAGGAAGATTGAAGATCTTAAGGTGGAGACTGAATTGTTACTAGGATCAAGAACATTCAGTATGACAAATACATCACTGGACGTTCCATTGACTGTTGACAACCTTCAGCAAATGTTTGAAGAGCAAATAAAAATGATTAGAGCTAAGACTGATGAAATAGTGAATGAAAGTGGTCCATAGAAGGATGAAATGGAAAGTGGAATCCAAGAGGATACAGAGACTTCAGAATAGAATATGGATAAAGGATTGCCAGAACAGGAGGGTGAAATGGTAGAGTTGGAGGCAACAGACGGTGAAATGGAAGTCTTACACACAGGTGCTTGGAGGAATGAAATAGCCAAATGGGAGAGTTGCAATGTTGGAGGAATGGAATGAAGCCATGGGTGGAGAGATGAAGTGACACCCTGAGCTGACAGAAGTAAGAGTTGAGAGAGAAAATACTCTGTGTACAACTTGATGTGAATTCAGAGGAAAAAGCTATCAGGCCTCCAGTGCTTTTCCTAGAAAAAGAATGGAAGAAACATAGCTGGAAGAGATCGTTTTTGAAAAAAAATCAAGATGGATATCCACAGCAAATTGATGACATTCATTAATAATAATTAGTGATCCCCTTTTGGACTTTTTGTGTAAAAATGAAAATGAATTAATCTATTTGGGTCAAAAGACTGGAAAATATTGCCTAACAGAATGCAGATCAGTTGGGTGTCATTTTAGAGTGAATATTTTGAATAATTTCTTTTATTCAAATGGTGGGAAATCAGAAAGTTTTTTTCCTTCTTGTTGTTGTTTTTCTTTGCTTTTCCTTTGGTGTTTTCTGTTCTCTTTCTCTCAGTTTTTTTATTTATTTTTTTAAATCTAAAAATATTTCTTTATGAAAGAAAATAATTAAAATTTGGCTTTTTTAAAAAGGAATGGAAGTTCCACAGGCAGACCTATATGTTGTTAAGTAAGAGGTTCTGGGAAGCAAAGAAGCAAAGGGGCTGGGAATCAAGAGCAAGAAGAGGGCCTGTGTAAGCAGTCAGCTAAATAGTAAACACTCAAGAGGAAAAGGGCTAGAGAGTTTAGAGACCTGAGGGAAAGATGACTTAAAATGAGGAAACAAGGTGAGCCACAGAAGCAGCAACAAAAAGCAGACCTGAGGATAGATTTCATATACTGTGCTCTAGGAATAGTTGAAAGTGGATAAGCAGGGAACCATTTAGCCATGTTTTTTGGCTATATTTCTCCAGCGTACTTGATTTGAGTAATTTCAGAACACAGAATAAGAGATGATGCGGGGCAAGAAAGAGGCAACCCAGAACACATCCTGTCCTAGGACACAGCTTTTTGACATCAGTATGCATGAGCCCTGCCAACTCGACCAAGGAATCCCAAGGGAACAGGTCCAGCACAGGTCTCACCAGGTTCTGGTCATCGAAGGCCCCTGAACAAAGCTCCTGATACAAATCGGGATCTATGTGCAGATCGTCATCCGACAGGGGTTCAGGTGTGGCAGCCGATTCTAGCTGTTCCTTTAGCATCTGCAGATCATCCTCCCGCCCCCGTAACATCTATTGAGCATTAGGGTAAGTGGGGGTGGGAGAGGGAGGGGAAAGCAGTGAGAGAAAAAGGAGAAAAGAAGAAAGAGAGGAAAGCATTAAAGAAGCCATCTATCTGGCTTCAAAAGCATAATGCATTGAAACAGCACAGACGTGAGCACACCCCTCCCTTCCTGAGCACAGCTTTGGTGAACAGAAAACAGAACTCACTGAAGATCAAAGCAGCAAAGCGTGAGAAGCAGAAATATAGAGAAAAAGAGAGAGAGAGAATCCCAACACCCGCTTATTTCCCAAAATCAGTAAGAGAGGAGAAGAAGCTCAGTCATTTCAAAAAAAAGCAGGGCTGAAGTGTCCAACAAAAAAACCTGCAATTGAGAATGCATCCAAACTGGACTCTGAGATTGCAATCCTACATTCACTTTCCTTGCAGTTAAGCCCAACTGAACTCAGCAGGACCTTACTTCCAAGTAAACATGTACAGGAATGCACTGCCAACTACACCCCACTAACTATCAGGCTGCATCCGAACATAGAGCAGAACAAGGTGGAAATGATGTGGCATAATGGACCATCTCACTTCAAGACAGGTGAGGGTTATCTTTTAATATATATTTATGGCTATCCTTTTTGAATACACCCTGCAAGGGGGATAAAATCAACATGGAGTAAGCCAGATCATACATTTTCTCCCTGCTATGCTACATTCCTTCCAGAAGGGAGATTTTTTTGTTCTACATGTACTCCATCTGCAATCTGAAGCAGCACAGTCCACTCAACCACTCCCAGATTTTTTTCCACCTTATTTTGCTGTGTGCATAGACCAGGTCTCATTCTGCTTCCCCTATCTAGGGGGGGAAAACCAGGAGTCCCAACTGAACACTCAACTATTTTAGGTCCCGTTTTTAATGAAAAAGAAAAAAAAGAAAGAAAAAAAACTGGAGGGAAAAAGGAAACTTACCGAAGCTGGAAAATATTTATAGGACTCCTAGGAAGAAAAGAACGGGAAACAAAAATCACGTGTGAGCTACACACAAATCAACAGCTTGAATTTGAGGTGGCTGCTCCTCTGGGGTGGAGCAGCCAAGAAAGTGACCCACAGAGAAAAACATGCAATGATCTCTGGGCAGAAAGCGCCCACCGGAATACTCACCCGAGCCCGAACCTGGCACTGCCTCAGCCGGCACTTCTGGCGGATTTTGTTGGGGCCCCCAAATTTCTTCATGTCACGGCAGAAATCACACTGTCCACAGTCCTCTGTGCGCCTGCAGGCCTCGCATTCACCGCACATGCGTGCTGAGCGCTTGATCTGCTGCTGATTTTTAAAAATGAAAGGAAGTGGGGAGAGATGAGTATGTAGAGGCTATCTAGAGGGATCGCTGGAGTTATTTGTTAAAATTTTGTAACCTGATCTTCCTCCAAAGTGTTTGATATGGCATACATATCAGAGAGCAAGACAAGAGAGCAAGATCCATATGGAGCATGTTAAAATATTCCAGCACAGCTGAGACAGCCCAAATTGTCACAAAGATCAAATGGTGAAACTGAGGGTTCCCCTTTTCTCAACAAGAGGAAAAGCACTCCTGGCCACAGGAACCTGAGGGATCCACAGCAATGTCCTTAACTTGGGCACGAGGTGGTAGTTACTACTTACTTACTCAGATCTATCAAACATGCCTCAGATTTATAGAGCCAGATACTGCCAGCCATGAAACCTGCAAATGAGCTTAAGTACTCCCTTTCCTTCCTCACATCATCCAGAAACCTCAATTATCAGCAACGTTATAAGAAAGCATCAAAGAATATAAGAAGATCCCTGCTGGGATCCCTGCTATTCCAGTGCAGCATTTCTATCTCCAGCAGCTAGCCAGATGCCACAGGAAGTTCACAAGCAGAGTAGGAGTGGAATGGCCTTCCACTATTGTTTATTCACAGCATGCATTCATCAGGAAGTATATTGCCTTCTGTCCATGGAGATTCCATTCAGCTATTGTGGCTGATAGACACGTATACACAACAAATCGTATACTGATAAACATATATTATACTACAGCACAATCCCATACTCAGAAGAAAACCCCACTTAGTACAAAGGGGCCTATTTCCAGGTGAGTACAGGATTGCAACCTTAACCTGCCTGCTTTTAAAACAAGTGGCTCTCATCAATGTGCGTATTTAACCTTCAGGGTTCATCACATAAGAATCCAAACAAGCTAACGCTATGCATTATTATCTAGGCAGGAGGGGAAATAGGTTGAGGCAACAACTATACGTGACTTAAATCCTTGCTGGGGAACGTGTTGCTGGACTCCCATTCCCCCCAGTCAGCATGGCCAATGGTCAGCTATGATAGGAGTCAGAATTCAACATCTGGAGGGTCACAGGCTCCCCACCCCTGACCTAAACAGGATATCAGATGTGAAAATGTTTATGCAGAGCCAAATGATCATTTTAACTGCACCATATTTGTAGGCTTTCCAAGTGAACATCCAGGGCCTGTTACTAGAGAGCTGCAATGCCTACTTGCAACCGGGCTCTCTGTGCGAACATGCTTGCTCGCTTGCCCATAACACTGCTACCTGGCACCCCAGTCCTGTACAAAACATTTCAAGGTCCAAAGAAATACTGACAGGAGAGCAGCAGGATGGAAGGGGGGGGCATACATTCCCCCAGCATTTAATATGTGCTGTCTTAAAACGCTATTATAGTCCCATGCCACTGTTCACTAAATTTTTAGATTCTTGTGTTATAGTTTTATGGATTGATTGTATTAATGCTTTGAATTTTGTACACCACTCTAATATTTTCTCTCAGAAAAGCAGTATATAAATAATAATTATAATGAACAAAGAAACTCCAGACTGCCTTCTCCAAGCAGGTGAACTGCAGCAATCAGAGGAAATTCTAAAATTATATATGTAATTGTATATGTAAATGTTTTATGTATGTTTTTAAAATAATGCAAATTGCTTTGTGATGCCTCATGGGAAGCAGTTCATAAATGAACTATATAAATGAGTAGTAAAATTATCCGTTAGTGCCGATCAAGACCCCACAAATCCTGGGTTCTAGCCTCTATTGGAAGCAAGTGCTTTAGCTTGATAACCAGCTCTGAATAAAAGGATTCAGCCAGAGGAAAGCAGATTGGGGGGGAGATGTGTTGGAGATTAGGCATAAAGAGATGGTAACCAATCTCTTGGAATATTTGCCGCAAAATGAATGCTGCTTAGTTATTACAGCAAGTGAACGTCCCAAAGAAGTCTGAAGCAGCTATTACAGCAAATACACCAAAAATCTCTAAGGAATGGCTTGAAGTCCACACACCGTTTGCTACAGCCCCATGGTCTTCTATAATGATTTCACCTTCATGCTTCCAATCAAGAACAGACAAAGGAGGCAAAAAGCTGGACAGGAGCATTTACCTGTACTACATGAAACAGTCAAACAATGACTGTTGGGAGTAGGCAGTTGCCCCACAGTTCTGAACCCAAACACTCAACATTCTGGAGTTGGAATGCCAGGCCCTGCACAGGTGTGACTGAACTCTGCTCCCTTTCACTGCTAAAACACTTACTTTTGAGCTGCGACTCTGCTCTAATGCCAGTTCTTGGGCCTTCGCACGCAGCTCGTCCTTCTCGGCACGTTCCCGTTCACCCTCACGATCCTTCTCCTTGGACTTTTTGTGCCTGTACCGGATCTCAAGGGTTGGGTCTCTCTCTGTAGAGCAGAAAGGAAAATTAGCTAAGAGAACCCACATGGTTCAACTCTTGGACCAGAGAGTAGTGGGCAAATACAGGCAGATGTAGTCCTTTCTCTGAATCTAAGTTGGCCTGGACCAGCAAGTAGTTTGAAAAAAGTCTTGTGTATGATATACTGAACTACACGGAGGGAGATCAGGGTATAAAACTTTAACAAATTAACTCCAGTGGTTACTTCGGTTTCTGGCTACATCATGAGTCACTGGCAGTAGCTGCTTGCTGCCCTCCACAGGCAGCGAGGAGATTCAGGCAGGGGAAAACCAGGATTTATGAGGCAAAAATCCTTGCAATGTTCCCCAGTTGGGTCTGGGGAGCTCACTGCATCCCACTGTGCCGCCAAGCCCGTGTCTGCCAACTTGAAAGGCAGAGCGGCATGGACGAGCCTCCATCTCCAGCATGATTTGTGGCTGGTTCCTCCATAATTTGGACAATTGGCATTAATTGAGAGGCACTCCTGAACCGACATATGCTAATGGCCAGCGATCAGTCAGCTGCCGAAAGGTCTGGACTTTGGCTCTTTGAAGGTATCTGAATGTTTTCTTTGAAGCTTGAGAACCCTTAACAGCCGGGAAAAGAAGGGGAGGACAAGGTGCTTTGTGCTTTCTTGTGGTTTTCAAATTGTCTTCTTTTTTCCTATCCTCCCCTGCATAATGAAAAGGACGTGTGTAGCCGCAGCTGTTATTTTGTTTGTTACTTCGGAAAAGAGGGGGGAGGCTTTTGATTTATGCTCAACAAAAAAATTTAACAAAGTTTTATAATGCCCTCCTCCCCAACCAAGGATGAATGGACTTTATTTAAAATTATTCCTGAACTGCTGTTGGAGGAATTAAGTGGGTGGGGGGAGAATGAACTGCTGCCAAACAGGTGTAGTAAAGAGACTGAATTTGAGAAAAGATCTTACTTTTAACTGTGTGCCGAGGAAGAACTCCAGAGCGGAATTTTAATGCCGGAGTCTGGATATTCATTCTATGAGTTTTTTATGTTTGCAGCTCGTACGCTAGTCCGTAAACAGTGGAAGGAATATAATGTGACCTACTGGGAAGAGAGGGAACCTTCTTCTCTGAGGCTAAAATGACATGGACAAGAATTGACCAAATTTGGGTAACCAGAGGACTGGCTCCGAAAACTAGTAAAGTGGAAATCTGCCCCAAAATCTGCTCCGACCATAATGCCGTGAAGATGGAAATGAAATTGACGCCAATTGGTTCCTTTAGATGGAGGATTAATGATACTTTGTTTAGGAATGAAGAATTCACTAAGAAGGCCCAAAAAACTTTGAGAGACTATTATGAGATAAATATGAACACTACTGTGGAAAAAAGAGTAATTTGGGATGCAAGCAAAGCGGTCATGAGAGGATTTTTGATACAACAGAATGCAATTAAGAAGAGAATTCAAAATGAGAAAAAAGACAAAATCCTGGAAAAAATAAAGGAAGGGGAGAAGAAATTGAGGGTGAAACCAAAGTCGCAGGAGATTTTGAAAGAGATAAAGTTATATCAAGTACAATATATGAAAATGATGAATCAGGAAATAGAACGGAAGATTAAACAGATGAGACAAAAGACATTTGAATCGGCAAATAAGTGTGGAAAACTGTTGGCTTGGCAAATGAAAAAAAGACAAAAACTTAATACTATTACGAATTTAGAAGTGGAAGGAAAGAATATACAGAATCCAGTGGAAATTAGAAAGTGCTTCCAGAGGTATTTCAAAAAACTATATACACAGGAGACGCAGAAAGAAATGGACATTGATAAATTTTTGAAAATGAATGGACTACAAAAAATTTCCCAGGAATATAAGTTAATGCTGAATTATAAAATAACGGAACAGGAAGTAGAAGGGGCCATTCAGAACATGCAATTGGGTAAATCCCCAGGACCGAATGGTTTGACTTCAAGATACTACAGATCTCTGAAAGAATGGTTAATACAACCTTTAAAGGAAGTCTGTAATGAAATACTGGAAGGGAAAAAGGCACCAGAGTCGTGGAAGGAAGCATATATTACACTTATACCGAAAATAGAGACTGAAAAGACACAGCTTAAGAACTACCGCCCCATATCACTGCTTAATGTGGATTATAAAATTTTTGCAGATATTTTGGCTATAGAAGATTAAAAAAGGTGTTAGCAGAAGAAATTCACAAAGATCAAGCAGGTTTTCTCCCGGGCAGACACTTGTCTGACAATACGAGGAATATAATTAATATCTTAGAAAAACTACACGTGAAGATCAATACTAAAGCAGTTTTGATATTTGTGGACGCGGAGAAAGCCTTTGACAACATTTCTTGGAGTTTTATGAAGAAGAATTTACAGGGGATGGGGGTTGGTCAAGGTTTTGGAAATGGTATAGGTGCAATTTATTCAGAACAGAAGGCTAAATTAATTGTGAATAACATAGTGACAGAAGAATTTAAGATTGAGAAAGGAACACAACAAGGTTGCCCAATCTCTCCATTGCTTTTTATATCAGTCCTGGAGGTTTTGCTAAATATGATTAGAAGGGACCAATTGGTAAAAGGTATACAAGTGGGAGCCAAACAGTACAAATTGAAAGCATTTGCTGATGATTTGGTATTGACTCTACAGGAGCCAGAATCTAGCACTAAAAGGGTACTGGAACCGATTCAAGAATTTGGTCAGGTTTTAAGTTGAACAAGACGAAAACTAAGGTTTTAGAGAAAAATGTAACTGAGATTGAGAGAGATAAGTTTCAGAAGGAGACAGGATTAACACTGGTTAAGAAAGCGAAATATCTAGGGGTTAACATGACTGCTAAGAACGTGAATTTATTTAAGGATAACTATGAAAAATGTTGGATTGAAGTGAAAAAGGATTTAGAAATATGGTCAAATTTGAAGTTATCGTTGTTAGGCCGAATTGCTGTGATAAAAATGAATGTATTGCCAAGAATGCTGTTTTTGTTTCAAACATTGCAAATTTTGGACAAAATGGACTGCTTCAAGAAGTGGCAGAGAGATATCTCTAGATTTGTCTGGCAGGGCAAGAAGCCTCGTATAAAATTTAAGATATTAACTGATGCTAAAGAAAGAGGTGGATTTGCCCTGCCAGACCTCAAACTTTATTATGAATCAGCTGCTTTTTTTTGGCTGAGAGAATGGATGCTTCTTGAAAACACTGATGTCTTGGATTTGGAAGGTTTTAACAATGTATTTGGTTGGCATGCTTATCTGTGGTATGATAAGGTTAAAGAACACAAAGCGTTTAAAAACCATATTGTCAGGAAAACACTGTTTAATGTCTGGATAAGATATAAAGACTTGTTAGAAAATAAAACCCCGAGATGGTTGTCACCAATGGAAGCAAAGGCTCAGAAAAAACTCAATATGGAGGCCAAATGGCCGAAGTATTGGGAAATTCTGGAACAAGAGGGAGACAGATTAAAACTGCAGAGTTTTGAAAAATTAAAAAACAGAGTGCGAGACTGGCTCCACTATTATCAAATAATGGAGGCATATAATTTGGATAAAAAACTAGGCTTCCAGGTGGAAAAAATCAAAACTGGAAACAGAATTGCTAGACCCTAAAGTTAAGAATCTGTCAAGAATGTAAAACTTGCTGTTGAAATGGAATACTCAGGATGAAACGGTGAAATCTGCTATGATTAAATGGGCACAAGATGTTGGTCATAACATTATGATGGCTGACTGGGAACAGTTATGGACCACAGGTATGAAGTTTACGGCATGTAATGCCTTAAGAGAGAATTTAATGAAAATGATTTATAGGTGGTACATAACACCAGTCAAGCTTGCAAAAATCTACCATTTGCCTGATAATAAATGCTGGAAATGTAATGAGACTGAAGGTACATTCTTTCACCTTTGGTGGACATGCCCAAGGATTAAGAACTTCTGGGAGATGATTTATAATGAAATGAAAAAGGTATTTAAATATACCTTCCTCAAGAAACCAGAGGCCTTTCTCCTGGGCATGGTCGGCCAATTGGTGCCAAAGAAGGATAGAACTTTCTTTATGTATGCTACAACAGCAGCAAGAATACTCATTGCAAAGTACTGGAAGACACAAGATCTACCCACCCGGGAAGAATGGCAGATGAAGCTGATGGACTACATGGAGTTGGCAGAAATGACTGGCAGAATCCAAGACCAGGGAGAAGAGTCGGTGGAAGAAGATTGGAAAAAATTTAAAGTTTATTTACAGAAATATTGTAAAATTAATGAATGTTAGAAGGATGCTGGAATGAAGTTATATGGCCTTAGCAGAAATGTTATAAAGAATTAAGTAAAAATAGATTGTTAATGGGTCAAAGTGGAAATTTAAGGTTAGATTGTGTTAAGATAAATTATAGAAAAAAAATTAAGAAAGATGGAAAGGATTTGATGAAAAAGCTAATTGAACAAGAATACAAAAAAGGGAGGTGTGAGGAGGTCGATGATACATGTAAATGAAAGGTAGAGAGATAGAGATATTGGATGTGTTTTTTTAAAAATGTTTTTGCTTTTCTTGTTGTTTTATTGTAGTGTTCTTTTTCTTTATTTTTGATGTATTGTGAACTTTTTATTGTTTCTTTCTTCTTTTTTCTGTAACTATTAAACTTTTAATAAATATCTTTAATAAAAAAAAAAGGAATATAATGTGACCTAGCACCATCCAGATAAACACTGCAAAGAACTGAACAATGGAAGATAATAATTAACTCTCCCAGCACACCAGGTCTGGAACAACAATGTATATACACACGTGAAATGGACTGTTTATTTATAAGATTTAACAGAGGTGCTGTTTGTAAGGTGAAAAAAGCAGCCAGCTGGGAGAATGGTTTAACGGCAAGTGAAGGATATCAACTGGACTCTAAATAAGAGGAAATGGTGATGATCATATGTTCAGAACAGGAGCGGGAAACCTGGTTTTAAGAAACTGTATTAAACTAATTTAATTTGGTTTGATTTGTAATAATTTGGAAAAATTAATAAAAACTTTTTTTGAAAAAAATCCTTCAGCTGTCAATTAATAAAAAAGGCACATGGCAAGCTACAGTTTATAGCCACGTTGCACTTATTTTACAATAACCTTAATAAGAAATTATCACTCTTAAAATGTTTTACAAGAAGAGCCAGGCTGCAAAAAGACAGTCTATTCAAGCTCAGATTGCTTCCAACAAAGTAAGCTTCTTTTTACTTACCTCCATTCCAGATTCTGCAGCATTTCCCCATCATATTTGCAAACATCAGTGACAATAATAAATGTATAGCTTTGCAAGCAAAATCAAGGCATTCCACGTTTCTAATACACTATCTGAAGGACCCAAACACAGGACTTTGCCAGTTATGCAGGGACTAGCCCAGTCTCAATACTATCTTGTTTGTAAACTCACCTCGGCACTGCATGCAGTACCATTCCCGTATGGCCTTTGCCATCTTCTCAGTAATGTTAATGCAGTGGCCATGGAACCATTCGTTGCAGTGATCGCAGCCTCTGGGATGGGGAGGGGGGCAAAGAAAGGGAAAGGTGAGGATTCCCTAACTCAGCTTCTTGGCAGCCAGGTTTCAGAACAATACAACTTTCTGCATACCCTCCCAGTAAGCTCCTTTTTCGACACAACTGCAGGCTTCAGAAAGAATACCCTTCGCTCTGACCGCCCCACACTGCTCCTCAAGATCTACCACCTTCAAGCAGCTACAGCTGAACAGGACCCAGAGCAGTCCCCCCCCTCCCCGTCCAGCGTGCAGAGGCGAGGCACCGCGCAGCCCACGAGCAATCCATCCCTCAGCCAAGCCTGTCCCTTCCGCCCCTCGCAGCTCCTCGGGGACTCACATCATGAAACAGTTGATATCCGGTTTGCGGCAGATGCAGTAGACGGGGGCATTTTCTCCATTCTCCGATTTGGACTCCTCACCCAGAACAGCCAGGTCGGGATCAGAAAATTCATCCTGGGGGGCGAAGGACAGAAGGAAAGGTGAGCGGGGCTGCCTGGCGGAGAGCTCCCTCCTCCTCCGAAGCAGCCCAAGGCGAGACCCAGGAGGGCCGCCCGCCCGCCCGGTCCCCCGCCCGGAGCCCCCTTCCCTCGCGGGGCGCCCCCTTCCCCGCCGCGCGCGCTCACCATGGTCTCCCTTGTTCTGGCCTGCGAAGAGGAAGCCCAATCGACTTCCCGCCCCCCGACCTCCATTTCCGTTTCCGCCTTCGCCCGAGCAAGGAGAGAAACAACATCCGGGTCTCCAGCGCCTCCCCCGCCCTTTACAAAGATGGCCGCCTCTTCCACGCCACACGAAGAAGGAAATCTTCGCCGGTGGTCCGTCTCTTACGAGGGCGCTGCCTTCTTCCTGCTTGCCAGTGACAAAAATGTCCGTTGTTCGCTTCAAGGGCACAGTTCAGCTTTCGAACAGGAAGTGGCCATCTTTGATGGTGGCAGCACTCAGGCTAGATAAATAGAACGAATCGCGATCAGGCGAGGGAAGTTACTGGGTCTTATTTTGTGTTTTTTATCTTGTATTTCTATGTTGTGAATCGCCCTGAGATCTACAGACAAGGGGCCTATACAAATTTAGCAATAATAATAATAATAATAATAATAATGGTGAGTTCGGTTTTTAAAAAAGAAAAAAAACTGGTAAACTAGAGTGTAATTGTTAATGGATGTCACTGCATACTTCCAAGTGTAAAAATACCGAGTGGTTGTGATTTTAAAATACTTCTGCCCTTCTTAAATATTTGTCAGTCTCAAGATGAGATAATTATGGTTTTCTATTTCCATTGATGCTACCCAAAACCAATACGATAAGCTAGATTTTGAGCTGATCATATTTATGCAGGCCATTTTCACCTTTCCTTGTCACACTTAGTTCCTTTTTGATCTCTGAAACTAATAGGCAGGGATAATATTCTAGGAATCCTGCTCAGCATATCCATCCTTCAGCCAAAACTACAGCAGGGACAAAGGTGTTGCAGGGGAGGAGCACTGGGTGAAAGGAAGCTTTATATAAGAGTCAAAGGAAATTAGGTGTGGAATGGAATAAGAAAGGACTTGGAGGTGTGGGGAAGAATGAAACTGTCTTTCTGGGGCAGAATATCTACAATTAAGATGAATGTGCTACCAAGGATGTTATTCCTATTTCAGGCTATCCCCATAATTAAGGGGAACAGGATTTTTAAAGAGTAGCAAAGAGCGATTTCAAGATATATTTGGCAGGGCAAAAAGCCAAGAATTCAATTTAAGTTACTAACAGATGTGAGAGGAAAAAGTAGGCTCATATACTATGAGGCATCATGCCTTTGCTGGTTGAAAGAATGGATTAAATTAGAAAATAAGGATTTGTTAGAGGGGTTTGATAACAGATTTGGATGGCATGCGTACCTATGGTGTGAGAAGAAGAAAATTCATAAAGGCTTCGAGAACCACATATTCCGAGGACCTTTAATTGAAGTTTGGGATAGGTATAAAAGCCTACTAGAACCTAAAGTACCACACTGGTTATCTCCACTAGAAGTTATGAGTGTAAGGAAAATCAATATGAGAGGTAATTGGATCACATGTGGCCAATTGATATCTAAGGAAGGAGGAAAATGGAAAATGAAACCATATGAACAAGTTAAAGAATATGTATATGATTGGTTGCACTATTTTCAAATAAATGAAATGTTTAGGAAAGACATTAAAGAATGTGGTTACACAGACAAAGATTCAAAATTCCAGATAGAAATAATAAACAATGATTCTAAAATTTTATCCAAAATGTATAAGTTGTTGTTAGAATGGAATTTGAAGGATGAAGAAGTTAAATCGGTAATGATACATTGGGCCACAGACTTTGGTTATAATATACAATTTGAAGACTGGGAAAGATTATGGAAGGAGAATTTAAAATTTACAGCATTTATGACGTTAAAAGAAAATGTTATGAAAATGTTTTATAGATGGTATATAACACCGGTAAAATTAGCGAAAATGTATAAGACATGTAGCAAGTGTTGGAAATGTAAAGATAAAGAAGGTTCTTTTTATCATATGTGGTGGGAATGCAAGAAAGTAAAAGGCTTCTGGGAAATGATATACAATGAACTGAAGAAGATACTAAAATATACATTTATAAAGAAACCAGAGGCCTTTCTACTAGGAATTTTAGGAAAGGAGATAAACAGAAAGGACTGTAATTTTTTTCAATATGCAGTGACAGCTGCAAGAGTGTTATTGGCTCAGAAATGGAAACAACAGGAAATACTGATGGTGGAAGAATGGAGAATGAAGCTGCTAGACTATGCTGAGTTGGATAAATTGACTGGGAAGATTAGATACTCAAGAGAGCAAAAGTTCATCGAGGACTGGGGAAAATTTGTGGAATATCTGAAAAGTATAAGTGAGGGACAGATAACGCTAGAGGGATTTAAAGAGGCACTGTGAAATTTGAAAAGTATTGTTAAAAGGGAATAGAAAGGGAAAGGTTTAAATAATGACAATACAAACTTAAGGCATAATTTAAATAATGACTATGGATGATTCTCGGAAAAGCTGAAGGAAGTCCAGAAAAGAAATACTCTGTGAAAAATTGGATGTGAAATTATTGTGTGTTTGTGTTTTTGTTGTAAATTAATAAAAATTATTTTTTTAAAAAAAGAGTCAAAGGAAATTAATTTCATTAAAAAAATGAACACAGAATTTCACATACTTAAACTTAAATTTAACTTCAAAATTTATTTTTCCCCCAGGTGTGGAGTTGTATGGATTTTTTTAAAGAGTTTAAGAAGGATTTTACACATGGCAGGTGTTTCAAGTCTTGTTTGTTTTTTAACCTTAGAGTTGATAGAAGCATTGTTGTATGTGATGTGCATCTTTCTCTCCAATTATTTCACCACTCAAGCAGGTTTTGCAAGGTTTGCCAATCCTGCTAAAACCTGTTTGAGCAGAGGTAACAGTGAAACAAAATAAATAACTGCGCCCTTCAGATGATTACCTGGTTTGCATGTAACAGTAAGCCATAAACAATGGCTCACTGTAAGCGAGGAGCAGACTGGTGCACACTGCTCAGTTGTGCCCAGCCCTCTTCTCTTTTTGTGTGCCAGGAGAAAATAAGCCGGAGTACTGGCTTAGCATCATATGCACTAGCAGTAAGCAAGAACAAACCTTGACTTCTGCTTTGCCTAGAGTGAAAGAAACTATGAGTACAGTGGTAGCTCGGGTTACATACTCTTCAGGTTACAAACTCCGCTAACCCAAAAATAGTGCTTCAGGTTAAGAACTTTGCTTCAGAATGAGAACAGAAATCGTGCTTCGGCGGCGCAGCAGCAGCAGGAGGCCCCATTAGCTAAAGTGGTGCTTCAGGTTAAGAACAGTTTCAGGTTAAGAACGGACCTCCGGAACAAATTAAGTACTTAACTGTACTGGTTTGCATGTAAAGTTAGGCCAGCACTCTGGTTTATTTCCTCTTGACACAGCACAAGAAGAAGAGGGTGGGTGACTGAGCAACATGCCCTAGCCAACATGTTTCTCATGGGCAGTAAGCTATGATTTGTTTCATACCATGGCTTAGCATTATGTGTGAACTGGGCTGAACACATGCAGATGAGAAGCAGGATTACACTGGCAGATTCTGTACAGACCCTACACATGTAGGTCTAACATTGCAATCAGAAAATCCTGCTTTTTGGAAGATCCCACTCTGATGGCATCTCTCTCCCTTGTTCCACAGGTCAGAGACACATCCCAGAAAATACTGGAAGTAAATCAAATGGTTGGCACTCCTATGCCAACAAGGACAACAAAATAAAAATATTCCTTCCAGTAGCACCTTAGAGACCAACTAAGTTTGTTATTGGTATGAGCTTTTGTGTGCATGCACACTTCTTTGTGCACATGAAAGCTCATACCAATAACATACTTAGTTGGTCTCTAAGGTGCTACTGGAAGGAATTTTCTTATTTTGTTTCGACTACAGCAGACCAACACGGCTACCTACCTGTAACAAGGACAGCAAAGTCAGCCGTGACCTGCATTGGGAGCTAGACAAGAAGGAACAAAAGTGGGCTGTCCTCTCACACAGTGAGGTAAACATGCTTAATTTACATAATCCTGCCTAAAAGAGTGAGTGGGAGGAACAACCCATTCTTTCGGATCCCTTCCCACCACTGTAGACCAGTTGTTCTTTTAAATGGAGATTGCAGCTGAAGCATCTTTGCAGCAATGAACATTAAGAACTAAACAAAGAATCCATCAAACTACTTTATTAACAAATGCCTTGCAAATGTTGAGGGTGAAGCAAGGTACCAACATTCCTCAGGGGGTTATCATTTTTCTTGCTACTAAAAGCAAACTTCCACTCGCATGAACCTGCCATGGGATGGGAGGATGAAATGAGAGAATTATCTCTAAAATTCTTATAGCATGTCTTTCTGTGTTGTGAGAAGCGTTGCACTGTTTAGTAAACTAAGTCTTGCCTAAGAACAACCTTACAGTGAAACCTCGTTTTACGTACCACCCTCCTTACGAATGCTTCAAGTAACGAGCTCCGCTGACCCGGAAGTAGATACCCCTAGTTGCGAACTTTGCCCCAGGATGCGAGCGGAAGTCGCATGCCGGCGGCACGGACCTCATGTTAAAAACAGTTTCGGCTTGAGAACGGATCTCCGGAACAAATTAAGTTAGTAACCGGAGGTACCACTGTATTTCCTATAATCCACTTTGACCAATAAACCCACATCTTTTAGTTTCTACATCCTACCAATTTCTTGGCCCGTTTGCAATCACTAGAAGCTCACACATGATCCACTTTTATATTTCAGAGTCAACCCAAGCCTTTAATTTGCTTGGCTTTCTCTTTTGCTCCTTTCATAATCTGTTCTCTCATCTGGTTTTATTTCAGAGTGCCAGACTTGCTCCCTACTCCCAATAGAGTTTGCCTCTGCTTTACATACAACTTCCTATGGGGAAGTGTCCTAACCAGCCTTAAAGTAACAGCCTTAAAGACTCCATAAAAATTAACCTGTACTCTGTATCCTCTGCTGCAGCACTCAGTATCTTAAGCTAATTCTCACTGGTGCTACTATCCTCCATCTCCATCTCTTCCAGTTCTGTTTTTAATCTGAAAGAAGAAAAACAGGATACCCGGCCTCAAAATTTGAGATATGATGGGTACTGTTACAAGGCTACAAAATACCCTATATGTTTTGGTTCATTCTTCCTTAGGAAGAAATAAAACAGATTAGAGTGCTTCAGTAACTTACCATATCTGAAAAAGTGATAAGCTACAGACTACAGCCACATCTTGTTGGGATCATTCCGAGGCTGTGGAATGAATCAATGTAACTGGGAACATGGAGATTCAAGGAGGCATAGTGAATGGAGTCACAGGTGTCACTTTCCAAAGAGTGGAAGCTGCAGTAATATGGAAGAAGCAGCGCACAACATTTCCCCAGATACAAAGAGCCATCAGAACAAGAGATAAGAATCACATCAGAAAAGCCAGGAGAGAAATATATAGAATCCTTCAACATTGAGTTTTGCACAAATCCTTTTAGATTCCCAATATTAACGCAAATAAGGTACAGAGCCTAGAGTTTGTATTGCATCTCATAGCAAAATCCTTTTTTAAAAATCAAGCACTATGTTCCAAGGACAGAGGATTAAGCTAGCACCCTAGATTCCAGTCTCCTGGCCTAGACTCTTCCAGAGCTGAATCCCAGAACTAGAACCCTCGGTTCACTCCCATCCTTCTGCTCACCTGCTACATCTTTGCTTCAGATCAGAATGGTACTTAGAGACTGCTTCAAGGTATTCTTTTGCTGCCTTCTTTTCCTCTTGAAATAACTTCCTGGAAATTAAAGGAAGGCAATCAGATGTCCAGCTCCCAGGGATCCACCTGTCGAACTTCTACACAAAAAACTGGGCAAGAAGCAGGTCTCTTCCACAAACCCAACTCACATGGGAAAGTCTTCTCCTATTTATACTTCATTTATACTCCTATTTATTCTCTGTAAATTGAAGTCGAGTTATTAGACCTGCAGTGGGGCATCTCTGACCTGCAGGCATAATTTTTCATTTGTAGCATGCCTTAAGTTTGCACTCAGTACTTAAGACATCTTACCTTCATTTGGGTATGGGTCCTTTGCCACATTAGCTCCACTTGCAGATGGGGAAATGGCACCACCAAACCTCAATGACCTTGCTTCCTAAGTGGCAAAGGCAGTTAAGCATTGAGGCATTCCTAAGCAAGAACAGGAGAACCTCTGGCTCTTAATCTGACATAGGACTCAGGCTACCCTCTTTCATGCCTCTCTTGGGCTGCCATATGGCCTTCTCCCTGGCTTAGTTACTACAAACCTACCAAGTTACAATATATATACAAAAGTTGAACTAAGTTTCTATACTGGGACAGTAAGGAAAACAAGACATGGAAATGTGTTTAAGTGAGCACAATCTACCATGTTCTTTTGGGGAAGCCCCACTGAAATGAACAAGAGACTATGTATATGTTGCAATGCATACTATTTGGATTTGACTTGTGATTCACTACCAACATTTCCCCATAATATTCTATAACGTGCAGGGAGTTTTTCACAGTCAAGTTGTTGTGGAAAGGGCTTCTAGGTTGAATGTTTGAAAATCACTGAATCAGGTGAATTATTACTAGCTTAAAAGGTAAAGGACCCCTGACCATTAGGTCCAGTCATGACCGACTCTGAGGTTGCGGCGCTCAGCTCGCTTTACTAGCCGAGGAAGCCGGCGTACAGCTTCCGGGTCATGTGGCCAGCATGACTAAGCCGCTTCTGGTGAACCAGAGCAGCACATGGAAACGCCATTTACCTTCCCGCCGGAGCGGTACCTATTTATCTAGTTGCACTTGGACGTGCTTTCGAACTGCTAGGTTGGCAGGAGCAGGGACCGAGCAACGGGAGCTCACCTCTTCGCGGGGATTCGAACCGCCGACCTTCTGATTGGCAAGTCCTAGGCTCTGTGGTTTAACTCACAGCGCCACACGCGTCCCTTATTACTAGCTTACTGAGCCACATTTATGAGGGTATGGCTTGCTTTCAGGGCGAGGTGCACCTGTGGTTCATGCATATTTGGTTTTTTTAAAAGATCGTTTCCTTCCTACTTTAGCACACTTTGCAAATTGATCGTTTATACCTTTAAAAAATTGCACATGGTTAACTGAGTTTTAATCAGTATTACACTAAAGGAGGGTCCAGGTTAGCCTATACTCACAAGGCTGTTGCAGCCTCCTGGCTCTTCAGGAACTCCCTCTCCTTAATGAAGACCGACTGGCTAATCAAATCTAATTCATCTTGGGCATGGGCCAGTTTCTCCTGGATCATTTTTTCTGAGGAAATATTACACAGGGATTTTTAAAGGCATATCAAAGTAAATAAGTCCAATTTATCTCAAAAAATGAGGGTACAGTGGTACCTTGGGTTAAGAACTTAATTCGTTCTGGAGGTCCGTTCTTAACCTGAAACTGTTCTTAACCTGAGGTACTACTTTAGCTAATGGGGCCTTCTGCTGCTGCTGCGCCGCCACTGCGCGATTTCTGTTTTCATCCTGTAGCAAAGTTCTTAACCCGAGGTACTATTTTTGGATTAGCAGAGTCTGCAACCTGAAGTGTCTGTAACCTGAAGCGTCTGTGTGATAGGAATTTTGAGGTCTTAGATATATGGTAATGTTCATAACAGCACGTACATAGATCAGCACAAGAAGACCGACCTGAAGCCATTTTGATTCCTAAACTGAGCAAATGTTTTCTCTGCAAGGTCAAAGTGGAAAAGCCTCCCCATTGTCTTTTCCTTCACAAATCCTGTCTTAAGGGTATGTCTGTGTTTGAATAGGGTGTGAGCCTGTGACCTGGCCCAGGAACTAAGTATTTATCATTACAAAGGACTGGCCAGGCTACCCAGGCAATCCAATCAAGTAACCTGCCAGACAGGAGATAAACAAGGACAGGAGAAAAACACTTTCAAATTTTCTGTTTTAGACTGCCTTTTTTGTGATGTAGGTATGATATATATGAGGGGTGGTCTTAGGTTACACCCCTTCTGTGATGTATGTATGATGTTTCTGGGGGTGGTCCTGATCTACAGGATGGGAATTTCAAAAGTCTTTATAAGGCCTTGCATGCCATTTTTCTGGATCCTTCCTCTCTCCTGCGGGTGAGGGGAGCACCCTGTTGCAACAGATCAATAAAGATCAAGCTTACTAGCTGCTTTGCTTCTCAGTATTCTCTGGTTGGCCTCTGTTAGTTTCTCCTACCAATAGGGAACCTACGTAAGGACTCTATATAGGCTCTTGGATACCCCATAAGGGAAAAGGGCAATTTTTGTTTACAACATCTGTAACCCAAGGTACCACTGTACTTCCAGACAACAACAGAAGAAGTGTTTTTTGATATATATTTTTGTAATACTGCACTAGTACAGTCTTATTCAGTACTAGTTACATGGGATCTGTTTCCCAAGTAATGCGTAGCTTTCTTCCACTCCCGAACAGGGAACTTCACTTTCTCTTTAAAGCACTCCTGCCACCACCACCATAGCCTCTGCTGCTTCTCCAGGGAGATCATGTGTGTAAACTGATGTACCTGGGGGGGGGTGTATGCCTCTCCATTTAAGTAGTTCAGTTTTAGGAGAAATTGCACTCCAGTCTAATCCAATCTGGGACTAGAAACTGCTGCATACAGCAGATAGGGAGTTTATTGTTTTCAAAACTTCTGTTTTTAATTTTACTTTTAAATATAAAAAGAGGTGAAGGGGACAGGGGTAGCTTTGCCAGTTTTCTACCCTTTTAGCAATAAGTAGGCCCATATTTGAATGGTACACTTGAATGCTTGGCCTCTGAATGAATTTATATTTTTATTAAGATCACAAAATGGTTTTGATATGGGAAGAAGTGAGGAGCTCTGTCACTTCTCACACTAATGATTTCACAGACACTTCCAGTTAAGTATCATTAAAAATGGTTAGCCCACATTCTGCACAGCACACACAAATACAGTTGCCATGCTATCCAGGGAAATAGAGGAGGAATCAAAAGGGTTTGGATGGCATACAAGTAAGTAATATTGTAGAACAATTATGTTTAAGATAACTTTTAGCTTCATGAATTCTCTTAGAAGGTGTCCAAAAAGCCACAGACTCTCACCTTCACTGAGCAAACACTCCTTCTTCTCTCTTATGTCAGCCACTGCTGGTTTCTCCCTAGCCTGAAACACAGCAAACAGAATTCAAGGGAGAGAAATGAGGGGCAAATCTGCCTGTTTTGGTCTCTCTCCATTTCTCATTCTTCCAGTCTTAAGTTCAATCTTCCACATTAGTTTGTGAATTTCTGTTGAAGCTTCATGAAAACTCATCTGCATGTTTGTAAAAATTTGTCCTATTATACATGTTTAGAAGCAATTTTAAGACAGCTGGAATGCTACCCAGTATTGGAAGTAGGCATGGCCACTTAAAGTCCAAAAGGCTGTTTCGTGGAAGCAGCCAAAGAAACATAAACATATTCACTTGATGGGAGTGGTACAGTTATCAAGAAGGAGAAGCCAGTTTGACTGCTTTGCTTACTGCTCATGATACAAGCCCCTTATATCCCAAGCCAGATGGACGGGGTAGAAATAATAAAATTATTAATAGTAGTAGTAGTAAAAAAGGTAAAAGACCCCAGGACAGTAAAGTCCAGTCAGATTCAACTATGGGGTGTGGCTCTCATCTCTGTTTTCAGGTCAAGAGAGCCAGCATTTTTCCACAGACAGCTTTCTGGGTCATGTGATCAGCATGACTAAACCGCTTCTGGTGCAATGGGACACCGTGATGAAAGCTAGAGTGCACAGAAACACCATTTACCTTCTGCCAACCTTACAATCGGCAAGCCCAAGACACTTGGTGGTTTAGACCACAGCACCACCTGTGTAATAGTAGTAGGTACAAAACACCTGAATAGGGCTATTGGTTCCATCTCTGGGTATGTTTTTGCTGCTTTAGAGCAACCAATAAGCTATCCAATAATCCTATCAGTGTGTGCCAAGAGTAGCTTTCACACACTTCATAACAGTTATAGTGGCAAAAAGCTAGCTCCATGTGTCATTGGAGCTCAGGTGGCAACAGCTCAGCCCATTTCAGTCTGACATCTTATGTTGCCTCATCCTACATGATGCAAGCTGACCATGCTTTTGGAAGCTACAGAGAGACATCTTCTGAAGTGCCAGTGGACACAGGCGTGCAGTTTGTGGAAAGCAAGGCTAAGGCATGAATGTGGTTCACTAGAGTAACTAGCAACCAATCTGTGAACAAATAAAACTTCTTCCCATGCTCCTTCCACCCCCAATACAGCTTTTATTTCCAATGTACTGAACTGCTCCTCCAGACAGAGCATCTTCCCATTCATACATTTCATCTATCAAAAGAAAGCTAAAGTCCCCATCTCCCATCCTTGCTGCTCAGCACTTCTATATTCTAGCACATTTCTGAATCAAGGCATAGAATACAACAGTCTCCATTTCCAGGTGTTCGCAAATGTTTCAAGTTCATTTGATGTTACTCTGTTTCCAAAGTTAAAGGCAGAATATAGTGACTCTCAACTCTCAGTTTCTACTATATTCACATATTGTCACTTGGACATGAACATTTCTGAAGGTCACTTATCCTGCAGTGGCTTTATAGTAGTTGAGTTCATGGTAAAGACAAAAACCTAGCCCTTACGTAAAGCTCCCAGAGACTCTTGTGCTTCTCCATCAGCTCATTAAGTAGGTGCTCAAACTCCAGTCTGAAGGCATGAAAATTAAAAACAGGACAAGATAGAACAGAGTAAAACTGTTAATGGTGAGAACGGAACTTTCCTAAAGAGAGGAACCTAAAAATTGCCTATGCTAGATCACACTAAGGGGTCATCTAGCCCAGAACTCAGTATTCAAGAAGCACCATTCAGATGCCCTTGAAAGAAAGCTCATAAGCAGAGCAAGTAGCTATCTCCCTCTTCCCCCTCCCCACACTTGATAATCAGAATTATACTGTCCTGAATATGGAGGTTGAATATTGTTGTTGTTTTATTAATTATATTTCTTACCTGTTTTTCTCACAAAGAGACTTGAAAACTAAAACACAACCAATAAAGCCTAAAAACATATCTATATGGATAAGAGTGGTATCTGAAGAAAAGTGTGCATGCACACGAAAGCTCATACCAATAACTAACTTAGTTGGTCTCTAAGGTGCTACTGGAAGGAATGTTTTTATTTTATATGGATAAGAGACAGGTCTGATAGATGCCATACCACCAAAAGAGGTTGCAGATGCCTGAAACGCTTATAAATTAATGCCTGAAACCCTTCGAAAACCTGGGTAAAGAGGAAAGTATTTGCCTGGCCCTTACAAAAGAAAAAGATGGTGCTCTCTCAGGGGAGAGCATTTCACAAGCAGGAGGCCACCACTGAAAAGCCCAATTCTCATGTTGCAATCTAGACCTCCCGGGGAGGGGTCAGATAAAGAAGGGCCTCAGATTACATTGATTTATGCGGGGAGAGGCAGTCCTTGAAGTCCTGAGTCACATACAGTTTTATAGGTTCAAACTACACTTTAAATTGAATCCACTCACTAGCAGCCAGTGGAACCATGCTAGAATTGGTGTTATATGTTGAGACAGTCCTGCCCCAGTAGCAATCTGGCTGCCAAATTCTGCACCAGCTGCAGTTTCTGAACCATCTTCAAAGGCAGCCCCATACGTAACACATTGCAGTAGTCCAACCTGGAGGTTACCAGAGTGTAGACAACAGAAGTTGGGCTTTCCCTGTCATCATAGGGGTAAAAAAAAAAAAAGAAGAAGAAGGTAAAGGAGGTAAAGGACCCATGACAGTTAAGTCCAGTCACAGACAACTCTGGGGTTGCGGTGCTCATCTTGCTTTACATTCCGAGGGAGCTGGTGTTTGTCTACAAACAGTTAAGCCGCTTCTGGCGCAACGCAACACTGAAACCAGAGCAGCGCACGGAAATGCTGTTTACCTTCCCGCCGGAGCAGTACCTATTTATCTACTTGCACTTTTTGGCGTGCTTTTGAACTGCTAGGTTGGCAGGAGCTGGGACCAAGCAACGGGAGCTCACCCCATCGCGGGGATTCGAACCGCCGACCGGCAAGCCCAAGAGGCTCAGTTGAAACTGATGGAAGGCACTCTGCATCGTCCAGGCCATTTGAGCCTGAAACATCAACAGTAGATCAAGAAGTACCCCAAGCCACATACCTGCTTCAGCCTCATCCAGAGACCACATCCCATCCATCCAGTCTAGGGAACCACCTACTAACAGTGCCTTTGTCTTGTCTAGCTTAAGCTTCAGTTTATTATCACCCAGTCCATTACTGAGGCAAGACATTGATCTAGCATAGTCATTGCCATGGCTAATAGCAATTGCTAGACTGTCCTGTATAAATTTGGCTACTCCCTTTTTATAGCTATTTAAGCTAGAGGCCATCACTACCTCTTGTAATCAATTCCATTCACTGTGTAAAAGACTGTGTCAGGATTTCACCCAGCCTATTTGGTCTGGCCTGTTAGGCCTCTCCTATCCTATTGTTTCATAATTTATTACGTGCATATTCCCCATCCCAGGCCAAAACCTTCTCTCTAATCGAGTCATCACATGAACAAAGTGGTACTTTTTTATCAGTCCTAAACCTACCAGCAATACCTACCAGCCCACAAGCATTGCAACTTTATTCTACAGAAACTGAAATTTATGGCACTCTTGCTAAAATAATACATATTGCAATTAATTGAAATTGGAATAAAGTGTAACCCAAAACTCTTGTGACCAGATTCTATAATTACCTCTGGTCTCTTTGCTTTACTCTCTCTTCTTGGATCTTGGCTGTGAGTTCTTCAATTCGCTGCTTGCGCTCTAGGTTCATTTTCTGCTGCCTGATAAACAAGATAAAGCTGAGGTGTAGAATTGGGCTTCCTCTTAAAAAATTTTTTGATGAGCACAGTGGAACTTAAGTTCTGATTAAATATGCATAGGATCAGGCTGTCAGAATACTTACTGACACAGTTCTCACAGAACACTAAGCCAAACTATGGCTTAGCACAGATGTGCATGTGCAGGTTCCTGGAGAAATCATGGTTGCTTTACTCCTTCCCTGCCATCGTGCTACCTGGGGCTAAGCCATGGTTTGGCTTAGCACATATTTTGAACATGAGCTTGTCTCACTCAGAGCAAACCAAGCTTGTGGCTTGTCTGGAGTGAGGCGATGGATCCTTCTGATTAGAACTGCAACTTTAAAGTTTTGATGTATTCCTCTTTCCTTTACATATATACCCTTCAGTATTTTAATTTTATTTCCTCCCAGTTTCTATTTACATCAGTAGGTTTATGAAGAATTCCAGGGGGGTGGAGGAGGGGATATAAAAGGAAAACATTAAGAAATCTGACACACAAAATAAAGATAAACCACAGAAATAAGACATGTCTCATTCTAACCCAGTTGAACCACAGCTCACCTCTGCATCTCTGTTTCTGTCTCTTCACAGTGCAGCTGTACAATTTGTCGTGTCCCTGCAGGGAAGATGAATACTAATGTTTAGAACTTTGGTTACTCTTTTTATGTATAATATTTCTATCATGACCATATATACATGTTCTCTAACTTTCAACTGACATCAATATTCTTAGTGTCCAAAGAGAAGGAAAAAATTGTGCATCTTGTCGAAAAGACTATTCTCAGCAGCAACTCGCTTTTAAATTAATGACAAGCATTATAGTTTCATAGAAGCATTTCAAGGAGTGGATGAAGGAAAGTCCAACTGGAGATTCTAATTGCTAATCCCTATATTTGACTGACACAGCTCTTTGAAGCTACTAGTTCTGCCTCAATCCTTCCTCATATGAGAAATAAACTGAAGGAGTAGCTATGTTGAACCCAACAGACTGTTATTAGTTTGTGGGTGCCAGACACCCATAAGTCCTGAATTTACTAAGTGTTAAAATTTTATCAATGCTTGGAGAGTTAAACTGGAAGTCATACTCTTAATAGCTGGATTCAGCTTCTCATGTTCAGGAGATTGCCTGAGAGATGGGCCTTTAACAAAGCTGGAAAACAAAGATAAAGATAGGGAGATGGGACATCAAGAAAGCAAAGACTCTGTGCCACCCTGGGCTCTGAGATAGTTAGCAGGGAGAAAGCAGAGTTGAGTTTAGGATTGCATTTGGAGATGATGTGAGCTGGAGGAAAATGTCAGGGCTGGTTCAGCTGTAGGTCAGCACAGAGACTCTGAGACAAGCAGAAAAGTTGATTTTTTTATTCAAGGAAACAAAACACAAACAGAAACCTACGGGCAAGACTGGCCCCAGTATAGCAGTTTCCAGAACTGATGATCTGTGCCTCCTATTTCCACTTAAGCCTCCTCCCCGTCCACCTGATTCCCCAGCAATCTTAAACTCTGTTAGGGAGAGGGGCCCTGCAACCTCTGGGCCCATTGTTATTCTGCATGCAAAGCCCTCTGTGCCCTTGGAGACAAGGGAGGAAGGGAGCTGAATACAGTAGGACCAGCCCGCTCCTAGGAATCTGTTGCAGCCTCAACCCCCACCTCCTTTCCAGCTGCCTGTCCTACATCTCTCTCAATCAAGCCTGTTGCTTGTTCAGTATCCAATGATTCTGCCTCCCCTCTTCATCCTGACTTGTCTTCAATGTCCTGCCTGAGCCTTCCTCTTCTGAGGCTTCCCTAGAGGGTTCTCCAGCTGGAGCCTCCAACCACTCCTCATGCAGCCAGTCCATGACAAAAAATAGTTGCAGTGTGTAAGAATACAACAAGCTGGAGGGAGGCTGAGCCATGGCTGGTGATGTTTTTGATCCAAGGCTGCTGTGGTGATGGGAGAAGCAAGAATCAATGCTGTAAGCCAGTGGTTTTCAACCAGTGTGCCGTGGCACCCTGGGGTGCTTTGAATGATGGTCTGGGTGCTGCAGGCAACACTGGCCTCTGTCCCTCTTTCCTTCCCTCCCTCCTCTGATGCCCTGTCATGTCTCTGCCTCCCAAAGGCTTGCACAGCTGTTTATTGCAGCAGCCCTGGCTATAAGCTCCACAGGCGAGGGGTGCCTCTGGGAGGCACCTCTCTTTGGCGTGGGGGTGGGGTGAGCAGCTCAGAGACCAGGGACGGTGTCAGCAACTGCCCAGAGGACTCCCAAGAAGAGGAGAGGGGAGAGGAGAGGAGAGGAGAGGAAGCTAAGGGAACACTCCACAAGGGAGGGTGTTCCAAAAAGGGTGAGGAGCTGCTGGCTCTGTAGGTGACATAACTGGGCTCCTGAGCTCCATTGGGGTGCCACAGAAAGAATGTAGTACGTTAAGGGAGCTGTGGACCCAAGGTTGAAAACCTCTGCTGTAAGCACCTTTATCATAGACTCAGATCGTATATATGTGTAAATAAACCATATATCCTAAAGACACCACTGTCTCCTCTGTGCCTTGTTCTCAAAGGAAACACGAACCCTGAGTAAGCACCTGCCCCCCTGGAATCTTGCACTGCTCAGAGGTTGGGGTGGCATGTAACAATAACAAATTTAAGAAGTGTACACCAGTCACAGTTAATGTATTTCCTACAAAATAGTGTGGACATTAGCCTCCCTATCCGTTGTGGGGGAGCATCTACATCAGTCATCATTGTCTTCCTTACAGGGAGTTCTTTGCACCACTCCTCTGTTCAGAACAGATGATGGGTGGATGTCCAGTCCTGGCATCCCATGAAATGCTGACATACTTAAGGGAATGTGTTCAATGTAGGAGAGGCTGAGCCAGTGTACACAAGAACTGAGCAGGAAGAGCCAATTGTATTGTAGATTTCTGAGGGATGTTTACTGAGACCCTTTGCAGGTGCCATACAAAATACTGGCAGGCACCGTGGTACTTATGGGTAGTTCACTGACATCCCCTGATCTTCACTAATGATACCTCAGATAATATCCAATAGGTATTTATGTCATTCTTGAAGGCACATTACACACTGCAGTTAAAGTAATAATAATACAGTATATGGACTACCTAAGGGAAAGTTTTCATATTTACTCAGATAAAGGATATATAATCAGACCCAGTACTGAGAAAATGGACTCTGTCCCTGCAAAAAAAGCAGAGATGCTTTGGAAGTGTGCTAAAACTTGATTGTGCTGAAGACCCCCCCAAAACTCCCCTTCTTGCTGTCACCTTTCATTTCACTCCATATTTCCTCAAGGCTTGATTTCTCAGCATTTACTGCAAAAGGAAAAGAGCTCATTTAGCTGCTACCTTGTTTCTTTATTAATAACATAATCAGCCATTCACTCAAAGTTCCCAAATAATGCATACCTAGTAAAAAAAAAATTAACAATAAAAAGCTGTAATAAAATACTACATCCACATAGGTCATTAAAAAAAATCACAATGCAGCCCACAAAGAGGCCTGGACTAGTTGCTCTCATTTGCTCTTTTATTTTTTCTGTTGTTTTTATGTTCAATATATGAATTTCACTTTTATCTGCTATATAAATGCTTTTTGCAATAAATAGCAGGATAAATAAATAGAATTAGAAATGTTTTAAATAAATAAAACAAACACAATGATGGACTAGATGGGCATTTGGTCTGATTTGGCAGGGCTCTTATGTTCTTAAGAACTTACTGGTAATTTTATTATGTAGATACTTTGAAAGTGGCCTCAAAAAACCAGCTATAAATCACAGCAACTACCAGACTTCTAATCTACTGCTATTCCCAACACAAGTGCCGATAGAACAGTATAGAAAATGCTTTAGAGGAATTTTCCCCAAAATCGAGAATAAAATATAAAATATTGATAGATGCAAAAGAATGAGGTTTTTCCCTGCCGGATATGAGACTATACTATGAGGCATCCTGTCTTTGTTGGTTGAAAGAATGGATGACATTAGAGAATTCACATATTCTAGACTTAGAAAGTCATGACAATATTTATGATTGGGACACTTATTTATGGTATGAAAAGGTGAAAGTTCATAAGAGATTTATAAATCATATAATTAGGGAAAAAATTGTATAGAGTTTGGGATAAATATAAGAATTTATTAGAGGTAAAAACACCACTTTGGCTCTCACCGTTGGAAGCTATAGTGGTAAAGAATATGATAGAAGGGTAGACAGCTTATAGAAATTTATTAAAACAACAGGGAGAGTATTTTTTTTAAAAAAATTAAGGAATTATCAGGAAAATTATCATTTGAATGAAGAATTTAAGAAAAACAGGATACGAGGGTTTGGGGAACTAATATCACAACTGGAGAGAGACCTGTTGGAATGGAATGTAAAAGTGCTATCTAAAATGTATAAAATATTATTGGAATGGGAGACAAAGGATGAGCAAGTAAAATATTCAATGATACATTGGGCAATAGGTATTGGTCATAATATAGATATGGAAGCATGGGAACAATTGTGGAATATGGATATAAAATTTACAGCATATTTAAGAGAAAGTTATATGAAAATATTGATCGTATCTAACACCGAGTAAATTGGCAAAAATGTATAAATCTCAATCAAATAAGTGTTGGAAATGTAAAGACAAAGAAGATTCTTTTTATAATATATGGTGGTCTTGTAGTAAGGTTAAGGCTTACTGGGAAATGATATATAATAAAATGAAAAGGATGTTTAAAATAATGTTTGTAAAAAAAAACCCAGAAGCTTTTCTCTTGGGAATTATAACTACCTAAACTGTATAGAAACTTATTCATGTATGCAACTACAGTGGTAAGAATGCTACTTGCCCGAAAATGAAAAGAAGTTCCAGCAAAGGAAGAATGGATACAAAAACTTGCGGAATATGCAGAAATGGTGAAGCTTACTGGAAGAATAAGAAATAAAGATAAAAAACTTTTTATAAAAGAATGGAAATGGTTTATTGAATATTTACAGATAAATTGTAAACAAATAGAAACATTGGCAGGATTATTGTAATAATCTGCAGTTTCATAAGAGTATATATTTTAAAAAGATGAATAAATGAGCAAATTAAGTTAATTTGGATATGCAGACGATATTAAAAATTTAAGGAACAGCAGAAAGAGGGGGAAGGAAGTCAAGTTTTGAAATGTCAAAATGATTGTAAAATCAGTGAAATGTATAAATCTGAAAAGTATAAATAGAGTGCAGCAGCAGCAGGAGCAACAACAACAACACCACACACACAGGAATTTCCCCCAATAATTTCAGCTGTAGTTTGCTTTAAGCTAGAGGTTTGGTCATCCTTTTTAAAATGTATATATATCATCCCAAAACCCAGCTTGACAGATCTAGCAAAAATATAGATCTTGCACAGAATAACCTTTGACCTCTATATTCTTAGATTATGAATAGTGTTAACTAGAGTAATAGGGAGCTTTGGGCACAACCTGGGCAAAATTTCAGTAAGCTTATTCTCAACACTGGCATATCTAAAAGAATGCCTGACATCAACTTGCCTGAAGTCTCACACACTAAAGCACACACAGCTACTAAATACAGTGGCGTAGCATGGAGGGGTATGGGGGCCGTGGCCAAGGGTGCACAATATGGGAGGCGGAAACCAGGTGCCCCCTCAGATACCTCGCGCCCTGCCGGCAGCGGGGGCTGGAGAACACGGAAGGTGAAGATCGATCACCCTCTGTGTGTCCCACCCACGCCTGGCGCGTCGTTGCAGCTCCCCCTTCCCAAGGTCAATCCCAGGGGCAGAGAGCAGCTGCAGTGCCTGGCCTGCCTGGCCATTGTTTCTCTGTCCCCAGGCCAAGCCTGACCCGGAGGGCGGAGAGAGGCTGTGGCGCATGAGGAAGCTCCGGCCGAGAGAGGAGAGTTGGCCCACTTCCAGGACTGGGGCACGCGAGTGTGCCAGTGCCACCGCAGCCTCCCTCCGTGCACCGCCCCCTTTGGCCCGTGCGCTATTTACCTACACTCCGCCATTGACTAAATCAGAGGCCAGCAAACTTTTCCAGCAGGGGCCAGTCCACTGTCCCTCAGACCTTGGGGGGGGCTATATTTGTTTTGGGGGGGGGGGAGTGAATGAATTCCTATGCCAAACAAATAACCCAGAGATGCATTTTAAATAAAAGCACACATTCTACTCATGTAAAAACACGCTGATTCCCAGACCGTCCACAGGCCAGATTTAGAAGGCAATTGGGCCGGATCCAGCCCAAGTTTGCCTACCCATGGACTAAATATTGCTGCTGGTGGAAGAGAAAACTAGAAACCTGTTACAGTGGTGCCCCGCAAGACGAATGCCTCGCAAGACGGAAAACCCGCTAGACGAAAGGGTTTTCCGTTTTTGAGTTGCTTCGCAGGACGAATTTCCCTATGGGCTTGCTTCGCAAGACGAAAATGTCTTGCGAGTCTTGAGATTTTTTTTTGCTTTCCCCCCCTTTATCTAAGCCGCTAAGCCTTTAATAGCCTTTTAGCAGCTAATCCGATAAGCCTTTAATAGCCGCTAAACCGCTAATAGCGCTAATCCGTTAAGACGCTAATAGGGTTGCTTCGCAAGACGAAAAAACCGCTAGACGAAGACTCTCGCGGAACGGATTAATTTCGTCTTGCGAGGCACCACTGTATATATTAAATCTGGTGGCAGCAGCAGTCACCAGCATTTCCCCCCCCCCCCCAATGCATTTGAAGCAGAGCAGCATAATCTAAGCAGTGAAAACCTGGAACCTCAGCCACAGTACCCTTTAAATGTAATCAACCATTCTTAAATTGTGGTGGTGCTAATGCTCCAGTGGCCAGGGAAAGAATAGAATCCTGCTAGGTATAGAATGAGGCTTATTGAAATACAATGCGTTGTTTTCAGTAGAGTTGTTCTCAATTCACACACCAGTGCTCCTCTGAAAAAGAGCTTTTATGTCTAGAGCAAAACTTTCAGATTAAATCTGTGTGTTGTCCATAGTCAGAAAAACAGCTACATGGTGCAACTGAATCGCAATCAAGACTTAAAATACAAATTGGAATAAGAGAAGTGCTTGAATTATTCAGGTCAAGCAGTTCAGTGAGCATTCCCTCAATGCTTCATATAGTCCATGTTTGTCACATGGTGCTAAAGTTACCTACATATTTCCAGTTCCCTTTGCAGTGTCTTGCTATGCTCATTTGCCTCAGAGAGCTCCTCACTTAATATCTTCTTGGCTGGAAAAAAACACACCCAGATATACACACTACAGAGGACTAAGAATAAGCACTAAAGAGTAAATAATGAATGGAGAACAACTAAAACCAGTGGGCTGGCTCCCACTAAGGAGTCCCATCGTTGAAAGGATTTACACTTGTACAAGAGAACACCCTCCTCTGCAACTAGACCTCAGATCCTCCCAATTGGCATCATCCTCTTTGACTCCTCAACATAATAGTCAATATAAACCGAAATAAGATAAAATTTACTATTATAATCCATTCATTATCACAATTCATTATTACAAAGTCTCCAAACCACACTAGCAACCACTCAAGCACACACCCCACCAATCGCTCACTCAAAAACTCCTTCCTTCACAAACACTTTTTCATCTCCAAAACTAGGGCCACCAGATGCAGAAGATGACAGGATTCCTGAACCTTTTGAGAGTTGAGTAGAAGAGGGAATTTAAACAGGTGTGGTTTGTCATGCAAGCACTGGTGTATGCTAGGGACAGAGGAGGGCAGGGTGGCTGGAGGCCTGTATTTAATGGAGCAGGGGGTCTTACTAGGCATCAAGGAAGGAGTTGGGGGTACTGTGGTGCTTGCAACCACCACCATAACAACCCCAGGAACAGGCCCAGAAAGGTGATGGGAGTCATGCATTCAGAAACAGTATTGAGAGGCAAAAACAGAGGCTTTCAGAAATACTTAAATACTGAAACTGCTTTTGTGCCACTTAGTGGACTCTTGCATTTTCATTTTCTCTTTGGGAGCCACACCTTAGAAAATCCTGCCTTTTCAAGTCAAAGGAGCCTGACTTGGCATCCTTTGCGCAAGGGTATACCTTGCTCTGCAAAAGATTCTGCATAACCATTGCTAACCTCTTCGCACTCTTCTTACCTTGCTGCAGTTTATTGATCCTTTTTACTAGCTCTTCAACTTTTGGCTCCAGAATTTCCACTACAAAAGGGAGAAGAAATCTTACCTTTAACCAGATTCTTAACTATGCTAATTACTAACAGAATAGTGATTACTTTAAAACATCCTAATTGTATGAATTCACTATAACTATTCACCTGTATATCATCGTATGATTATATTGAACAGCATGACATAGCTCACAAGCCTTGATGCTGTGTTTTATGTTTCCTCATGCAGCCTCTGTTAGGACAGTTTTCTTCCTTCCCCAAAATCCCCTCCTCACAAACATTTTTTCCTCAAATCTTCCACTTTTCCCTCCCCTTGCAGCTTCAGGTCAAGTCCATGCTGCCTCTAGGTGGTCATGTATCCTATCTACTAGGTATAGTCCTATTTGAAGGGCTCTCCAATCAAACTTCTAAAGAGAAAGAACTCAAAAAAGGGGGAGCAGGAGGGGTCTAGAAGTTGCCAGTCAAGAGTTGTCCCTCTAACCTGGGCAACAGACTGAGCCAGGACACAGCTCATGTGGTCAGTCTTCCCCACTATGTCAAGGTGTACCGTAATTCTATATAAAGCTTAGTAATTATTTAATAAATTGCCATTTATACATATACATTAGTGTATGAAATTAGTGTCCTCTTTTGCTCTTTTTTGGCCATGTGTAAGTGCCAACCCTATGTCTGTCTATCTCTCTCTCTCTCTCTCTATTTATGGCCTCCACACCACTCACCGTTTCTTTCTTTTTTTTAAATGATACTTATTAAGCATTTTAAAATTACAGAAAAAACAAAGAGACAAAGAAGGAAAAAAACAAGGGAAAAACAAACAGCAATCAAACAATACAAATCGATAAAAATCAAAATCAAAAAACAAAAACAAAACACATAACACATCAAAATCAAAAAACAAAAGTAAACCACAAAAATTTAAAAACAGATCCAATATTCCCAAATCCTTAACTGTCATTGCCTTATTTCATCGACCTCCTCACACCTCCCTTTTTTGTATTCTAGTTATTAATTATCACAGCAAATCCTTCCCATTTTTCATAATATTCTGTCATTAAATTACCTTAATCTATTTTAACCTTATCTTACTATAAAAAAACCCTAAAACTTAAAACTTAAATCTTATTTATACCAATTTCTCATAACCATAACATATTCTTGCATAGTTCTTTTTAACATTTCTGCTAAAGCCAAATAATTTCGTTCCAACATTTTTCTAATACTCATTAATTTTACAAAACAATCCTAAATAATTTTTTTAAAAAAACTTTCTTCCAATCTTCATCCAACGTCTCTTCCTCCTGGTCCCGGGTTTTGTCAATCCTTTCTATCCCATCCATCTAGTTCATTAACCTGGCAATCTTATGTCCGAGGCCCTTAAGTCTCTTCCATGTCCCTTCCGCAGATCTTCTTCATATTTATACCTGTACTTTACTTTGTCTCCTGGTCCTTTCACTCGTGGAAACTCCAACTTGACAGTATTTTTGTCCCTTCTCGACAGATCAGCCCCTTTTCCATAGTCCACACTGAACTCCATGTGGTATTTAAAAGCATGTTTCAAGGTCCCTCCAGAGTTGAGGACCCCCACAACCCCAAACTCCTCACGGCCCATTGCCAGACTTGAAAAGTCAAGACATCCCTGCATAGGGGTCTATCCAGCCCCCATCTCCAAGCCAAACAAAACTCTATCTCTCCAAATCTGGCTTTTTCCAAGTTCATTTGTCAGATCCAACAACTCATGTTCCTGCTGGGCCACAGCTCCCTCCATCTCTGCCACCCGAGGTCCAGCAACAACCTCCTCCCTCATCTGATCTGTCAGAGCACACTCCTGAGTTGATTCCTGGGTGGGTTCTATATAGATACCCACTACCTGTCCAAAATTTCTAATCGCAACAGTCATCAAGTCCGTCTTCTCATGTAACTGTTCCAATAAAGCACTTGTCTTGCAGAAAGCACGCACCAGAGCCTCTGAATACATTGTTATGCAAGGTCAGAAGTCTGTTCCCACGATCTTAATCTGTTTGCAGCTGCGAAGCTCCCCAGTTCAAATTTAATAACAGTTTCACAAGCTCTCTCTAGGGGAAGAACTTCTATTTGTATCAATCTCTTTTCTTTCTTTTTTTTTTAACAGCAGATCTAACAACAAAGTTTCCTTTTTCAGATATTTTGTCAATATTTGTTCCTTTAAAATGCGAAAGAGAACAATGGAATCACTATGTTTCTCTTCTTTTAACTGTCTGTCAAAAACATTTGTCTATAGTCAATGAATTTCCCAAAAACGTCTGTCCTGACACCCCGCTCCCAGGTTCAAGACGGTGGGAAATTACTTTTCTTTACACTCTCTTCTGCAGGTTTAAACAATCTGGAAAAAATCCCCCCTCTTCTCCTGCTTCCGAAGGGGGTTCAGTAGTTTTAGATGATGAAAGTTGATCCTTTACAAACGATTTTCTAAACTCTAGTTTGCCATGTCTTTGCTTTAATCTATCTACAAGAAACGGAAGGCTGACTTCCTGTTTAGACCTTCCTGCTTCAGTGCCAAATTAAGAGGAATTTCTTAATCCAATTTTCCGTTCTACTCACAGATCGTTGTTTAAAGTCCAATTGTCCAAATTTGATCTGCTCACGACTTCCGGGGTGGCACCATCGGTAATGGCGGACTCCCTCTGAACTGGAGGGACTAGCTCCACATGAAACGGGTCTTTTCCGCTACGGCGAAACGGGGACCCTTCTGGAAATCACAGGCGGATGAAGCCTGTGACCGTGGGACTCGGCGGGCACCCTTAGCGCCCCCTCCAACCCGCAAAGGAACCCACTAACGGGCTCCGGGCGAAGAGGGGAAGTGGCGCGGTGCTGTGAGTCAATTGCTTTTCTGCGGAGCGAAGCCGCATAGCCGTTGCCGGAGAGCGCTGCCTTTTTCCTGGGACAATTTGGCATCTAAAATAACCACCCGTGAGTACTGGAACATTGAACATTTGGACTTTAAATAAGAACTGGCGAAATAGAAAGGAATTTGGACTTAAAAATTTACCTTAATTTGGTACTGAAACGGTAAGGTCTAAACAGGAAGTCAGCCTTCCGTTTCCTTGTAGCCAGAATAAAGCAAAGACAACATAAACTAGAGCTTTAAAAATCACTTTCAAAGGATTGGTTTTCATCATTTAAAATCGCTGAACCCCCCTTCGGTAGCAGGAGAAGAAGAGGGATCTTTTTTGGGCTGTTTAAACCTGCAGAAGTGAGTTTAAAGCAAAGTAATTTTCCACCGTCCTGATCCTGGAGCGGGGTGTCAGAATTGACGTTTGAAGCTCATTGACCAGAAACAAATGTCTTTGACAGATAGTTAAAAGAAGAGAAACATAGTGATTCCATTGTTTCCTTTCGCATTTTAAAAAGAACAAATATGGACAAAATACCTTTAAAAAGAAACTTTGTTGCTATTGTTTTTAAAAGAAAGAACGATCAGAAGATTTCCCCCTAGAGGGGGACTGTGAAATTGTAACTAATCCCTGGGAGCTTGCAGCTGCCACAGATTACAACCGTGGGAAAGGATTTGTGACCTTGCAGGACAATGTCTTCAGAAGCACTGTTGGGTGCTCTCTGCAAAATAAATGCCCTATTGGATCAGTTAAGCCAGAAGAAGGATTTGATGACTAATGCGGCCAGAACCTTTGAACAGGTAGTGGGAAATTATATGGAGCCCACCCAGGAGCTAAAACAGGAGCGTGCCATGACAGAACAGCTGAGAGAAGAGGATGCTGCTGAATCTTGGGCGCCAGAGACAGAGGGAGCTGCGGCCCAGCAGGAACATAAATTTTTGGATTTGACAAATGAACTTGGAAAAAACCAGACTTGGAAAGATAAAGTTTGGTTTGGTTTGGAAATGGGGGGTTGGACAGACCCCCCTATACAGGGAGATTTGGACTTTTCGAGTCTGGCAATGGGCTGTCAGATGTTTGGAGCTGTGGGGGCTCTCAATTTTGGAGGGAATCTGAAACATGTTTTTAAATACCACATGGAGTCTAGTCTGGACTATGGAAAAGGGGCTGATTTGTTGAAAAGGGTCAAAAACATTACCAAGCTGGAGTTCCCACGAATGAAAGGAAAATATGAAGAAGAGCTGCGGAAGGGACATGGAAGAGACTTGAGGGCTTTGGATATAAGATTACCAGGTTAATGTGCTAGACTAATAAGATAAAAAGGACTGACAAAACCCGGGACCAGGAGGAAGGGACGCTGGACGAAGATTGGATTGTTTATTTCTTTTTTTTTATCATTAGGATTGTTCTATAAAATTGATGAATGCTAGAAAAATGTTGAAATGAAATTACTTGGCTCTTGTAAAAATGTCTAAAGAATTTGGTAAGAATGTTATGGCTAGGAGAAGTTGGTAAAAATAAGATTTAAGTTTTAAACTTTAAGGTTTTTTTTTATAAGATGAAAATAGATTAAGGTAATGTAATGACAGAATACTATGAATTATGGAAAGGATTTGCTTTGATTATTATTAATCAGGATGCAAGAAAAGGGAGGAGGAGGAGGTCAAAGAAAGAAGGTATTGAAAGTGGAGAATTTGAGAATGATGGTTTTATTTTTTAGTTTTATTTTTCTGTCTTGTCTTTTTTTGTGTGTAATTTAAAAAAAAATTTTTTTTTCAATAAATATTCAAATTTGATCTGCTCACGGGTAGTTGTTTTTGTAGCCAAATTGTCCCAGGAAAAAGGTAGCGCTCTCCGGCAACGGCTGTGCGGCTTCGCTCCATGGAAGAAGCAGTTGACTCTCAGCACCGCGCCACTAGCCCCTCTTCGCTCCGGAGCCCGTAATTGGGTTCCTTTACGAATTGGGGGGGGCGCGAAAGGTGCCCGCCGAGTCCCATGGTCACAGGCTTCATCTGCCTGTGATTTTTTAAAGGGTCCCCGCTTCGCCGTAGCAGAACAGACCCATTTTCCGTGGAGCCAGTCCCTCCGGATCAGAGGGAATCCGCCATTACCGATGGCGCCAACCCGGAAGTACCGTAATTCTATATAAAGCTTAGTAATTATTTAATAAATTGCCATTTATACATATACATTAGTGTATGAAATTAGTGTCCTCTTTTGCTCTTTTTTGGCCATGTGTAAGTGCCAACCCTATGTCTGTGTATCTGTCTGTCTCTCTCTCTCTCTCTCTCTCTCTCTCTCTCTCTCTATTTATGGCCTCCACACCACTCACCGTTTTTTTAATGGATTCCCCAGGTTTGTCCACCCCAACTTCTACAGAGTAATGAAGTCACTATGTACCGTATATATATTAACCAAATATTTTTTATGCCCCACCAAGAAGCACAGAAGAAATGATGCAATGTGTATTTCATCTCCTGGAGGGCATGGAAACATCTGGAGGGCATGGAAACATACTACTGTATACCAGGGGTCGGCAACCTGCAGCCCATGGACCACAAGCGGCCCACAGGTCGTTTAAACAGCCCCTGAGCTCCCCCTGAACGGAGCTGCCCGCTCAGCGAGTCCCCCGCACACTGCACTACACCAGTGCAGCGTGGAGACTCGCTTCCACAGTGCCGGAAATCGCATCTGTACAGACGCAGACGCCGGAAATCGCATCTGCACAGATGTGATCCAGCCCACAGAGCAATCTCGGCAGGAGTGAACCGCCCCAGGCAAGGTAAACCTTGCCGACTCCTGGTACAGGCAACCCTGGCAACTGTAGCTTGTTGTGGGTGCTGGGAATTGTAGCTCTAGCAAGGGGGAAACAACAGTTCCCAGGAAAGCCATGCCTGTTAAAGAGGTATAAAAGTGCTTTAAATGTATGGTCTGGACATGACTAGATCAACAAATTACAACAAATGTAAATATCAATTACTACAAAGAAAAGTCAGAAATCCATCCCTTTAAAGGTGTTTCCCAGCTTTTCTGGTACTAAGAGCAGATAAAATTAACTGTTCCAGTTCCCAGCAACCCTTTATACACTTTGCTGTTATCATCTGCATGCCCCGTTCTCTACTTGGATGCTTAGTTCCTGGTTATTTCCTTCTAACCATTTGGTGTATAGATTCAAAATACCATTCTGCATTTGTTTCACAAGTGACAGAATCTCTTCCATTTTCGTTGCAAAGTCCCAGGGATCTGGAGAGAGAACAAAAGCAAACACAGAATTGTCTAGATGTTGCCATAACTCAGCATCCACCACATAAGGTCAGTCACAAAAGAAGATGTTAAGTTAGCCATGTGAAAACCCAGGGGCCACTGAGGCCTTCTGCAGCTTCCTTTGTAAATGTAAAGGGACCCCTGACAGTTAAGTCCAGTCTTGAACGACGTTCATCTCGCTTTACTAGCCGAGGGAGCCGGTGTTTGTCTGCAGACAGTTTTTCTGGGTCATGTGGCCAGCATGACTAAGCCACTTCTGGCAAACCAGAGCAGCGCACAGAAATGCCATTTACCTTCCCGCCGGAGGGGTACCTATTTATCTACTTGCACTTGACGTGCTTTTGAACTGCTAAGTAGGCAGGAGCTGGGACCGAACAACGGGAGCTCACCCTGTCGCGGGGATTCAAACTGCTGACCTTCCGATCGGCAAGCCCTAGGCTCTGTGGTTTAGACCACATCACCACCCACATCCCTTTAGCTTGCTTTTTATGGAACAGTTATTCTCTCATCCTCAATTCTACATTTGAAAAGGGAACAGCAGTGATCTTTTTTCACATGGTTATTAAGAGGAAAACAAGACTATACAACATTTTGCACATGGAAAGGGTGATAGAAATTCTAATAACAAGTTTTCAAATTTACTAGAATGCCAAGATTCTCAGCAACTGAGCTCTTCAGACAGGCTTTCTTTCATAGCTAGATAAATGAATAATTACTGCAGATATCCACTTGTTAGGGTTTTAGTCTTGGTTTTAAAATATTTGGTTTTGTGTTTTTAAATGTTTTTAATTATTTTATGTGCAAATCACCTTGAGACAGTAGTTTAGAAGGCAATTAATAAATCAATTGTAACAACAACAACAAATGTAGATGTGAAACACCTGCCAATGTTAGACAGGTGGGATACGAGAGAACTGCCCAAACGGTGGAACTCCCTCCTGAGATTTGTTCACCTGTCATGGTTATCTTCCAGATGTTAAGTGAAGTATATCCTTCTCACTTGGGCTTTTAAATATATTTAGGATTCCGCCAATCTTAACAGATTTTTTGATGGCTAATCTTTTGTTTTTCTGCTTTTATTATGTTGCTTATTTAATAAATAAATAATTTTGTTTTAAAAGGAGTATACATTATGGGTTAGGCAGCAATCCTGTACTCCCTCACTGAAAAGTAAGCCTCCCTAATTCAAAGAAAGCTACTTCTGCATCCATTGCACCATTAGAAGACAGAATGTATATTCCTTGGTAAGATATATATTCATAAGAGCTGGATTATCAACTCCATATCCTTCCAAGACGGTTTAGCTGCTATCTGTACAGATCTAGCTGCTGTGTCCTGCAGGTGGGAACATAGCTGACAAGTTTATGTTTAGCTTGCAGGTTACAGTGGGTGGTATTCAACAAAGGCTTACTCTGAGTAGACTCACTGAAATTAATAATCATTACTTGATTAGGTCAATTAATTTCAATGAGTCTACTCAGAGTCAGCCTTTGCTGAAAACCACTCAGTCTATTTTCCTTGGAAACTGGCAAGGAAAGGTTGAACACTGCGCTGCTTCTCCCTTCAAAAAGCATCCCTAGCCAAAGCTGTTTTTTCTTCACAAAAAATATGCTATTCATAGTTGAAGAGATACTTTTCCTTGGGCTGTGTAAAGATAATGAGAAAATATGTTGCTGGTCTGTATTCCAACCTGTTTTGTTCTTATTCTTCTGTATTTTTTGTTATGCTTTCTTTCTTTTTTAAGTGTGCTGTTTGTTCTCCACATTTGAGGGGAACCTACCCTTTATCCCTTAGCTGATGGCCTTTCTGGCCATGTTTTGCACCCATTTTTCTTGCTTTTAATACATAAAACATGTTTGGAAGACTCCACATAAAGTTTTATGGATGCAGAGCAAAATCTTAAGGATTCAGAGGGCAGTTTCCCAGAGCTCAGGAGGGAAATGATGGTTGTTTATTTCCATGTGTTAACCAGCTTCTCATTGCCCAACACTAAGCCTAAGCTTTTCCTTTCCCCCTTTTTCTTATTTAAGGAAAACTCACTGTGCAGAGAAAAATATGAAGGTTTGATAGAGCTGCTGAGCTTTGTAAGGGAAATGTGACCATTTAGCTCTGGCATACCCAACATGGTTTTCAGCGCCTGCTAAAATCAATCCTGTTTCGACAGGCCTGCGTGGATACTTAGAAAGCTGAGGTAATTTTAAACTGCTTTCGTATTTCAACTCTTGTATGTTTTAAAGTAGGGTTGTAAATTTATTCTGATTATATTGGCTTATCTTTTTGTAAACCGTTTTGAGGGTTTGTTTCTTTTTTTAAAATCAAGTGGTAAACAAACAAAGCGTCCCTGTGATCCTGGCAGCCTCCTCCGTCCCTCAGCCGGCTTGGTACCTGTCAAGGCCCTCTCCCCATTTTAATGTTTTTCAGTGGAGGGACTTTTGGGGTGGGGGCTGTTTTATGGAAGGGGTGGCCAGGCCAGTTATTCTTGAGCGCATTTTGGTCTTGCTGCCCATCCTTCCCTCCCTCCTGTTTCTTCTCACAGGTGACTGTGAGATCTCCTTGCCTTCCCTCTCCCCTCCATGTTCAAGCTAGCAAAGTATTTGGGAGTGCTGGGTTCTCCTTCACAGCTGCCTCTCTCACCTGGATCGTTTCCCTCCATCGCGGTTCCCTCGTTCCTCTTGCAGCAGCCGCTGCTTCCAGCCTGGTCTGGCGCTCTAGAACCTTGGACTTGGCCCGCCCTTTCTCAACTGCCCCTTTTGCTTCTCCCTGTTCTTCAGAAACAGCCAGCCTCAGGGTCCCACCCCAAAGGAAAGCAAACTTTTGGGTTCACAGCAACCATGACTCTGCAACCCCAGCAAGAACCAGGCCCAAATATACACTTCTCAAGAAAAGGGCTTCAAACATGTGCATGACAAGGAGAGGAGGAAGTGTGACTCTGGTCCCAGGTCTCCAGGGGTCTATTAGGCTCCTTCAATGACACCTTCCCACACAGCCCGGCTATTCTCAACCGCTCAGCTCATTCCTCAGGGGTATGAGAGCCCGCCAATGTGAAATACCGTGATCTGGCTGGCAGGATTTGAACAGGCCACCCTCCCATCCACCAGCCTTTCTAAAGTGTACAGAATCAATGAACAGGTGGCAAAAGGAAGGAGTTGGCCACCTGCAATAGTGCTAAAGACATTGTTGCCTCATTACACAGCTGAAGAAACCACCGTGAAACAGAGATCTGAGCAGGTCAGAGTCAACTATGTAAATGGTTGTTTATTTCTGGATCTTTCCTAATAGGTTTTATTGGATTTGCTGGTTTTGTAACTGGATTTGTAATGGCTTTTAGTCAAACACAATAAATGATTCATTGAAAAAGAACTATGGAACCAACCCTAACCCCTCTTACTAGGTGGAACCCCTGTTGAGTTCAGTCGGACTTGCTTCTGAAGAAACATAGCTGAAATTGTGCTGTAAGTTATTCTAGTTTACCTCTCTATCCCTACTCAAAGCCAGTTTGAATTTTAAAATGTATTGCACTGCTTCCAGAAGACACAGATGTCCAGACTTTAACAGGCCTCTAGGCAGACAGAGCTCTACATCTGAAGGGCAGCCACCAAAAAAACCCCCTCATTGTGCCCAGACCTGATTTGGAGCACAGGTGATGTATCTGAACTCAAAGGGGAATGCTTCTTAAAGGCCACGGTGGAGCATTAGGCTGAAGATATGGCACAAACTGTTTATTATTATTTATGCCATTGTGGATAGCCACTGGCTCCTTGAACTGAGCTTGCCAAATAACAAGCTGACGGAGCAGACACTGGATCCCTAACAGCAGCCTCTTTCCCATTTTAGAATAATAATAACAATTATAATTTATTATTTATACCCTGCCCATCTGGCTGGGTTTTCCCAACCACTCTGGGCTGCTCCCAACAGAATATTGAAAACACGATAAAACATCAAACATTAAAAACTTCCCTAAACAGGGCTGCCTTCAGATGTCTTCTAAAAGTTATTTCCTTGACATCTGATGGGAGAGCATTCCACAGGGTGGGCGCCACCACCGAGGAGGCCCTCTACCTGGTTCCTTGTAGCTTCACTTCTCGCAGTGAGGGAACCATCAGAAGGCCCTCAGAGATGGACCTCAAAGTCCAGGGTGGATGAGGGGAGTGGAGACGCTCTTTTGGGTATAATAATAGTAGTAGTAGTAGTAATAATAATGATAATAATAATAATAATAATAATAATAATAATATTTTTTAATTTATACACCACCCTCCCCAGCCAAGACAAACAAGCAATAATAAAAACAAGTTGAATGAATACAACTTAAAAACAAGATTAAAATACAACATTAAAATATTGAAACATAAAAATATTAAAATGTAGCCTCATCACAGGAGGAGAAAGGGAAAAGAAAAAAGAAAGAGGGGGAGGGAATCAAATTGGCTCCAAGCCAAAGGCCAGGCAGAACCACTCTGTCTTACAGGCCCTGCAGAAAGAGATCAGATCCTGCAGGGCCCTGGTCTCATGAGGCAGAGCGTTCCACCAGGCTGGAGCCAGAGTTGAAAAGGCCCTGGCTCTGGTTGAAGCTAATCTAACTTCCTTAGGGCCTGGGACCACTAGGGTGTTGTTATTTATGGACCTTGAGGCTCTCTGTGGGGCATACCGGGAGAGGCGGTCCCGTAGGTACGAGGGTCCTAGGCCGTGAAGGGCTTGAAAGGTCAAAAGCAGCACCTTAAATCTGACCCTGTACTCCACCGGGAGCCAGTGCAGCTGGAAAAGCACTGGGTGAATATGCTCCCATGGCAGAGACCCCGTGAGGAGCCTCGCTGCAGCATTCTGGGCCAAACTTATTCAGGGACATCCCTATTGAGGCCATGCTTTCCATGAAGTCCTGAGCGGTTCCTTGTAAGGTTGTGTTGGCATGCATGTTAAAATCCCCTAGGACAACCAAACTAGGTGTCTCCAGGAGAACATCCACCACGACCAAAAGCAGCTCAGGCAGGGTGCAGCGGGGAGGTCGGTACACCAAAAGGAATCCTGTACTGCCCCTATTGCCCAACTTCCAGAACATGCACTCAGAGAACTGGGTCTTCCCATTAGGACGCCTGGTGCAAACTAATGACTGCATCCCCCCCTCCCCCCTGCATCCCCCCTCACCACCCACATGACCTGGGTTGCTGTGCATAGGAGAAACCTGGTGGACAAGCAGTAGCAAGAACAGGACCATGCACCTCGTCCAACCAAGTCTCTGTTATACATGCCAGGTCAAGTCCTCCATCCACGATCATGGATGGCAGTGGTCTTATGAATCATTGACCTAGTATTGCACAGCAGCACCTTACGGTTATGTGGGTCTCCCTTGTTGATTCCAGTATCCTTCCAGTCAAGACCAGAAACCAAGGCAGGGATAGTCTTCAAACAATGACTAAACCTGCCCAACTTTCAGAACATGCACTCAGAAAACTGGGTCTTCCCATTAGGACACCTGGCGCAAGCTAATGTCTTCCTAAAAATCACTGCATTCCCCCACCTCCTCACCCACCTGACCTGGGTTGCTGTGCATAAGAAAAACCTGGTGGACAAGCAGCGACAAGAAGCAGCCCATCTGCCTGTTCCAACCAAGTCTCTATTACACATGCCAGGTCAAGTCCTCCATCCACGATCAAGTAGTGGATGACAGCCTTCTTGTGAATCATTGACCTGGCATTGCACAAGAGCACCTTACGGTCATGTGGGTCTCCCTTGTTGATTCCAGTATCCTTCCGGTCAAGACCAGAAACCGAGGCAGGGATAGTCTTCAAACAATGACTAAACCTGCCTCCATGGAAATGACATGGTCTGGTCTTAGCGTAACTCCTCCGCCTACCCGTGATCACTGAGATGGGATGTCCCCTGTGGAAACTGCCCAAGCCATTCTGTTGGCTGGGGCCCACTCCCAAGCAGCCCTGACCCTCTCCCCTTCAGAACAAAATACAAACTATACAATAAACCAGTAAGACCAGGGGTCAGCAACCCCATGGCTCACAAACAGCCCATAGGGGTTGTTTAACTGGACCACGAGCCGCCTGCTTGGCGAGTCCCATGCACTGCGCTAAACCAGTGAGGTGAGGGGACTCAATTCTGCAGCACCGGAAATCATGTCTGCGTAGACAAAGATGTTGGAAATTGCATGCGCGCGATCCGGCCCATGGAGGGATCTCTGCTGGAGTGAACCAGCCCAGGTGAGGTAAACCTTGCCGACCCGAGTAAGACAGTAGAAACTAATTTTTAAAAAAACCATTTATACTAAAATAAACTAATCCCCAGCCCCAACTAAACGTTTATCCCATCCCCAACAGAGTAAAAAAGCAACAACAACAAAACATTTAAAATGCCACAGATTAAAAACTATTTTAAAAGATTTTAAAGCATTTTTGACATTTGCCCCAACCGGAGTTTGTTCCAGTGAGTCTGGACTCACAGCAGGGCAATGTCCCTCCGTCCTCCCAGGAGTCTCTTATGTTGTGCAGGGTGAGTCTGGTCCCTGTCCCGTAGGCCAGGTGGAAAGGGCCTTGCAGGGAACAGGTCTTCCTTCCAACATTCATGGCAGCAGCGGTGTCCCAGTGGGCTGAAGCTCCGAAGTCTCCACACGGTCAGGAAAGGCAACACTACGTATAGCACATTTTTAGTTAGGCTAGCCTTGAAGCTCTGAAGTCATGAATGACATTCAGTAGATCTGCACTTGTCAGACCAAGTCACAGCTTCTTCAGCAAGAGGGCCTGGTGGAAAGCACCACCACAGATACCTGGATATTCCAGTGATGGATCCATGATCACTCCGGGACAAAGAGTCTAAGAGACTAAAATGGGCCATATTCTATCAGAATTGGAGGTCAGGGCCCTTTCAAGTCACAACGCCTGCCAATATAATTACTTTAGTCTTGTCTGGATTTAGTTATGATTGGCCTGTCTTTCTCTAATCCCCAAAATAAAGTTAGGTAAGTTACAAGGTAGTACAGTACTCCTTTTGTGAAGACCAAGACACAATCGGATTCTTTTCAGGATTATCCTGTTGAACCTCTGTGGAACAGGCTCTGTGACAAAGGAAAATGAGTACTAAGGACACTTCTATTACCTTTGTATTGTACATATTGAGGGAGAGAATCCTTTTTTTTTAAAAATGTACAACCCTAGTTTGATTCAGCCATTTGAATTTTATATTCAAGGCAAATCAAGGATGCAAGCTTCTTAAAGCAGACACCAAGGTGTATTAAGAGAATTTCTAAGAGCAGGAGCATCTCCACACTGCAGGAAGTCAGCCATGCAGACAGAGATTACACAGTGGTTTGACTGCATGGACCGCCATAAACTGAAGTGCATCACACATCTGAGCTACCAAGATTAGAACTGCAGCCAACAATGTAAGGCTGTTGTCCCTCAAAATATTTTAGAAGAGCTACAGTCCACACAGCTCTCTGCACATAGGCCAGAACATTCGGCCCTCCAAATGTTGCTGAACTACAATTCCCAGCAGCCCTAGTAAGCATGGCCAATGGCCAGGGAAGATGGGAGTTGTAGTACAGCAACATCTGGAGGGCCAAAGGTTCCCCACACATTGCATAGGTCTACTGATATGGCCAACGGGGCATCTGAAAGTTTCTCAGACAATCTGAAGAAATGGGAGCAAGAAACTGAATTGCTCTTATCCAACGAAGCCATATAGATGTGTTACATGGAATACAAACTTTTTTTACTAAGTCTGCTGTCTGTCTGTGCTGTCAATACTGAGCCATAGCCATCTCATAGGTTTCTTAGGTTTTTCTTGGGAGAAGAGCCATAGCTCCATTTCTAGGTTTGTGAAAAACACATGTTGGGGATCTACACTGCAGCTCAAGCTTGCCCAGTGCAGATTCACATGCTGGTAATGGTTTTATACCTGATCATCCATACAAAATTACTGCAACGTTGTAAGTGAACTGAATGTTTGCATAGCAATCAGAAATCCCATGCAAAAAATACCATCCCTTGTTAGCTGTGATCTTCTCATTGACAATTTTTAAATAGAAATATAGACTCCTGAAATAATAGCGATGTAAAAGCTAATAAAATTAAAATCTCATAGAGAAGTGCCTATTATAACTCTATACACAACCAACTTAAACACAATCATATTTTTGTGCTTGGCAGAATAGACAAAGGCAGATGCAGGAAAATCATAGTACATCAAGGAAAACCAGCTGAATGAACATGTGGCAGCTACATCTATGCTTTCAATGCTGAATTCTAACACTTTTTGTGATTTTCTTGTAAGTTTTTCACCTCACTTCAAAGCAATGCCAGTTGAAGTAAGCAAATATAATGTTTAGAGTTGCACCCACACAATTTCTCAAAAATTCTTTTGATAACAGGTGCTCCAAGTCAGCTGCAGTTCAGTACTAACCTGAGATAAACTCAGCATGGACAAGACTTGTAAACACTCCCTCACTTGATTGCCTGTGGCATCCAAGGATCTCTGCCAGGTGACCAGGCAGGAAAACTCTAGAAAAGCTGGTTCTTTTAGGCAACAAATCACTGAGTTATGTGCAGACAGGCAAACTAGTAGAACAAAAAAAATGTTGCAACCCTTTTGGGACTTGCTTGAAGGGTTCCAATGAAGGCAATTAGTTCTGATTATGCATTGAAAAACACTTTGCATAGCTTAAACAGATTATCCTAACTAAGTAGGCCAGCAGATTTTTTTTAAACCCCTTTTTAGTAAAAGCGCTTTTGCAAACTGCAGATACAGGGTTCTCCTCTGTGTGAGAGAAGGAAAACAGTACTTCTAAGTTTATGCCTAGTGAGACACGTGTCTTTACAGAACTACTAGCTTCCTCAGATGCCAACTTATGCAGATTTAAATCAATGAATTAATTACAACAGCCCTGCTATTTGCAAGGCTGATGCAGAGAATCCCTGGAAACCAAAGAGTGCAATTGATCCTGACCAGCTAAAACAGAAGATATTTTGCTAAACATGGTGGCAGATGGAGAAAGAAACAGATATGCCGAGATGGCGTTGATTTTAAAATGACTTGTGTTTGTTTTTAATAAGATGCTTCCAGTTCTCGGTACAACAGTTCAGTCAGAAATATAAACCCTCATTGTCATTAAGCCACATTATGCATGGGATCACTGCTGTTCTTTTACCAGGGCAAGAAAACATGCTAGTCAAAAGCAAGCTGAGCAAGAAGCATAGCATGCACCAGGAGGAATCCAATCGCAACAGATACACCCTGCAAAATAGCATAGTTTCTCCAGTCACTGCAGTATTGGCGATGAGGGTAGAATCCAGTTCAGTGCTCAGCCTACATCAAAACTGGTCACAATCAGTACACTTAACAAAAGCATCCCAGGTTAAATTAAGACTTACTACTCCCCACCACAACATGAGAAATAACAGGGTGCCAAGATGGCCCACTGGAGAACAGATGCTCCCTCATATTCCCCTTTGGACAAAAATAATACTTTTTTTTAAGCAATCAGGAAGGACCAGGAAACAGAACAGACCCACTGGAGAAGTAGCAAATTCATACAGGGCATGTATTTGCACAGCAGAACAGCACCTGCTCAGGAAGGGCAAAGATGCAACTGTTAATTGCAAGAAAATGAAATGTTCAGTGTCTCCTTCTGAGAAGAGGAGTTGTCGCAACTGGTGGTACATCCAGACAAAATCTGGGAGTTGACAAGGATGTAAAAATAGCTATTTGTCAGTATCAAGCCTCAGGAGGCTGTTTAGACAGGTCCAATTGTTCTTTCCTATTGCCTTTTTTTAAAAAAAAGAACACAGAAACAGATTTATTGGGGGAAGGGCTGGTGTTATCCCTGCACAAAAAGAGTAGTAGAACTCTTATAGGAGCAGCGTGTTATTCAGCTAAAAACAAAGATTCTCCATCTCTGAACTTTCGCCAGCTCCTGTTTCAATCTAAGATGGAGTTTAATTTTTTAAAAGAAGACGGGGCAAAGGCGGGGGGGGGGGAGAGAATTATGGACAGTGAGACAATTTTTCAAAGCCATTTAGGTTCCAACATAATACATTAAAAAGAATGTCAATAATCCGTCATAATTACGCAGTACAAACTGAGTCATCATATAGACATCAATTAACGTACCAGGACTGTAAAATACCCTTCAACATAACTTTATTCTTTAGTGTCAGGCCAAAGGGCTGACTGAAGCTGCTTCCCTAATTCATTAGGCAATTATAGCCCAAAGAACAAGGATGACATTAGTCTAATAAAATATTTCAATTGTCCCAGGATAGAAGAATCTTTGGAACTGTTCCTCTTCACTTGCAGTCTCTCAAATCGGCATAAGCCTGATTCAAGTCAGCTACCTCTGCAGGAAGCATTCATCTCTCTAGGTTACGTGTTGTCTGAAAGTAATAGGCTCTTTATAAACCTCTAGCACCGACTAGATTAGATCCTGGACAGCTATTCTCAAAAGATAGCAACTATGGACAATCAAGTAGGTTATTGAAGGGCAAGTATTTTCAGAGATTACCAAGACCCAAATTTGTTGCAAATTTGAACCTACTCTTAGAGAAACAGAGCAAGCCAGACTCCCTACCTCCTGACTTTTGTCCAAAAGCATGGAAGTGGCCATCATGCCCTCTTAGGAGGAAAAGAAACAATGTGATAAGGAATGCAATCCCATCCCCACCCCCAGTGATAATATCCATGGTGTGAGCACCTACCTGCTGGACTCCAGAATAGGCAGAAACTATATTTAAGCAGGATCAATATATGAAATCCCCCATATTCCAATTATATGCCACTTTCCCAGAATACAAGAGCCACATTTCCTTAGTAATCTCCAGTCTACCAGACAGTCTGTGTCCGGGCTCAATCCCTTTCTGCAGGCATGGTGCCAAAGATCACAAGTAATATAAAACTTTTAAAAAGCAGGCTAAAACTTTATGAATGAATCACCAAAGGGACAGCTTAGCCTGAAAATTGCAATGTTTTTCATACCCACACAGACCCTGATCACCTTGTGAAGAACAAAACCACCCAGAGAAGTTCCTTGTCTGTAAGGAGGTGCACACAGGGTACAGTTCAGTATTAAAGACCTAGGCTTTAGAGACCTCCAAAGAAGCCATTCTCAGCACCATCAGTCCGGGACCCCTTGCTTCCTTTACTAGGATTGGGTGTGGTGGAATATTTGGGTGGGTAACGAATGAAGAGCCGGTCTTCTTCCTTCTTTATCCAGCGCAGCAGCTTAGTCAGGACATTGATGGCACCAGCTTTGGTCACCAAAGGACTGAAGCAGGTATACAGTTCAAACTTACTTGTGACCTAGAGAAGAGAGGATGGGAGAAAAAAACATTCAGCCCCATTCAGTAATGAGGCTGGGACCTCTCTGCAGGTGACCATTAGACAACAGATACAGCCAACAGATACAGCCAAGCTGTAGAATGGCTGGGAAACCAAAGCCTGCAGCTTTGTGCAAGAGAGGAACTTACTATTCTGTAGCAGCGCCTTATAGGTAGCAAGTTCCCTAAACTACCAGATTTCACCAACCTTTGAGAACCTATAAAAGTTCCCAGCCACCTCACTCAAGAGCTGGACTCTTAATCCACTGAAGAGCAGAAAGCATGTCTGTGATCCTTAAAACTTTGTGATGTTTGGTGCCGTCTCCAACACAGATTATCAACAGCTCAAAAAGCCAGCCAGTCACAAGTTTTCTGTGACTCACCTAAGCTGTTTACCCCAGCTACTCTAATTTATAGGACACTGATAAGAAAAAGCAAACTATTTGTGAGTACCTAAGGTAGGGGTAAGGAATCTCTGCCTTCCCATCATTCCTGATCATTGACCATGAGGGGTGTCAGGAGTTGAGTCCAACAATATCTGGGGGGCATCAGGAAGAAAGGATTAAAATAAGGGTTTCTTTAAATCCATGAGGGGTTGGATTTACAGGGGTGAATCAATGGTGAAGAGAAATGCTGAGCACTCCTTTCCTCCCTCCCTCCTGCCTGCCAAGTGTTGACATGAGGAAAGCATGGACTTGGGAGTCCTGTATTATCCTCATAACGGGTAGCTGCGCTCTTAGCTAGCGATCACAAAGTCTCTTAGTTGAAGAAGCAGCCGCAGTGTCATTCCTCACCCAAGCCAAGAGGGTTTCCTTTTCAGCTACATGGTAGATGAGACGCAGAGGGCGTGAGGTACTGTGGATACGACTGTGAAGGTAGTGATAGAGGTCAAAGAGTCGGTGCCGTTCATTCTCACTGCAGTAAGGCCCCTCCAGTTCTGGGCTGTAATTGGTTAAAAAAAACATATCAGGAAATCAAAGAACTTTGAGTCCCTCTATACCACTCTTCACTATGGGTCAGGCTACTGAACTCAGGCGTAGTGAAGAATGGGAGGGATCTGTTCACCTCAACCACTGAGCAAGTTCTTCAGAGATGGGAAAGGACAAAAATATAATCCCAGAAAAAGCCTCTAAGAAATGTCTGACAATCAGAAAACGTTTAGGCTCCAATATGTTTTCCAGGCTCCAGGCAAGTGGAAGCTATAGGAAAAGTGTCAGAACACCAGCATGTTTTCAGCTTCCAACGTATGGCTGCTCAGTCATTGTGTTGTCTGCACCTGATGCCATACACAGGAGTTAACTTTAGGCACTGCACAGCAAGATGTCACTTTTTAATCAATTCCATGTCTTTCTGAATTGGATCCTGTGCATAGCAGCACCCGAGATACGCATATGGACAAGCATACACCCTAGCCATCTGTCAGCCTACAATGTACTAAAGTGGTCAGTGGAATACGCCCCTCATATCCTAGCACGTCTTTAGGGGAAGGAAGCTGCAAAATGGGCACATGTCAAAACAAGTTACAGTGGTACCTCGGGCTATGAACTTAATTCGTTCTGAAGGTCCGTTCTTAACCCAAAACCATTCTTAATCTGAGGCGCACTTTTGCTAATGGGGCCTCCTGCTGCTGCCGCATGATTTCCGTTCTCATCCTGGGGCAAAGTTCTCAACCCAAGGTACTACTTCCAGGTTAGCGGAGTTTGTAACCCAAAGTGTTTGTAACCATAGGTACCACTGTACATGTAAAACCCTTTCAGATGCCAATGGGGCTGTTTCTAGTTGCTTTTCCCCAAGGAAATGTGGGTGCTTCTGACCAATCAAGTATTCCTTTGGCACTCCAGATGCATTAGCACTGAATCAGTAGCACCTCCTGTCAAAATGGCTTCCAGATTTCTGTGTACCACTTACAAGACTTTGCCAGCTAGCAAGAATCTCCTGATGCCCACCCTCAGGTTCTCCCTTGCGGCCCAGTAGTTTCTACACAAGGATTCTTTTTGATGCGGGGGATAAACTTCATGACTTGCTCTATTTAAAGCTGTAATTCAATAAGGCCATCTTAGCCCTTCCCACAACCTCTGGCTGGGAGTCGGGGGGGGGGGGGGAGGAAGTCGAGGCAGGAGCTGTACCATCTCTCTAGGTTTGCCTGCCCCCAAAGCTAAGTCTAGATGCATCAACATATCAAATTTAACACACACACAAATCAGTTCTGGGATGGAGCTTCTTCTGGGAATAGGATTGTGCAGCAAGTTAACACTTGCCAGAAAAAGAGAGAGAGAGAGAGAGAGAGAGAGAGAGAGAGAGAGAGAGAGAGAGAGAAACTGCACTCTTCTGCTTTATCACCCAAGTATTGTTGCATTACAGCAGGCTTCCTCAAACTTGACCCTCCAGCTGTTTTTGGCCTACCATGATCCCTAGCTAGCAGGAACAGTGGTCAGGGATGATGGGAAATGTAGTCCCAAAAACATCTGGAGGGCTGAGTTTGAGGAAGCCTGCAGTACAGGATCATACTACCCATTATACAACAGCAAATCCACCACAAAAGCTCACTCAAAACATTAAGTGTTTACAAACACATTTGTATTCAGATTTATGAATGTCTGAATGAGACATTAAGGGGCACACCTAAAACCATTACATGTGTGAAGTCACACAGACACCAGGTGGGATTTTTTTTGTGAGCGGAAGAAGAGATGGCTGGGAGATCACCTGCTCTTGATGGGGTTACACTTCCTCTGAAGGAGCAGGTATGTAGCTTGGGGTACTCCTGGATCCTCTGCTGTCACTTGAGGCTCAGGTGGCCTCGGTGGCCCAGAGTGCCTTCAGCTCATGGCCCAGCTCTGGACAGGGATAGCCTAACTTCTATTGTCTATGCTCTGGTAACCTCTAGGTTGGATTACTGCAATGTATTTGACATAGGGCTGCCTCTGAAGACAGTTAAGAAGCTTCTGCTGGTGCAGAATTTAGCGGCCAGGTTGCTCACTAGGACAAGATGGTTTGAGAGTATTACACCGATCCTGGTCTGACTGCACTGGCTGCCAATTAGTTTCCAGGCCCAATTCGAAGTTCTGGTTTTGACCTATAAAGCCTTAAGTGGCTCAGGACCGCAATACCTCAAGGATCACCTCTTCCCATATAAAACATCCCTGACTCTGCAATCATCATCTAAGGCCTTTCTCTATATGCCTCTTCCACGAGACATCCGGAGGCTGTAGTGGCTCATTTGTGGAATGCTCTCCCCAGGGAGGTTCACCTGGTGCCTTCATTATATATTTTTAGGTGAAAACATTTCTCTTCAACCAGGCCTGGCTGATGAATATTCCACAGCCTTTTAAATGTGTCTTTGGGAAGGGGGGGTATTGTTTTGCTGTTTTGTTTTAATTGTTTACTTGTTTTTATCCTGGATTTTATTCTGCGTACCGCCCTGAGATCTTATGATGAAGGCTGGTATATAGATCTAATAAATAATAAAATAATAAGAAGGTGAAATGTGCTACTACATTCACATGAAGTGTCAGATTGGATCATTCCCCAAACAAATAATATTGCAATAAGCAAAATCATTCACTTTCTTTAATGGTCTACAGCCAATGAATTTCAAGCCCTACACATTTGCTTCATTTGCAAATGTATTGGTTTGTTTTTGTTTTTATTATGTATTTTGTGTTTTTATATGTTTCTTTTATGTTGTGAATTGCCCTGAGATCTACAGATGAAGGGCGATATTCAAATTTAATAAATAAAATAAATAAAAATAAATCTGGCAGGAAAAGAGATAGGCAAGCAATTAGCATTACAGGACACAATAGTTTTGTCCCTTAACAAGAGGACACTCCCCCTGTTTAAAAAAAAAACAAAACCCCAAAAAGTTTGGGTCCCAAAACCAAGAGATTTTGTCTGTCTACCCAAATTAAATCTTGAGATTTTCAGTACTCTTTTCCAGGACAGATATCATGCAACACTGCACTGAAGCAAAACTGTAGAGCATAAAAATAAGCCAAATCATATTTTCCAGAAACATGTCAATGACGGTCAAAACATTAGGAGGCAAAATGCTTCACTAACACCCCCACCACTATGAGAAACGTTGAGAATTCAGAGGGGACAGTATCAAGTCACAAACAAATTAAGCCATCCCCTACTGCACTTCCATCTCACTGCCCTCTTCAAAGAGCTCTCATAGGGTTGAGAGCATATCTCAGACCACACATGCCTCTAATTACCTGGTGAACTGGGGAAGCTGCCGGTAGTTATCAGGTATATCCAGAGGCTTGTACATAAAGTGCCGGAGGTCTGGCACACCCACCAGCCCCACACTATAGGAAGGGCTTCTCAGGCCGCTTGAGAGTGCCTGCAGGTAGTTCTGAGTCCTCATGCCCTCCTCAATGCGTTTCTTGCAGTCCGAGACAGAATAGAAAGACTCCTTGTCCGTGGAGAGAAGAATGAGGCAGACGGTACATTCTGCATCCAAGTAGGAAATATAAGCATAAAAGTAACAATCCGGGTTGAAGCGTGGCAAGCAAATAGGCGTCCAAATCTCCCCTGTTTGGAATGCAGAGGTTGCCCCAATGAGGTTGAGCAATAGATGCAAGTCAGTGGGTTCTAAACGGCAGTCTTCAATCACTGTTTTCTCCTGCACTGTGGTGACCAGCTGACTCCGGGCCACCAGAATGGAGAAGACCAGATTGGGCGTGATGGCCTTCTGGAGCAAAGTGCCCAGGGAATCCCGCAGGGAGGCTTGGAGGGGCAGGCAGCGCACAGCACCAAGCAGGAAGCAAGGGTCCGACTCCACCAGGTTCAGCAGGCGGTTGAGGATCTTCTCTGAGCCGGTCAGCAGGCGCCGGAGGTCATAGTTCTTTTTCCGCTCAAAGATGCGGGTGATGCTGGCCTCTGTGAGCATGCTGATAATCTGATAGTAGACATACAAAAGCTCCTGCCGCAACTGCTGCTCTGACTGTAAGGTGCGCGACACGGACACCAGCACCAGCGGGCCCTGCTGCACAAAAACCAGTTTGTGATCATCTGTGGTGGAAAGGAGAGAGCTAGTCAGAAGGTGCAGCAGACTGAGCTCTGCACAAATAGGACAGAACCAGATGTCAATCAACCCTAGGGGGAAAGCAAGACTGAGTAAAGTGTGCAATTCCATGGAAATGCAAAAAGCCCATATAATGCATTATTGGGTATAAAATTAGCATCCCTAGAGCATACTTTTTTCAGATACACATTTCTTGCCCTTATGGTTGCAAAGATATACTTGAAAGCGTTCTAGACAACATCAGCTGAATCTCAGCAGCGTAGCTGAACAAGATCCCCAGCGGCCAGAGGCAGGATTTTAATGCCTTGTGTAGCTCCTTGTCTGTCTCCCAACCCCATGATGAGCAGAAGGAAAACACATGCAAATAGTCAAAGGGGTAGAATTCACTATGCCAAACAAGAAATAACTGTATTTGGGTAATTTACGTAATTTATACAGGTTGAGGAATTAAGTTTTTCCTGACAACAGAACTGAAGTAGATCTATTTAAGTCCAGGATACACAGTGTTCTGACTAATTAGAACCTTATTTTTATATTGCTTTATTTTTTTAAAAATCAACTTTATATAGTCACTATTTTTTTTATTCCCCATCATATTTAACTGAATGAGATTTCTTCCCCTAAGGGATCACAGAGTGAGTTTGTTGGGCAGGATAGGCTACTAAATCTAAACATGCATATGCCATATATTATGATGGAGCACAAAAGACAGGGGTACACCATCTCCCTCCCCACTCCTCCAGCTGATGATCACTCCAAACAACTCTTTTAAAAAGGCAGCCAGGCACATAAACAGGCCCTTTCAAGTTTTTTATTATTATTATTAAAGATTTTCTTGTTTTACAGAAGTATGTGTAATGTCTCTCGTATTTTTTCCATGTAACATTTTTACAAATCCGTTTCATTTGTTGAGACATTAGGAGGAGGGGGGGAAAAGGGGTGGGGGGGAAGATGGGTGGGGGTGGGGTCAGGTGGCGATGTTTCTATTATGCTTAATGTATGTAGGGTTTGGTGTCAGCGTTGCGTGTGCTGTTCACTTGTGTGCCTTTAGTGGTGAGAGGTTGGGGTTGGCCTAGGGTGTGGTTGTTTGTTTGTGATTGGCTGTGGTGATCTTTGTTTTCGTGTGTGAGTGGGGTGGGTGGGTGTTTTGGATCAGGTTAGCCATATTGATTTGTATGCTGTTGGTGGATTATTGTCATTGTCTTGTTGGGCTGTGTATGTGATAGAGGGGAGCCATACCGGGGAAAAGGCATCTTCTTCTGTTTGTCCCCGTGTCAGTTTCAGTTTATTGGTTAATTTTTCTAGTAGGGCAGGCCCTTTCAAGCTGTAGCCCTAGATGTTCCACTAGGTCCTGTGTTATAGTGCAAAGTTATACATGCCTTCTACTCATAAGGAAGTCCCACTGAGGGCTTACTTCAGTGCTGAGTGAGCTTACAGTAGCAACCTTTGATGCAAATACATGAAATGTTGCATGCCAGAGCAGGACACATTCTGCACTTAAAAAAAAAAAAAAAAGGAGTATTACTACTACTGATCATAATAAAAATATGCACTAAGAAGAGATAAATTCAGCTGCCTGGACTAGCTATGCATATTAAGTACCTTTGGATTGTTTCCCCTATTTTGCAGAATTCATTCTGCAATTTTTACTATTTTGCTTCTGCTAGGCATGAAGAACAGCATGGAGCAAAACAGAGAAGCAAGGTCCAGTCTCTGAACCCTGGGCTCCCCAGACATCATCAGACACTGTCTACATGTTTCCAAGCATCTCTACAACCACAAAGGTGAGAAAAAGAATGAAAGGAAATTCTTAGGAAGCTGGATTTTGAAGCGAGAACATTTGTGCTTCTCTGTGCTTGCATGAAATCACAACTACATAGCTATGCAGTCCACATGACAGCTTTCTTCATATAAAAGAAAATTACCATGATAAAAACCCCAACTCCCTCTATTGCCCAATAACTGAAATTCTTTTACACAGCCTTTACTGTTAACTATCAGTGGAAACACAAGAGACTCCAAGATCGTTAGGCATCAGTCATGGTTCTGAGAGCCAGTCCAGTTTGAAAGAAACCAATAATTTTAAGCTGTAATTTTAAACTGTAGCTATAGGGATATGGCTTAAATCTGGCTACAACCATGCCCAATAACTCCTATACCAGAGCTTGAATTATGGGGGTAAAAGTAGAGGATCCTTAACAAAATCTACAAGCCCCAACTTCCAATCACGAGTGAGTCCCAAAGCCTCATAAAAACAAGTTGTTAATTGTAATTAAAACAATGCCCCACTGCCAATTTTTGCCATACCAGAATAAATGGAACGGATGGAATTATCCCCACTCTGGATGAATGATACAAGTGCCATCATAACACCCATGGTGGAGCTGAGGGCTTCTTCGTTGCCATAGCGCGAGTAAATGGGTTTGCCAGCTTCACTTAAAACAAAGACATGTTTCCTGTGTGCCCGCCAACTGTCAGCTGTCACATCCTCATCCCGGTGTGTAGCCGGGCACAGCTGTGCCACTTCCTCCTCCCCAGGTGGCCCATCGCCCATCACCATAGGTTGGTTAAACTCGCTGGAGTCCTCCAAAGTGTTATCAGTTGAGGCTGAGTCAGACAGGTCCTTTTCACTTGATTCCTCCTGCATATCCGCTTTGGCATCTGCCTCAATTATGGGTCCATTGACTGGTACATCAGGTAGCTCCCCTTGCTCATCCAATGCAGAACAGGGCTCATCCTCACCTGGAAAAAGTCACAGCACAAGTAAAGGATTTCAGGAGTCCTAGCTTATCCTCATCTCCCTACTTGCACCAGCCTTTACCCTACTGAAAAGGCAGCTCAACTACTAAAAGTTGCAACACTTCATGACGAACTTTGCAGCAAGCTTCAGCATGTCTTTCAGCCACCCCAAAATCCCTTACTTTCCTCGGTCAGATGATGAAGTCTCCCTCATCTCCCTTTATGCCCATCATTGGTTCCTAGCAGGGCTTCTTTTCAGCTGGAGCTCGCTGGAACTCTGTTCTGGCACCTCTCAGGTGGGTGCCATTAGAAAAATAGTATTGGTTCCTAGAAGAGGAACCTAGCACTTCAATGCTTTTTCTCCCCAACCAAACTTCACCACCACTTTAGCTGAGAGGGTATTGGTTCCCACACATATCTTGCTATCTGTAATCTCAGCAAAGAAAAGGGAGAGGCCTATGGTAAGCTCCTCTCTTTTTCTGTTTATGTCACGATATAAAACACTACAGGCTTTGCCAGCTTGATCTGGTTAGCAGCCACATCATCTAAAAGGTCCACTGTTAATGAACAAAATTCAGCCTCAGGTAGAATAACTGAACCACAATGGCAGAGACTTAAACCACTCACCTGTCTCTGCAGAGCTGAGCCCAGCCTTATGTTCAGGGAGATCCATCCCACCCTTAGAAGGCAAGCCAGGGTCTTCCCTCTACATCTCAAACAGCTCCTGAGAAGTCAAGAGGCAAATGTGAGAAGAGTTCCCCAGTGTTACAAAAACTAAAAAAACAAACAAACCAGGATGCAGGTGCTCTGTCGCTTACTCACCAGGCCCAACCCCATTCTCAAATTAGGGACAGAACTTAGAACACTGCCTTCACAGTTCCATTCACACCCTATCTCCATCCTCCACCTCCTAAAAGAAGCAGCAAAAAGAACCTCAACCTTCAGTTTAGAAAGTATGAATGAATGCACATCGGAGAAAAGGGCTTTCCAAGGGAAACAAGAAGAAGAAGAAGAGTTTGGATTTTATTTCCCACTTTATCACTACCCTAAGGAGTCTCAAAGCGGCTAACATTCTCCTTTCCCTTCCTCCCCCACAACAAACACTCTGTGAGGTGAGTGGGGCTGAGAGACTTCAGAGAAGTGTGACTAGCCCAAGGTCACCCAGCATCTGCATGTGGAGGAACGGAGACGCGAACCCAGTTCACCAGATTACGGGAATACCGCTCTTAACCACTACACCACATTGGCTCTCAAAATGCAAAAGTCAAGATGCAAAAGTCAATCTGTCAGCCTTGCCTGCCCTCCCTGCTCTAATCTCAGTCACATGCCTGGGCAGGGATGCCTCAGAGGAGACAGCAGGAAATGCCCTGGTTACTAATCACCACACACACAGAGAGAGAAACAGAATTACTAGCGCTTAACTCCTGGATGGGATTTTAAGCAACTCCCATCAGCCCCAGCCAGCACAGCCAATGGTCAGGGATGATGGGAATTGTAGTATAACAACGTCTGCGGAGCCAGGTTGGGAAAGGCTGACTTCGATCACTGGTCTTCAACTGTTGGAGCAGGATCCAAAGTGACACTTAGTAAAACTACCCTACTTCAAAATAAAACAAGAGAAAGAGAAACAGGCAGTGGACTGAGTAGGTAAAGGTAAAGGGACCCCTGACCATTAGTCCAGTCACGGACGACTCTGGGGTTGCGGTGCTCATCTCTCTTTACTGGCCGAGGAAGCCGGCGTACAGCTTCCGGGTCATGTGGCCAGCATGACTAAGCCGCTTCTGGGGAAACCAGAGCAGCACATGAAAACGCAGTTTACCGTCCCACCAGAATGGTACCTATTTATCTACTTGCACTTCACAGCTTGCCTAGATGTTTCACAGGTGGCTGCATTCCACAACTGCAATAATAATCTCTGAGGGATTGAACTCTATGCAGTGATTCTGAACTTCCTCAGCCCTGAAGAAATGCCTTGTTTAGTTGGGGCTACCAACTATATTCACGATCCATTTCCCTCCTGTATTGGAATTCTTGCATTGGAATGTTATTCCAGCCTTTAAGCCTTTATGTCCAGAAGAACTGAGCATCTGCCCAGAATGGTGCTACCATGATGTTCCCAGCAGCTTCTTATTCTTGGCAGCTCCAAGACTACTGGAAACCGTCTGGATACAGAAACAGCACTGCCAGCACTGTCATATATAGGTTCATCCTCACTCTCAAAGAATGGGCATGGCAAGTTTAAAAAAGTTATTTGCAAAACTACACATTCACAATAAGATTAATGTGAATATACTACTGTACCACTAGTACTGTCAATCCTATAAGGAACAAACAAATGAACAGGCACCAAATCATGATCAGTGATTGTTAAAAGTATTGCAGTAGATTTCCACAGCCCTAACTGGTAAGAAAAGAGTGTGGTTAATTGTGTTAGGTCATCCTTGGCACCAGTTCCTGCAATGGTAGGCTCAGAACAATAAACACTTTCCAAAAAAGTAATTACTTCTACAGCCAAGCAGAACCAGGTTCTGCCATTTCAGCAACCTAGTTCAAAATTAAGTGTCAAAAGCAGCATCCAACATGTATTGTACCCCTTTACAGAACCTGGCGCCACATCAGATTCTTCAAGTGCCCAAGCAACTCAAACTGAGCAAACAGCCTCTTGTTGCTTTATGGCCCAGTCAGAGATGCCTCTGAAGGCCATTTCACAGTGTAGTGGGAAAACGTGTCTTTTTTTTTGGGGGGGGGGGAGGGATAGGTCTATCAAGACATATGGGACCACACACATATCTATAAGAGGAATAATAAACCATGTTAGTTTTCAGTAACATGTCAAAAGCAAACCCTTACATCACCTTCCTAAAAGTCATAGCAGGACTCCAAAAAGAAAAATCTGTTCCAGCCATTACTAGTCATAAAATCTCTTTATCTTTCTAAAGAGCTACATGTATGCACATCAGCCCTGAACATTAGTCAACCAGCAAACCATTCCAGAAAGTTCACAAAGATCCATGCAACCCAGCCCCAAAACAACACAGCAACTCACTCAGTTGCAGTCTCAGAAAGCTATGCAGCACACTAAGTACATATTGGAGAAAGTGGAAAGGATCCCTTCAGGAGGCTGGAGAGTGGAGACAATTCAACTCTGCCTTCCCAATACAATAATAGATCCCCACCTCTGCTGAGAATTTCCCTCTTAAGTCGTAGTAATTTAAATAAGCCAATTGGCAGAAAGTTTTGGGGCTACGAAAATGAAGTGTTTCTTCACACACTGCATAATTCCATAATTTGCCATCCCTGAAATATCTTTAATATTTGCCATCCCTGAAATATCTTTAATATTTGCCATCCCTGAAATATCTTTAACTGACAGTTGCCAAATCCAGCCCTCCATATTTCCATCAAGAATCATCTCCCATAGGATGACAGTTATTTTACTATTATTTTGTGCTGAACTGTTGCAATTCTCTTATGCAAGGGTGGGTTTTGTCAGACACGTCCTTGAGCACATCAATGGAAACCCAACAGACATGGCAACAACCTCTTTTAGATAAACTCCTATTGGCCAGATCTAAAAATGTGACGGTGGGGGGGGGGACCCTAGAAATGGCCCTTTTTCCCATCACACCCCACCAAGCCTTTTGGGGTTTTTTTGCAAAAGAAAAAACATTTGGAGGGGGGGAATGCATTACGAAATTTTATTCTTAGTATGATGAGCAAAATGCTTAAGGAAATCTCTAAGCTATAGCTACCCTCAGCCACTAGCCATGAAAACTAAATGGAGCCTCCAGGTGCCACGACAGTCTACCGCTGAACAGCAGGTGCTGCGAGGGAGGCGTGGGAAGGCCAACCAGGCCAGGCACTGCTCCTGGGCTGGGTATAAAGACTGCGGCACCGGACGGGCTTCTGGCCCGGTCCTGTGGGGAAGGCTTCTCTGCTGCTGCGGCAGCTGCCTGCCCCGAGGGGCTTCCAGTCCATCCCGAGGGAAGCGCCGGAGGCCCCCTCGCCCGAGAAGGCCCTGCGGCCGCCCCGCCCCTCCGGAGCCCCGCTCCCGCCCGCCCCTCACCGTCCGCGCGAGGGCTCCGCGTCGCCCCATTGCCGCGCAGCCCCTGCGCCGCTCCGTCGCCGCTCTTCCGGACCCGAAGGCGCAGAGGGCGGGCGGGGAAGCGGAACGGACAAGCACCTTGACGAATCACAGGACGAGCAGCGGGAAGGCGGGGGCGGGGCCTCGGGGGCGCGAATCCCGGCCCGCGCATGCAGCCGAAGGCCAATGGCGGCCCCGAGCTGCTTCGGAGTGTCAGCGAGGAAAAGGGGCGGGCAGAGGCCGCGGGAAGCGACAGAGGGAGCCGAAGGGGCGGGGCCATTACACCCGGCTGAATCAACCGCAGCCGCCGAAGGCCCGAGGAAAGGGCGGGGCTAGTCAGGAACGTCCACCAATCCCAAATGGGCTTTGTTTGGAGGGAGGATCCGGGAGCGGCGGGGCGGAAGCGGCTCTTCCAGATACGCGCAAAATCAGGAAGTGGGAGGGGGGGGTCGCTCTGGGGGCGGCGGCTTCCTGAGGGTGGCGCGCAAGAAGAGCAGTAGTTCATCATTACACTGGTACCTCTGGTTACGTACTTAATTTGTTCCGGAGGTCCATTATTAAACTGAAACTGTTCTTAACCTGAAGCACCGCTTTAGCTAATGGGGCCTCCTGCTGCTGCCACGCTGCCAGAGCCCGATTTCTGTTCTCATCCTGAAGCAAAGTTCTTAACCTAAAGCACTCTTTCAGGGTTAGCGGAGTCTGTAACCTGAAGCGTATGTAACCCGAGGTACCACTGTATTATTTTACTTAAGAGACAAACAGTAAAGTCACCAAAATAATAAAATGACAATGACAAGCAATTAGCTAAAAGCAATTAACTAAAAAACAACAAAAACCCGAGCAAGAGTTCAAAGCAACAGAACTCCCAGTCGCCCAACACCCGGAGCCCGCGCGAGCTCTGCCGCGCAAAGCAGAAGCTGAGGCTTCCGCGAGAAGGCGGCGCGGGGCGCGGGCGGGGGCGGCCCTGGCCGGGATGAGCCCGAGCTGTGCAGGCGGCTGGGAGCAAAGCAGAAGCGCAGCAGCAGCAGCAGCAAAGACCCCCATCCCGGCCCCCCCCCGCTTCCTTTTGGCTGTGATTAAAAATAGGTTGGGACGAAAGCCCCGAAGACGCCGCGCAGGCCTTTTTCTCCGCAGCTGAGACGCGAGAAGGGCCCGAGTTCCGCGCGCGAGAGGGAGGCTTCGGCCGAAACAGCCCCGCGCAGGGGCCTTTCTATTGGGCAGCGCCGCACCTGCCGCCCGCTGAGCAGAAAGCTCTCTGGGCGGCCGAGAATCAGTCTGCGAAAGCCGCGCCTGACTTCGGGCGGGGAGGTCGGCCGTCAGAAGCGCGCCAGGCCGGGCGGAGGCCGGAGGGCGCGCCGGGCTCCAAGGTGAGGCAGGCGCCTCGGGCGGCCCATCGGGGCCCCCGGAAGGCCTGGCCGCTCTGCCCGCTGCCGCCTCCACCGCGGCCTCCTGCGCTTAGGCCAGGGCTGACCCCCCCCCCGGGCCCTTCCCTGCTTCGCGTTGCCCCTTCCTTCGTTCGCCCCTTTCCTCCGAGCCATTTTGTGCTTCGCCTCAGGGGCCCAAACATCTTCGCCCATCCCATCTGTGGGGATTCTCGGTGCCTTGGGTGTCGGTCCGCGTCTCCGAAGGACAAGCCGTGTGGCCAGAGTCGCCCTGGCCGCGGTCCCAGCTTTGCTCCCGGAGGGGACATGGCGCCCGGGGGCTCCAGGGCCAGGCGGCCGGCACCGCCTTCGGAACTTGGGCTTGACCTTGGGCTTCCCCCTCAGGTCCTTGGGGATTGTGAGCGCGAGGGCAGAAGCACCTTAGAACTGATTTTAGTAAGCTGCTCCGGAAGCCTTTTGGCATTTATATAAATGCTATAAGTAAAGAAATACATAAATACCAAGGTACCCAATCTTTGCAGTCTCAAAATGAAAGAAAGAGAGAGAGAGAGAGAGAACAGCAGAGTTCTCCTGGACATTGATGGTCTTATGCCATGGTGGGACTTTGTCAACCTAACCAGAATGCTAATCAAGTCCTTGCACTTTATAATCAGTGGCCTTAAAATGTCTCTGTGCTGCTGTTTCAGTTTCATTAACTTACCAATGGCTTTAAAAGGGAATTGGAAAAATTCACGGAGGAGAGGCTGTCCATGGCTATTCATCCTGATGGCTAGATGCCGCCTTCCAGGTAAGAGGCAGCAAATGCCTTGGAAGAACAGGGTAACGAGGAGCTGGAGAGCTTGGTGGCTTTCGTGCCTTCCTTGTGGGCTTCCTAGGCGTCTGGTGGGCCTCGGGGGGGAACCGAGACACTGGATGAGATGGGACTTTGGTCTGATCCAGCAGGTCTCTTCTTACCACCTTAAAGATAAAGGTACCCTTGACCATTAGGTCCCGTCGTGGACGACTCTGGAGTTGCGGCACTCATCTCGCTTTATTGGCCCAGGGAGCCAGCGTACAGCTTCCGGGTCATGTGGCCAGCATGACTAAGCCGCTTCTGGCAAACCAGAGCAGCGCACAGAAATGCAGTTTACCTTCCCGCCACAGCGGTACCTATTTATCTACTTGCACTTGGACGTGCTTTTGAACTGCTAGGTTGTCAGGAGCAGGGACTGAGCAACGGGAGCTCACCCTGTCGCGGGGATTCAAACTGCCGACCTTCTGATCGGCAAGCCCAAGGCTCTGTGGTTTAACCCACAGCACCACCCGTGTCCCTCTTACGACCTTATTAGCGCTTAATTAGCCACTTTCCATAATCTCTGGGGAGGGGAGAGGGTCTTCAATTACTGCTTTCTTCCCATTCTATGGAATGCAATAGCATTATTTCTCTCTCTATAAATTAAAGGGGGAAAGTATGCTAGAAACTGCATGTGCGCAAACTGGAGTCTGGTCTAGCACGGTTCTCCAGTATGGTCTTCTATTTTTATGACTGTCAGAAAATGGTGAAGGGTTGCGGTCTGTATGCACTGATACCGTAGAGCTATTCTAGTACCTAAGTTGAAACCCACTGAGGTAAAGGATGCCCCCCCCCTTATATAATCTCAAGGTCCAGTCATTTCCTCTGAACTACTAGTGACAATTATAACTGAAGACACAATGTGCAGTCGTGTGTGTGGCTTTGCTACCTTGCTTCTGTCATCTAAAGACATAGCTCTTTAGAGGCACCTTCCTGCTATATGACCCAGTGAGCAAAAAGTAGCACACACACAATATATATATGTTTGTGTGTGTGCCACCAACTTTTTTGGATCAGGGATATGGAATAACACAACATTACACCGCTTTTCTTTGTACTTCCAATTTACAAAAAACTTAACCTACTGAATTTCTGCTCACTATATAGCTCTTAAGGATTCAGGAACCCATTTTCCCCACACTATGCAACAGCTTTCTGTACTCAGAAATCACAGCATTGCTGGTGCCACAGATGTTTGGGCAGCAAGTGTGCATTTATGTTCAACAGCATTTCACCATATATTACCGAAATTTTTGAGATCTCAGTGATGGTCCATATACTCCCAGCAGGAAAAGCACAAAGGAAAACTATAACTTTATTTAATATTTAACAGTTTTGTGCAGGTAATGTAATGTGGGGAAAGGTGTACATGCTTTTACCTTATATTTTAAAAGGAAGGTGAAAAGGCCTAGCTCTATGCACAAATGGCCCTCCAAGTGCACGTGTATGTCCTTGAGGTGGTTGTTTTTTAAGTGACCTTTCAAACACCATCTGCTTCCTGCACTATTACAGTTAAGAGCAGAGCTGTGTGGTAAAGAGACGACACAGTATGGATTACTCAAGAACTTAGCACTTTTCTTCTGCATTTCCCGTAACGCACAGTGATGTGCATAGCACAGAAAGGTGTTACAAACGGGAGATACAGCCTTGTATCTTGTTTAATTGATTTTATCTGTAAGCTTCCTTAAGTCCCATCAGCAAGATGAATCAAGGGGAGCGTGAGCGGTGCAGTTGCACCAGTCACAGAGTTTCTGGGGCGCCACAACTATGACATCCAGCAGAAGGCGAGAGGGCGCCAAATGGCAGCATCACACAAATTGCAGTGCCACTGAAATTTGAGATGCCAAGGCCCGCCACTGGCATCAGGGAAAAAGGTGGAATATAAATAAATATATGATGATGATAATGATAATTGTATTCTCAAAAGTGTGACACACACCCCTAAGCAGCAATTGCATTTGTGAAAAATCCCAGTTCGAGCAATGCCATGCAGATAGCAGGGCCTTCAGTGAGAATTGCACCAAGGTCTCCCAGCCGACACAGAACATATTTATATAGCCCTTCTAGTTCAAAGCCTGAGAATACTTGATGCCAAGTTGTAGTTCTGGCAGCTCAAGGGCAGCAGCTATACTGAAACAAGCCAGTTCCTGTGACTCCTGAGTCCTGACATTGTGCTCACGTGTGCATGCTGCTGAGCACTCTCATGTGTACAACCCAGTCCTCAGCAGCCAGTTTTGAGGAGGCAAGGGTTATTCTGATTATCATTCCATGTTTCCCTGCAAAGTTAAGGCAGGAAACTCTCCCTCCCCTGTTCTCTCCCTGACCCCCCCCCCACTTTTGGGGTTCCTGGGTGTCTGCATGTAGTGTACACACTTTATAAATGAGCAATGCAAGAGCTTGGGCTGCCCTGGCACAGGTGAAGTAATAGAAAAATGGAGATACATCAGAGCATATGCAGAGTGCAGCCACTGATGCTCTCTGAGTGCAGCCACTGGTGCTCTCTGAGATCAGGAGAAAACAAGTTTTTTCGAAGTCAAAAAGAGTCCTGGGCTTGACCCCAGGTGCATAACTCCCATTAAAAAAATTAACAACTGGAAATTAACACTACCAGAATCCTCCATTCACTGCCTTTATTCTTCAAAAGCATTATTTCATTTACAGATTGTAGGGATTTTCCATATATACAGTCATGGGCCCATGATTTAAGAATAGGAAGAAATGGATCACAGTCCCCACTCCAAGACAGCCTCTAAGAGATATATATAGATACACGCACAATATCACATGTAGATCAAGTTCAGCTGTCACACAGTTGGAAGGACCCCAAGGGTCATCTAGTCCAACCCCCCACAATGCAAGAATCACAGCCAAAACATCTATGACATCTGCTCCGAAGTAAGTCACACTAAGTTCTGTGCAGCCTACTGAGTTACTAAGGGCTCCTGCCCTTGCTCTCTCTGCTTGCTAACCTCACCTACTGGCCACACATTGTCGTCCTCTTACATCTCAGCCAGCAACATAGCGTGGATTGCAGGCACCTGGGGTGGGGCAAGTGTTACACCCTCCTGATGGACTGGGCAGCTGGGTTGGGGGTGCACGCTGGGGGGTGCATGCAACAGAACGCGCACAGAGGGTGAACACAGCCCCTCTGCAACAGGCTCCTGGCCCACTGCCTCCACCCACCTGGCCATTAGACCAACCTGCCTGCTGCCACACCTCAGCAGCTAGAGCTCCATGCCTGTCATGGGAGCGTCAGATGTGCCCGGGGCCATGTACCCCCTGCCCCCCCACTACGCCTCTGATCTCAGCCAGCCCCTCACTTTTCCCCTCCCATAAATACGACTGCAGAAAAAAATAAAAAATTCAGAGGAAAAGATTATTTTGAACTACATGCCAACTAAATGGAATTGGACAGTTGGACAACATAAATGAATTATTTGTGCCCTGTGACCAAAAAACTGGTACTGATGCGCTGGAAAGATAAGTGTACAGTGGTACCTCAGGTTAAGTACTTAATTCGTTCCAGAGGTCCGTACTTAACCTGAAACTGTTCCTAACCTGAAGCACCACTTTAGCTAATGGGGCCTCCTGCTGCTGCCGCGCTGCCAGAGCACGATTTCTGTTCTCATCCTGAAGCAAAGTTCTTAACCTGAAGCACTATTTCTGGGTTAGTGGAGTCTGTAACCTGAAGCGTATGTAACCTGAGGTACCACTGTATACATAAAAGAACACTGTAAACATCTAAATTCTTTGGCAGGTCATGATTGACCCCTGAAAGACAGTAGAAAACTTTACAAAACCAAGACAATTGAGACAATTTATGAGAGACAATGGAAAGTGTGTAATTGTAATTGTAACAGTATACTTTTTGTTTTATTTTGTTCAATTAAACTGCTCTTAAACAACAACAGCAACCACCCATCCCCTTCCAGCTTGCTCCAAGCCCCTCTGCTCACAGCCCCAACGGAGTGGGGGAGGTGTTTCACAGAGCAGTTTGTCAAACCACCCTTTGAAGCACCTTCTGTCCCCTCTGTTAAACAGCTTGTCAGGGCAGCCTGCTACCCTGTTGTCTTCTAGAGTTGGCATGGCCACCAAAGGCAGCCAAACAAACTGCAGCATGATGACAACCTTACATTTTTATGTATAATAGAAAATATTCAATCAAGTTGTACTAAGAGTTGACACACTGGAATTAATGGACCTAACTTAATTTTAGTGGGTCTATTCAAACCCATTGAACATAATATAGAAAGTAGGTCTGAATAAACATATCTTGGATTGGATTGCACTTCAATGGTGCAAACAGATGTTAATATAAAAAGAGCTCAGAGAGTATCTCTCGGTCACAAGATAAGCCTAGCTCCCTCCCAGATTCCATATGAAACATGCACCAGATCAAATGCCAGTTTGATCAACGGAGATGCTTCAGCCACCTCATCATACTTGATCTCTTTACCTTTTTGTTAATAGCACCACACAACCTTTTATTATACCTTTGATAATCATTAAAAAGGAAAACACTAAACGTTTTTTTAAAGTACAAAACTGCTCTGTAGATTAGGGAATGAGATTTTGTGGGTAGATGAGAAGCTCCCACTTGAAAACCTTTGGTTTTGGGGAGCAGGATTAGTTGAGGTCAATTGTGAGAGGAAATGCTATGTTTAGATTTAAACAAAATGAAAGAGATGAAACCAGAGCAGCCTCTTGCTCTATATACGGTATGTTGCATCTTGAGGCGTCTGTGAACTGTTTCCTTCTTGCCTTCAGGAGGTTAATATGGTGGAGTGAAACAGAGCCCAGTTGTTTAGGAGGCCAGATGGAAACAAGAGCAGAATATTGACTCACTTGTAGTGTAAAAATTATTATAGACGATATTATTTGATATAAAAACTGGAGTATGGATGAATATGCAGTTGTAGATGTTTAAAATGAGACGCCATGGAGGGGATGGGAGGAAGTCTCAAGATTTGGAGAATATCTTTATATAGATTTGTTTTTACAGTTTGTGTTCATTTATATTTTGTATTTGTAAAACCAATACCAATTATTTCAAAAAAAGAGAAAAAGAAATAGAGCTCAGCTGAACTCAAGCAGTTTTTCATTCAATCTGTTGTGGAAAGTTGTGCAAGGAGGTGTATCCTGCTTGTGAACTGCTTCAGTTGGGCACTCATGGCTCTTTCATAAAAAAGCTAGTATCCCTCCATAAAGGAGTCCAAATCTTCCCAGACTTTTGTTGGCTGATCCTCTTTCCTTCATTTTCACAACCTCTCTGTTCAAGATCATCATACTAATAGAGTGTGTCATGACATCCACCTACTCCTTTACCATTGACACATAGCTAATTTCTTCAGCTAATGCTTTTGTTTTCAGCAAAGCAAAGTGACTTCAGACCCTGGCATCTGGTGACTTTATAGTGCAGGGATGGGGAACCTGATGACCCTCAGAGGTTACTGGGCTCCAGCTCCTATCATCCCAGACTATGGCCCATGCTGGGTGAGATCTGATGGGAATTGGAGTCCAACAACATTTAGAGGGATATAGGTTCCATCAAGGCTACCATGGGGTGGGGAAATGCTGCTGGACCAAGTCCCCACACAGTCCCCCCCAAAAAAAATTGGGTTTGCCACTCCTGCTATACACACTTACCTAGGAGTAAGGCCCATTGAACTGAACAAATCTTTCTCTGAGTAGGCATTTATGGAATTGCTGTGTAAATATGGTGGGCCTGCTGGTCTATATACCTTCTATGGCTGCAATCCAGAGCAGGTCTGGCAGCACAAGCAACCTAAGCAGTTGCTTTGGACCACAACACGTTAAGAGTCACCACTGAATTTGTGTGTGATCTGAAAGGTATGTCCCAGAAGCCTTTGCAATAGTTCATTGGATGGGTGTTATGTACTAAGCCTGGATCCTAGAACAATAGGCAAGTAGGATCCTAGAATGCAACAACTGATTGGCCTGCAGGAAAAGACCAGTTGGGCTCCAGGAGGGAAGCAGAATCAGCCAATCAGATGGGACTCATTGTGTAAATAATGTATATAAAAGCCTGAGGTTTGGAGGGCAATTCAATCAGTTTTACAAGCTGCATTAAAGAGCATGAAATCACTACAGGACTCTTAAGTATATTTCACTGGCGACAAGGGTGGGATCCTGCCGAGCTGTCTGCTGCGCACTGCACACAGCTGCCACAGGCAACACAGCACCGCACTGCGCATCCAGGCTACAGCTCCAGGACCCAAGGACCCAGAACGGCAACAGACAACAGCTTCATGCCGTTCAGCCCAGCCTCAGGAGACTGGGAAGGCTATGCCACCCACTTCCAGTTACTCCTGGAGGCAAAGGATGTCACTGATGCAGGCAAGAAGAGGGCGACCTTCTTCAGCGTCTGTGGAGAAGAAATGTTCGAGATCGCCCGAGCCCTCCTCACTCCCGCAAATATAGAAATCTTTCCCTACGACACTTAGATCATGCATAGCTTTGGGTGATCTATTGCTCAGCCCAACCACTTGGGGTGGGGGTATTCTCTGGAACTGGCCCTGCTGAAATCATATGCATACTTCCCTGGGAGTAACTGGTCACATGTCTCTGGGAACCAAGGAGGACTTACCTCCCCAGGAACATGCACGGAGAATTGCGTTTCTGAATTGTGTTTCCCACTACAGTCCTGGCTCACACTCTGAGCTACAGCTGCCCCTGGGACAATAATGCCAGAAACCTTGGACACAGGATAATATTCCCTAGACGGGGGTGGGGACAGTGCAGACTTTTGCCAGTGATGATGATGGTGCCATTCAGGCTGTCCCTGCCAGTTGTCCAGAGAAGCTCACACACCCTGATTGCTGTGTGCAGAAAAGCTACCTTCCCTTTCCCAAGAGAGGGCAAAGAGCCAGACAGGTCTGGGCCCATCCCACCAGCCACATTGGGGAGGCGTGGCTGCGAGAACCTGAACTTCCTCTTAGCATTTCATAGCCTTCAGTTCCCACTCTGCCTTGTCCCTCTTCTGACAGGGATGAGCCGCTGTGCAGAGAGCCTGAAGGGCTTCCTAGCCCGGGTCGAGGCCCAGGCAGGGCAAGAGAAGGGGCAGCTGGCTGAGGAGTTCCAGGTGAGTCTTGTTTACCTGGGCGGGGAGAGGGTGACTCAGGACAGCAATAGACCTCACCCTGCCCTGGGTTAGGACTGGCTGACAGCACCTCTTCCCCACCCCACTGTTCACTGCAACCAGGGATTTTCCTCGCATACTCTGAGGTTTTTCCTTTTCCTGGTGGGCCTCCCATACCTTTACTGGCCTGGTGACAGGCATAAATTCAACCGGTACAGTTTTTTTTCTACCTGTGCATCTCCATTCCAAGAAAAGCTACAGAAGTTGAATTTCTGTCTAATTTTCTAGGAGTGGCAAGTTGACTTGCCTAGTGATTACTTTCACAGAACCAGCACGTTTAAAAATGACATTTCAGTCCTGCTTTGACCCATGATTTGCCACATGACCCAATCCAGCTGATGAGTGCTGGAGGGAAGCCTAACTGCACCTCCCAACTGCATTCCAGGCATGTTGCCTGCTCTCCAGGGGAAGATAATCCCTCTGATGCTCAGAGGGCTCCCAGATCTATGAGGAGAAAAGGAAGGAGTGCAAGAAGATGAGTATTTCATGCTTGCTAAAAAGCCATAACCTTACAGCAACTACAATGGGCTGCCTCGTATCTCCCTTCTAGTTCTAGACACTAGTGTCCAAGCTAGGACTAGAACAAGGTGCAAGAATGACAGTAGCAGAGAGAAGTTGACAAGGGTCTTCTTGGGATTAGAGTCCAAAATGGGTGTCCCATCTGTCCATAGTACAGGCCAGCTTTGCATATTTCACCCTTGATTTGTTCCATCACAATAAGAATACAATAATTTTATTTCCTGATAAATTTCATTCTATACAACTCTTGGAAAAGAATCTTTCTAGGCTGCTCTATCTATTTGTACTAGTGTAAAAAGCTTGCATGCAGGTATACACTTACAGGATGCTATATAAGCAACTAAGCAGGCACAGCTGCCTTTTGCGTACTCTTTTCAGGCAAAGATCTGTGCTTTAACACTCGGTGCCCAAGCAGTTTTTCTTTTTTGTTTTACACCGAGCTTTCCCGTGAAAAGCAGCTCTTTGAAGCTGAATTGGAGCAAACATCAATTCTAGTTTTCCGTGGACTGACATTTGCTCTGGTTGAACTTGAAGAGGCAGGTTTTCACGGGGAAAGCTCTGGATCAAAAAAAGGAGGTGGTGCTCAGACACTGTTCTTTAAATCGTGGGCTGTACCTAGAATCATAGAATCATAGAGTTGGAATAGACCACAAGGGCCATCGAGTCCAACCCCCTGCCAAGCAGGAAACACCATCAGAGCACTCCTGACATAGAAAGATCAGTACAAAGGTAAGTGTGGATAAGCCCTAAAGCTGTGAACCAAGAAGCTTCGAGTTCAAATCTCACCACTGCCGTGAACTTGGAAAGTGGCCTTATGCAAGTCATTCTCAGCCTCAGTCCCTCGTCTGCAGTATGAGACTAATAATAAAAACAGTGACTGGCTTTACAGCTTTGTTGTGCAGATTTACAGGGATAATGCCATGAAGTGCTTTGAACACTCAGAAAACACTGCGGAGGTGCAAGTTGTGGTGGTTTATACCATACCAAATCTGGATTGACTGCCATATGTTCCTGCAGAAGAACTTGGGAGTTGTCTTCTTAAGTACAGTAGTATTTTTAGATGATCACTTTTAATGTACATTGTGGTTTTTAAAGGTGTTTTACTGGTTTCCATTGGTATGGATTTATCTTCCGTAAGTCACTTTTGAGACTGTTCCAGTGTAAAACAACTCATAAAGGTAATCATAAATAAATAATAGTTTGGCAAGTGAGCATTATTGTTGTTGCTGGCATCCATCTGTCTTGGGAGACAATGGAGGAGTGCACCTTTTGGGGTGAAGTCAAACCGTTGGAGTTACAGCACCTGCTGTGGCTGCAGAGACTGATATGGGACAGACATGTTTTGTTGCAGCTGGGGCAGATGAAGGTGCTTAGTTTCACTGTTACAGATGCGCCATGGCGTTTCTTTTCTCTGCGTTCCTCCCAGTGGTCATTCCTCCTCTGTTCATTACTGTGGATGCACGACTTGTCTGTCTCCAGGCACTGCAGTCGTCTGCAAGGGATTCCCACAAAGTGGGGTTGATGTTCCAAGCCTTCACGTCATGTTTGAGACATTTTTGCAGCTTTGCAGAGTTGGTCCGCCAACAGGCCTGGTGCCTGAAGCTATACTAGAAGCCACTGGCCTTCTCATCTGACAACACTTCCTAGAGCCTCTCTGTTGGGTGCAGGGCCAGCCCACCCATGAGAGGCAGCTGCCTCAGGCAGCCAGGTCCCCAGGGCAGCAGATCTTGATGTTGATTTTTGTTCAGGACCGGCTCACCCATGAGGCCATGTGAGGTGAGTGCCTCAGGTGGCAGGGTCCACTGGGACAGCAGATGCCAATGTTGATATTTCTGCTCTCCTTGTTGCTGAGGTAAATCTCTCCTCCCCCCCTTCTTTCTGGCAGGGAGGGGGGCATCCTTTTGGGATCTGCCTCAGCTGCCAAAATGTATTGGGCTGGCCTTGGTTGGGAGCCCTGACAATTAAATAACTCTGAAACATATTTAGCTCTGTAGTGTAGACTACCTTAGCATGACTAAGCTGCTTCTGGCGAACCAGAGCAGCACACGGAAACGCCGTTTACCTTCCTGCCGGAGCGGTACCTATTTATCTACTTGCACTTTGATGTGCCTTCGAACTGCTAGGTTGGCAGGAGCAGGGACCGAACAACGGGAGCTCACCCCGTTGCAAGGATTCAAACCGCCCACCTTCTGATTGGCAAGCTTTAATTCCCGAACTGAGGTCACAGGCTCACCCTATTCATACACAAAGACGCCCTAAAGACAGGTAAGCAAAAGACAATGGAGAGGCTTTCCCATTTCCTTCCTCCTTGCTGAGAAACATTTGAGGTCAATTTGGGAGAGTCAAAATGGTTTCAGGATTGCTCTCCTGTACTATTTCAGACATGTGATTTATATTTTTATGTATGTGTTTGCCTTGTAAATTTATGAACATTTAATTTATATATTTGAGACCTTAAATTCTTATAACATAAGAGAATGATTATGGCCATTAATTCCTATGGGGGAAAGAAACTCATCTCAATTTGGGAGCCTCCAGGTTTTCTTGTTTTTGCAGTTCTCCTCTCTAAATATTTGTTTGCAGTTCTGCAAAATTTGGGGTTCCCCTCAAATCTGTGGATACCTCCTGGTGCTGTTCTGGCAATGGGTTTGCTAATAGTATGAAGAATCAAGAACCATGCAAAATCAAGACTTGAGTCTGTCCTGTAAAACTGGGCCTTAATTGCCCCCTGTTCCTGAGACTGCAAGTTCCCAGCTGACTCGGCCAACATGGCTTTTCCGTGCCCTGTCAGATGGCTGAGATGATGAGTCCTTCTAAGCTGCACATGCCCCCCAATCGGTTGCTGCATATCATGTGCCAGGATGCATTGGACGTGGTCACCTTGTGGATGAGTTGACTCTAGGAGGGCTCTGTGGGTGGCCTGTCTGGTCTTGATTTGAACTGAGGCTTGCACAAGCTGCATTGAGCCTCTTCAAAACACATGCACCTGAATACAGATCCACACATGTCAAGCATATCCAATGCACATTTAAAGTACATGGCTTCCTGGGAATAATCCTGGGAAATATAGTTTCCCCCTCCCATAACTAAAACCCTTAACAAACTACACTTCCCATGATTCTTTGGGGAAAGTCATGCGCTTAAAATGTGTTCTGAGGAAACTTTAAATGCAAGATGTGGATCTGTCTCAGTCACAAATCTTTTGCTATCACGCCATTTGGCTCTTAAGGTATTTTTGAGGGAGTGGCTTTCCTTGGTGTCATACGTCCCCTTGATTGATCCTGCACATTCAAGATCTTGGTCCAATAAGGCTTTGATCCTTACAAGGTTTTGTTGAGGCCAAGGACCCTCATTTCACTGCGCCCTGCAGCAGTTTACAAATATTGCATTTCCTTATGGTGGGACAGGTTTGTCCTGTGATCCTCCTCCTGCCCCCAGGTTCCAGCATTGGCTTTGCCCACAGGCTGCATCCAGGTTCCAGATATTTTAAGTTCAAGTAGCTTGCCAATTTGAATTGAAAGTGAAAATGGGAAACTTTCTCTAAATTTGTGTGTGCCTGCATTTCAACTTTACTTCCTAATTTATAGGCACGAGAACAAGGTATTGTCACAGACAATAGGAGGGGAGTGGAAACTAAGTCATTACCACTTTTGCATCCTTTTAGCTCCATGAACTCCAGATACAGTCATGCTTGATTTCCCACACAGGCAGAACGTGAATCCAGGTGTCCTGATTCCTAAGCTAGCAAGGTCTAGAGCAGGTTTCAGTGTCACATGCCTGGCCATGTGAGGCTGCTAGCTCTCATTGTTGGTGTCATTCGTGGTGACAGTTCTGAGATGTTGTATAACCCTCCTTGTTTCTTGAGCATTACATAAATAGTAACTATAATCTCTCTCATACCCTTGGAGACTGGCCTTCATTGTTCTGTGTTTGAGAAAGGTCAGCAGAGAGAGGTGCCAGGAACCCAACAAGTAAGAAAGTTTCTCTGAGGGTTTAAACAGCATATCTGGCATGCCAGGGTCACTGCAAATCAAACCTTTGTCCTCTTCCATGCAGTGAAACCTCTTGCACCAACTGTTGTGCAGTGACCATCCTCCACTGGGGCATAGAAACAAGCAAGACTTAGCATAAGACAAGGAGGCAATGCTTAAGTTCTGAAATGGGTCAGGTGACGATTCAAGCTTGCCTAGGAGGGAAGCTTTACGGTTCACCTTGGAAATACCTGTCATCATGTTGTTGATCCAACCTGTAAAACTGTGTTCTTTCAAGTAAACAGCTTGAGGTGGAAAAATGAGAAAACTCCAGATTCTGGCAGGCTCTGCCCAGGATCCACCAGGTTGTGCCCCTGGCTCCTCCTTTTCAGGTAGATCCACATCATACATTTAAAGTACACCCAGTTCCCCACATAGAACTACAGTTCCCATTACTCTTAACAAACTACAGTTCCCAAGATTCTACTCTGCCTTTCACCATCCAGGCTCAGACCCCTATTTAGTTCAGTGAGAGAGTTTCTGCTGTCATGGGATCATAGAGCTGGAAGGGACCCTGAGGAATCTGCAATGCAGGAATCTTGACTGAAGCATCCATGACAGATGACCATCCAACCTCTGCTTTAAAACCTCCAAGGATGGAGAGTCCACAATATTGTCTGGGTAAAGTCAGGATATTTGAGACAGATATGGAAGGGTACAAGGGATGCGGGTGGTGCTGTGGGTTAAACCACAGAACCTAGGACTTGCTGATCACAAGGTCGGCGGTTCGAATCCCCGCTACGGGGTGAGCTCCCGTTGCTTGGTCCCTGCTCCTGCCAACCTAGCAGTTTGAAAGCACGTCCAAGTGCAAGTAGATAAATAGGTATCGCTCCGGCAGGAAGGTAAACAGTGTTTCCATGCGCTGCTCTGGTTCGCCAGAAGCGGCTTAGTCATGCTGGCCACATGACCCGGAAGCTCCCTCGGCCAATAAAGCAAGATGAGCGCCACAACCCTAGAGTCGTTTGCGACTGGACCTAATGATCAGGGGTCCCTTTACCTTTACGGAAGGGTACGGGAAGCCTGTGAAGGGCTTGAGGAGAGGCATCGTGGAAGCTGCCTTATACCAAACCAGACCCATACTGTCCACACTGACTGGCAGTGGCTCTGTAGGGTTTCTCTTAGGTCAGGTATGATCTGTCTCGCCCTGCCTGGCGATGCTGAGACTGAACCTTGGACCTTTGCAGGCAAAGCAGATGGTCTACCACTGAGTGACAGCCCTTCCCCATTATGGTTTGGATGGCAGGAAAGGCAACAGCCACAGATGGTGGCAAACTCATACTGTGAACAAAACTGTAGTTTACAATTTCTCAGCAAGCAGAAATGATGTTGTACAATAAGATGAACTTGTTGATGCTGCCCAGACATAGGAATCGCTGCCTGATGCACAGGGGATGGGGAACAGCCCTAGGTGAATAAATAAGGAAAGGAACTGAATTCATGGGCTGTTTACATTACCTGCCACTTCTCAGCTGCAGTTGGGGAAAGGGAGGACAGTGAAGTTTCGACATCCCTCACTGGCAGAATACAGCAGAAGCCAGACACACACTTGGGGGGGGGGGAGAGGGAAGGAAGCATGAGCATGCAAATAACAGTATGCTAAAAGGGTGCATGTTACAGGCACGCATACAAATCAGGACCTGATTCACCATTTCCTCCTCCAGTTCAAGTCTGGGTTCCCCTCACTTTCACAACCCATTGGACAAACATACTGGTTCATAAATCCAAAGCCCCTTCCCTGTGCTTCACATAATCTGTCTGCTTTGGTTATGTTTAAATCACTTTGTGTGCACATTTATTGAAGTACTGGCATATCTTTACCCTTTCGCACAAAAACATGTGCCAGGATATATATATATATGTGTGTGTGTGTGTGTGTGTGTGTGTGTTTGTGTGTATAAAAAATGTTTGGTTTAGGCTGTTCATACTGGTTCCTACCCCTCAGTGCTGTGCATAGCCAGTTTCTGCAGAGCACACTGAACAGGTTTCCTTTGAGCTTTTGCTAAAGGAGGAAATTGTACATCAGACATAAGCATGGCCAATGCACATCCACAGCATAAATGAGATAGATCTTGCTTGTAAAATAAACACAGTTGTTCTCTGCTGAACTTTGAAAACTAAGGGCTGATTCACACTTGCCAGACAAACTTGTTATTTGGTGGGTGCACAACTTTGATGCAGGACTGCTGTGATATTAGAAGAGAGGTGTGTCCCACCTCTTTTTTACAGAATCCACAAGCCCCATTTCCCAAAGCCTCCTTGTTTCAATTTTCTTAATGGTATCTGCCACCCAGAGGCCATTAATCCTATTTTCACACTGCCTCAAGAACACTTATCTGTGTTATATAACCCCTTGCCTGACCTGGTGCTGCCTTGGGTGAAGACCACAGGTAGATAGAGTCATCATCCAGTGTTCCAGTCAGTTCCTGGAAGGAAAGCCAGTGTCATCACACCAGGGAAACCTGCTCTGATGAGGCACAACATGGTCAGATGAACACTGCATGCTCCAGAAATATACTCAATGAGAGATTGTAAGATTTCATAAGTAGCGCCACTCTGTTCACTGCCTCTAGTGCTGTCATTGACCATCTGCTGGGAGTCACTCACTTGCCAAAATGGCTTCCGAGCAGTTTATTCATTTACATTCCTTCTATAAGGGTTTCCCCCTTACAGACTACTTTAATTGCAGAGGGGTCTTGGTGGACCACTTAATGATTTTCCTTGTTGTTGATGCAACTGTAATGCACTGGGATAGATACTGTGTATATATATTATTTGTATTGCATAGAATTCAAACTGTAATAACAAAATATAATATAAGAAGTGAGATAAGCAAATAAAATGCAATTAAAATCACTGTGAATATTTAATGCAATTGAGGTGCCTTTTCCCATCTCCAACCACAAATCCACAGATGTGCTACAGACCATGTGAAGCTTGTGGACCACAGTTTTGAAATCCCTGCTCCATACCATTTTATGTCATATAGACCTCAGAGTAAAAATATGCATCAGTAATAACAAAACCAATAAAATGTAAAATTTGAAGCATACAAACAATTCATATATATATATATTTGAATATTCCATTTCAGAGAACAAGATTAATGCTGGTTCTAATTAATGCTGGTTTTAATTTTATTGTTATATAATTTTATGTTTATAATTGATTAATGATTATTCATTTTGAAACTACATGTTGAAAGTTCCACATGCAGAGAGTTCTGCCTGGAAACTCAGTCCATAAATGCTTTAGATATACAGGAAACTCTCAATTTACACAGGGGTTACATTCCGAGGAACTGTGTTTTTACGTGTATATCGTGTGCATCAGGAACACCATTTAAAAAGCCTGCAAACACCCTCTAAACTTATGGAAACCCTTTAAAGGCAGCCCTTTGAAGTTTGAAAGGATTGATGGGGTATTATTATTCTTATTAATAAAAAAAACCCTTAAAAGCACCCCAAAATCCACCAAATTCCACCACAATTGCCCCCTCCAAACCTCCTTGCTCAAATTCCAACTCTCCAAAGGCCCCAAAGGTTGGTACAAAGGCTCGTGGGATTGCTAGATGCTATTTTTGTGCCATTGTTGCCATTTTTGCACCCTTTTAGGATCACTTTTTGCCCCCTTTCAGGTTTGTGGCAATGCACACATGTGTGGATGCCCGTGCCCCAAACACGCATAAATGGGAAGTTGCCTGTATACATAAATAAAAAGGAAGGTGTGGCAGGGACAGAGGGACCTTGGGATTCCCAGACAGCCTGGCCAACTATCAGGGATGATGGGAGCTGCAGCTGAGCAACATCTGGCAGTCCACAGGTTTTCCCATTCCTGATCCAAAAGCTGCGGAAGAGGGTATTTTTCATTCTTATCCCCCAGAGCCTCCATTAGGCACCAGGAAACCTGCTAAGCTTGTTACATGTCCCTTTTTCTTTTTTTATTACCTTGGAGACCTGTTGTCAGATGGAAAGGCAAGCGTGTAAAGATTTTAATAAATGAACGGATGCTCTTGTCTCTCGGCAGGAAATTAAAGCCCGGGCGGCAGCATTCCGGCAACAGCAGGGCATTTCAACAGAAGCTGGGGGCAACAAGGAGAATATCAAGAAGAACCGTTACAAAGACATCCTGCCATGTTAGTTGCCAATGAGGAAATACTACTACTGTGTGGTGGCTTTAATATTGGCATCTGTGGCATGGGGCCAGTTCTGCCCAACTTGGCACTCACTTCCTCTTCTATGGATCAGGCTGTGTTACCACATTCCTCTTGGGCTCCTCCACCCTAGGAGTGCCTTGAATTGTCTTTCATTTGCTCGTGTCACCAGCAAAATATCCAGTGAGTGTTGCCATGTCCCAGGCTGTAGTACTCGCGATTCAGGGCCTCAAAGCATCAAGTTAGACCCTAGATCCATCGGCTACTCTCAAATTATAGGAATTTTGTGGCAGTCCTATTGACTATAACAATATTGTTTTAAAAGTTTACTTTTAAAAAATCACAACATTCTGAAAAAAGAAAATATTGCATATGAAGAGGAGGTTTCCTTCTTTCTCCAAATATCCATCTTTTCTCTATTGTAAAAATCATGGCCAAGGAATCATTCCAAGAATGAGAAAAATCTGTTTCTCTCTCCCCCTCCCCTGATTTTTTTTTGTTTTTCCTGGGCCTTCACATCTCTAGCTCTATCCCTTTAGCAGCTGCTCACACTGTCCTTGTGTGTCTGACATCATGAGGAACCTTTCTATTCTGGGATGGGTCTTAATGGGTAGGAGAAGATATATTCATTGCAATTAATCTATCCAGGCTCCCACATGTGTGGGTTGAACAGTTTCAAAGTCCCATCCTTGGCAGCAGAATTAAGCATAGGAATTTGGCTGTAAAACCTCATTTAGAGGAAGTCCTGCTATGAAGTAAGCTGGCTCTCCCTTCTTACCCCGCTGAACAAAGAATCAGGCAACTACAGTAAGTTTAAACATAAGAATTTCTTACTTATAATTTGCATTGGTTCCCAGCAGTGGCAGCAGTAAAAGCTATGCTGGCAAAATACTTAGATTTACAGTACAACCAGCTTCAGGCATGTACCTAAAGCCAGAGCAAACAGAGATATCTCTGCATCCAATGCTAGTCAAAGGAAGAAAGAGAGGAAAAGGAAATACAATATGCTCCTTCCTCTCCCGGAGAGTAGGGGAAATGACATCACACAGAGCCCTCTCTGCCAACTGTATTTCTATGGTCTGCCTATCAGCAATACAGCTCTGTGGGCTTAGCCCCTTCTCATGCAAACTAGCAGGAATGTGCATTTCTAAGGTTTGGCTGCTACTCTTCCACACCTATGGCATCACTGCAGCTCATTTAGTGAGTCTCAGGATTTGGGATGCTGGAAACCAGGGGCAGTAACTGTATCCAGAACCCTGCCCAGGAAGTTTATATAAAGCTCCAAGCCAATCAGGAGGCCAGACTGAGGAAGTTAACTAATGGATGAAAAGTAATCAGAGGAACTGCAAAAAGTGGAAGTTGATACTTTCTAAGGTGTGCGCCTTCATTTTAGGAACGGGACAATCTGCCACTGCTCTCTGGAGGGTGGTCAGAAGGACAGAGTGGTTGTGACGCTAGTGATGATGAGCAGATACTTTACCTTGTTTTTGGTCTGTCTTAGTTTCTCAGGCTCTGCTCCAGGGCTTCCCAGAGGAGTATGGTTGGCCACTGTGAGAACAGGATGCTGGACTAGGTGGGTCATTGGCCTGATCCAGCAAGTCTCTTCTTATGGACCATCTAATTCAGGGGTCCTCAAACTTTTTAAACAGGGGGCCAGTTCACTGTCCCTCAGAGACTGTTGGGGGCCGGGCTATAGTTTGAAAAAAATATTAACGAATTCCTATGCACTCTGCACTTTTTTCTTTAATTTTTTTGGGGGGGCCCCAAGAGAGTGGGGTCCTAAGCTATAGCTTGTTTAGCTTATATGTAAATCCGGTACTGGGGGGAGGGTGTTGTGCCTTGTTGTGGTGCACCTGTGGGGTGAAACTAAGAAAAAGCGATGTGGGTGGGTGGGTGTGAAGAGAGGTCGGAAGCACCTGTGGCGATGCCAAGAATGGAATTAACGGAGACCCTGGCAAAAGAAGGAAATGCTCAGATGGCAACAGAAATGCAGCAAGGCACTTCCTCCCGTGGCAGGAGGGAGGCGGGCTGCGAGAGGAGGGCCATAGGCCCGTTAGACAGCGGCGGATTCAACAATTGACAGGCGGGCCGGGTTCAGGACCATAGGCTGTAGTTTGAGGACCCCCAATCTAATTGCTCCAGGAGCTCTCTTTGTGAATAGTGCTATGCACAGATCCACGGGATGAATGTGAAGCAAGACAAACCTGTCCACTTACTTGGGCAATACCTGTGGAGCAATGCTCACCTTGGTGGGGTCTCTCCTAGGCTATCTTCTCGGGGGTTGAGGACATACCTCTCAGGGTGCTACTCTCTGGTCAGTCGTCTGTACACTATGACCTTAGGGGCACCAAGCCATGGGATCCAAACAGCACCAGTGGTTCAATGTAGTCAGGGGTTTGGTCACTGACGTCACAATCTCTTTCCTTTTTCCATTTCCTGTCAATTGAGAGCAGGGTTAGGCTAAGCTGTGACCCTCCAGATGTTTCTGGAGTGCAGCTCCGCCCATGCCCTGACCATTGGCTATGCAGCTGGGGCTGCTGGGAGTTGCAGTTCTGAGGGATCACAGGTCAGATGCTGAGATTCATGTTCTCTCTCTCTCTAAGGCCAGGTGACTATCTGTGGTACTAACTCCCAGTTGTGTACATCTCACAGATGATCAGACCAGAGTTGTTGTGAACTTCCTGACAGAAGAAGCCCAAGCTGATTACATCAATGCAAACTTTATTCAGGTAACAGAGTCCTGAACCCTACCCCTCCCCATTGCAAACACATCTGACTAGAGGAATTTGCCCAAACTGATGAGAGCTGAAACACTGGCAAGCTTTGTTCCAGATTAAAGCGGGGGGGGGGGCCTCAGTTCCCTATTATACCATCCAAAAGATTTTACTTTTGCACTGTGTAAGTGTAAGAATGGCATTGACCTGCCTCCAGAGAAACCTCCCCCCAGGGCCCCTCAGGTCAACCACAAAATGGCACTTCTCTCCCCACCAGGGAGGAAGGGGTGGGTCAAGAGCTACACCAGGAACAAGGGGGAAATGAAGATCTACATTGGGATCTGCTGCCCATGGGGATCCTGCCTCACTTTGCCTCATGGCTGGTCTGGTCATGTTTTTATAGGCCTCAGTGACTGGCCTGTGCCTCATGACTGGAAGGAGAAATGCCCAAAGCAGTGGTAAAAGAGGCAGCCAACTCTGACAGCAAGTAGCTTGGCTGCATCTTTTGTGTCAGAGTGACTGAAGGGTCCAGTATCCCTGCAGAGGTGCGGGCAGCATCCTGCTCTTCCCCCAGGTGAAGATGCTTGGAAGCATGCAAGGCCAGTTTAGCAAATGATGCAAAGATCCAGCAGGTGACCTCCATGGAGAAGGGGGGCTTTTGTCCCATAGTAGCCTTTTCATGATTTTATTTTATTTTTCAAGGTAAGCTAGTTGCGTGTCGAGACCCCACAGCCACCCCCTCGTTGGGAAATAACTCACAGAAGTACACAGATATTAGGTTTATGTTACTGGGCAAATTTTGGCCACAACTTTATTGAATTACAGAATGTGAGCGGTATTGGCTTAGGCATTGATTGGACCCAACTATATTTGACTCTGTGCAGGAAGTCCAGTAAGGGTAAGCCACCGGTAGGGGGAGCCCTGTTGATGCGAACCAGCTCAAGCTCCCCCTGGTGTTCCCGTCCGGGTCGTGTCAAAGCCCTAGCCCCCAACCGGGCTTCGGACAAGATCAACACCCCCGGATTCCTTTAACGGAATACCCTTAAGATGGAGGGGCAGGTGATGGCCACACCTCCCCTCCCCCACACAAGGTCAAAAAATGCCTAACCGCAACCCTAACAAAGTTGTGACGATTGCTACGAGGTAGGCGAAAGCCAAGTGGCCAGTGCCAATTTGCCAAGTGGAAAAATTCCTACCAGGCCCCTTGGACAACCAAGGCGACCAACTGAAATCCATAGCAAGGCCAGTGCCTAACCTGCAAATAGGGAGGGAGGGTGATTGAGGAAGTGAACTCGCTCCTCGGTTTAAACTGTCCCAGCCACACCCCGCCGGCCAGCGGATTGGCTGGCTGGGCTCTGACGTGGCCGGGATCCCCCAGGCAATGGGGGACAAAGTCCCCCACCCCCGGTGGGGAGTGGGTGGCCATGCGGTCCACCGCAACTCCTCCCCACTGGGAAGTGGAGCAGATAAGTTCCATCAGGCACACTAGAATGGCATTATGGCAAAAGTCAGAATTGAAGGCTCTTCCTATCATCAGTTAAAAGTCCCAGTTTACTAGAATACATTTCTAGTCCTCATGGTTACAGAGATAAAATTGACAGTGGGATGACAACGTACTCTAAAGGCTCTTGGGAATCCTAAATTTAGCGATAAGATACACGCACTCCCCAGGAGCTGACTTAAATTTTCCACATTTGAGAATATTGCTTTGAGAACATGAATGTTATAGAAGTGGACAATACATACCCCAGTTGCAGTTTAGCACTGACCATTCTATTTACAATGGAATGCAAAGTATTTTTGTCAAGCACAAATCAAATGGGTGAATTATCCAAAGCCCTCTCATTCTAATCTCTAACCAATTGCCCTCCCTCTCCCTTGTTTATCCCCACTTATCTTCAAATAGAATGCTGTTCTCCAGCTCAGGGGTGATGACAGGGTGTTCAGCAGAATGCATGATGTTCAGTTCACGTTTGCGATTCTCTTTTCTTCCCACAGGGTGTGGATAACAAGCAGTGCTATATTGCAACCCAGGGGCCTCTTCCACACACAGTGCTGGACTTCTGGCGCATGATTTGGCAGTACAAGGTGAAGGTGAGTTGTCCAGGCAGATCACAAGTAATATCCTAGATATTAAAGCAAGCTCTGAAGTGCAAATTGTGCCCAGCAGATTGGATTGATCTGTATAAGACCAGTTTCTCTGACACCAAGGCATCTGGTGAACTGTCCCTCTCAAAGCAAATTCAAATTAATGTTTCTGCTCCTTTATGGCAGCGGCAAGGAAACCTTTTTCAGCCCGACAGCCACATTCAGGTCTGTGAAACCTTCTGGGCCACATCCCAGTGGTGCCAGAAGCAAAAGTGCACAGAGCAGCAAATGTAAATTTTACCCATGCACCGTAGTACAGTTTCTACACACCCCGCTGTTCTCTCTGGGCCTGGCGTTCTCCACCACTGCTTCATGATGTTCTTTCATTGCAGGTGATTGTCATGGCTTGTCGGGAAGTGGAACTAGGCAAGGTGAGGCCTCCTGAAGTAGAGATGGTATTTGGAGGCTAGGAAGCCTCATGGGGTCTCTCATCCGGGCCTTGAGGTTTTGAGGACAGCCATGTTGCCACCATCTCTCTTACCTAACCTTTCTTGCTTTCCTATGCCTTTTCTTTCTCAGAAAAAGTGTGAGCGCTACTGGCCTTTGGCAGAGGAAACCTTGCATTTTGGATCCTTCTCTGTGGCACAGGTGAGGTTGTTACACATGGACAGGAAGAAGCTGCCTGCGGAAGGAGGAGCCTGGTTCCTGGCAAGGGGATGCTGGCACAGTTCTTCATCAATGCACAAGCACAGGCATCTCCACTGCCAACCTAACCTGGATTAAAGGCCATTTCTTCTCACTAAGGAAGGGCTGGGAATTGTCGTTAAGAACCTGAGAATTGCCTTGTTAGATCAGACCAAAGTCCCATCTCATCTAGCATTCTGATACCAGCAGTCGAAACCAAGCAGATGCACCTGCTGGAAACACACAAGAAGAGTGCAAACATGATGCCCTCCCCTGTTGCAGGACTGGCTGACTATCCTGCCATTCTCATGATGTCATTGGATCCCAGTTCCCATGAGCCCCATCAGCATGACTGATGGCCAGGAATGATGGGAGTTGTAGTGCAGCGATCCCTTAAGGGCCACGGGCTCACTATAGCTGCCACATAGTTTGTGCGCAGTCTCTGGCAAAAACATTAGGTCCAGTCGTGACCGACTCTGGGGTTGTGGCGCTCATCTCACTTTATTGGCCCAGGGAGCCGGCGTACAGCTTCCGGGTTGTGTGGCCAGCATGACTAAGCTGCTTCTGTCGAACCAGAGCAGCACACGGAAACGCCGTTTACCTTCCCGCCAGAGCGGTACCTATTTATCTACTTGCACTTTGACGTGCTTTCAAACTGCTAGGTTGGCAGGAGCAGGGACTGAGCAATGGGAGCTCACCCCATCGTGGGGATTCGAACTGCCGACCTTCTGATCGGCAAGTCCTAGGCTCTGTGGTTTAACCCACAGCGCCACCCGTGTCCCACAGTCTCTGGTACTTGGAGGTATATTGCTCTTAGAAATTTTGCTCTCTTACCAGACGTAATGTTAGCAGCTGGCACCCTTGGGCAATTCCTGGGCCCTGGGCCCTTCCACACTGAGCAGCTGGATCTTCAGGCTGACACCTAACATTTCCCACCATGTTCCCCACTGTTGCATTGCTCCAGAGCACAGAGGGAAATTTGAAAGAGCAGTTCATGGCACACCCATTCCTGCCACCCTCAGCCCACCAACATGGAGGCTGGGGGCACCAAATGGCCCTTTACAGGGGGCCCCTGAAACCTGGAACTAGCCCTGCTCATCACAAAGAGATACTGAAAGGCCTTTCTCCCTGGGAGTTAATTCATCTTTTTTTGAGAACCAGCTAAGTTACCTTTGCCATTTCATGTGTCAGCGAACTCCATAAGCTGCATCACATGTGTGGCTACAAGGTGCTTCTTGGATCCGTCCCATACTTAATTCCTGCCCAGTCAGGAATTTGCCTGATCCCATGTCAAACCATTAGTCCGTCTAACTCAAAATGGGATGTTTAGGGAAGTTTTTAATGTCTGAAGTTTTATTCTGTTTTTAATGTTCTGTTGAAAGTTGCCCAGAGTGGCCTAGGAAACCCAACCAGATGGGTGGGGTAGAAATAATAAATTATTATTATTATTATTATTATTATTATTATTATTGGTAGTATTAGTATTATTAAATTGCCTGCACTGACTCCAGGCTTTCAGATGGGGCTCTTTCCCAGCCTTTACCTGCAGATGCCTTGGATTGAACCTGGGACCTTCTGCAGAAAGGCATGGTCTCTGCCCCGAGACTTCATCTGCAGTGAACTCCATCCATTGGCAAGAATATTGAGAATTTGGTCAAAGTTCCCGAACCCTTTCACAAAATGACAATCGCCAGGGTTTAAGTTTGTCAGGAAGTCATTTCTCATGTCAAGCAAGCTATCCCATAAAGCAGAACTGTGATGGTTAACAAAACACTGTCCAATTGTACCTACATTAGAGATAAGGAACCTGTGGATCTGCAGATGTTGCTGAACTACAGTTCCCACCATCCCTGAGCTTTGGCTACACTGACTGAGGCTGATGGGATTGAAGAGTTCTCTATCTCTAGCCTATATTATAGGTGGGCAGCGTAACTGAGCAAATGAGATGTCTCCCATTTGGGGAGATAAGAATATTTTGAACAATGTGATGGGCGGTTTTCTTGTCTCTTCCTCAGGTTAAAGAACAGGAACTCAATCCAGATGTCATTCTGCGGATGCTTACCCTGACCTTTCAGAAGGTAAAGCTACTCCATGGCACTTAATTGCTAGGCAAGGCCCACTGGAATTGTGGGGCACACCCGAGTCCAGGTCTTGGGGCTGCACTTTATGGCTCTGGGGCCTCAAGGTCAGCTGCATGAGCTGGAAGCTGAAGGAGCAGCAAGTAGAAAGCACTGCTCTGTGGACCAGGCAGGAGCACAAGGCGGGGCTCTGAATATTTATAGCAGGCTTCGTCCTGATTGCCTGGAACCTTATCAGGCTCTGCCCAGGCCCTATCCCTACTATGGTTGCTGGCAAAATCAGCTTCTTTGCTGCTGAATGAAGCACCATTCCTTTTGACCACTGTTAAGAGACTGGTGTGCTCCACAAACAGGGGAGAGCGCTCAGAGATCCAGGTCGGGAAATGTCAGAGTGTTCCTTCCAGATCCCTGCAGCAATGGCACATGAGAAAAGGAGCCCCTGCTGCAGTGCAGTCATTTCATCACCACCATCAAATTCCAAGGAGTTTGAGACCCACAAGGAATCGTCCAGGGGCAGATAAGGCCTGTGGGTTTAGGGTTTGCCACCGGTGCTGTAGACAGGCCTTCACAGGACCAGAGTTCCAGAGTTCCTTGGTTGAAGACAAACCATTCAATAGTCTTGAAGAATGGGTTTTAATTTGAGGTGGCATCAGGTGCTTGCATTAGCAAACATAAACATGTCAGAGGGTGCAAATGGCTTTCCTCTCCTACCACCTGTTCTGTGTCAGCCCCATTCAGACGTGGTGATATTGATCTGTACCTCTCCCCTCCCCCCAGGAGGAGCGGGAGCTATCCCATTTCCAGTACGTGGCTTGGCCAGACCGGGGCATCCCAGACACTTACGGCCACTTCCTTGGCATGATTGAGCAAGTGAGAAGCAAGCAGGGTGAGAGTACTGTGCCCATCTGTGTGCATTGCAGGTAAGGGGCAGCCCCAGGGCAAAGCCCTATAGACAGACCACACCACAGTCATGGGGTCAGAGGATGGGTCCTCTTAGAGGATCAGTACAGTGGTGCCCCGCAAGACGAATGCCTCGCAAGACGAAAAACTCGCTAGACGAAAGGGTTTTCCGTTTTTGCGTTGCTTCGCTAGACGAATTTCCCTATGGGCTTGCTTCGCAAGACGAAAACGTCTTGCGCTTTTTTTTTAAAGCCGCTTGAAGAGGCGCAGTTGCGACGGACCGTGCTTCGCAAGACGAAAAACATCGCAAGATGAAAAGACTCGCGGAACGAATTCTTTTCATCTTGCGAGGCACCACTGTAACTGGTTAAAGGGAGCAAAGAGCAGGAACAAATGGGCTGTCCCCACAAGTCACAAAGGAGAGAAGCACAGAGTCTCCCAAGGATCTGCACTGAACTTGTTGTGCTTTAAGCCATTCATAAGTGATCTGGAGTTAGAGGGGAGCAGTGAGGGGGCCAAGCTTGGGCACACGGCCATATTTTTATTATTATTATTGGTATAATAAATTTTATTACAAGTCCAATAAAAGCCACATTGTCACATTACCAAATTACAATCCAATTAAAAAGAAAGAGAGCCTATTATTCAAAAACTAAATTAATCAATTTGAGATGACTTCCCATGTACTGGCTTTCTGGTTACAAAGTTCTTATGTCTTCCTCCTTTAATCTTGATTAATCCAATAACAACAGTTCTGACCTTAATCCTTTGTTGACAGCCACTTGTTTCTTGACTTCCATTCGTAATTGCATATTTAATAACTTTTATTTCTGCAAGCAGAATTTATATCCAATAAATTTCCTGTGTGATATGTTAATTCCAGTTGTTTCTTCATTTTCCCTGCTTTAATTCGATCATAAAAGGCACCTATGCTTCCACATTTTCGTTTTCACTTCTGTTCTCAGAAGCTGTTATTTTCACTGCGTCACTGCACCATCTTTGTTTGTCTGAGCGAAGGTCTGGCACTCCGCCATAGCCCCAGGCAGAACTCCAACATATCCTTTCTCTTCCAATACTTAGTTCTTAATGATCTGATGTCCCGCCACTGCTCTGGTGGATCAAGGAACCATAATCTTAACTGCAATTCAGTGGAAGTTAGAAGCTTCAATCGTATCGACATTCTCACGCAGTCCCATTTCCATTAAAAAATCCATAAATATTATCTTATTCTCTTTGATTTCCTCTTGCTTTTTATCAATCCATTGATATTCTGGGAAAGAGTTGCCGAATCACTGATGCAGCCAAACGTAATATATATTCAGAAAGGGTAAAGGCTCCCCTCCTCCAGTCATACTTCACCTTGTTATGATGGAAATCTTCCTCTCTCCAATTCAGATCGTTGTCGCTCAGTGGCTGATTTATTTAGCAGTTTATCTTGTCTCCTTAGCCCAGTACATGTCTGTAAATTAGATCCTATTAAAATTCCAAAGTACAGAAGAACTGCCAATAAGCGAAGCGCATTGCACCCAGCGCCTCCTGCCTCCATCTGGAGTGAGAGCCGGGTATCAGAAGATCTGCAGGTGAAGCTCACCCCCTCCCCGGACATGGGGGTGGGGAGCTTATAAGGACAATTGCCCTCGTTATTCTTGTTTATACAGTGGTACCTCGGGTTACATATGCTTCAAGTTATATACGCTTCAGGTTACAGACTCCGCTAACCCAGAAATAGTGCTTCAGGTTAAGAACTTTGCTTCAGGATAAGAACGGAAATCTTGCTCCGGCGGCGCGGCAGCAGCAGGAGGCCCCATTAGCTACAGTGGTGCTTCAGGTTAAGAACAGTTTCAGGTTAAGAACAGACCTCTGGAACGAATTAAGTACTTAACCCGAGGTACCACTGTACTTCACCTGCCAGTCTCCGCTACTGCGAAGCTCTGCGCCCATTTTGACAGGAAGCACCGGAAGTCCACACTGCCATTATATTTATGGGGATGAACCAAGAAGATTTTTCTGAAAGAATTTCTTGAAACAAAATGGCAAAGTGTTCTCATTTGTATTGCAATTCCTGGCTGGATGTGATCTGAAAGAAGGTCTGTTATTTTGCAGACCCTCTCTCACCCTCTTTCCTCCTCTGCAGTGCTGGCTGTGGCCGGACAGGTGTGATCTGTACCCTGGAATACATACGGCAGCTGCTGCTGAAACAGGTATTTCTAGGCAAGTCAGATCTGAGGGATGGAGGACTGAGGAAGCTGGGTGGATTTGGTCCAATATTTCTGTCTGTTGGAACAACAAATATCGGAACGATGTTTGACCAGACACTGTTGCTGTTTTCTTGTTTAAAGAGTGACTGTGTGTCTGGCTATTTCTTGGCTGGGTGGGTGGATAGGCAGACAAACGGACAGACAGATGGATAAAATGTCATGTAGACTTTGTTTTTTAAAATGGTGTTTAATTGAAATATGATTAGAATTTGATTTTAATAGAATTTGCCCCTTCTTCCCCAAAAGAGATGGAATTCCTGAAGCATCTCTGTTTGGAATATGTTCGGAATAGAACCAGGTGTGACGAGTGCCTGGTCTGGCTTTGCCAGTGAGTGTGTGTTTTGTAGTGAACCTCTTGCTACATCTGTGCATTGCATGCAACACTTTAATTAAATCTGTTTTCTATATATGGCAGAACTCTGGACATTGTTTATTCATTTAGAGCATTTGAACCCTCCTCCTCAGCCAAAACGGCTCCTGAAACAGCTTACATATAATCCATGGAAACAAGACTGTCCCCTCCTAGGAACCAATTCAGTTGTTCATAAACTAGCTTATCAGAATAAGACTATTACTTACAAGTAGTTTTGTTTTTACACTTGGAGGTGGGGATAAGTGTTCAAAAATATAACCTTTCTCCAGCTGTCTGAGTTGACACAGTCCATAACTTCATATATAGCCTCCATCTGTATATAAAATGAGGAACAAAAATGTCCCTTGGAGAGGACTATTGTACTGCAGAGTCTCAGCTCCCACAACAAACATCAAGATACAGTACTTGGTTGATCCCTGCAAAATTCGCATCTTCCCTTGCCTTCTGCTTCTTTGGGGAAGATACCTCTTATGATACCCTCACATAGCTCAGAGGAAATAACAAATGAAATAGGGAGTAGTAAAGCAGAGTGGCAAATGTGGGAACCCAAATGAAGGTCCTTCAGTCAGATATCATGCAGCCCTGTATCAGGAAGTTTTTAATGTCTGATGTTTTACTGTAAGCCGCCCAGAGTTCCTGGGGAAACCCAGTCAGATGGGTGGAATATAAACAATAAAATTATTATTATTATTATTATTATTATTATTGTTATTATTATTATTGCCGACATTTCCCCAGTTCTCCTCTACTTTTCAGAGAATCCCCCCGCATTTCAGTATTTTTGATGTTGTCCTAGAAATGAGGAAGCAGAGACCAGCTGCTGTTCAGACCCAGGTGAGCCCCGCAGTCATCGCTCCTGTCCACACCAATACATTTTGCTGCCCGAAGCAAAGATGATGTGTGTCCTCACAGAGTCCCCCAGCATTCTAAGATGGCTGGACTGGCAGCTGAATCTGGCGAAGGGAAGGCACCAGTAGCTAGGCAGGGGTGAATTGCCCTGGGTGGCGCTGGGGTTGCAGGGTACCCAAGCCACCACATCGCTCCCGGTGCCCTCTAGCTGGATGGCGCCCGGCAGGGACGCAGTCACTCTGGCAGCGCACCCCATCCCACAGTGTGCCCTCCGCCATTGCGCTGCGCAGGTGCCCACCTCAGGCACTGGTGGGGCTCACTCCAGCGCTAGACAGTGCCCCACACTGCACCAGGGGGCAGCAGACTAATTTAGTGTACAGGCTCTTTATCTTCATATCTTGGTATTTGGTGTTCCTAAAGCAGGGGTCGCCTCGAGGGCTTCACCTGATGTCCAAAAAGGCTTCTGAGCTCCCCTGATGCTCTCACCACTTAATCATGAGGGGCTGAGGGTGGTTACCTTTTCTCCCTTGGAAAACCCACAGAGCTGAAGGAGGAAGTGGGAAGGCTGATGTTTTTCCCACCTCCTCTTTGGGCTGCATGGGCTTCTCAAGGCTCCAATGAATTCTTTGCGATCCAAGTTTTGCCCAGTCCCTTGGAAAAGCAAAGTGAGTGCACACGTCCTCTCCTTCTGTCAGTTGTGGGTAAGCTTTTCTGGGATTGTAGGATGCGGGTGGCGCTGTGGGTTAAACCACAGAGCCTAGGGCTTACCGATCTGAAGGTCTGCAGTTCGAATCCCCGCAACGGGGTGAGCTCCCATTGTTCGGTCTCTGCTCCTGCCAACCTAGCATTTCGAAAGCACATCAGAGTGCAAGTAGATAAATAGGTACTGCTACAGCGGGAAGGTAAACGGCGTTTCCATGCACTGCTCTGGTTCGCCAGAAGCAGCTTAGTCATGCTGGCCACGTGATCCAGAAAAACTCTGTGGACAAACGCCAGCTCCCTCGGCCAATAAAGCGAGATGAGCGCTGCAACCCCAAAGTCGTCTGTGACTGGACCTAACGGTCAAGGGTCCCTTTACCCTTTACCTTTAGGACTAGAGAAGGCATGGCACCCATGGCACTTGCTCAAAAATTCCGCTGTGTCCATGGGCCTCAAAAAGTTGGTGACCGCTTCCCTCGAGTGTGGCCGAACCTTAAGGGCGTTTGGAGCTTCCCTTTATAGATCAACGTTCTCCTCTCATATCTCATATCTCCTCTTTTCTTGGCAGGAGCAGTACGAGTTTGTATACCATGCGGTCACTGAAATGTTCCGGGCTGCCCTGAGTTTATCTGACTCAAACTATGAAAACGTCAAAGAAGTAAGAGACAAATCCAAACTAAAAGCAACACTGGAGTTACTGGAACTTCCCACATAGGGCAGCTTTTCCTCATTCATCTGTGAAAGTTGGCAGAAGAGGTGGGGGGTGTTGTAGTCCTCAGTGGAGATCAACCCATTGCAGTTTCTCCTTGGATTGCTGTTTTGATTGGGGAATCTGAAAACAGACACTTCTAGCCCATAGACCTCCAGTTTTTGAGGGGCATAAATTTCTTCATGAGTTTTAATCAAACTTGACCAAATATTTAGTTGATCCTTCGAAGCCTTTCTGAGTTATATTTGTGAGCTGAATTCATAAATGTCACAGCAGATTCCTGAAGATTGTACCTGCAGTTGTGGCTTTAGCTCTCATAATTTTGTTACTGCAAATATTTCATTTTCTTCAAGGAACTCAGGGCAGCATACATGGTCTTCCACTGCCCCATCCTGGCCCCTGCTTTAAGAGCGACTATCCCAAGGTCACCCCGGGGGGTGGTGGTGTTATACCTTCGTGTCCCAGGTCCACACTGGCTTTGAATGCATGTTAAGAAGAGGAAAAGGACTAATATTGGTTTCCCAGGACAACTGCAATGCTATCCCCTTCCTTTTTTGCAGTGGTTGGAAAACTGCAGTCCTCCAGATGAACCTCAGCCAATATGGCCAGTGGGCAGGGATGATAGGAGTTGCAGGCTGCCTTCACACGGCATGTTTAAAGCTCATTTCTTCCCCATTTTAAGAATCCTGGCAATGGAGGGAAAGATACAGGCAGCTACTATAAAAGCAAACCCAGCCAGCTGTCTTTCTCTCTGTCTGTCTCTGGCACACAAGTGCAAGTGCACACATTCCCCTGCCGGGAATCTGTGCTTTGAGGAGGTTCCTCTTTCATATTCACTTCCCCCCAAAATGGCCTCTTATCTTTCTGATCTACTAACTGGGGAGTTCCAGCTGTGTAAGTCTGATACCACAAGAATCTGGAGGCTCTGTGGCTTTAGGTTACTTTCTGTGGGCTTGGGAGGGGCAAAAGTGACAGCAAAGTGAGTGAGATATGATGGTGGCCCCATGGGCATAGGTAGGATTTTTGTTAGGGGGGCAGAACCAATGTGATGGGTCAGTTAGTTAAGTATTTCTATTGTTTTACTCGTGCCCCCCCCCCCAGGTTACACCCATGGGTGGCCCAGAGACTGGCATTTGAAGGCCCCTCAGGCTCACAACTGGGCAGGGAGGCAAGAATTAGCCCATCAACTGCTTCAGACTTTTCATAGCCAAGCTTCTCAGGGCTTGTCCACATTTGAGCTGGATCTTGCTTGGAGACGACATTTTCTCCTTTTGAATTTGGCTTCATTAGACCAGTGCACCCGCCAGTGCCACAGCTATTGGGGGGGGTTGGGGGGGGGTTTTGCTCTGGGTGATGCCTCCCAAGGGGCACCATTGAGGCTCCCAGCCTGTGTGTGTATGCAAATGCACATGGGGTGCCATTACTGGGTCTTTGACCCGAGTGGAAAAAAGCCTAGCTTCACCGCTACACACACAAACACACACACACTTCAACTGCAGTTGAAGATCAAAACTGCTTGCTCCCATTCACACCAGTAGGTGTTCCCTTTTTCCTTTCCCCATCTTCCAGTTTGTTGATTCACTTTTTAAAATTCTGAACAAATGGCATGTGTGGAGAGATCAGCTGAGCAGCAAACACTTTAAACATAATTGTCTGCCCAATAATTGCACAATCCTTGTGGGAATGTACACCTCAATAAGGGGGGGGGGATTAGTAGAGAGAGGATTAGGTGGCGCACATTGGAGCCAGAGGGGAAGAGAAGTGAATGGGCAGCTGTAGTAATGGGGAGGAGGAGGAAGGGGCCCCACTGAGAGGGCACCGTGGCTGAGGAAGCCTCTCCACCCCCCAACAAGCCCTGGAACTGCCACTGAATGGGTGTATCCCTCAAACACAAAATCCCCAGCTAGAGGGGAATACTGGAAGACTCAGGGCCGCCCCAGGAAACTGAAGGCTGACAAAGAAAGCCCTTCTTCACCCACTGCATAGAAGGAGTGGTGGCCACTGGCTTGGATGGCTTTAAAGGAGTAGACCAATTCATGGAGGAGAAGGCGATCCATGGCTACCAGCCGTGATGGCTCTGTTCTGCCTCTGCTGTCTGTTCAGCCCCAGCTGCTGGGAATCCCAAGTGGGGAGAGTGTTGTTGCACTCCAGTCCTGCAGGCAGGCTTCCCATAAACATCTGCCTGGACAATGGGAGAGCAGAGCGATGGACCTTTGGCTGGACCCAGCAGGACTCTTCTTCTATGTAAGAAGGGTGGCAGGAAAACTACCCTTCCCAGCAATCTTCCCATCCCAGCCTTATAGGCAGGTCAGTTAAGATCTGTGTATGAAGGCTGCTCCAGGGCCTTCTTCCAGTGTAGCGCTTCTTCCCCCACACCAGCCACACCTGGATTCGGAAGAGACAGAAGTGTTTGTAAATGAAATAAACAAAAATTAGCTTGTTTTCTCCAAGCAACTGAAATCTGTGTTTGCTCTGGTGGGTTTGTCTTGCTACTATATAAAAACTAAGTCTTGTTTTTATACAATTAAACAAATTCTTAAGCACAAACACAAACTTTTATTTTACATCATCTGCATTAATAGGCACACTGACTCTGTTCCTATTAATTTCTGAAGGTGTGAGCAGCTTGGCAAGGGAGCAGGGAAAGCTCCTTTCTGTGTGACTAGGCAGTCTTGACAAGGTTGTATAGCAGCCGTCCTAAGTTCTGGAACACATAGGAGGTATAAGTGATGTTGCAATAGCAGTGAAAAACAAAGAGCTAATTTTAAAAATAAATGAATGCTCACATGAATGCAGGAGTAGCTGGCCATGCAGGCGGGGGCTGATGGGAATTGTAGCCCCACAACCTCTGAAGGGTATCCCGTTGGCTACTGTATATTGAATGTGTGTGTGCCACCCTCTCAGAAGCACGCAGACGTGGCTTCCTGCAAACTTCCTGCTGTAGGATGTTCAAACAGCTGTGTTGGCCTAAATCGTCCCTTACTTCCTTTCTGTTCTTCCGGATTTTGACACAGAACCGTCTTCCCCTCTATGACGACGCCCTCTCCCTCCGACACCTGGCTGTGGCCCCGCTCAAACGAAGCACCGTCCTCCACCGGTAAGGAAGGCTGAGAGAGGGAGCCTTGGAAACGGCAGCCCAGCTGTCTTGGTTTGGCAGGAAAGCAGAGCCATGTTTTGCAGAGGCACCCGAGATGGAGTTCTTCTCTGGGGAGGCCCAGCTGGTGCAGACTTTGGGCTGCCTTAGGAAAGGGGTCAGGACCCTCCACATTGTACAACATGGTTCTTTTCCCCCCAAACCGGGTGTTGGTTATACATTTTCATATTTTAAGATGGTAGATGTGATTATTGATTATTCGGTTGCCTGGTTTTATGCTTTGAATGTTTATGTGGAGCTGTAGCTCATTTTGGGTTTATTCAGTGGAGAATGGCAGACACTAGTATATGGGTATTATTATATATAATAAAAAATACGGACTGTATTACAGCAGCTGTGAGCGCATCTCTCTGACCTTGGTACTCACTATTTTGACATCCTTCAAATCACAAAGCTCAGGCTTGGACATGTCAGAGGGGCATATGAAAACCATCACTTGGGTGAAGAAGTAAAGCCCTGCCTCCTTCTCATCCATCAAGCCTTCCTCAAGACATACCTTTCCAACTGCAGCTTTCAGATTACCTCTCCTCCCCTTAATGCCTTATCTACTGCAGTCTGCCTTCCACCAATCAGTCTAGGGACTTGGCTCGAGAAGCTTCCAGGCAGCCAGCTGAGAAGCACAAAACAGAGGCCTGGAAGCAGAGGCAGAGCATGGCTTGGGGCTGGAAGGCACGAACAAAGAACCCCAGCTTCACAGCTCTGTGATATAAGGAAGGAGCAGCAACTGCATGCAGTTCTTCACTAGGAAGGAGGAGAGAGAAACCCACAAAGCTCTGTGTGACCACAGCTCTAATAATAAAAATAATAATAATAATAATAATTTATTTATACCCCGCCCATCTGGCTGGGCTTCCCCAGCCACTCTGGGCGGCTTCCAAAAGAATATTAAAATACTGTGATACATCAAACATTAAAAACTTCCCTAAACAGGGCTGCCTTCAGATGTCTTCAAAAAGTCTGGTAGTTGTTGTTCTCTTTAACATCTGGTGGGAGGGCGTTCCACAAGGAGGGCGCCACTACCGAGAAGGCCCTCTGCCTGGTTCCCTGTAACTTGGCTTCTCGCAGTGAGGGAACCGCCAGAAGGCCCTCGGTGCTGGACCTCAGTGTCCGGGTAGAACGATGGGGGTGGAGACGCTCCTTCAGATATACTGGACCGAGGCCGTTAAGGGCTTTAAAGGTCAGCACCAACACTTTGAATTGTGCTCGGAAACGTACTGGGAGCCAATGTAGGTCTTTCAAGACCGGTGTTATATGGTCTCAGCGGCCGCTCCCAGTCACCAGTCTGGCTGCTGCATTCTGGATTAGTTGTAGTTTCCGGGTCACCTTCAAAGGTAGCCCCACGTAGAGCGCATTGCAGTAGTCCAAGCGGGAGATAGCCAGAGCATGCACCACTCTGGCGAGGCAGTCTGCAGGCAGATAGGGTCTCAGCCTGTGTACCAGATGGAGCTGGTACACAGCTGCCCTGGACACAGAATAGACCTGTGCCTCCATGGACAGCTGTGAGTCCAAAATGACTCCCAGGCTGTGCACCTGGTCCTTCAGTTACCCCATTCAGGACCAGGGAATCCTCCACACCTACCCGCCTCCTGTCCCCCAAAAACAGTACTTCTGTCTTGTCAGGATTCAGTCTCAATCTGAGAGCCGCCATCCATCCTCCAACCGCCTCCAGACACTCACACAGGACCGTCACTGCCTTCACTGGTTCTGATTTGAAAGAGAGGTAGAGCTGGGTATCATCCGCATACTGATGAACACCCAGCCCAAACCCCCTGATGATCTCTCCCAGCGGCTGCATGTAGTTGTTGAAAAGCATGGGGGAGAGGACAGAACCCTGAGGCACCCCACAAGTGAGAGCCCAGGGGTCTGAACACTCATAACCCCCCCCCCACTTTCTGAACATGGCCCAGGAGGAAGGAGCGGAACCACCGTTTGACAGTGCCCCCAGCTCCCAGCCCCTCAAGACGGTCCAGAAGGATGTTATGGTCGATGGTATCAAACACCGCTGAGAGATCCAGCAGAAATAGGAAACAGCTTTCACCTTTGTCCCTAGCCTGCCGGAGATCATCAACCAGTGCGACCAAGGCAGTTTCAGTCCCGTGATGAGGCCTGAATCCCGACTGGAAGGGATCCAAATGGTCCGCTTCTTCCAGGCGTGCCTGGAGTTGTTCAGCAACCACTCGCTCAATCACCTTGCCCAAGAATGGAAGATTGGAGACTGGGCGATAGTTGGCCATCGTGGCTGCATCTAAAGATGGTTTTTTAAGAAGTGGTTTAATAACCGCCTCTTTCAGCGGGTCTGGGAAGGCTCCCTCCCGGAGGGAAGCATTCACCACCCCACGAAGCCCATCGCCCAGCCCTTCCCGGCTAGCTTTTATAAGCCAGGATGGGCAAGGATCAAGGAGACAGGTGGTTGGTTTCACTCGTCCAAGCAGCCTGTCCACATCCTCGGAGGTAACAGATTGGAATTGACTTTTGCAATTTGACTAGACAGGATTCTAGCACTCTCCCGCCCCGGCCCTGCTCCCACGGTGGCGTCTACCTCTTTCCGAATCTGAGCAACTTTATCTGCAAAAAACTTTGCAAAATCATTGCAGGAGATCATGTGGCCCGTACTGGGCCCTGATGTAACAGGTGGTTCCGCTAAATTGCGAACCACCTGAAAAAGTCTCCTGCTGCTGTTTTCTGCAGATGCAATGGAGGCGGTGAAGAAAGTCAAAATGGAGAGGAGGGCAGGGGGTTCCTCTGGAAAAATCCTAGGCTGGGCTACAGCTGAGAAGTAAAATTACCGCAAACTCTTCCTCATGCATAAGATTTCTTAAAGCAATTATTGTTCCTAAATTGTTTTATACTCCTCTGCAGAGGAAATAACCAAAAGAAATCACTTGAGAAAATGTACATGTACATTTTGTGCATTACAAATATGCATCCTTTAAAAATATATATACCAGTAACTTCAGTAGCCTGACTCATAAACTCTTATCCCAAGAGAGGTCCCTTCGCCTTTTGTGGAGATTTCACATAAACCTCTGTGTTCCCTGATCCAGGAGCATCTCGGTGCCAGTTGACCCTCAGCCCACATCAGCGCCAGAACAACCACCCAAGCTCATCAGGGACATGGGTGATACCTATGCGGTTGTGAACAAGCTCCGGCGAAGTGGACTGGGTGCTTCTCCTCCTCCTCCTGCTCCAGGCAACGAGGCCCCGCTTAGTGGAGAGGGACCCCTTTATGCCGCAGTGAAGCCTCGGATGAGCAATGTGCCCGACACCTTGGCAATTGACCCCAGTGCCTTTGTAGGAGTGCAAGCCAGTCACTCGCTGCCTGGAAGCCCCATCCACCGGCCAGCTTCCGCGGCAACCTGCGAATACGCCCAAATTAACCCAGGTGATGTGAAGTAATAGTTTGTGTGCACTTAAGAATTTGTATAACTGTATAACAATAAGACTTAACATTTATGCAGTAGTTTTAAGTGCTCCAGTTCTTTTATAGTAATAATAATTTTATTATTTATATCCTGCCCATCTGACTGGGTTTTCCCAGCCACTCTGGGCAGCTCCCAGCAGAATAGTAAAAACACAATAGAACATCAAAGATTTAAAACTTCCCTAAACATTATCTCAGTAACCCTAACATCAGGCCTGCAAGATATGGCAGGTCAGCGTTATCATCTCATGTTGCAGACATGGGGGAAGGGATGCCAGAGCACACCTACTTGACAAAAAGGGTCACCTGGAACTGGTGGTGACACTTGCTGTTGAGCCAACGTGCACAGGCTGTTATCTAGCTAATGACAGAAGAGACATTTGAACTAAGGATGTCCCTGGATCATAGCACATTTTCTTAAAATACCGTGCTAAACTAGCTCTGTGAATATCATATGATTTCAATGCAAGTAAACAAGATTCTAGTCATCATGACAAATTTGGATTTGGGGGTATTTCATGGGGTTTTTCTTTGGGTGTACAGAACCCAAGCAAATTCAAATTGGAATTCACAAAGGCTGCAAACATAGATTAGATGTAACTAATAAAATCCATAGTAAAACATTAAAGGCTGCAAATATCATTCTTCAGTCATTTTTCCTGGATTGTTTTATTTAATATTTTAACGTGTTGTAATCCACTTTGATTTTTTCCCCTTAAGAATATAAAGTGGTATAGAAATAGAAATACAATAATATAATCTTTATTGCGGCCCAACGACCCATAACATGGATTCAGAATAAAATACAGATTCATACAAACAACCCCCCAGGGAAGGGAGACCGAAGCGCTATTTGTTTAGTCATGGATATGTTGATCTGGCTTTGGTGAAAAGACGCCAATATGTTGGTACAGACAAATTTCTAAGATATGCAGGCGTCTGAAACTCGAACCCATAGTGAATTCCTACTGCTAATGGGCCACAGATAACATGAGACTGAGATCGGAGATCACTATGTGATATGTTCCAGAGGCTTTGCCTCAGAGATTCAAGGGTGGTATCATAGCCCAGATGGTACAGGAGAGAAGGTGGCCTACCAAGCCAAGTGGCTTTTCTAACCATCATTTTCATCTATGAGCTGGCAAACTCCTCGTTGTTTAGGTATGGAACCCCTTCCCTAGGCCAAAGACTGAGATCTTGAGCCAGTATCTCGGGGCAGCCCACCATGCTTTACTTGATAGAAGACATTCATCTGTTTCTAAAAATAGTATTGCCTTTGGAACACAATTTGGAACTTGTAGGAGGGACCGGAGAAACTTTGCCTGGAAGTCATCAAACCTGGAGAATGAGCCATTGAACCAGATGTTTGAGGCCTAGAGGAGTTGAGAGACAGATTTTGCATTAAATACCTTAATGGCTGATGGAACATAATGGCCTCCCCTTGTATAAAAGAATTGAAGTATAGCCAGTTTGCTTACCTCCGCCTTTTGATAGGCAGTTTGCCAATGATGTTTCCAGGACTTGGAATGATGGAACAGAAGCCCTAGGTACCGGAAGAATTTGGTCTGCTCTAGTTTGTGACCGTCCAGTACCCATTTACTCAGGGACAATCTCTTCTCAAACACCAGGACTTTTGATTTTTCATAATTGATGGATTATTACCAGAGCAGTAGTCTCAGAATTTCCTTAGCTGGTAGTTCAGGCCAGGTCTGGTTTGGGAGAAGATGGCCGTGTCATCCGCATACAGCAAGAAAGGGGTCTTTCTTGTCCCTATTTTTGGAAGATGCCCATCAGGGTCCATTAAGCTTGCCTCGAAGTCATTCAAAAACAAACTGAACATCTTATAAACTGTTTATAAGAAGTAAATAAGGAGGCCAGATACAGGATAAAGGAAGTATTTTTTTTGGTTGTTTGTATTGTTGTATGTTATGCTCACTGTATGTTATGTTCACGTTTAATGAGGTGGATTTGTGTATTGGGGCATGGGGGTTTGTGTTATGTTGTAAATAAAATTCCAATAGAAATTTAAATTAAAAACAAACAAACAACAAACTGAACAAGGTAGGCGTCAAAATGCATCCCTGTCTCACTCCCCTGGCCATCTCAATACAGTCTGAGAGCTGGCCCTGCAACCCACACCTAACCTGCAAATTGCTTCCACTGTGCAGGGCTTTAGTAAGATATAGGAGACGTTTATCCTTCAGTACTAGATGTAATTTGGACCATAGTTGGAATCCAGGGATGGAGTCTAAGGCAGATTTCAGGTCCATAAAGGCCACAAAGAGTTTTCCCTGTAGAGGTCTGGTGTACTTCTCGGCTAGGAGGGACAGCGTTAGACAGTGGTCTGATGTTGAGTGTTTTCGCGGAAAGCTGCCCGAGCTTCAGATATATTTATAGTCATTTAGAAAAGTTGTCAGTTTGTTACAAAGAAAGCGGGCATACAGCTTTTCTATAATTGAAAGCAGACTGACTAGCCTATAATTAGAAGGCATGTTTGGCTGGCCTCTCTTAAAGATTGAAACTACTATTGCATGTTTCTAGCTAGATGGTACTTTGCTTGAGTTATTTACTATCATAAAAAGTGCCGCCAGAAGAGGAGCCCACCAGTGCTAATTTGATATGATCAATTCAGCTGGGATAAAGTCATTTCCTGGGGCCTTACCACTCTTAAGGTTCCCAATTAATGTATAGACTTCTTCCACTGTAACTGGGCTCCATTGTGGGAGCAGTGACAGTTCTGCTGAAACTTCATCAAAAAAACTGGCGGGGAGATTTGAATTTTCCGTGAATATATTTCTAAAATGGTTCTCCCATACCTGAGCTGGAATGGCACAGCTGGGGGCTGGAGAGCTATTGCTCAGGAAGCCAGAGGCCAGTTGCCAGAAGAGTTTTGTTTCGTTGTTTAGCGAGGCATTCAGGAACAGAGGCCAGGAGTTTTGTTCAGACTGCCTTTCTTTTTGAAGCCAAAAGGGCTTTGTACTCTTTTTAAATTTTGAAATAAGTTGGGGGTAAATAGTTTAGGCCAGTGTTTCTATAGGCCAGTGTTTCTTCTTTGTGCGGCACTCTTGGTCGAACCATCTACACCCTTTAGCAATGCGGGGCTTGCTGGCTGGGTTTATGTTAACAGAGACCACATCCTGCAAGAACTCAATGAGATTATCGTAAGTTGTCAGGGAGGAATCTGTTGATAGGTCATTGATTATACAGTGGTACCTCTGGATACGAACGGGATCCATTCCAGAGCCCCGTTCGCATCCTGAAGCAAACGCAACCTGTGTCCGCGCATGCACGAGTTGCGATTCACCGCTTCTGCGCATGCACGTGATGTCATTTTGACCATCTGCTCATGCGTGAGTGGCGAAACCCGGAAGTAACGCGGAGCACAACCCAAAAGCACTCGACATGAAGCAACTTCAACCCGAGGTATGACTGTAGTTGATAGCAGAAATATAGTTGTACCTCATAAGTCGAACGGAATCCATTCTGGCTCCTGCAGCCAAAAAGAAGCCGCGTCAGACGTCCAGGTTCCAAAGAATGTTCCCAAACCGGAACACTCACTTCCGGGTTTGCAGCATTCGGGAGCCGATTTTTTTGACAACTAAGCCATTCAACAACCAAGGTATGACTGTAATAATACTAATACTAATATCATAATCCCGAGGAAAAGTTTAGGTCCCTCTGACCTGTCGTGGTTACAGCAAAGGGAGTACAGATAGCACCTATCGGGAATAACCTTTTCTTTGTCTGATCTCTTCTCTCTGCTACAGGCGATTCCAATCCCAGAGTCACCTCCTCCTCTCACATCAATGGATTAGGGAAAAAGCCCCTGAGGAACCTGCTGCCCACAGTATGTTCTCTGCACGGTGTTTCCCAGCCACATTTCTATGTCACAGGACCGGGATAAGCCTCCGACAAAAACTGTAGACCAGAAGGGATGGGGAGCCTGTAGCCCTTCAGATCTTCTTCAACTCCCACTGCCCCCTCCCCGACCATTGATCCTGCTGGCTGGGGAGGAGTTCAACAGCATATTGGAAGGGCCACAGAGTCCCCCAGCCCTGATTCAGATTGGTTTTTAGGGTGTGTTTGGCTTTACTAGACCTGGCCTCCAGGGTGCCAACTTGAATAAAATATGGGGGGAGGCAGGTAAGAGCCCCCCCCACATAATCAATCCCAATACTTGTTGCCTGCACACGATTTGAATGGCAATGCCAACCCACTTGGAGGGGGAGCTGGCATCCTCAAATATTTTTTTGGGGGGAGGGACTTTGGCCCCTAGGAGTTGGCTCCTATGCCTGGGCTCAAGTTCCTCTTCTACAATGTATTTGTTGTTTAGCTTTGGATAAGTTGCCTCAGCCTTGATTTTCCCATCTGTAGAATTGGAAAATTAGTGAACAACTACTGACAATGTGAACCTGATATTTCAAAACACTTTGCAAGTTAATAGTACACTGTGTGGGGATGATTAGGGAGGCAGGAGAGGATATATTATTTTATGATATCTTTCCTAACTTGCGCTAGCACGTTCCATATTCTAGCAGTTCCAAACATCCCCCTTTTTAAATTATGCAGCAATCAGCTTGTTGCTAACTCATCTGAGTCTTACTATTAAAGATTCCTTCCTGATAAAATCCCTTCTAATCCCTCTTAAAAAGAATAAACACAAGACTCTGATTAACATTAATATAAAAGTAGCTCTTTTTTTTTTTAAATGATATTTATTAAAGATACATGAAAGTACAGAATAAAGAAAAAGTAGCTTACTCACAGATTCATTCAGGTTCACAGACATATCCCTGAAGGCAGACTTAGGTTACATAACAACTAGAACTATTCCATAAAGAAGTTAGTCCCAAGTGACTGCGACTAAGCAGTCACTTCTCCAAACACACACTGATCCGAACATGGAGGCCGTGGGCTCCTCCATGCCAGTACAACAGACCGCACCTTCTTCAAGTCTGTCCCAGCTCAGGAGGAAATGGGAAGTCTTCTCCCGAGTGGGACAAAACATCCCCTAACGTGTCCACTGTAGGAATGTTGTACTTGACTGCAGCTTTATATCCCACACACTGGAGCATGAAACATGTTAGGCATCCCTAGGAATATGGAGGCAGTAGCAAAGGGAGGTTCAAGCCCCCTCCATTTTAGTGTGTGTGTTATGATTGAGTCAAAAGGGGGAAAGTAAATCCATCATTCCCCGCTCCCAGCTGTGCAGCTTAGTAAAGTCAGGGCTGGAGGAACAAACTGGAGAAAACTTGGCACTGAATGTAAAAAAACCAGATTCCTAAGAACCTTGGCTTTCACTTTATAAAACACACATAAACAAACACCAAGTTTGGGACTGAAGATGTGCTTGAAAATGTGCAGGCAATATTTAGTGAAGCCTCACAAGGAATTGCATCTTTTGAATATGATTTTCCATAGTAAGCACGACTTCAGGAGGATACAAAATGACCAAAATGTACATAAAAAGTTATGCAAATAAGAAATTATTCACATGTGCTTGGCATCCTTAATTTATAGAAGCAGGGAGAATTCAATTTCCTTTGTAGCAAAATGGGTCTTCCCTTGGCTCAAATGTTTGGGCTGTTTCTCTTAGGTACACAACAGACAAAACCCTAAACATAAATATGCTAGAAGTCAAGGAGGCAAAGTCCTCTGTTCTTACTCTGCAGCAGCAGCGGCAGGAGGAGCAGGAGCAGGAGCGGCTATGTTGCTGACACACCAGAAGTCACTCCTGGTTCCTGAGAGGAGGAGCAAAGCAGCAGGGAGCTTGGTATAGCCCATGTGGCCCAGCAGAGCCCATCTGATGTTCCCACCACCTCACTTGCACCAAGCCCCCCCCCCCGCTCCTCTGCACTTGGTGTTGGAAAACCAGCCTAGCAACCCTGCCCACTAAGGCTCACTCCATCTGTGTATAGCGATATAATTTTATTTCCCCCTAGATCTAACCATAGTGCTGCTTGTTTTAAGAATAAGAGTGAGAACTCTTCCCTTCTTGTCTTGCCCCAGGTCATCTACAGGCAGCTGTTTCATCACCGGATGAAACAATGTTTTTATAATGCTTTTCTTTTGGATGAGCTTACTACCCTGGGCTCCTTCAAAAGCAAGGGCGGAATATACATTTAATAAGGGAATCAATAAAATGCATCTTTGTGACTCTCTCATTCGCCAAGGGCAGTGCTAGAATGAAGTGTGTTTGAGCAGTGCAGAAATGTTTTATTTCACAGAATCATAGAGTTGGAAGGGACCCCAAGGGTCAAGCCCCTGCAATGCAGGAATCCCAGCTAAGGCATCCATGAGAGATTTCTTCTTCAAATACTTCTTTTCTTCCCTTGCTCTAGGTTTTTAGTTCATCACCTGGGAAGAAAGGTAAGAAGCAAAATACTTTCGAATGGTGATGGGGAACATGGATGGTGTTTGACTACAACTCCCATCATCCCTGACCATGGTGGGTGGAGCTGATGGGAGTCCAAAAACATCTACAGTACAGGGACTTCTACTTTTAACAATGTGGAAAGAGATGGGAGATAATGGGTTTTTGCCTCTTTTACATTGTGCTAGAACAGGGGATCATCAAATGTTGGTTGGCCACTGTGAGAACAGGATGCTGGGCTATGGTGGACCTGTGGTCCGATCCACTGGGACTCTTGCTGTGTTCTTTCTAAACTAGGGTTAGGCCAAGCTCAGAGAGAGTTACACATAACAGATTAGCTGGATCCTCTTCAAATGGCTTACGACTCATTTCTGAGAGCGACTGCCTTCCAAGAGATGGAAAGGAAAGGGTGTATTCACTGCAGCAGTGGGGAACCTAGGCCCTCCAGATGTTGGTGACAGACAACATCCATCAACCCTAGCAAGCAGTCAATGGACAAGGATAATGGGAGTTGTAGTTCAGCAACAACTGGAGGGTTAAAGTTTCGGCCTTATTAGTTTCCCACAACCTCCTGGAAGCTGTTGCTACCTTCTACAAGGTCTCCTTCCGAGTTGCCATACTGGAGTGCTAGTTTGTCACGATCCTAGTCGTTCCAGGATGACAAATCTCAGAAAGTGGTGCTGGAAAGTTGTGGGTCTTCCTTGTGGTCTGCAAGGCTCAGCTGGCACTCTTCTTTCAGCCCGCTTTTCACAAGACATGAACATCCCTATATTCTAGCTTCCTAGATGATGTTTGCCCCAGTGTTTGTTACAGGCAAGCTGATGTGAGAATTGGCATCCTCTCATTTTTTTTACTAGCCCCACCATCACCACGGACTGCCCCCACCCAAGAATATGAAGATGTGGGCAACATCAGTCCCAGGAGTAGCCCAAATGCGGTGGTATCTTCTGCCAATGGAATGGGTAAGTAAGGGGACCTTTAGGCAAAAGGTCATGATAGTGCTGTAGGGTGCATTCGTGTGGAAACTGAGGGGGCGGAGAGGGCCAGGTTCCTACCCAAATCTCTCTCTCAAACACACACACACACACACACACACACACACACACACACACACAGTGGTTCACACACACCTGTGTAGATTTCAATATACTTACTAGGGTCTACTGCCACTGCTTGCTTCACTGATCAACCCCACCTCTCTGCCACCACCTTTGCCAACTACCTCCCCCCCACATGACGACACCCACCTTCCTTTTTTCACACTGGAGCTGGTGCAGCTGCCTAGTGGCAGACACATGAACTGCAGCATAATGACAGCCTTACATTTTTATGGGTACAGCAAGATATACAAACACCTCCAACATAATCCACGTTAGGAGGAAAGGAGAGTGAGGTTGTTAAAGATAGCTCAAGAGGACTGCATGATTCTCCACATCCTGTCATGTGTTAAAATTAAAATACACAAAGGGCCAATTGCCATCAGAGATGTGAAGGGGAGGGAATCATAAAACAAATAGAACAAACCTCTCAGTGCTTTGTCCATCTCCTCTTGCCCCTCCAGGGTTTAACTTCCGCATCGGGAAGCCCAAGGGACCAAGAGACCCTCCTGCTGAATGGAGTCGCATCTAGGCAGCATGACAGAGAGACAAGGACACTGCTTCTGCCATTGAGCAATACAGATCGGGTCCAATACTGCTGCCTGCTCACTTCCTTAGGGAATAACTGTAAAAATAATAACCACCAGCAAATTGTGCCTCTGGGGCCATGGACCAAAAGGCAGCAGCAGTTGCATGCACTATACTCCAGGACTTTTCTACCAGAAGAGAAGGATATGGACGTGCTCGAAATGTTGGGATCCACCAGCTAAGGAATGTGTGAACCTGGCAGCCACCTTCTCTTCACCAGCTTCTTGAGCGGCTCTTAGTTGGCCAGGGCAGTTTTGCCCGCCAAAATTTAAAGCCTGGTACCCCATGCCAGGAACCATCAACACAGCACATCCCTCCTCCCATTAAACAATATTTGCTAATTTGTGAATTGCGCTTTTATCAACAGCCACTGGAGCAAATCCATTCCACTCAGGAGTCTGCCTGATTGCCCCATCTTATGTCAATTTACATTTCTCCTCTTACTTACTACAGTCATTTCTGCAACCTAGTCTATGGAATGGGAAGGAATGGAAGGAAGACATTTGGTGGCTTAGGGATTCTTGGTCTTCTCCCATCTGGAGGGGGTAAAATCAAGGCCTGGCACCAGCACTTCAAATTAGCTCATTGGGTTAGGGAACCCCCCCCCCCCACCGCTGGGTGTTCCAATTGCAACATATTACTTCTCACATGCAGAATACTTTTGTCAAAAGATTGCACTCATGAGGCTGGGGAGAATGAGGAAGGAAGATGGAGCTCCTCCCTTGCACCAGTTACTGTCCTTGTTTTGGTTTTTTTTCTTTTTAGTCTGAATGTTCAATTGCTCTGCTCTTTCCAAATCTCTTGCTGGAGAACTAGAAGCTTCCTGGATGTCTGACTTTCCTGGAAAGTAAACACACAAGAGCTCTGATCTACCCAGGCTTTGGGATGCTCACATCCATGCCACTTTGGAGTCCATGTAGGCAGTGCTAGATGCCCTATGGCAGGTATGTCCAACAGGTTGATCGTGATCTACTGGTAGATCCCTGTGAGGTTTTGGTAGATTGCGGCCGATCTCTGGCTCCCTTTCCTTAGTGTCGCTAAAACTGACTCCTGCTTCGCCCTCCATTGTTGTTTGATCTCTGGAAGGGAAGACGGAGCTTTCTCTGTGCTGCTGTTTTCATCCATAGCGATCTTCTTGTGAGTGAGTTTACCCCTTTGTCCCTTGCCTTTACCCCCCAAAAAACCGGAAGCCCCCCAAAAGCTATTTTTGAACCCCCAAAATGGGGCTTTCCTTCCAAAAAAGAGCTCAACAGTAGATTACTGCCAGTTTTTAATTCTGAAAGTAGATCGCAGTCTCTTGAGAGTTGGCCACCCCTGCCCTATGATTTAACTGCCCTAGAGGAAAGCACCAGGAAGAGAAGATGGACGTATAAAAATCTGTAAATACCAGTGGTGGGGAGTGGTTGCTGCCCCCATCCCTTAGAACTCCATCACATTGGCTGATACAGCCATCAGAAGGGAAGCATTTCACATCACCTAGGGGTGCATTCTATGCCAATTTCCCTCCCTTCCACTACTCTGTAAAACTCCTCCCACAATCCCCAATTTCCAGCAATCAGCCTGCCTACTCTGGGATCCAATCCAAGAAAAACATTTTCTGTGAAACAGAGAGATGAGAAATACATCTCACAAAACTAGAGCAAAACAAAGGGGCAGGCAAGAATTTGGGGCCCCATTGAAATCTATTCTACTAGCCATTTTCCCATTTCCAGGAAATATAGCTGCGCCAAGTTGACTTACTCTGTGGAACAGAGAGAGAAAGAAAAGTAATTCCATTTGTTCTATCAGGCCAGAAATCATGAGAGTTGTAGTCCAGCAACATCTGGGAGGCACCAGGTTTGACAAGGCCATGTTTTCTATCCTGCCTGCTCCTTAACAGCAACTAGGAACGATTCCATCTTCACTCATTCTAGGACTGCTTGAATGGGCGTCAAAGTGGGCCTTCTCTTGGCGACCACTGCTGCCCTCATCATCCATTCCCCTGATGCTGTTTTTGGAAGGAAGGAAGGAAGGAATGACAGGGCTCACTGTAATATGTAGCCCAGTATGTGTGTGCCAAACCCACAACTGAACAGGGATGCAGAGCAGGAGAGAGCAGGCTTCCAAGATGCCCCCCCCCCGGTACAAAACAAAAACAAAAAACCCCAGGTAGAATGCTCTGTGCCTGGAGAGGGAATCTGTCATGGAGATTCCTGCATGGCAGGGAGTTGGACTAGATGACCCTTGGGTCCCTTCCAACTCAAAGATTCCATGAAATCTATGAATGCTTGGCATAGTTGGGGGTTTTTTGTGTCCTTTGTCTGCATGGGCCAAGGAGATTTTCAGTGGCAGAAAGCACAGGTTTATGGGGTGAATTTGAAGACTCCAGTTCACAAAGGCCCCAGGCTCCAGGCAGCGGACAGCCTCCTTGAGGAGGAGGAAGAGAGAGGCAGTGTGGAGTCCATGCTACTCCACGCTGAGGAATTTCCGCTTCTTAGCTGTGCGCGTGTATGGGTGCCAGCGCCACTCCACATCTGCTGTGCTCTCCTGCTCCAAGGTTCCCAGTTTGATCATATATACTGGAATAAGAGAAGAGCAGCTTTAGAGTCTCATCCAGCTCCACTTGAAGCGGACATGCAGCACCCACCAACCCCTAACTCTGCACAGCTCTGCCTGTTAGTCCAGACACCCACCCAACTGCAGCCTTCTAAACTTTTGGCAGAAAACATTTGGACACAGACAACAAGGAAGAAGAAATGTGGACTAGCAAATACCACGGTCGTATCTTGCAAGTGCTTTCTCCATGTGCTTGAAGCATTTCACACACCTTTATCTCAAACACAAGAATGGCTTTGCTGGAGCAGACAGGAGGCTCCCCTAGGCCAGTGGTCCACTTCACCAACCAACACCAGCCAGGCGCCTCTGCAAGATCTCAAAAAAAGGCCTGAAGGAGATGGCCATCACTGTGTGGTACCTGGAGGCATATTGCTTCTGTAAATTGAGGAGAACCTCTGGTGGGGGGGAACTGTGGCCCTCCAGGGGTGTTTGGACTACAACTTCCATCATCCCTGAACACTGGTCCTGCTGGCTGGGAGTCCAACCTTTGTTCACTATGAAAAGCTACTGTGACTGAATAAATGGGTAAAAATGCTTCAAGTGCGTCATAGTAGTCTAAACAACAGCAGTTCCACTGCTGTGACATTGAGCTCTTTTAAAGTGGCACTCATGGCTGACCTAAATTTAAAGGCAGTCAGGCTTGTATGTATTGCAACCAAATATCTGGAAAAGAAATTCCTCTAGAGCAGGGATGGCCAACTCCTGAGAGACTGAGATCTACTTTCAGAATTAAAATCTGGCAATGATCTACCCCTGCTTTTGGGGGGTTCAGGTCAAAGTTTTTGAGCTTTTTTAGGGAGGGGGAAAGCCCCACTTTTATACAAATACTTTCTTACAAGGTAAGTTCTGTTTTTTGGGGGGAGGTTAAGGCAAGGGTCGAAGGGAAGAAGTCACTCACAATAATATTGCTTTGAATGAAAACAGCCACTTCCCCTCCACTGGTCAGACAACAGTGGAGGGGAGGGGGGGTGGGGAGGGCAGGAGTCAATTTTGCTGAGGAAAAGGAGCCAGAGATCGACCCGCAATCTACAAAAACCTTGCGTGATCGACCTGTTGGACATCCCTGCTCTAGAGCATACAAAAGTAAATGTTTTAATTGTTTTTATGTAATTGCGTTTTGTGGTGTGTGTTTTTTAATATTTACGATTTGGCACACTCTTAGAAGTGAATTAAGGCTGAACAGCAGCCTGCCACTTTAATTTACTAATCAGGTTTGGCATTCAAATGTTGCAGGAGAAAGAAAAAAGAGGCAAGGAAGCAACACCCCAAATTCTTGTGAAACAGGCTCCAGTCAGAGCCAAACTCCAGGCTCAAATATATCACTTTGTAAGTAAAAAGGGATGGAATCACATCAAATGCTCTTCTATGCTTAAAAAGAATCAGCAACCATTATGTGCATGGCAAGGTTCCCCAATGGGAGGAAGCACAGCCTTTCCCTGACATGCTGAAGCTTTATGCAGAAGGACTCTTGTATAAAACAGACTTATCTGATGGTGCCACCCTCCAATTGCACAAGGAAGCGGTTCAGCTCCTGGAGGGCTATACTACGGATATTTCTGAAGGTATAATTCAGCCCTAAGTGACACATTCCAGCCATTCAACAGTTGGAGATTTCAACAGCCAGAGATTTTTACACCCACCCACTTACCTAGAGGAATGGTGGCAGTTCAGGGGCACATTCCAGCCAGGCAAAAGTGTCTGAGGTAAGTGCAGAGCAGGGCTGGGAAGCGGCTGTGGCTCGAGGAGCGCCTGCTGTGGAGGCCTGGAGGGCCACATTCACCCCTGGGCCTGGAGTCCCCCACCCTCTGCTCTGTTTGCCCTCTATTCCATTTGTGGATTTGCACCATGCCCTTCCAGTGTTCTAGGCAGCTGACTTACGTTTCATCTCAAACCTTGGCCCAACCTCTGTAAGCTCTACGTTCCGGTGGTCGGTCTTCTTGTAGACGTGGTGCCTGCCACAAAAAAAGCAAGTTTTGTTAAGAAGCTAGTGCTGGAACAATCCCCAACAAGCCCATACTCACCGACTACCTCCCTTTTTGCTGCTGCCCTCTCAGTGCCAGCCCCAGAGTTTGGTGCAGAGCACAAGAGTGACAGGTCCCACAGCGCAAGGAGACCTGGCTGAAATCAGATGCACCGTCTTTCTAGGCAAATGGGCAGCCTTTCGTTTCCCATATATGCTGCAGCGAGCAAATACTGTATCAATGCTTCTCCGAACACATGGAGGACTATGGAAGGAACTTGCTGAATTAGCACACTCGTGCCTTGCTCTACTTTGTGCTTTTTAGAATCTTTTATGGTCCTTTTGTCATATCTCAAACTGACTCTGCTGGGTTGCAGTTTGTTGTATTTAATTCTGCCCCCCCCCCCAATAAAACAAAAACTCTTTGCCACATCAGCGGAGAAGAGGTTGGAGGCCAACATTCTTGGGGGGACCAGCACTTTGAACTGCAGCCTCTCCCCCCCCTTGCAATTCACTCCCCTCTTCAAAGAGAGCAAGTGTCTCTTCACCGCTCACCCCACTCACCCCACACTTTTGCAACCTATCAATGGGACCAAGAAGAGAAAAGAGAACACTGGCAGCCAGCCCTAGCAGAAACACAAGACAAGTTCCCCCTACCGGAAGGAGATGTAGTCTTCTTGGTTGGCAAAGGTGATGACCCGTTTGCTATCATCTTTGGGCACTGGAAACAGGTACTTGAGAATGCTGGTGAGCTGAGGAGGGAGAAGTGAAGAGAATGTGGGAAGACTTGTAAGCTGGTAGAAAATGGGACAGATCCACACCATACTTTTAAAGCACATCCAGCACACCCTTCAAGCACATGCTGGCCCCCCAAGAATCCTGGGAACTGTTGTTTGTTAAGGGTGCTGTGAACTGTAACTCTGTGAGGACGACACTACAGTCCATGGGGAAAGCCATGTGCTTGAAAGGTGTGTTGAATGTGCTTTAACCGCCCACAGAACATGTTTGATGAATCCCAGAAGCAAGATCTTCCACCACTGGGGAAGCTCTGGCCTGCAGGCCCATGAGACTGTTTGCCCCAAACCCATCCACCAGAACCCTGGCATAAGATAAAGTGTTGGCTGGGTCAGCTACACAGATGATTGACAAGTGGGCGACCCAGCTGCCCTGTCCAGGCTGGGGTGAGAGACCAGGATTCAGCAGGCCCCCACCCCTGGCTTACCCCTCCCCCAGTTTAGATTATAGGAGTTGAAGTGCAACAGCATTTGGAGAGGCTAGAGGGTCGCCGTCCCTCCACACCCTCATAGACCCTTAGGTTGTAACCCTAAACCTGCCAGTAAACTCAGTTGGACTTCCAAGTACAAAATATACAAGTTCTTTTACCACTCAACAAAAATAACAAGCCCTGACCTTCACTTCATATGGAAGATGCTCCAATCTCTCAATCGTCCCGGTTGCTCTTTCTGTACTCTCCCACCCAACCCCTGTACTACAGGATCTTCATTTGAGCTGGGGGGACCAGAACTGCACAGTGGAACATATTGCACAGAATGCAATATGCCAAGGTTTGCCCTATGTGCACAAGACTCCATGGGCCAGAGCAAGACTTGGGCCCATGTTCTCCACCACATCCCTCTCCTTTTCTCCCTTTCTCCTAAACTTGGCTTCTTGTTGTGTATGAAACCAGAGAGTGCCATTCATGACTGTTTTGAGGGTTTTATTCTTTTAAAATCAAGCAGTGTATAAATGTTATGAAATAACTAACTAAGGTTAGTTTAACAAGCCAACTTCAGAAACCATGGTTTGAAGTTGTCTTGTTGAGAAACTGAGCAGAGGGGTTTTTTTAGAAACCATGATCTCTGGTTAGCATGCAAGGACAAGCAGAAATTAAGGGACGGTGATAGCAAATTCTGCTAAAGTCCTCCTTCCAACTGCACAGAAGCATGCAAGCCTGTTGCGTTTGGACTTGTTCCAGTTCACACAGAGAACTAAACCATGGTGTACATATGAACGGGGCCAGTACCCCAAAGGCAGCCGCGCTAGATTCATAGAAATGCCTTGAGTGCCCACTTTTCAATCACAAATAGTGACTTTGCTCATTTTGACCTCCAAGTGCATCTTACCCGCTGCCCAAGACGGGAAGTGAAGTTGTGAAAGATGAGGTGTGGATGTGCCTCTGACATGGTGCCAATGTCTGGGATGTCGTGGCGCATGACCACATTGCAGAGCGTGAAGAAGGCAGTGGGGCCAAACGGCAAGTGGCTGATTATGAGGCCATCTACATGGTGATAAAAAGGTGGATAAGTTAGTCAGGCCCCATCACCAGTGACTGCAAGCTGAGAATAAAATCCCCCGGCGGTAAAAGGCAATGCCTTGCTATCAGTGCTATGGAGCTCAGGCACCAGTTCTACCTCCTGGTTATAGACACAGAAAACTGCCTTATACACAGAGTTCATTTAGCAGGAAACCACTCAGAGGGCCTTCTCGGCAGTGGTGCCCGCCCTATGGAACGCCCTCCCATCAAAGAAATAAACGGCTATCGGATCTTTAGAAGATATCTGAAGGCAGCCCTGTTTAGGGAAGCTTTTAATATTTGAGGAATCATTGTATTTTAATATTCTGCTGGAAGCTGCCTAGAGTGGCTGGGGATGGGCGGCATATAAATAATAATTTATTATTATTATTAATTATTATTATTATTACTACTACTACTACTCTATCCTTTCTACTTTGACTGTCATGCTCACCAGATTTTCTGAAAGCAGATTTTCCCATGCAAAACATGTGTTCTACCCACTAAGCAGCAGTTACACACCTAACTACGGAAGCCACCACCAAAGAGCAGGATCCCAACAAAACCGCTCCCGGTCACTCATACAAGTGAGCCATTCTACACACTGCATAGGCAAAGATTAAAAACTGCTCCCACAATCTAACAAAGGTAAATTGACAGTTCACACATAGCAACATTTGCTCTCAACAACATTTGTTTCAACTCTCTAATGTGATGCAATCCACGTCACCCCTGCCCACACCCAGCCCCGGTCACGCCACTCACCTGGGACCCCTCTGTGCTCATGCACCACCAGCAGGTCGGTGACCCCGTTCGATTTGCAGGCGCGGACAAGGGCCCCCACTTCATGTCGGCCTCGGTTCATACGCTGGGCCCCAGGGAAAACCAGCTTGACTTCCTAAACAGGAAATGGGTGGAAGGAGATGGGAGAGTGATCAGGAGGCATAACCTGCAAGAGTCAGATGTAGGGTCACCTAGTGGTTAAGGACAGGTTGGCACCAGAATGCCTAAAACGCACATCCGCTAACCTGGAATCCCCAAGCCTTCATGCAACACAGAGGATGAGAGCAGGAGGTGCACTCTGCACATACTCCAGAGGCATTCAGTTACTACTTCTCCACAGTCCCAAGACAGGGCCCTGGCTCACACTCAAGCCTTTTGGTGGGTCTCCAACATAACCTTCCTAACTAGGCCCAGCAAAGACCTGCTAGCTAGACCTGGAAGAGATATATCATGGACTGATCCCAGAACCTCTTATCACCAAAACAGGAAACACCGGAGGCCTTGCTCCAGACCTCCTCACTGCATGAGGTACTGCAGGCTGCTACTAAGAGCAGGGACTTTTCATCTATGTTACCTATCTTTGTAGAATGTACTTCCAAGCAAGATCTCTCACTATTATTTTAGGCGCTTGGTTAAAAGGAGGATGCTGAAAGCGGCTTTCAGCCAAGTAAAATTTACTATTATAGTTGTTGTTATTTGTTATGCTATGCTCTTTGGCTGCTGTCTGAATTGCTTTTGGGGGGGAGGGCAGTTTAACTATGTTGCATTTACACTGTTCCATCACTGCTACTGTTATTTTTATATGTTGTATGATGTCATGTTCCTAGAAGTTGCCTTGAGCATTACCTTTCATTTTTTAAAGTTTTATGGATTTAAGCTTTTAAAACAATGAATGCATAACACTAAGCTGAGGAAGATGATTGATCTTCCCTCCTTCCCTATAGTGGGCACATAGCTTTTCCACCCCTCTTCCTCCACATGCACATATACCTCTTCCTAAAAGAGAAGGAACAAGTGCTGCTTGCTTACTTTGGCAAACATCTTGAGGCGGGAGCTGGGGTCGCGGGAGGTAGTGACCATGATGCGAGGATCCTCCACACCCGCCCAGCGGTACTCGTCGTCCATGTGGCTTTTCACACCTACCATGGCAAGGCAAATTACAAAGGCAAGTGACAAATCCACAGACACTCTTTGAACTCTTAACAAACAAGCACACACCCTGCAGCTGCACTCATCTGGAAACCAAACTTGGGTTGCAGAAAAGAAGAACTTTTTTAAAAAAGAAAACAAGTGGTTCAGTGGTTCATCCATGCTCAGGGATGATTTGAAAATTTCTAAGGGACTTGGCAGAGCACTTAGTGATTTTTCTGCCGGCTGTAGCAATTGCAATCTGCTGTGTTAGATGCTATAGGATTTTTCTAGCTGCTTCATTTACTTCTTATATACTGTATATTATTGTATACAAATCTGAAATCCATAGAATTCAAAAAAATCACTATGAATGCTTCTGTCTTTAACCACAAAACCACAGGCCAGTTTGCGAATGCCTCTACCAGAGTTCAAGGTTGCCTGGAAACCACAAACTAAATGATTGGAAAAGGATAGGCTACGTGGTTCATCAGCAGAGAGAGGAAAACACATCATACACCTAGGGAACGTCCTCCTCATCCTCTTCATGTTCTGAGGCTGAACCCTAGCATTTATAATTCACTTCTGGAGCAGCATTCCAATTCAAATCCAGATCTACAGGGCTCCGACAAGTCATGCAGAGGTAAGTTGCGCTAATGTGACAAATACAACACTTTCAAATGTGCCACATTTCAACTGGAAATTAGTTGATTGATCCAATTACGTGGGCCTGATGGGCTTTGTAGTCCAAATCCTCTGGAAGGCTCCAGGTTAAGAAAGGCTGATTTATAAGATGCCATTAGTGAGAAGTAATACAATAGGGAATGCAATAGCTAATTCCACCACTGTCCTCCTTCTGGTTGTTGTCTTCTTCCATCCAATTCCCTTTCTGCCATCTTGTTCTCTGTTCACTAAGGGTAAAGGCTACAGCCTGAGGATGCTTCCCTCAAAGCCAGTAAAATGATATATTAGTTTTACCATTCTTACCATTTTGCTCATATCAGCTACTCACCTTCTCCACCCCCATCATCAAATTCGAGAGCCTTCTGGAGCCCCAGAGCCTCCCTCCGCAATTCTGTGGGGATGAGGCAGTTCTCTGGAAGGGAAGAGGTAAGAGGAGTTACGAAAAGCAGACACAGCTGCAGGGCTCTTGACCACCATTACTGACTTCGGGGATACATTATAGGGAAATGCAAGACATACATTTTTCAACAGACTTTTGAAGCCGAGTTATTACTTTATGTCACCCCTTTCCTCCAAAGAACTTGAAGCAATGTAACAGTGTTCTCCCGCTGCCTGTCCATTTTATACTTAACAACAGCCCTGTGAGGCAAGTTAGGCTGGAAAATGGCGGCTGGCCCACTGTCACCCAGTGAGTCACCGTGGATCTCCCCAGTCCTAAGAGTTTACAAAGGCCAACTGCTCCTGCATCTACAAGACACTGTACACATGCAGGTTTCCACAAAAGGCACCCTTCTCAGCATACACACATCAGTTTTGAGCAGATGCAAGTTAGTTGTTCATACCATCTAGTGCTTTTTTAATTTTTTCCTTCTTCTCCTGGATCGCCCGAAGCTTTTCCTCCTGGGCTTTGCGGTAAAGATATTCTCGCCGCTGGCGGGCTTCCCGGCGCAACTAAAAGAATACAAAGGTATGAATGGAACGACAGAGAACACACTCTCTCCACCACTTTCCAGTTTAACAAATTTTCAGGACAAGGACAGATGATCACTTTCTAAATACCTGCTAATCCTCAAGTGAGGATGTGTCCAAACATTTGTTCCCATTCCAGCAGAAACTATGGCCACATGCACACCATACATTTAAAGTGCTATGCTATGCCTTTAAGCAGCCACACCTTCCTCCAAAGAATGATGGGAGCTGTCATTTGTTAATGGTGCTGTGAGTTGTTTGGAAACCCGTTTCCCTCCCAGAATGGTTTAATCACAGGGAACTCTGGAAATGGTAGTACTTGGAGTGGAACAGGGGCCTCTAAACAACTCTCAGCACCCTTTACAAACTACAGCTCCCATAATTCTCGGGGGGAAGCTATGTTTAAAGCAGCATCATAGCGGCTATGTTTAAAGCGGCATTATAGCCCTTAGGCTATAATTCCCTAACAGCCGATGCCATATTGTAAAGTGTCAGGACATAGGACACTGTTCTACTGCAAACCTAAACACATTTACTGTACTACAGAGCATATACTTCACTGAACATTGTTCCTAGTAAACATACATAAAACTGCATGGTTAGGGTCACATAGCTCATTTATTCAAAATGGGTTTAATCACGCCTAAGCACCCACTGGATTGTGGCCATTGAGTTCTGAATCACAGAATGTCAGCCTTGGAAAGGCCCCTGGAGAACATCTAGTTCAAGCCAATATTCAATGCAAAAACCTACAGCACCCCTAACAGGCAGCAGTCTGGATTCCTAACGGATAGCTATCTGGACACCTGCAAATGAAAGAAAACCAACGCCCCCCATAAGGCAGTCAGACTGTTCCACTCTCAAAGAGCTCTTCGCATTCGCAAGCTTCTCCTTGCTAGTCATTGTGGGTCTGAAACTGAGAAGAGGAGTCGAGGCAGCAACTGGTTACAATTTGCTCCTCTCCCACGATGCACTACTATGCCAACCATTACGAGTGATTCCTAGGATAGCGCTGCCGGTGGGCAAGCGGGCCTGGCCATCCAAAGCTGCAGCCTTCAGGATCCCTGTTTGAGCTGCAGCTGCTGGGACGCTTCCCCAGCAGCGCCACGGGAAGCCCCTCGGCCGGCCTGGCAGGGCCCCCTTCGCCCGACAGCACCAGCAGCGCTTTCCCCAGCGGCCCCCGAAAAGCCGCCGCCGGCTCCTCACCATGCTGCTTCCCCACCACGCCGGACTCCACCTCGCGCCGGAAGATCTCGCCCCTTCCTGCCTTACCGCCCCTTCCCATTGGCCAGCGCGAGCCTGCTAGAGCGGAAGAGGACGCAAGCGGAAAACCCCGAAGGCCGTTTGCCCACAGGAAAGATGGCGGAGCAAAAGAAGCTAAATGAAGGATGACTAGAAGGGTGTGCCAGAAACAAGGATGGCGGCCAAACTGCTCGCGCAATGACGTAGCAAAGCAAAGGGCTTGATACCCTTAGGATTCTCGATTAGACTTCCGGTTCCCGAATGCAATGGTCAGCGAGGGTGATGGAAAGACAACCGAATTAATGTTTAAAATCCTGGTTTCCTTCCTCCTTAATTTCCCATATTCACCAACAGCCCCATTCCCCAGGATAATTAACTACGAACCCCAAAATTAGACATTCCCCTTGGTGCTTAAAACAACCCCGAATTCTGTTCCAACAGCCGATGAGAGAGGGAAATAACTTTTTTGAAAAAAGGTGCAGAGGGATGTCAACCGACAGAGGGCGTTATTTTTGTCAAGGCACAAAGCGAGAGGGAGTTTCGAACTCGGCCTTATTTCTACTTTTGCATTTCCATCCTCACGCACTTCCTAAGGGGGTCCTAACGGAAACCAGAAGTGGAGCTTTTTTTCTTGGAGCTGTCGGCTTCTGCCTCTTTGAGAAGGAGGCGGGCTTTGCTGCCTCGGAAAGCGGCCTTCGCGGCCGCCCTTGCCCAAGATGGCTGCCCGCGGGGAACGCGGCCTCAAAGAAAGATGGCCGCTACGGAGGCCGAGAGATCGGAGCGAGGAATTCCTGTACAGTAGCTCGATGGTGGCCAAGGAGGAGGAGCCTCGCTTTGGGTCACGTGAGCAGGAAGCCTCGTCCTCCGGGCGCCGCGTCGCGCGAGGCCGGCACCTCGAAGCTCGCCCCGAGCGCCTTGGCATTTGCTCCAGAGCTTTCCCTGCAAACACCTGCTCTCTAAAGCGGAATCAGAACAAAGCTCTGGAGAAAGGGGGGGCACTCACATGTGGAGCTTTAAAGGGGGGGAGGTGGTGTGGTAATAATAATAATAATAATAATAATAATTTATTATTTGTACCCCGCCCATCTGACTAGGTTGCCCCAACCACCTTGGGTGGCTTCCAGCATATATAAAAACGCAAAGGTAAGTGTGGATAAGGCCCCTACTGCCCATCATGTTACAGTTTCAGTTTTTGATTGCCGTTTCTGTAATTGGCCTAACAAGGAATGAAGGAATGCACCTTTTGCCGAATTCAGCCCATGCTCAGCACACAGATGAGATTAGGGGGAAATCCCACAGGATGAAATGGGATTTACTTCTGAGTGAACCTGCCTAGGATTAAGTTGGACCACACTTGGTGCAGAAGGTACTTGGGTTGCTCCAAAGGCAAAAATGGGGAACCTGTGACCCTCCTGGTGGTGGCTCCCGCCAGAGATTGCGGGAGTTGTAGTCCATCTGCACCTGGGGCGGCTACTGCTTTCCTTTTGCCTTGGGTAAAGTATTTTCGCTCTACGTTTATCTGCAGAGGACATGACAAACAGTAGAACTAGCAAGCAGAGTGCTGCTACTTTTATAGTGCTATCCTCTTACATAATTCTTTACAGAACAACATAGAACAAAGACAAGAGCTTGCAATCTAGTCTTAGACAGGCAGCAAAAGAGGTGAGCCGAGTGTGAGCAGATGCAGTTGCAGTTACAGGGGTTTCATTTCAGATGGCTCCAGCACAGAATGCAGGACCAGCTGAAGTATGTGAGGAGTTGGACCAGGTCATCCTCCACCTTTTTGATACTCTGGAGATGCTCCAGACCAAGAGGAAAGCTTTTAACAACTTGATAGAGCAGGTGAGACTTGGGTTTGGGGGAGTTGCATAAAGGTGAAGGGCACTTCTACCACCCCGGGTCCCCTTCCTCCTCTTCTCCCCCCCCCTCCATGGTTGCTGCTCTGTACCCCTTTGCCCATTGCCTCTTGTGGGGATCTGGCCAAGAACAAAATTTTCTCAGAAGGTGCCCACTGAGGAAGATTCTTTCTAAAGAGAGAAGCCTCATCTCTTAACATTTTGTGGCGGTTATTTCTTCCCCAGGGTTGGTTCTCGCTCTCCAAGTCCCGCTATGCCATGGGTAACAAATCTGTCTCTCCCCTTCAGTATGGACATCAGATGACTCCAATGGTTCAGGTGAAAACTAGGTGAGAGCAGGAAATATCAGAATTTGGAGGGTGGAATCCCATGGAGCAAGTGAGAGCCTATGAAATAACAGGAGAGGGGAGGCAGAACAGCCAGTATTCTTTCCTGTTGGTTTTGGTGACTTCCAGCTTTATTTCTCTCCTTGACAGATTTTAGCTCTAGATGGGTATCTGTGCTGCTTGTATTGCATAGAGGAGCTGACCAGAGCTGTCGGCCAACAACATCTGAAGGGCCACGAATTCCCTATTCCTGACTTAAATTGCAATTCCACTATTTACTTTTTGCAATAACATTTCAGCAGTACTTTCTTTGGGTGGAATCCAATGTGACACTAAGACGAATTTTTGGTCAATGCAGGGATTTCTGAAGTGAAGCAGGATATAACTTTTACGAAATAAATAACATTTGTGCTTGCACATTTTTTAAAAGTGCTCTAAATCTTCTCTAAATCTGCTTTAGGGGCTCGAGCAACCCCTAGAAATCCTTGTGCTGACAGGATTCATTCGTGGAATCCCCACCCCACCCCCGTTTCCCTTATTGCCTAACTACTCATTTACACAGGGAACACCAAATGGCGATACTGCCATTGCTTAGGGGAGTCTACCCCAATCTGGTGCCCTCCGGATGCTGCTGGACTCCAACTGCTATAATCCCAGACCGTGGAGGATGTTGGCTGGGGCTGATGGGAACTGTTAGCCAAATATCTGGAGGGTACCAGGTTGGTGGAGGCTCTTCTGAGGTCTACGAGTAAATTAGTTATTACTATAGATTCAATCTTACATTTTGCTGTTTCTCTGCTCTGTCTAGAAAGAAAGACAATGGTCAGATGGGGTTTCATGTGGTGTCAGAGGATGTGAAGGCTGCCAAACCAACAGCTACAGATGCTGTGGAGGAAATTGGCCCTAGTGAGCAAGGTGAGGGTGCAAACCACAAGGCTGGTTGGGATGGTATATGTTTGGGACTACAGTAAACTGAGGATAGAGATCCTCTTATCAAAATGCCCATGCCTGGCCATCTGTGTTTTTAGGAGTTGCAGCTATAGTGAGGTGTAACAATTTCTCCCTGCCAACTGGCTATTCATGCCATTATTAATGAGATCTTGCGGTGGGGGGAGGAATTGGCGAATAGGCATAAAAGAAGGATCACAGATGGGTAGGTTAAAGTAAGATCATTGGGGCCTAGAAGCATTGCAAGTGGATTGTTCCATAAGTGATTTTGAAGTATAATGTTCCTGCTTGTGTATATGAAGCTAATCATATCTTTTTAAAAAATACCTTAGGATGGCTTTGCCTTCAAAACGACATACAAATACTTTATTTAAATAAACAAAACACAAAGGAGTCCTTTTTATTTCTGTTGGAAATAGTAATGAAAGTCACAAAGATTTAACAGACTCAGAAAACATACGTGCTGGTCAATGATCTCCAGCGGGCTAGGGACAAAGGCGAAAGCTGTTTCCTAGTTCTGCTGGATCTCTCAGCGACCTTTGATACCATCGACCACGACATCCTTCTGGACTGTATAGAGGAGCTGGGGGCACTGTTATACAGTGGTTCCGCTCCTTTCTCCTGGGCCATGTCCAGAAAGTGGTGTTGGGGGATGAGTGTTCAGACCCCTGGGCTCTCACTTGTGGGGTGCCTCAGGGTTCTGTCCTCTCCCCCATGCTTTTCAACGTCTACATGCAGCTGCTGGGAGAGATCATCAGGAGGGCTTGGGCTGGGTGTCCATCAATATGCGTATGATACCCAGCTCTACCTCTCTTTCAAATCAGAACCAGTGAAGGTCCTGTGTGAGTGTCTGGAGGCAGTTGGAGGATGGATGGCAGCTCATGGGTTGAAGTTGAATCCTGACAAGGCAGAAGTACTGTTTCTGGGGGACGGGGTGGGCGGGTGTGGAGGATTCCCTGGTCCTGAATGGGGTAACTTTGCCCCTGAAGGACCAGGTGCGTCAAATGTGAGTCATTTTGGACTCACAGCTGTCCATGGAGGCGCAGGTCAATTCTGTGTCCCGGGCAGCTGTCTACCAGCTCCATCTAGTACTCAGGCTGAGACCCTACCTGCCCGCGCACTGTCTTGCCAGAGTAGTGCATGCTCTGGTTATCTCCTCCTTGGACTACTGCAATGCAGTCTATGTGGGGCTACCTTTGAAAGTGACCCGGAAACTGCAACTAATCCAGAATGTGGCAGCCAGACTGGTGACTGGGAGTGGCCGCCAAGACCATATAACACCGGTCCTGAAAGACCTACATTGGCTCCCAGTATGTTTCCAAGCACAATTCGAAGTGTTGGTGCTGACCTTTAAAGCCCTAAACGACCTTGGCCCAGTAGACCTGAAGGAGCGTCTCCACCCCCATCGTTCAGCCCGGACACTGAAGTCCATCTCCGAGAGCCATCTGGTGGTTCCCTCACTGCGAGAAGTGAAGTTACAGGGAACCAGGCAGAGGGCCTTCCCGGTAGTGGCGCCCGCCCTGTGGAACACCCTCCCATTAAATGTCAAAGAAATTAACAACTATCGGACCTTTAGAAGACATCTGAAGGCAGCCCTGTTTAGGGAAGCTTTTAATATTTGATGAATCATTATATTTTAATATTCTGCTGGAAGCCGCCCAGAGTGGCTGGGGAAACCCAGCCAAATGGGCAGAGTATAAATATTATTACTACTACTACTACTACTACTACTACTACTACTTGCCATAATGTCAGAATTACAGAAGAGGAGAGAGAGAAATCCTAGTTCCCAACAATAGGCCAGTGGCAGGGAACTGACTGGGGTGGGTGTGACCAAAGACTTAGAATGTTGTGTGTTTTTCTCACCGCTAAGTTCCTGACTAGTAAAGGTGTTGTTTTAATGTTTCCAGTTCTACGATGGCGAAAAGGTCCAGGGAAAGCACAGGCTCCAGCCCAGCCCCCAAAGGCCTTCCACAAGGCTGCCGAGGGATCAGGGCATCAAAATCCCCTGACATGGTTTGGAATCCTTGTGCCCCAAAGCCTCCGACAAGCCCAAAGGACTTTCCAAGAAGGTGAGTGAAGTGGCTGCTCGTACACTCCACATAACCTGTTCTTCCTTCCCCTTCTCATTGTACCCCAAAGAGCAATGAAGACTCTTCTGAGAGCACAGCCCTCATTTCTCTTTCTGTCAAAAGGCATTGGGGCTGTACAGATGGGTAAATCTGAAAGTTGTCATTGATCCTGACACACTGTGGAAGCAAGCAGGGATGTTGCTCTGCCCCTGATGAAAGTCTTATGTGCCCAACACTGAAAGCTAGCTCAGCTGAATACCACAAGTGGCGGCAAGGACTGTGCTGTTACTTATACCCCTTTGAGTGATCCTGGGATGCTGGATTTGGTCCCTCCAGAGACACACGTTTCCCAAAATCTCCTTTTCTGTTGCCTGAAGTCCTCTCAGTGAACACATCATACAGCTGCTGTGAGGAACCTTTGGCTCTCCATTGCTGCACTGCAAGTCTCCTCATTCCATTGTCTTTGTTGGCTGGGACTGATGAGACCTGGAGTCCCAACAACCTGTGGGGGACCACAGGCACCGCCCCCCTCCTGCCTGCCTTAGGGGGAATGTTCCAGGTTCTCTTCCATGATGCATCATCTCAACTGCCTCTCACCCTCTTCTGTTCTAGGAATTCAACTGGCTGCAGAAATCGCCTCGTTACAGAGTGACATTGAGACCACACAGAGACATTACCATGCATTGCTGGGGGAAAAGCACAAACTTGTAGCAAGGGAAAAGCAGCGCTGCCCTTGAACAGCTATGACCATCTCTCCACTGAGAGCATAGATAGAAGAATGGGGCCTGTATTTATTGGGATGCATCCCAGAAGCCGCTTGCTCCATGTATTTTTTAGCTGTACTTAATAAATAAGGGCTTCAGAAACGTCTGGAAACCTTGTTTGTGGAGATCTGTGTCCTGGTTATTTTTGAAATGCTGGTTAGCCTTGTCCAGAGCCTTACTCTCATCCTGCCTTTTCCATAATTCTCAGGACCACATTACAATATGATTGTAGGTTTTTTCCTCTTATTTTTGTATGTTTTCAATCAGTGAGGGGGGTGTCTTTGAAACAGATAAAGATCCAGTATTAACTCTTGTCTGCAAACACTGTTTAAAATCCTTTGGGCCACCTCTTCACTAGCTGAGGTCGAACTGAGATGAGGTACATAACATTTGGTAATGCTAGATAAAGGTAAAGGGACCCCTGACCATTAGGTCCAGTCGTGACCGACTCTGGGGTTGCGGTGCTCATCTCGCTTTATTGGCCAAGGGAGCTGGCGTATAGCTTCCGGGTCATGTGGCCAGCATGACTAAGCCGCTTCTGGTGAACCAGAACAGCGCACGGAAATGCCGTTTATCTTCCTGCCAGAGCGGTACCTATTTATCTACTTGCACTGTGACGTGCTTTCGAACTGCTAGGTTGGCAGGAGCAGGGACCGAGCAACGGGAGCTCACCCCTTCACAGGGATTCAAACCGCCGACCTTCTGATCGGCAAGTCCTAGGCTCTGTGGTTTAACCCACAGCGCCACCCACATCCCAATGCTAGATAGAAAGGGACTATTTTATACTGTTTCTTTTTGGGGGGAGGGGAGTATAATTGTAGCACTGGAAAGAGATTCTGAGAGTCTTCTAGTCCACAAAGCAGGAATCTCAACTGAAGCATCCATGACAGATGACTATCCAACCTCTGCTTTAAAACCTCCCTTGCCACACCACTGAAATTAAGCAGCATAAAAATGTCATGGATTTAAAATAGATTAACTCTCTCTTCTCCTTCCTGCTACCCTAAAAGCTCCTGCAAATTTTCCAGAAAGTGATCCTACTTGGCCTCTGATACATCCTCTTTCTATCATTTTCTCCCTCAACATAAATTTCAACTTTGTAGAATCAGAATTGTAGAGTTGGAAGGGATCCTGAGGCTCATCTAGTCCAACCCCTGCAATGCAGGAACATGCAGCAGTGTATCCTGAGACAGATGGATATAGGGATCAGACTTGCAACCTTGGCATTATCAGCACCTGCTCTAACCAGCTGAGCTGTTCAGGGCAGCCCTGCAGAGGGGGAGGGGCAGTGCAGACTTACTTTGGAAATGATGTTATAATTATTATTATGGGAAGTAGACATGTAACTGCATATTAAGGTGAATACAATGAGGCTTATATAAGCTCACAATACAGAAAATGTTTACATTCTTAAGTGTTACATCACACATAGTTTCAGAACTGACAGCTTGAATGTGTGGTGTCCTTTGAAAAGGATTAAGATTGTGGGAGAGCTGCCAACAATTGAAGAGCGAAGGACTGGAAACCAGGGCAGAGAACAGCGCAGGGGCAATTTCACATGAGTTTGTAGCTTTGAAAAGATCGCTATCCAGCCAGGATTGAACTGGGGTGACCAAGTGTGTTTACTCTCAGCTTTATGATCCAATTGATTCCTGCCAATATTTTACAGAAGAAGTTAAAGGATAGAGTGAAAACACAAAGTTTGCAAGGGAGGGACACCGGTTGTGGGTGTGGCAACTGGAGGGAAAGGGAAGCATCGGAAAATCTGGTGCATTATGGGTGTAACAAGTAGAAGCAGATTAAGGTTTCTTTGTGGGTTTCTCAGCAGTTTGCAGAAGCGCTTGCAAAAGCGAGTACCTTGATATGACGGGCAACAGGCGGATTTCCCCATTTCTGCTGCATTTCCTTGTTCTCTTTAGGTTCTAAGCCAAAAGCAACTCCTCTATCTCACTCCCATATGGTCTAGCGGTTAGGATTCCTGGTTTTCACCCAGGCGGCCCGGGTTCGACTCCCGGTATGGGAATGGCAATCTCTTTTAATGAATACCAGGATGAAAAATTAAATAGTATCAAAGAAACGGCGCGCCAACAGTTTTATTTCTGATAGTGATCTACGTGTCGAGAAACTGGCGCCTGGCTGCCCCTCCTGAGCCGGGAGCGGCCCCCCTCTCAATGGCTTGCAACCTGGAGTGAGTTCTCTCCCGCGGCGCTGCAAGCGCGGCCGAGCCCGCCTTGGCCTTCCAGGAACAGAGCCAGCAAAGGGGAGCAGCGAGGCGGCGGCCAGGCCTCCAAGCAACTGCCCGTGAACCGGGCGGCGCATCTGCCTCAGGCTTCTCAGAGGTTATGGATCGGTCTCGATGCGCGACTGGAAGGCGGGGGGGGGGGGGGCAAATTCAAAGGCGCGCTTCCGCAATTGGTCAGTAGGCGTCGCACTTCAGCTCCCTTCGCTCAGGCGTGGTTTCGGGCGAGAAAAACCCACCTTTCCCCCCGCAGTTGCCCGCTGCTGTCTTTGACCCGGGAGCTGCATGTTCGAGCCCCACTCGGGGAATTTAAAAGTCTCAAAGCCATTCCAGCTTTTGTTTGCACCACCTTTTAATGCTCCTGAGACTGTTTCTATAGAAGGCTCTTTGCGAACAGGAAGAGGAGGATTGGGTTTGCATCTGCTGACCTGCATTCGAAAGAGCGCTGGGCTTGAGGCTGCAACGGGGCTGGGATGGCCGCTCTTCTTAGAAGTTCTGGTCTCTGTTGGCAGCAGGACAAGAGGTGGGGGGAGAAGAAGCCGGCGAGCCGGGCGGTGGGCGCTGATCCTGCGAAAGCAGCCGGTGGGCGCGCTCCCGTTCTCTGCCCGGGGGGGGCTGGTTCCGGAGACTCCCGCAAGGAGGGCAAGGCAAGCGCAGCCTGAAATTCCGGCAGGCGGGCACAGGGAAGTGCAAACTCGCAGCCCCATCTACCGCAATGCCAAAATCCAGACACCCAATTTTTCCAGCAATCCTGCAGTTAAGCAGCTTCAATAATTTAGGGTTGCCATATTTCAAAAAGTAAAATCTAGGACACCCCGAAAGTTGTTGCGCTTCTTTTAGACAAACCCCAAAGTTGTTGAGCTTTTTCTTACAAAACCGCCCAAACACCGCGATTTCTCGAGTGACTTGCCTAAGATCGAGGACAAAGCAGCGCCTCTGCCTTTGCAATAGGAAGGGGGCGCGAGGATGCAATTCCCTCCTCTCCCCGGAGGGGGCAACGGTGAGTATCTCTGTCCTGGACTGGCTCGTACATTACCCAATGCCTGTTCGCGCTTCTCCCATATGGTCTAGCGGTTAGGATTCCTGGTTTTCACCCAGGCGGCCCGGGTTCGACTCCCGGTATGGGAAGAGTGATCTTTTCCTGCCCCCGCTCTGCACCATTTACCTTTTTTCAGAGCATCTGCTACTAAATAACCCTTTAGGCCAGGCAAGAATAGTCTTCCAAATGTCTGTTTAAAGCGAGTAAGGAAGGTGTCTGCACATGCAAAGCGCCTGAGAGTGAGAGGTTTGTGTGGCAGGCTATGCTGGGTTAAGCGCTGCAGCCCATGTGCTTTGCATGGCACCCTCTTGTTTTGGAAGAGAAAAAGTGATCACAGACACACACAAATATATTCTTTCCCGAAGTAGAATAATATTACACTTGCTTATAGAAATCTTCCTAGGAAATGCTTTTGTTTCATTTTTCTTCCAAAAAAGAGAGAGAGAAGAAATAGTATCATCCTGATGCAAAGTGTGACCTGCTCTCCCCTGTCTGACAAGACTCAGCGAAGGAGGCTTCTGCCAGTCGCCTCCCATATGGTCTAGCGGTTAGGATTCCTGGTTTTCACCCAGGCGGCCCGGGTTCGACTCCCGGTATGGGAAGCTTTAAATTTTAGTTTCTCTCTTCCACTTAATATCTTGTAATTCAGTCTCCCTCCGCTTTCCACTTGTCCCAATCAAATGCGCTTCAGGTCATGAAAACGCTCTTTATTTGCCGTTTTGAACGCGATGGGAAGCATGCGCGCCTTTTGCCGCTGGCCATCGCAGCAGCGCCACGAACTGGGGGAAAAGGAGGAGATCTGGGCGACTGCAGGGAACAAAAAGCGCACCTTCCCATACCGGGAGTCGAACCCGGGCCGCCTGGGTGAAAACCAGGAATCCTAACCGCTAGACCATATGGGAGCCGCTGCTCCGCGCTCTTCCGCGCGGCTTCCTCAGGGCCAGCGGGCCTCCAGGGAGAGGCTCGTGCCCGGCCGGCAGGCGCGCCTCCTGCTGCGCGGTTCCGCGTTCCCGCGGGGCTGCCGGCCAAGCGCGCCTCTCTCGGGAAGCGCGGCCGCCACGTCGGAGGGACCGGCCTGCTTTATGTACAGGCTTTGTACGCCGCTTTGCGTGTTAGAGCAAAAGAAAATAAAAGGAAGCGGTGCGTAATATTTTCTAATGAAATAAATAAGCAAAGCCGCTTGCTGCGTCCCCGCGTGCACGCGCAGCCCCGGGAAGCGTCGCCATGGCAACGCGGGCCGGGAGGATGCTGGCGGGAGCCGGAAGTGCTCTCTCTCTCGGCCGCGTTTCCAAGGCGAGGATGCCCGTGACGGGCGGGGAGGGAGGCCAATGGGAGAGAGAGGCGGGCCTTGGCGGGAGCTGGTCCTGATGCTGCCGCCGCCGCCGCCGCTCGGGGCTGCGGGGTGAGGGCAGGATGGAGGGGCGGGCGAGGAGGCTGGCGGGGGAAGGGGATGGAGGCCGGCAGGGCGGGCAGGCCTGCTGGGTGGGTCTCCCCAGGAAGGGGGGCTGGTGGGGAGGGGGCCGTTGGAAGATGGGGGAGCAGCAGTGGAGGCAGAGGGAGCAGCCATGGCCACAGGCAACCTGGGCCTCCGCTTGCCAGCCCGCATGGGGAAACCAGAAAGAGCCATCTGGGGTGGGGGCCGCCTTTGCCACACACCTGCACCCAAGAGGAAATTCCCCTCAGCATGTTGCTGGGCAACGAGAGGGGGCAGGCTATCAGTAGTGACCCGCTGCCTGGTGGGCAAGTGTGCTGTCACAGACGAGAGAGGAGGCCAAGTGGATGCAGGAATAACGGCTGCACAAGACCTGGAGACCAGGGAAATGTTTGGGGCAGAAGAAGGTTCCTTGGACCAGGGACAAGGGCAGGGTGTGTAGATTTTGAGGGAGGGCCGATTGTGGATGTCCGTCTGGGGGAAATGGCAGGGACGCCAAGGAAGGGTACAGCCTTTTGTGGGTTGTGGGACCAACAGAGAGGATGCGGTTCTTTTGGTGGCATGGCAGCTGTAGAACAGTTGGTAGGGGGCAACTAGCACTTCTTGAAGCTTATGAGAGGAAAAAAGGATTCATCCCTCTGCACCCCTCCCCCTCTGCTTTCCCACAGAGACAGTGGGGACCATGGGGCTGGTGGCTTGCAAAGGGCACTAGCCTCTGCCTGTGAAGAGGCCTCAACTCTGTGACCCCCTCCCCCCCCCACCATCATGGAGCCCCTGAAGGAGAGGGCTGGGTGGTGCGCAGGGTACCGGGGGGAGGAGGCTGTCGCTGAAATGAGACCCTTGCTGCAAGAGGACATCGGCCAGGTGAGTGCCACCAAGACCACCCATTGGGGTGCCTGATCTTTTCTACCTGCCCCCCGTATCCCTCTTTGGAGTTGTAGAGCCCTAATAAGCCCAGCACCAGACTTGATACAATAGCAAGGCTCTTCTTGTGTATGGAAACTCACAATAAGTGCCGGAGAACGATAGCCAAAACACTCTGAATTCTGGCAACAGCAACAATTCACATGAGAATATTTCCTTCTGCATTGGCTGAGGATTGGCCACCCTTACGCCCAGTTCCATTTCCCCTCTTTCTGCTGATCCTCCAGCAGCAGCAGTAACTGGGAGATCAGACCAGCACCCATCAGATTTCCAACAATGGGTGACCCTATGCCTCGCCAGCTATATTGGTAGGACCTCATTCTGCTGTGTGTGGTTTCTTTCAGGACGGCATTGCGATGGGGGTTGAGCCTACAGGCTGGGGGACAGATGACCCAGACTTAGAGGAGAATGAGGTTGGCACAGATCCTGTTCGGGTCATGATGTTGCCACTTCAAGCCCAGCATGCCATGGAGAAGATGGAAGAATTTGTCCTGAAGGTGAGTGACATATGTGGCTGGGAAGCGCCTGTGAGCAGTCCTGGCTCAAAACAAGCCTCCTTGGGCGCTCCCTGTTTTTCTTGCTTCACTCTTCCTCAGTTTTGCCCTGAGGAACTGGACACCACTTCTCCCCCTGGCTGTCTGGCCGTCCTCTCTTCTTCATTTTATGGGCTGCTACCCAATCAGTGCTAAGGCAAACTGGGCATGTCACAAAAGTGCCCACGGGTCTGATATTATGACTTCAGCTACTGCCCATTGGCCTCCTCCCCAGCTTCGCAAGGCGCAGGGAAGCTCAACAGTCACACAACCCTGGAGAAGAGGGGGAGATGGAGTAGTGTAGTCGTGGGCAAGAGGCTCTCCTCTCTGCCATGACACCCCGCTCTGAGCCAGCTCTCAGGGCCAAGCCCAACGGGGCATAGTATCTGGAAGCCAGCGAAGAGAAAGCAGCCCAGTGGTGCTCCCTCTCTCCTGATGGGGTCCCCTGGAGGCCCTCGACTGAGGGAGGCCATGGGCAAGGGAGAGAAGGCCACACAAAGTGCAAAAAGGACTGGCCTGAGGGGTCAGGAAACAGAAAAGGAGGCTGCTGCACAGGAGGAGGAGGAGGACTGCTGCTGGGTTCAGGCAAGTGACAACTAACAGGGTGGGGCTTTGAGGGCCTGTGGCAACCCCACTGGTTGGTTGACCTCAGAATTAATTGCATGGTTTCACCAACCACTGCATTTATTTATATATTTTAAGATATTTATATACCTTGGCAAAAAACCAACCAAAACCCACAATAAACAAACAACCGTGGCATTTATATAAGCACATTTCAAATGTTCAAAGCTTTACCATAGCCCTGTAAGGTAGGCCAGCATCATTATTGCCCCACATTGCAAATGGCAGGCTGAGAGAATTGGCAGCACTGCTAAGGCCTACTGAGTGTGTTTATGGTGAAGTGCCAAAGCAGACAAGATGAAGCAAGATTCTTATTTGTATATTTACCTGTTTGCCACACTCATGTGTAATGAATTTGGAGGTCTGGCTTGTTTATTTATTTTACACCAAAAGGTGGCATGAGAATGATGGGAACGGGGACACCCACACATTGCCACCTTATCGTCTGCCCCGGTCTCCTGGGCTGCTTCACCTTCAGTGTCTGTCAGGCTGGGAGAAAAGTGCCTGGGCTAATGGAGGTGGGAGCACCCCTTACTATGCCCCAAACATGCTCCTCCCCACACCTTATACTTAGTGGGTCAGATGCATGAGCAACAAGCATGGAAGCCCAGGTCGCCTCTGCTGTGGCCCTGAGGTGAGGATGCTTGAACCAGGCTGCAGACTAATACCCACTGACCTGGGAGTAAGCCCCATTGAACTCAGTGGGACTCTGAAAAGGTATTTATGGGATTGCCTTTGTTGCCAGAGTGTTGAGCGGGGAGGGAACTGCGTTCTGTTCCCCCTTCAGCCGTGAAGCTGAATCCACAGAGAACTCTTGGCTTTGCTTCACCAAAGCAGCCCTGGAGGTTGTTGTTTTCTTTACAGAATATTCTCAGCACTCTCAAAAGCCACATCTTCTGTGTTCCTTATGAAATGCAATGACACTTTAAAACTTCCTTATGCTTGCTGTAAAAAAATTCTCTTTAGAGCAGTGTCCCCACCCCCATTTTTTAATAAATAAATGAAGCATACAGAATCAGCACACATGTACATACTTTTGATACTGGGGAAACAGTTTGATTTTAGTTTACTTTTTTGAATTATGGAGACACAGTTCACTCTTACAAAAGATGAATACCATATTATTCTAGTTCAGCTCCTAGTATAATCAACAGGCAAGATCCTTTCCTGTGCCTTAGCCTCAGGCTGCACTCACATACTGCTCACTCTGCACCCAGTGTGCTCCCACCACGGGTAGCAGAAGTGGGGTACACACATTAACCACAATCCATGCCTATCCTTTATCTACTGCATGCTGTCATTTTAAAAAAATGAAGTTCTGTTTCAGTGTGTTTTTCCTCAAAACAGCTCCGACTGAAGTTCAAAAAGAGAACGGGCTAGCTGCGTTTTAAGCCAGTAATGTCTACACAGCCTCCGTCTTTTCTCCCGTTGTAGGTCTGGGAGGGCCGCTGGCGTGTCATGCCTTATGATGTGCTGCCTGACTGGCTGAAGGACAATGACTTCCTCCTCCATGGGCACCGGCCGCCCATGCCCTCCTTCCGTGCTTGTTTCCGAAGCATCTTCCGCCTCCACACGGAGACAGGCAACATCTGGACACATCTGCTTGGTCAGTCATGCGGCTCTGCTCCGCACAGCAAGAACCTGGTGTGGTGGGGGAAGAGGAAGGGGGCAATCTGGATTAGCTCCCTTCTTCTTCTGTGTCTCACATCATAGCAAACTATTGCAGCTTCAGAATATAGCTACCATCTTCTTTGTTAATATTTTTTAAAAATCAGCATAAAAGATACTTAACAGGCAACACAAATATGGCTCACTGATGGTGTTTCCTGACAGTCTGCATTCTAATCACTATGTTAGTGAGCTTCACTTTTCATATACAGTGGTACCTCAGTTTTTGAATGTAATCCGTTCCGGAAGACTGTTCAAATTCTGAAACATTTGAAAACTGAAAACTCAATAGCTGACAGCTAGGCCTCAGGATCTTGCACTCAGCGGAAGCTGCGTGGCATGTTCGACTTTCGAGGCATGTTCGAAAACTGAAGCACTTACTTCCGGGTTTACGGCCTTCAAAAACCGAAATGTTCGTCAATAGAGACGTTTGAAAACCAAGGTACCACTGTATTAGTAAGCTTCAATGTTTATTGTGCAAGTACTCAGGGCAGAACATTAGACTTGATTACCTCTGTTTGCTTGTTTATTTTGCATATGCACCTCTCTTGTGCTGCAGGGAAACTGTGTGTGAGAGAGAGATAAGGGGGGATGGGACACAGGTTCAGGTTTTTCCAGTTGACACCCCTGACTTCATGGGGAAGTGACCACAGACCGCCAGGCCCAGAGACGGCCCCCTCCAGGTCTCTATTTGTGCAGGGCTGCTGGTGACCTCTGCCTGCTTCTGGCAGAGCAGAGTCATTTCCTCCAAATTCCTGAGAGGACCACCCTTTCAGTGTGGTTGGGGTATGTGGAGACACCTAGAAAGAGATGTGGGCAGCTTTCTTCTCTTCCTCTCCCAGGGTTCCTCTTCTTCTTGGTCTTGGGCATTGGATACATGATCAGCCCCAACATGAAGTACGTTGCCCCCATCCAGGAGCGTGTTGTCTTTGGAATGTTCTTCTTGGGAGCCATCCTTTGCCTCTGCTTCTCCTGGCTGTTCCACACGGTCTACTGCCACTCAGAGGAGGTTTCCCGCACCTTCTCCAAGTAAGTCTACCGCCTGCCTGCTTCACCTGCCCCCCCCCCAGGTCTTCTGGGACACATGGGAAGTGGGAGACGGTGAGGAGCGAGAGTATCTTCCGTGGCACCGAAGCTCTCAAGAGACACAAGTGCTTGGAGCATCAGTGGGGAGCTCTTCTCTGGCTGGCAATAGATGCACGGACGGTTTTAAGAGAGTCAAAGTCCTTGTGTTAGGGTGGCCATGTGTCCTACTTTACAGAGGACTGTCCTCTATTTCTGAAGGGCTGTCAGGGGCCATCACTTTATCTGAAGGTATCCTCTATGGGAGGGCTGCTCAGGCCATGTGTGGTTTAAATATAGAGGGAGGGGGCCCTTGAAGTTGCCTCTCAGCCAGGGTGGATTTGATTTAAATCACTAGGCAGTAAGACTTGATTTAAATTATTTTTTTACAGAAAGACTCATTCTTGCTGGTATAATCTTAATATTTACAACCAGATGAAGGCTTCATTTTTGGAATAATAAATGTTCAGAGTAGTTTTTACAGTTATATCAAAAATACTGATTTGGTTATACCATTAGAAATACATAGATAGATAATTATGAAATTATTGTGAGGTTTAAGAAGTTAACTGTTTCTATTTGGACAACTTTTCTGCTGTACTTGATTGGAAGGAGAAAAATAATAATTTTCTTAATAACAATTTAAACAATTTATTTAACTAAAACAATAACATTATAGCATATGTATCCATAACTGATGTATCCATAACTCCATAATTGAGTTTTAGCACACATGAAAAACTTAAAACAAATCCTTATTTCCTAATGAATAGCCTTTGGACTATCATGTAACTTAAATAGAAAACTATCTTTAGAAAGATTTTTTCCTCCAAAAGCATTTTATTTTAAAAATCCAATTTAAATTTTAAAAAATCCAATTTAAATAATAAAACCCGATTTTTTATTTTAAAAAATCATTGATTTTTATCCGCCCTGCCCTCAACAGTTAGCAGCACCTGCTCAGAAGACAGAGCCAACTGGCAAGCTGTCCAAGTCTTCCCTACTAGGGTGAGGTGGTGTTCATTTCCATTTAATTACCGTAATTATTTCTTAATTTGCAGCTGTGCGTATAAGTTACCATGTGCAAATTTTATGCAGATTGGTGCCCTCCTTTTTGCCCTGTTTTGTGCTGATGTATCGCTCTGTCCTTCTGTGCTGCCATAATGCCAAGCATTGAGAGCCAGTGTGGTGTTGTGGTTCAGAGCGGTGGATTCGTAATCTGGTGAACCGGGTTCGCTTCCCCGCTCCTCCACCTGCAGCTGCTGGGTGACCTTGGGCCAGTCACACTTCTCTGAAGTCTCTCAGCCCCACTCACCTCACAGAGTGTTTGTTGTGGGGGAGGAAGGGAAAGGAGAATGTTAGCCACTTTGAGACTCCTTCGAGTACTGATAAAGTGGGATATCAAATCCAAACTTTTCTTCAAACTCTTCTAGCATACAGTCCCTGTGCCTCAATGGGGTCTACCCTGGGCTCCCCCTTTTAAAGAAATTTCTAGCATGTCGATCAGCATCAGCTGGCTAGGTCTGGGAGCCCCCTTTAAATTTCCCACAATGCCCCCCAACCCAGTGCTGCCTGGGGCAGCATGAGAAATTCAAGCATCTCCCACATTGGCCTCAGCAGCACATGCCATGTGAGGGGCATCATGGGAAATTCAAGCAGCCTCCTGGTGCTGGGGGAGGGCTGCCTGCTCTGTCTGTCTACTGGCAAGCCCACCCTGCTTTCTGTTGTGCAGACTGGATTACTCTGGAATCGCCCTGCTCACCATGGGCAGTTTTGTTCCCTGGCTCTATTACTCCTTTTACTGCTCACCTCAACCCCAACTCATCTACCTCGTCATCATTTGTGTCCTGGGCGTCACGGCCATCATGGTGTCGCAGTGGGACCATTTTGCCACCCCACAGTACCGGGCCGTCCGAGCAGGTAATCATGCACAATTGTCGATTTGGCATTGCTTGTGATGGATCGGGCCCCATTGGAGGATTTCCTTAGAACACACCCATGTAGTTAGAAAGCCGTAGGCTCTGAAAGTGCCAGAACACAGCTGGACCCTCAGAATAGATCTCATTCTGATAAATGAATTTCCCAGTTGAGATATAGTACTTCTACACCAGGAATCACTTTGGAAATCAAGCTCGGTTAAAATAGTTCTGTTTACTAGCAAAATACAATTTTTTACAGAGCAAAAGCTTAACTTGAGGGTAGTGCAAAAATACAACCAGGATGATCCAGGGTCTGGAAACCAAGCCTTCTGAGGAGTGGTTGAAGGAGCTGGGTATCTTTAGCCTGGAAATGAGACTGTGAGGAGATAGGGTAGCCATCTTCCAATATCTCAAGGGCTGCCCCATGGAAGAGGGAGCAAGCTTGTTTTCTCCTGCTCTGGAGGGGAGGACCTGAACCAATGGCTTCAAGCTCCAAGAAAGGAGATTTGGACTAAACATCAGGAAGAACTTTCTGACAGTCAGAGCTATTTGATAGTGGAATGGCCTCCCTTGGAAGGTGGTGGACTCTCTTTCCTTGGAGGTTTTTAAACAGAGGTTGGATGGCCATCTGTCATGGATGCTTTAGCTGAGATTCAGCACTAGATGGCCCTTGGGGTCCCTTCCGAGTCTAGAAGTCTATGATTCTGTGACATGGCCAAAGTGTGCAGTAACACGTTGTTAAAGGCATTTTTCCCACTTGGAAGCTAGTAACAGGATTAGTACATAACAATGTGTGGAACTAGCGTAGCATAATGGCAAAAAGTTTAGTGGGAGAGCCAGACTTTAGTTCAAGTCTCATCCTATGGCTATAGATGAGGGTTAGCCAATCTAGCACCTCTATATATTGTTGGACTCCAACTCTCTTCAACCCTGACCACTGGTCATGCTGGCTGGGAATGATGGGATCTGGAGTCTAGCAATCTGAATTCCATGGAATATTTTAATACCTATTTTTAATACTATCCTGTTTTATTTTATACTGTTGTAAAATGCTTAGAGATTTCATTTACAGTGAAATGGCATACAAATTTTAATAAATAAATTAAATAAAAATACAATTAAAAAGCATACAGCATCTAGCACAGTACAGTACAATTGTTACCACAGACAGAAAATCATTGAGGGGTCTGTCAAGACCCCTAGCAATTTTCAAGTGGTCCTGGTGCAGGAGCAGGGAGTCTGGGAACCATTGGTCTAGATAATTCGGCTTCTTTGTACATGCTCTTCTATTCTCCATATTTGACATTAAACTTTAGTTCCAGGATTGAGACCAGATAAGGCCTTCTTTCTATTAATCCCTGAGAGGAGCTCATCCACACAGTGACCTTTCTTATTTCTTGGACAGGGGTGTTCCTGGGCCTGGGGCTGAGTGGCTTGGTGCCCACACTCCACTTCATGATTGCTGAAGGATTCATCAAGGCCACGACTGTGGGGCAGATCGGCTGGCTCTTCCTCATGGCGATCCTCTACATCCTGGGTGTGGGCCTGTACGCTGCCCGAATCCCCGAACGCTTCTTCCCGGGCAAGTGTGACATATGGGTACGTGTTGTGTGGAAGGAACTGGCCTTTGGGGTGTCTAAGGGCAAGATAAATACTGTGAGTCTGAATTCCCTGCATCTTCATGTCAGGTTTGGAATATCTCCTTCCTCAAGGGACAGTAAAGCTCAGAGTTGGAAGACACACTTGGCCACAGGATGTCAAAAGGATCAGGGGATGCAGAAGCCCTTTTTCTGCCCAAGACCCAAGAGAATAATAATAATAATAATAATAATAATAGTAATTTATTTATATCCCGCCCTCCCCAGCCAAGGCCGGGCTCAGGGCGGCTAACAAGCAATAATAAAAATAAGTTGAATAAATACAACTTAAAAACAAAATTAAAATACATTAAAATATTGAAACATTAAAATATTAAAATGTAGCCTCATTGCAGGAGGAGAAAGGAAAAGAAAAAAGAAAGAGGGGGAGAGAATAAAATTGGCTCCAAGCCAAAGGCCAGGTGGAACCACTCTGTCTTACAGGCCCTGCGGAAAGAAATCAGATCCTGCAGGGCCCTGGTCTCATGAGGCAGAGCGTTCCACCAAGCCGGAGCCAGAGTTGAAAAGGCCCTGGCTCTGGTTGAAGCCAATCTAACTTCCTTAGGGCCCGGGACCACTAGGGTGTTGCTATTTATGGACCTTGAGGCTCTCCGTGGGGCATACTGGGAGAGGCGGTCCCGTAGGTACAAGGGTCCTAGGCCTTGAAGGGCTTTAAAGGTCAAAAGCAGCACCTTAAATCTGACCCTGTACTCCACCGGGAGCCAGTGCAGCTGGAAAAGCACTGGGTGAATATGCTCCCATGGCAGAGACCCTGTGAGGAGCCTCACTGCAGAATTCTGCACCTGCTGGAGTTTCTGGGACAGCTTCAAGGGCAGCCCCGCGTAGAGTGAATTACAGTAGTCAAGCCTGGAGGTGACCGTCACATGGATCACTGTGGCCAGGTCAGGGCGGGAAAGGTAAGGTACCAACTGCTTGATGCGGTGGAGGTGGAATAATGTCGCCTTGGCTGTTGCTGTAACTTGCGCCTCCATGGAAAGGGAGGCATCAAGGATTACACCCAAACTCTTAACAGAAGGCACTGGCACTAACTGGGCCCCCGCAAGAGAAGGGAGTTGGTCCCTCATCCCCATGCCATCCCGACCCAGCCATAGGACCTCTGTCTTCGAAGGATTTAGTTTCAATCGGCTCCCACAAAACCATCCAGCCGCAGCTTTCAAGCATCTGGTCAGTGTGTTCGGGGCCGAGTCGGTGTGGCCATCCATCAGCAGATAGAGCTGAGTGTCATCAGCATATTGGTGACAGCCCAGCCCAAAGCTCCAGACAATCTGGGCAAGGGGGCGCAAAAAGATGTTAAAAAGCATCAGGGAGAGGATTGCGCCCTGCGGCACACCACACACCAAGGAGTGGCGCAACAACATTTCCCTCCCTAGTGCCACCCTCTGACCCAATCAGAGATAAAAGAGCACAGCCATTTACGGGCTATGCCCTGTATTCCCACGTCAGCGAGGCGGTGGTCCAGAAGATCATGATCGACCATGTCAAAGGCTGCTGACAAATCTAAAAGGATCAGCAGTCCTGACCCGCCTCGATCCAGTTGTCTACGGAGATCATCTGTTAGGGCAACCAGAGCTGTCTCGGTCCCGAAACCAGGACGGAAACCGGACTAAAATGGATCTAAAGCCGATATTTCCTCCAGAAACCTACCAAGCTGTTCAGCAACCGCTCTCTCAATTACCTTACCCAGATATGGAAGATTTGAAACTGGGCAGTAATTGGATAGGTCTAAAGGATCTAGTGAAGTTTTCTTTAAGAGCGGACACACCACTGCTTCCTTCAATTCCCCTGGGAATGTCCCCGTGCCAAGGGACAAATTGATAATTTCAACCAGCGGGGTACGCGCGACATCTGGACACGCCCTAATCAGCCAAGACTGCCACGGATCAAAGAGGCAGGTGGTGGGCCTACCAGCTTAGAGGAATCTATCCACATCAGCAGGGAGTATCCGATCGAAATGGTCCAACACTGGACCTGAAGTCAGTCGAGGGGCCTCCAGTTCAGTCACTGTATCTAAACTGGCAGGGAGGTCACCGCAGAGCAACAGGACTTTCTCCGCAAAAAAGCTCGTGAATGCCTCACAGCTGTGGGTCGAATTTGTGCTTAAATTTGGTTGTCCTCCTAAGGACGTTATTGACTTAATTATTCTAAAAAGTTGTTCCGGGCGAGAGCTAGCGGATGCAATGGTAGCTGCAAAGTAAGATTTCTTAGCAGCTTTCATAGCCATCTCATAGGCTTTCATAAGCGTCCTCTAAGATGTTCTTGAGGCTCCGTCACGAATCCGTCGCCATACTCGCTCTAGCCGTCTGAGATCCCGCTTCATTTTCCGGAGCTCCTCAGTAAACCAAGGGGCCCGGTTTTGACGGGGTCACAGAGGGCTCTTAGGCGCAATCTCATCGATGGCTGCCAAGAGCTGGTTATTCCAGTCCTCAACAAGGTCATCTAACGAGTTGCCAGGAGGAGAAGGGTCCCGCAAGGCCTGACGGAATCTATCAGGATCCACCAGCCTTCGCGGGCGAGCCCAAATAGGCTCGCCACCCGAGCAGGGGAGGAGCGGGAAGTCAGTCTTGGCTTTCAGAGCGTAGTGATCAGACCATGGCACTTCCACAGGGGGGAGCATGGACGCATCTATGCCAGCCCCAAAGATCAGATCCAGCATGTGGCCTGCTTGATTAGTGGGGCCCAAAACAAACTGGGAGAGACCTAGTGTTGCCATGGAAGTCACTAGGTCCAGAGCCTGTGAGGAGGGAGCGGCATCGGCATGGACATTGAAATCTCTCAAAACCAGTAGGCTTGGGAACCCCAAGGCCCAGCCCGCCGCCACCTCCAGCAGGTCTGACAGGGTCTGAAGAATCAGATTTAGCAACACTGGCACAAGGAAGCCCCACCATTTTTGTGATATTAATGCTTGAATTTGTTTAAGCTTCCTGTAAACCAAGAATGGGGAACCAGAGGTTGTTGGATTCCAGATCCCACTAGCTCCAGACAGCACAGCCAAGGGTCAGGAGCTGATGGGAGCTGTAGTCCAGCAACATCTGGGGGGTCATGAAGGCCCCATCCCTGATCTAAAATACAATGCAATACAAAATGAGACAATGCAATCGTTATACAGTGGTACCTTGGGTTACAGACGCTTCAGGTTACAGACACTTCAGGTTACAGACTCCGCAAACCCAGAAATAGTACCTTGGGTTAAGAACTTTGCTTCAGGATGAGAACAGAAATTGCACGACTGCGGCGGCAGCAGGAGGCCCCATTAGCTAAAGTGGTACCTCAGGTTAAGAACAGTGTCAGGTTAAGAACGGACCTCCGGAACAAATTAAGTTCTTAACCAAGAGGTACCACTGTACCTGAAAAACCTGGCCTGGTTGAGAAATAGCTAAGTGTCCATTAGAGTTGCTTCTTTCTGTCTCTCTGGGCAGAAATCTTGCACTTTTGACAGCTTCACAACAGTCAGATGTTCAACTGGTCTGGCTTTTCTCCCAGCATGGAAAAGCATTGATGCAGTAAGCTTCACTTTAGACATTTCTGTCTGTTGTGGAGCTGTAAAATGCAAAGCAAATTGGCCAGAATGAAGGAAGCAATTGTAGTGGCATTGCAGCTTTAGATGGTGCCTCAGCAACGCCTACTTCTGAGTAAACATAACTCACACAGTTTAATGAAGAATACAAGTAGCTTAGGCAGGCTGCATTCTACAAGTGTGTTGGGTACCTTTTAAAATTAAGCACTAAACTGGGAAGCGAAGCATTCCTGGCTTCTCTGGGCCATTGTTTCCCTCCAGGTTTTTTGTTTAAACCCGTTGGTGGGTTTAAAGTAGGGATGGGGGAACGGGAACCTGTGTCCCTCCAAATGTCATTAACCGTTGACCCCCCTTGGTCCCAGCCAGCAGGAGCAGTTGTTGAAGATGATGGGCTTGTAGTGCAGGTTCCCCATCGCTGGTTCACAGGGGTTGGGGGGAAGCAACTCTCCAGCTGGCAAGCCTCACGTGGAGAGAGCCCATGCCATCAGAAATCCTGGGTTCAGCTTCTTTCTCTCTTTCTCTCTCTCCCCCCCCCCCCCCGCTCCCTCTTCTTCCTGCTCCAGTTCCACTCCCACCAAATCTTCCATGTGCTGGTGGTGGCGGCTGCTTGTGTCCATCTCCACGGGGTCTCCCAGCTGCAAGCGTTCCGCTCTTCCTTGGGGGGCACCTGCACCGAGAACACTGTGCTCTGATAGCCTTCCTAGAGCAGACTGACCACCTCTCCTGGACAAGGGCAGCCCTTCACACTGCACTCCGTATGGACCAAGAGGACAGGGCCTCCCCCCCCTTATTAAGGGCACTGCACCTGTTTGAGGAGGGGGCTGTTCCTCCCTTCTCCTTCCTTCCTTTGAAGAAAATTGCTGTGTCTCAGATCTTTTTATTCTTGGGGGCAGGGGCTTCCTTTTCTCCCCATCAGGGCAGCTCTCTCGTGTGTGCACACACATGCACAAAATGCCAGAAGGTATTTAAATTAGGATGAGGAACCAAAGCAATGGAACAGGACTAAAACAGTCCCTGGAAACAGCTTAGGACTCCCCTAGCCAACCCCGAAGTTTCTGAGAGTGGGATGGGTGCAGGGGGCCTCTGTGTGGGCCAAGGGGGTGCTGATGTTATGGTATGAAGGTCCAAGGATGGGTCTGACAAGGCCTTAGTGTGTGCGTCTGTGTGTTCAATCAGTATTTATGAGGGATTTGTTTTAAACTGGCCACTAAGGGAGCATGCACTCTGCTCAAAAGCACAGCAACCCCTTTTTTTGCTCAAACTGAACTCTGATCTCTTTGGTCAGGCAGGACTTCTGGCTTCCACGCCCAGCCCTCCCAAGGAAAGATATGGATTGGTTTCTGAGAAGCCCTCTAGGTAAAGGCCGGGGGCATCTTAGGGTCTTGGGTCAAAGGCCAATGGGGAAGAGCCTTCGCCAGGCTGAAATCAGTGCACAGCAGACTTGCATAGTTGTCATCCTGGCAAGGGAAATAATCAGGGTGGGGATGGATGCAGCTGTGGGCCCCCAAGTTGTCCCTCCTTATTCTGGGGAGTGGGGTGCCTAAATGTGCTACGGGGCAGGCAGGAGCCAGGATTCCTGGGCTCTGCAACCTGCTAGAAAAGATGTATGGTAAACACTTTTTTTGGTGGGGGCAGGGGAGGGCAAGCTATGTGGATTTTGTCTGGGAAAATAAGAATGCCTTTTATGCATAAAGGGATCAATGTCTTAGGCAGGGGAAAGCCTTCCTGCACAGACATAGACTGTGACCTCCACCCCTTCACCAGCATTTAATAGCCCAGAGATGGGCCTGTGGAGAGCAATCCCGTGCCCAGCACTTTTTGTCACAGGCCCTCTGCCTCTGCACCCTCCACCCCACAACAAACAGCAGGAGGTCTTCTTTTTCTCCACTGAAAACAGTGGTTCTTTGATTTAGGGTGTTTGGCAGGTGAAACACGCCTGAAGGGGCTCCACTTCATTTACCTTTATAACGAAAGGCCATCAGTCCATGCACTTGCTGAAGAATCCTCAGCTCTTTGCTCCTTGGGGAGAAGAGGTGCAGATGGCAGGGGCCAGTGTCTGTATTGGGGAGGAGGGCACTTTCCCCCTTTGTTCATGCCCGGCAACCCAAATTAGAAGGCCAAGTCGCTCCAATATCATTGACCTTGTTGTGTCACAGCCTCCTGGGAATGCAAGCTGCTCAGCAGCTCTCTGGATTGGGCTGCACAGTGGGAAAGCAGGATATGGATCTCCTAATTTGGGAGTGCTGTGCAGTGTGCGCCCAACACCAGTGCTTCAACTCTGTGGGAGAGGAGCACTGGCAGAGGAAGGGGGGGTGCGGTCTGCCCTGGGTGTCATCCCTGAGGGGGGCTGCCCCCGCGGGCACAGCATGTATGCTGCTCTGGGTGCTGGAGCAGCTAGCTCTGCCTTTGGACAGGAGGCAAGGCTACGGCCCAATGGACAAGTCTGAAAGGGCAGGCGGGTAATTCTCAGATCTGAATCTTATTCTCTCTCTCCTGCTCTGCACAGTTCATTTTTACGTATGTTAAAGATGCAATGGCACAGGGAATGGGATGGCAAGAGGAGGCCCAAAGATATCCTGGATTCTGTTTTTATGGTGAGAGTGTAACCTGACCCCCAAAGGAATGGAGCAGCAGGAGGAGGTGGCTTGGAAAGAATAGTCCTTGCAATTCTTTGTGCGACTCCTGCCTCTGCCTTATATCGAACAGTTGGGAGGGGAATGGTGGCATTTAAGCTAAGGCCTCTCCTGCTGCTTTTTGAATATATGACACTGCCACCTTTCTTTCATTTGGCAACTCTAGCCAGCTTGTGAGGAGTAACGAGGCATGCTTCGCACCCCATTTGCCTCCATGCTGGGTCTGCTGGGAGCATGTGGAAGCACTTTAATCATAAAGATAATAATATCTAAGTTGGTGGCACCTCTCCAGGCGAGATGGTACATGTTAACATTACAGAATGAAGAAATCCCTCCTTTTGTGATGATCTTTGTATTTGCCGGGGGGGGGGTGATGAGAGAAGAGGCATAACTTAATGCAGGCCCGTGATTTTGGACCCATAAAGCAGATACTGTGAAATAGCTGTATTGTGACTTCCCAGTTGTTTGACAACCCCTTTGTTTTTTGCAGTCCCAGGCAGGCAGCAAAAGCAGGTTTACCAAGGGGGATGGGACTGCATTTAGATTGGAAATCACAAGCCGGGTAAACCAGACTTAATAGGACATAATTGTTGGCAATAGCTTCCCCTGATATGAGGTTAAATGTCCTTTTCAATTTATTTTTCAATCTGATTCCCTGCCTCCTTTCTCTGGAGACTGGCTTTGATTTTGTGAATTACTTACCACAGTGTGAATTTGCAGCTGGCACCAGAGTCAGACTCATAGCTGTCAACTTACAGATTTGAAAATAAGGGACCAGCAGCCTCGAAAATAAGGGATCAGCAGCCAAAATTAGGGATTTTAGACAACCAACTGAAATACGAACTTAAAAGGGACCAGATAATTTTGGAGAGCAGCGCCGGTTTTTAGCCCTTCGTTTCCAGAGGTTGCTTCTAAAGACACCAGCTGATGAAACACTGCAATTAAATAACTACAAGCAGCAACCACTTTTCGTGCAAAATGAAGTCCAAGCTACAAAGATGCTGCTGCAGTTCTGTATCTTTTCTCTCGTGCTCCATCTGCAGCTCTCAGTTCCATCAGGCGGGGCGGGAGGAAGGGGGTGTCGGAAATCAAGCCTTTATCAGGAGAAATTGGCAATCTCCCAGGCACCTGGCTTGGTCTCCTGTTGACCTCCCTGTCTGCTTTCCCGGCAAGATCCAGGCAGAGGTCACGATAGGCGATCCTTCTCAGCGTGAGAAGAACACCCCCCCTCTTTCCTGCCCCCCCCCCCGGCAGGGGAAAGAGATAGACAGAAAACGTATTTACATGCCTTTATTTCTGTCTTTGCAGCGTTACAAAAAACATGACTGCTCTCTTCAAACTCCAGCAGTCGAGAGAGACAAACACTTCCTGTACAGCTCATATTACACTCTGAGCTAATTCCGGTGCCCTCTGCACTATGAATTGACTGTCCCTCTGTTTCCCACGGAACAGTCCCAACATTCCATCATGTGATGTTTTCAAGCTACCAGCAGCTCGCAGCTGCATTGCTTCTATATCGTAAGGGGGGGGGAATAGCGCCGAAAGTAAACCCACAGCTCAGACCATCTATGCTAGTCTACCACTACAAATCTATGGGAGAAGCACTTGCGGTCCTTCCTCCGCTTTCCCCCTCTATCGTTAGCCCTTGGAACACCTGCCTGCGCCTCCGCCTCCTCCTCTCTCTGAACTGCTTTCTCTATGGTTGCCCTCGCTCTCCTCTCAAGGCTCCTCAGCAATTCATAGGCCTCGCCAGGCTGCCCATCTTATCCGGGTCCTTCGGCGGCACAGCCACAGTACAGCCTAGCGGGAGCAGGAGCGGTGGCAATGGGCAGAGGGGAGGCCCCAGGCAGAGACGCTCAGTTTGGCGGTCGCGAGGAGGATGGCGGCGGAAGGGCCCGAGGCTCCCGCCAGTCCCGGCGGGGAGGGGATCCCAGGGGCTGAGGCTGGTGAGAGGAGGCCGGAGGGGGGCAGGCTGGGCAGCCAAGCAACACAGTTGGAGCCTCCCTCCTCCCTGGCCGGCAGGGAGGGAGAGGAGCTGCTTCCTTTGAAACCCGGGAAATTTAAGGGACATCATCAATAAGGGACAGTAGCGGGACACTGCGCTGGGATAAGGGAGTTTCCCGCCAAATAAGGGACGGTTGACAGCTACGTTCAGACGGTAGAGAACAAGGTCCTTGTGCCGCAGTGAGCCAGCAGCTAAAATTCTCCAGAGAAAGAAATCCTATTTATTATTGTTCTCCCGATGGATTTTCCAAGGACTGGTTCTTACTTTTCCAGTAGGTAGTTTGCTCCAAAGCAGGGCCTTGTCTGCATCACTCTGAAAACCCGTTGCTCTGCACATAATAAACCGAAGTCTTTGTGAACCACTCACTCCATAAAAGCATTTCTTCCTAACCCTGACATCTCTGCTCCAACGCTGCTCCACAATGCCCCTCCCATCACCTCACCAACCCAACTTTTGTGGGAAGCGCCAATGAGCGCACCTTCATTTCTAAGAGTTTGGTTATTTTTCTACTGGCCATTGTGATAAAAAAATCTTAGAAGCCAGACACTTTAAAAAAATTGAAGAAAAAATGTGAAAATATTTGAAAGTGTAATAAAAGTTTGTTTCCCTAAATTCAGCCTGACTCAGTCTGATTCTTTGATTTGGTAGGTCTGTTCATGGGAATTTGCTGTCTGGGGCCTCCATCCCTTGGGGCAGGAAACCTCAGAATAGCAGGTGCTGAAGCCAAGGGCAGGGAAGGGCAGCTTCCGGAATGCAAAGGCTTCCTGGGGAGCGCCTTGCTTCTGGGCTGCCCCTTGGCATCTGCTTCCCACTGTGGGAAACAGTGTTGGTCTGGAGAAGGAGGCCTTTGATCCACGGAGGCTTGGAGGATCAAGTGGTCATTTAGTTCACCGCCTTTTTCACCCATCTTGCAGGAGAACCCACTGGGATAGCCTCCTGACTGTGGACTTATTTATTCTATTTTTAAAACACAATGCTAGTTCTCCTCTACATTTTATTTTACAGGTTATTATAGTGTTGCACAAAGTCCTTTTTCTTTTTTGGGTTAAATGTGCTGCCTGTCCATTGTTCTGGACTCTGGAGGAATCTGTCAAGTCCTGGCTAGGATGAAGAAAACTTGGGAGTATGCTTTTGAATTCTGCACAGCAACAGGAAAAGGTGCCAAATTGACGTTCTGGGGCAGGGAAGATTCCGTAGCACAAGTGGCTCGCCCATCTCTTCCTCCATTTATTGATTTTTCCAATTTTTTTATCCCGCTTCTACACCGTCCTTCCTCCTAGGGACACGGGGAGCTTCACAACGAGGCGATCCCTCCCTCCCCTCCAGACCCATTTCTTCCGGGAAGCCCGCCGGTGCCCGGGCCGAAGGCGAAGCGAGAGCCGCCCGGCGCCGGCGAAGGCCTTCGGCCCCTGCGGAGGAGAGCGCGCGGCCTGGCCCGGGGCGGGGCGGGGCGGCGCTTGGGGAGCCATGGCGGCCGCCGGCTGGTCGGCGCGGGTCACGGCGCTGCTGCGGAGGATGAACTCTTTCCACGGAGCAGGTAGGGCCACGACCAGAGGGGCGGCCCGGGGGCATCTAGTCCAGCCCCTGCGACGCAGGACTCCTGTGCCCTCGCGGGGCTCGAAGCCACAACCGACAGGGTGGTGGAAGCTTCTCGGCAGAGCTTGGCCGGCCCTCGATTAGGGATGCTTGAGCTGAGATTCCTGCCTTGCCGGGTCGGACTGGATGACCCTCAGGGTCCCTTCCCACCCTATGATTCTATGACCTCTAATTCCAGTTCACTCTCTCCCCTCTCTCAGGCTCCATAGCAAGCTCGCTGCTTTTCCAATTGCCCGCAGCCCTTTGCAGTAAGGAAGGGGGTCGAAAATTAAGACAGCGGCCAGCTGAGAAGATCCATAAAAAAGCAACTGTACAAAAAGGAATTCTTGTGCCAATAATATTTTTTTTTTGGGGGGGGCACCAAATTTTGTCCTCACATCTTGGTGGGGGCACCATATGACCAATATCTGCTCCTGGCCAGGTCTAGTTCATCGGGACTCCACTTGACAAACCCTAAAATAGGCACTCCTTAGTTTTAAAATATAACAACAATAGGATGAAAATTGCCTGCCCCAAAAAGCAATAGAGAACAAGAAAAATAATGTTATATGTCAGCAGTGTTGTTTGGGGAGCAGGGCAAGCACTTTGAATATTGCCATAGTCTTAATCACCCTGACAGAAATAAACTCTTGCAGTCTACGATTGCTATCTTATACATGCTTTTCTATGAAATTCAGGCTGCAATCTTACTTGCGTGTAGGTGCTTCTGAAATCAATGAAACCTTATTTTGAGTAAACATGTGTAAGAAAGCAATTCCAAGCTGAGAAGCATTTGCCCATGTCCAAAATGCCTTTCCCTATCAAAATGTTGTTGTTGTTTAGTCGTTTAGTCGTGTCCGACTCTTCGTGACCCCCTGGAGCACGCCAGGCACTCCTGTCTTTCACTGCCTCCCGCAGTTTGGTCAAACTCATGCTGGTAGCTTCCCTATCAAAATAAACTTTTTAAAAAGAGTCCATGTTATTGCTTATGCTGATCAGAGATGCTGCAAAGCAGCAGAGGCATAAAAATTAAAATATTTTTTATATACTTAAATATGGCCCTGCTCATAGGAACTAGGACTTGGCAAAATGATTACAAATTGACAGCTTCATCCCCTTGCAGGTTCTTCAAAGGCTTTGTGCCTGCCATTTATGGTTGCTGGACAGCAGGTGGGCCACGTGCTGCCCTCTGTAGCCAAATATCTCTGTCAGTATCCAGCTGTTTTCTTGGTGTCTCGGGGTGATGGTGTGCCTGCTTGCGTGGAACTTAACAAGAAGCTGGCATCCTCTGAGCAAAGAACAGATGCTGTGGAAGGAGTACTCAGGGAAATGAGAGCACAGCAAGACTTCCCTTGCCTGAAGGAGTGGAGAGAGGAGGTGAGATTACCAGGCACCCAAGGAAGGCGAAGGGCCATGTGGCACCCATGGATGTCTTTGAATACTGTAAGGGTCAAGTGGGAGGGACCCAGGGCTTCCATTCAGGATACTAGCTCTGGGAGGAAGGAGTGGTTGGGCCAATGAAACAGTTGTCCATGAACCAAAACTTGCTTTCGTTGCAGCTCTACAGTGTGATGCCCTATTTTTGTGACACGCCTCTCTTCAGCATGGAGCGCTCTGCAACTCGTGAGTCTGAAAAACCTTTGACTTCCTTGCTTTGTATTCCATTGATATGAGACACGATTCATGCAGAAGTAATTAAGAGAGACCTCCTAGAAGCATTTGTCCAATCCCATCCATGGTAACAGGAGCACAGCTAAGAGCTCAAGTGCAGATTTGTCCAAATATCTCCTTTTTTACCCTGCTGGAGAAATCTAGCTTCTGTGCTCTATAAAGGACTATGTGCAGTGAATGAAACATGAATGCAAGTCCATTGATTTTAGTGGGTCTACTCTGGGTATGATTTAAGAATAATAATTATTATTTATACCCCACCCATGTGGCTGGGTGGTTGGATATCACCCCAATAATAATGTTTGTCCTTGAAAATGAGACAGCATTCAATGTGAAGTGGGAGGCTTCTGTTCCAATCCTGACTTGGTCAACTGTGCACTAGGTGGTCTCAGACATTGTCACAGACTCAGTTCCCCATCTATAAAAAGGGATAATACTTTACAACCCAAGACAGATTCTTAAGGTACTAAAGCCTGATTGCTTCATTCCTTTTCAGAACTGCCTGCTTTTTATCTCCAGCCAGGACTGCGTTCTCTGCTTACTGCTTGCAAACTGTTCTGCCTTCATCTTGCTTTGTTCTTCCTAGTCATCTGGGCTTAGGGGTTGAGCACCTGGAAACACATATCACAGGGAGGCTTTCCCTTGAAATTTGTTGTTCCCAGTTCCCTCTATTTTTACAGAATGAGAGTGCACTGGTTACTCTCTTCAGTTCTTTTTCTGCCCCGTCCACCCTCTGAAACTCCACAGGTTTCCTTATGGGGAAAGGCTTGAAATTCACACATCATTTCAATAAAACGATAACTCCAGAATTGCAGCACTTCAGGAGATCTGTGGGGCTTTTGTGGGCAGTTGAGGTTTAGTTTTGATCCAGTGCATTTTCTGTGTAGCTTCATTTAGCAGCTGTTCCAGGCCTGTGAAACCTTGTCAGGCATCTTAATATAAGCTGGGAATTTTGGAAATGAGATGTTGATAGTGACTTCCTCTATAGAATGACTACAAGAGAAGCTAAAGAATATTGCACAGCAAAAGTGCAAAGTAAGTGCATATTCAATCTTCTCACCATGCATTTCCTTTTCACTTGCCACTCTGGCTGTGTTCCTGGTGCCCCTCCAATACGGCTTTCCTGTCATTCTACGGAAGAAACTCCTATTCTCTAAGCAGTGTTAATTATCTCAGCCTACATCAGACTTCCTCAACCTTGGCCCTCCAGGTGTTTTTGGCCTACTACTCCCATGATCCCTAGCTATCAGGACCAGTGGTCAGGGATGATGGGAATTGTAGTCTCAAATATTTGGAGGGCCGAGGTTGAGGAAGCCTGGCCTACATAATACGCCAAGTGTTTGGGCGGTGGTAGGGGGAAGGTCGGCCCACTCCTGTACTCTTTTTGGGGTTGCATCTGGAAATGATTAACCTGGACAAGTAACTTTTGTTTCTCTTTTGCACCCAGCATTGTTTGGAGTGAAGCGCTATGGCACCCACCTGAACGGCTACACTTGGCGCAATGGGCAGATGTTCATGTGGTTGGCCAGGAGGGCACTGAGCAAACTGACTTATCCTGGCTTGCTGGACAACATGGTAAGAGATGAGATGGAAAAGGCAATAGGTCTGCCTCTTTGATGTGAGAGTTGGGAGCAGCTCTCAATAATCAAGTGTTCTTCTATGGGGCTGGTCAGACAACAGCCACAGGGAATAGTGAGCTAAAAGGCTGAATGCACAAAACATGCACCTGTCTGGTAAGTGAATGAGTATTTCAGCATAAGCCATTTCACCAGGCGGCTTGGTGCCCAGCATTAAAGGTGAACTTCTTCTCCCCACTCTGCAAATTGAGGCACAAGATAACAGACAATTGGGGATCATCATCCACTAAATGGGTAGTAAGCTTACCAGGTACTAGGGCCAATTCAGGGGGAGCAGAGCTGCTTTGTGCCCATTTACCATAGTAGCTCAATATTAATCCCTCATTTCGCTCGCCTTAGGCTGCTGGGGGCATTGCATCAGGATTGGGTGTCAGAGAGACGCTGGTGAAGGAAAGCCAGGAAGAAGCTTGCATCCCCGCTTCTCTCACTGCACTTGCCAAAGCTGCCGGAACTATCAGGTAATATTAAAAAGCTACCTCAAGTTCAGGAAAATGCAGTTGTTTAGGTAAGAGGAAAATTAATATTTAAAAGCCAGGGCCTGTATAAAAAAGGCTGTTTGTATTCTGTGCCTCTGCAAATTTGTTGTATGAGCACAGACACTTCAAGCTTGTATTTGAGAATTCCAGCTATATTGTAGAAAGCCACCTTTTCATTGGTGCACAAGGAGTATGTGGCAAGGCCTCTGGTGCCAGGGCTTAAGACTGCCAACTCTGACTGTGATCCTTGAGCAGCACTTCCTGTTCTGTCCCACCAGCTGCCTTGCCCATTCATGATTTGCCTCCTTTTGCTTCTTACAAACTAATCCTAACTGAGCTTAATCATGAAAATATCTACCATAGCTTAGGTATATTTCTAATGTGCCTCAAGTATAGAAAGTAGACTGCCTTCATTTCTCTCCCTCTCTACCAGCTTTTCCAAACATCAGTAGGAATCGATGAAACAGAGAGTCAAACACCAGAATCACTGTAGCTATTCTGGAAAAGGCAGATTCTCAGTAATTCAGATCAAAGTTTACCTCCCTCCCCAACCAAATAAGAACCTAATGCAACTTGTCTCCACAGTCATAAATACTGCTGAACTCTTTCCCCTGCCTTCTCCCACCCCAGCTACACCTATGAGGGTGCACAGGGAGGCATCTATGCTGAATGCCAGTTTGTATTTGACCTGAAGTTGCCTGAAGGTTTTGTGCCCCAGGTGGGAGACGGAGAGGTGCAGCAGTTCTACCTCTGGCCACTTGAGAAGGTTGGTAGGTGTAACTTGACTTAGGGCAAAAAATGACTCTTTTTGCAAATCAGAAGTTGATACCGCAGAGAATTACACTGCAAATTACAACAATGGGTTAAGGCCTCCCACTAACATGACTTCCTCAAAGTTACTCGCTTTCATAAAACCACCTGCCAAAAGCTCTAATTGTTGGTTAGGGTTATAAATTCCTGTGCCTGTATAAGAAATAGTCCAGAGAGGGATGGTTGGTAATTTGATAAAAGAATTTTTGAGGTAGTGTAATAATAATCTGAGAAGCAGTGTGGTAATTATGTATAAACTGCAATAATGCCATAGGCTGCTGGTTGACTTCTGAATTTGGGTCTCTTCCTCCTCCTAAATTCACATAGCCTAGAATTTTGTTTGACTGGAAACAATTATCCACCAGTGGACTTTGTGCTTCCTAACCAAGTTCACATTCTTAATAAGACACAGCTACCCTGTATAGGTGGGTTAAACCACAGAGCCTAGGACTTGCCAATCAGAAGGTCGGCAGTTCGACTCCCTGCGATGGGGTGCGCTCCCGTTGCTTGGTCCCTGCTCCTGCCAACCTAGCAGTTTGAAAGCACGTCAAAGTGCAAGTAGATAAATAGGTGCCGCTCCGGTGGGAAGGTAAATGGCGTTTCCGTGCGCTGCTCTGGTTCGCCAGAAGTGGCTTAGTCATGCTGGCCACATGACCCGGAAACTGTATGCCGGCTCCCTCGGCAAATAAAGCAAGATGAGCGCTGCAACCCCAGTCGGCCACGACTGGACCTAATGGTCAGGGGTCACTTTACCTTACCCTGTATAGGGTGAACACAAAGTAAGGTCATGGCAATTAGCATGCCACCTCCTAGTGAGAGAGATATGTGAACTGTAAATACAGTGGTACCTCGGGTTAAGTACTTAATTCGTTCCGGAGGTCCATTCTTAACCTGAAACTGTTCTTAACCTGAAGCACCACTTTACCTAATGGGGCCTCCTGCTGCTGCCGCGCCCCCGAAGCATGATTTCTGTTAACATTCTGAAGCAAAGTTCTTAACCCGAGGTACTATTTCTGGGTTAGCGGAGTCTGTAACCTGAAGCATCTGTATCCTGAGGTACCACTGTATTCCTCTTCTGCAGGTGAAAGAGGCCATTGGATCTCCAGATTTCAAGCCCAACTGTGCAATGGTGGCTCTGGATTTCCTTATCAGACATGGCTACATCCAACCTGATGGAGGTAGGCTGCAGGAGAAAGGTGGCTTGTCTGGTAAGAGGGAATTTATGTATGAGGGGCGAGAAGGATACAAGAGCAAGATATAGCTCTGTATAGGTATGCATGCATCACTGCACCATGGCTAGAAACAGACTCTTTTAATAGATTTCACTTTTCTTTCAGAACCTCATTATGTAGAGCTTGTGGAAGGGCTACACCGAACACTCTAGAAGGAAAAGGCTGTCCTTGTGGTTGATACAGAGGTCTTCTCTGTTGGTTGGTTTTTGCTGGACCAGTAATCATGGCATGGACTTCAGTTGGATTCAACAATGGCTGCCCCAGCAGAGTAATGTGCAGAGCTTGTAGCTCAACAGGTTACTATGGTATAGTAAATTAATGTATTTCTACACCATTGTTATATATAGATGTTCCCATAAGTGCTTCATAACTGAACAAGGGCCAGGAGTGCACCACTTCTTCCACAGGCCTCAGCTATGTTAAAAAAACAAAAACCTATTGCCCATTTCAACATTTAATTAAAAAAAAAAAAGTCAACCAAAAGGAACATTTTGTGAAAGTGAGGGACGGGTGAAGGGAGACAGTCAGCAGCAAAATACTGTACAGGTGGGTGCTCCTTGAAGAGCTCATTCTGACTCATTGAAACGAGTCAGCATCGTCTTGTGCAATGCTTCACGATAGGACTCTGATGCTACCGCCCCGTAAGAGCTGCCACGGGCCCCTAAGCCAGAGCCACGCACTCGTGTTTGGGCCTAGGTAGAAAAGAAAAAAGAATGTGCATCAGACATTTTTAGAGGAACAGCTTTTGTCCCAAACCACATTTCACCCAGAATGTTAGGACACCCCACTGAGGTCCCTCCTTGCCTACAACAGACTAATACCACCACTTTGTACTTCCTTCTGGTGCAAGTTCTCCTCAACATACTGCCAAAGGGCCTCTTTCTCAATTGTCCTAATTTCCCATGTGCTGAGGTGACCTTTTCTGAAGTGGGGGCGATGGTGATGGCAGGGACAAGAAAGCCATGCCTGCAAAACTCACACCAAGCAAGAAAGCCCAACTACTTCCTCCCTACCTCCCTTATTTTAGGTTGTTTTTGCAAAAATGGGGAAGTAACAGGAAGACTAAATGCTCCTCAAAAATATGAGCACTATACACTTTGCTTTATCCACAGTAACTTAAGCAAGGTATTTTGGTACCTCAATAGGGGCAACGATCCCCTGTTTCTTGCGACCCAAACCACTGCCCTCTTTCCAGCCCATGGCTTGTAGCATGCGACTGCCAATGTTGTCACTGCCAAGTCCATCCCGCGTTGGTTGTTCAAAATCCCTGTTGTAAACGAAGGTGGGAGAAGAGAGGAACATATTCAGATGCCCTGCCCTCTAACTTTGCCAACTGAGCAAAAAGGAAATAGCATGTTGCACAGAGGACACTAAGGATGTGTCACTATGGGATAGAAATGCCTCTCACCATTACCAAAGCAGACTGCTCTAGAAGGGATCTCTTATCTTTTTTAAAAAAAATAATATTTATTAAGAGTTTAAAAGTTACCAAAAAAAAGAAAAAGAGTTAAACAAAGCAAAGAAGCAAAAAGAAACAACAAACAAAAAACAACACAATACAATGCAAGACAAATAAAACAAAACAAAGACCACTTTAAACAATTTCAATGTCATATCTTTCATTCGCTTATTTCCACGACTTCCTCACACCTCCCTTTTTTGTATTCCACATCAATTAATTATTTCAGCAATTCCTTTCCATCTTCCTCTGTTTTCTATCCTATAATTATCTTAACACATTCTAATCTTATTTTATTCCCTTTAATGCTCAATTAATCTATTTATACTTAATTCCTTATAACATTTCTGCTAAAGCCATATAACTTCATTCCCACTTTGTTCTAACATTCATTAATTTTGCAATATTTCTATAAATAGTCTTTAAACTTCCAGTCTTCTTCCACCAGCTCTTCTCCCTGGTCTCGGATACTGCCGATTCTCTCAGCCAGCAAAAAGCAGATGATTCACAACAAAATTTAGAGGTCTGGCAGGGCAAGTCCACCTCCTTCTTTAGTATCCGTTAATATCTTAAATTTTACTCGAGGCTTCCTGCCCTGCCATACAGATCTAGAGATATCCCTCTGCCACCTCCTGAAACAATCCCTCCCATCCAAAACTTGCAATGTTTGAAACAAAAGCAACATCCCCAACCTCACCGCAACCCTCGTCCCCACCACAGCAACTCGGCCCAACAATAGCAACTTCCAATTTAGCCCTATTTCCAAATCCCCCTTGTCTTCAAGCCAACGTCCTTCACAGTTGCCCTTGAATAAATTCACATTTCTGGCGGTCATACTAACCCCCCAATACCTCTCTTTCTCAACCAATGTTAGTCCTATCTCCTCCTGAAACTCTATCAAGGTTTCCTTTTCCTCAGGTAGGGCTCTGATCCTCAATTTCATCTGTTTCTCTTTAAGTTCAGTCATATCAGGTGTCAGCTCGTATTCACCAAATCGTCCTCGTATGGATGGGACTCTCTCTCTCTCCAGTTGAATTACTTTAACTTCAGCAGCGAGGGTTTTCTCCTTAACTTCATCTGCAGTTTGCCATATCAGGATAGATTCCTGTATCAATTTCTGGGTGGTTTCTGTATTGATATTCACCTTTTGTCCCAGGTTATTTAAATTTTCTACCATTAAATCATTTTTAATATTTGCAGCATCCACTTTCATATTTATCACATCCATTTTCTTGTGAAGCTGTTCCAGCGAATCATTTATTTTCACTAGTACAATCACTAAGGCCTCTTCTGGCGACATTCCGTCTTTCGCATCTGCCCAACTCATAGTCTCATGGTTTTTATCTTACAACTGGAAATTTCCCAGCCCAGATCTTATGTAGCCGCCAGTTTCAAGAACTTCCACTAGAGGGAAACAGTTTCTATTTGTATTGATAAGTAATATCCTCTTAAAGCACAGTTCAAACGACCCCAAACTAATTTCAATTTTCAGTTACTTTCACTGCTGGAAACAGTAGAAACAATGTATCTTCTCTTATGCTAGCTGTCAACACGATCCAAGCACTGTCAATAAACGTCTCACCAAAACGTCAGACCTTCTAGCAGCCCGTTCCCAGGGTCCGAGCAGGGGTGTTTTACCTCTCTTGGTCTCTTCCGCAGGCAAACTCAGTTGACAACTTCCCTCCCCCCTCTTCTCCTGCCTCCAAGGGGGGGATTATATTCTTTACTTATGGAAATTTAGTCTTTTACAAAAGGCTTTCCAAGACTTCAGCTTGCAGCCTCCGTTGCTTCAGTCTATTTACAAAAGGGGAAGGCGGACTTCCTGTATTGAACCTTCCCCGTTTCGATGCCAAATTAGACGTTTTTTTTTTTTTAATCCAATTTTCCCAATTAAGCTCTACTCACGGGTAGTTACTTTAGAGTCAAATTGTCCACAGGAAAAAGTCAGCGCTCTCCGACAACAGCTATGCTGCTTCGCTCCGTGGAAGAAGCAGATAATTCGAAGCACCGCGCCGCTCACCCCATGTTGCTCCGGATCCCCAAAACCGGGTTTCCCTGCGAGTGGGGGAGGCGCAAAGGGTGCCCGCCGAATCCCACGCTCACAGGCTTCTCCCGCCTGTGATTTTTAACGGGTCTCCGCCTTCGCCATGGCGGCCAGACCCAGATTTCCACGGAGCTGATTCCTCCCGATCAGAGGAATCCAGCCATTGCCAGAGGCGCTTCCCCGGAAGTCCCCCGGGATCGCTTATCTCATCCTTAGTACACTTAGGGAGAACCACAGGGGCATGGTGGGACTTACACAGTGGCTGGTGTCACAGCTGAATACTTCCTTTTCTTGGGTTCTGGTGGCTCAGGAACACCATACTTTTCCCTTCGTTCAGCTGCACGATCTCGGTATTTCATCTGCTGGTGGTCATGAAGAGACAGCAATAAGGCACTGGCCAGGTAACCCTCACCCTCCTGGGGCCACTCTCTACTCCCATACCTACCTCGATGTCGTTTTTCTCAAGTGCCTCAAGCTCCTGTTCTGACAAGTGTGCCCTCCGATGAATCTCCAGATTTTGCTGCACAGGGGAGAATATAAAAATAGAGACAAGGTTAAGGTGGGCACCTGAAGATTCCCACTATGTTTTATTTCTATATAAGCATATTAATAATCTACCTTTGTGTTTCAGTTCTAAGGCAGGGGTTGGGAACCTCAACTCTGGAGGCCAAACATGGCCCTACAGGCCCTTGGGACTATGTTCAAAGAAACTTCCTCCTCTGCCTCACCCCTCAGCAACTTCCCTTTGCCCTGGAGTGTTTTTGGCTGGGACAATGCCTCTTGCTTCCTTGGATGGAGGATGGGGTGTCTAAAACTAGACTACTATAAAAAGGTCAAATTGACATCCAGTGCTCCACTCAGTTTTGCCTCTGGCCCTGCTCATCACTGGCATATGGCCCTCAGAAGGTTGCACAGAAGAGAATGTGGCCCCCAGGCCGAAAGACTCCTTACATCACCAAAAAAACAACAACCAAATATCACTTCCAAAAGAAAATAGCTAAAGCAGCACCTGGTAAATTTCAAGATGATCATGATGATGATGATGATGATAATAATAATAATAATAATTTATTTATACCCCGCCCATCTGGCTGTTTCCCCAGCCACTCTGGGCGGCTCCCAATCAAGTGTTAAAAACAGTACAGCGTTACATATTAAAAACTTCCCTGAACAGGGCTACCTGTACCAAAAACTATGTAGGCAACAACATAATTTGTAGACAGCACCTCAAACTAATGGCTCCAAATCTCAGATCTGCCAAGCAGTCCCAGGAGGATGCTAGAGTTGATGGTATCAAAAGCAACCAAGACACTTCAGCTACTGGAGTGCTGGCTCCTAGGGGCCGAGCCCTTTTGGAGCCACCCATATTTTTGGGGTAGGGACTGCCCCCCATACCCCAAAAGCATTGAGCCAAAGAATGGAGCCAAGTGCAGCATGCCTCCAGCAGCCAGCTCCTTCTCCTCCTCCTACAGGAGAGGAGAAGGAGGGTTAAGCAGCCTCTGCCGGTGGCGGCGGCGGAGCCACTGAGCCGTGCGGCCGCTGAGTTTGGCTCCACCTCCGGCTCCTCCTGACATGTTCTCAATATTGGTCCCCCACCCCAATCACCTTTGCAAGCTGGTGCCTCTGTCAGCTACATAACTTTTTATTTTATATTTTTTATTGAAAAATAAAAATTACAAGTGCACGAGTAAGACACAAAAAAGAAGAAACAAGAAATAGTATCCATGTAGAAAACAAAACAGAAAAAAATATATTGTATACATTACAAAAAAGGGGGAAAATTGTTCTTGTAGTTAACTAAGACCTTTACGGTGGATCTAAACACAGGAAAAAAGTGCTATATATAAGGCAGAAATTAGACCATTTTGACAAAAGAAAAAAAAATCCAATGAGAAATCCAGTTTTTAAACAATTCTGGCTCTCTGGCACCATCTGGTGTTGCATATTTAAAGTGCATTCAATGCATAGTTTCTCTACTAATGTAGCCGAATCCCTAATAAAACTGAATTCCAAATAACATTGAATTTGTCCATGGCAAGTTTACATTTGTACACAACTTGTTCATGTGTTGCGAGTTTGTCCATTTCTTCAATCCAATCATTAAAGGGAGCTGCATTTTCATTTTTCCAGTTCAACAACGCCAGACTTTTGGGGGGCGTGGAGAGTCCATTCATATTGTCCCTTTGTTAGATTCCATGTATTGGGTATATAATTGAAAAGGATTTAAGATTGCTCTGTATAGCATGTTGACCGTCTCTACAGGTGAAACTCAAAAAATTAGAATATCGTGGAAAAGTTCATTTATTTCAGTAATTCAACTTAAAAGGTGAAACTAATATATGAGATAAACTCATGACATGCAAAGCGAGATATGTCAAGCCTTTATTTGTTATAATTGTGATGTTTATGGCGTACAGCTGATGAAATCCCCAAATTAACAATCTTAGAAAATTAGAATATTAAATGAAATCAGCAAAACAAGGATTGCAAATAGAGCAATATTGGACCTCTGAGAAGTAGAAGCATGCATATGTACTCAGTACTTGGTTTGGGCCCCTTTTCCATCAATTACTCCCTCAATGCGGCGTGGCATGGATGCTATCAGCCTGTGGCACTGCTGAGGTGTTATGGAAGACCAGGATGCTTCAATAGCAGCCTTCAGCTCTTCTGCATTGCTCGGTCTCATGTCTCTCATCTTTCTCTTGGCAATGCCCCATAGATTCTCTATGGGGTTCAGGTCAGGCGAGTTTGCTGGCCAATCAAGCACAGTAATTCCATGGGTTTTGGTAATTTTGGCAGTGTGGGCAGGTGCCAAGTCCTGCTGGAAAATGAAGTCAGCATCCCCATAAAGCTTGTCTGCGGAAGGAAGCATGAAGTGCTCCAAAATCTCCTGGTAGACGGTTGCGTTGACCCTGGACTTCATGAAGCACAGTGGACCAACACTCTGGAAACTTCACACTGGACTTCAAGCTTCTGGCATTGTGTGCCTCCCCATTATTCCTCCAGACTCTGGGTCCTTGGTTTCCAAATGAGATGCAAAAGTTGCTCTCATCAGAAAAGAGGACTTGGGACCGCTGAGCAACAGTCCAGTTCTTATTTTCTTTAGCCCAGGTAAGACGCTTCTGACGTTGTTTCCTGTTCAGGAGCGGCTTGACAAGAGGAATATGACATTTGAAGCCCATCTCCAGGATCCGTCTGTGTGTGATGGCTCCAGCCTCAGTCCACTCCTTGTGAAAGTCCCCAACACGTTTGAATGGTCTTTTCCTGACAATCCTCTCCAGGCTGTGGTCATCCCTGCTGCTTGTGCACCTTTTTCTTCCACACTTTCCCCTTCCGCATAACTTTCCATTAATGTGCTTCGATAACAGCACTTTGGGAACATCCAACTTCTTTTGCAATTACCTTTTGAGGCTTTCCCTCCTTATGGAGGGTCTCAATGATGGCTTTCTGCACAACTGTCAGGTCAGCAGCCTTCCCCATGATTGTGCTTCCTACTGAACCAGACTGAGAGACCATTTAAAGGCTCAGGAACCCACTGCAGGTGTTATGGATTGAATAGCTACTGCACCTTTTCACAATATTCAAATTTTCTGTGATTGTTAATTTGGGGTTTTCATCAACTGTACGCCATGATCATCACAATTATAACAAATAAAGGCTTGACATATCTCACTTTACATGTCATGAGTCTATCTCATATATTAGTTTCACCTTTTAAGTTGAATTACTGAAATAAATGACCTTTCCCACGATATTCTAATTTTTCGAGTTTCACCTGTATTACCTTCTGCCAAAATATGTTCAATATAGGACATTGTACAAACGTATGTTTAGGGCAGCATTATCTCTGTTCCATCTCCAGCAGCTAATGCCTTAGATAGTCCTTTCATAAACAAGCGAACTAGAGTCCAGTAAGTTCTAAAGCTTTTTTTTTGTTGTATAAGTCTTAATCTAAGATCCAGAGACACCCTTGTTATAGAACTTAACAGAGTTCCCCATAGTTTGGTTGAAATCAAGATCTCCAATACTTTCTTCTGTCAGCTACATACCTTGTGTAATCCCGAGAGCTGCTGGTGACGAATAAGTGCCTCCTTGCTGGGAAACTGCCTCCGACAAAGCAAGCAAGCCAGCTTGTGCCAATCTGTCAGTTTCTCTTCCCGGTCAGCAGCCTTCTCCTGCTCCTCCTCACTGTCACTCTCCCCACTGTAAGCAGCCACTAATCCTCGTGGGGGACTCTGCCAAGTTAAGCAAGGTCACAAGATGGAATATATCTCAGCTGGAATCAGATTCAGAAGGACCCCACAGGTCACTTACCTTTGTCTCCTTTCCCTCACCCCCGAATCAGCCTACTCTACCCAGACCACCATGGGCTCACAGCGGAGAGTCGGTGCACCGTACAGCTCGACTGCCTTGGAGGAAGCCCCCACTTCAGAGGGCTTTCTGTGGAAGACTTCCCCATGTTCATATTGTGCACCTCACCTATTCCCTCACCATTAGAAGGAGACAAGAGCAAAGTCCCTGCACCAGCACCCATTATTCTATAAGACCCAGAAGACCTGAACTGGGGATTAAGTGGAAAGGGAAAGGCTTACCAGTCTATCATCACCAGCCAGCTTGGACAGGTCCATGCCACTGTGCTGCCTCTCAGCCAAAGCCCCCTGAGGATACCCAGAAAAGGAAAAGGAAAAAAAGAAGCGTTAACTCTAACAGAAGTTCTCACATTCTTTCCCCAAATGAACAGCACGCTTTCTTTCTGCTCACTCATCCAGCCAGCTCCTGGGAAGAGATCAAACACAGGTGGTTCTCCTTACAGGGCCACTTGGCCTTAATTTAGGCCAACACTCTAATTAACATAGGCAAGACAGAAGCTTGCTTTCTTGAAAGAGACCCATCTTGCCCTTTAAAAATCACGGCTTCACGGATGTGCTCACTGCTGAAACAATACTCTTGACAAGAACTTCTCACATTAGCAGGAGAGAAAGACTAGCACTTGACACTGTTCGGTCTCACAGACAAGAGATCTGAGCAGAGCAAGAGAAGGTGGGAGATGTAGGACTCTGTCTTAGCAGCATCTAGGCCACAACTGCACTGCAGACACACTGAAACAGATGATGCCACAAGGCTGAACAACCTGCCCTCACACCCTCAGGTCATTCAGTTTTGTTTAGGCTTCAGGAATTAGCTGCAGTAGGTAATTTAGTACTAATCTGCTCCTGGTAATGGATGAGGAGACCCAAGATGTTACCTTTTTCTCGAGGATAGCATAGCCAGCATCAGCTGTGGCCGACTCCCGCCTCTCATCCTCTCGTATAGAGGAAACTGGCTGGAAGCTGTTCTTGAAGTTCTCCTTCTGCTTGTTGAGGCTACGGGCCCAGCGCTCCATATCTTTTGCAATCTGCAGAAGATAACACAAAAGTGGGGAATAATCCAGGAGAGGGGGTGGGGGAGGAGGAACAAAGGAGTTCTTAGTCCAGGCTGAAAATAGGTGTTTCTCAAAAACAACAACTGACTGGAACTGTGCAACAGGGCTGAAAAACAGCTATTTTTTCACTTAAAATGGCCCTGGAGGTTCCAAAATTAGCTATTCTCTTTCTCTTCCAGTCCCTACAAGAAGGAATGCTCCTCCAGCAACTACTTCCAGTTATTCTCCAGCAATACAACCCCATGCCATCCAACTGTTTTTCAACACCTTCACCAGAATACCCGAATAAGGCCTTCCCTATGCAGGCATTCCCCCTTTGGCCACTCCAGAGAAAGGAGGCTAAGCTTACTGAGAGGCTGAGGCAGCACTGTAACTACATGATCCAAGACCTAGAGCCCTGGAAGCAGACCAAAGGGCTTTTCAAGTTATGGGCAAGTAGGGGGCAGGCAACAGTTTAAGATAAGGAGCAGCAGGTACAGAAAGGGGATGTGGTTCTCACCTGCTGAGCTGTTTTTGTTTTATGTTTCTCCTTCTTCTCTTTACCCTCCTTGCCACTGCCACCCCCTGGTCCACTGCCATCCTTGTGGCTGTCAGAGGCTTGGTCTGAGGCTGGGACGTAAGTACGTCTCTCACCTTCCCAATACAGGTACTGCTGCGTCTGGGCATTGTAGTAGTACTGGAAAGAGACAATCACACATGAGTCTGTGCTGCATCTTGTGCCAAGACAGTGTACCATATCAAGTTGGGAGCACAGTCATCTCATGGTGGAGAAGCAGGTATTTCAGCATCTACCTTTCAGCTATCACTTCTCAGCTCTTGGCCATGCCCAGAAAGGAGCAAAGTGGGCCCAAAGTGAGGTTCAACTCACCTGGGAATTAGGGTCATAGTAAAGGCCAGTCAGGGGGTCATAATAGTAGCCAGAACTTTCATCATATTGATAGGTGGATACATCTGGGACAGCTGGAATTGTGCACAGAAAAACAGGAAATGAACTAAATAACAGCACATCAAACCAGAAGAGCACCTGATCTTGGCCCTGTTCCCTTCCTCCTGAACTAGGAATAAAAGGCTCCCAGACCCCAGCTAGTCACATCAATCCCCAGTCACTCCCAGACCCCTCACACTGGCCACATCCTCCCTTCCCACCCTCTGTTCCCTACAGAATCCAGCACTCACGGTACTGAGTGTAAGGCTCTTGCCCTACAGGGCTGGTAACAGGCAAACTGGAAGTGCTGGTGGAGATGCCTGCGTTGGGGGGCTGAGCAGTACTAGGCATGTCAGGCTTCAATACAGCTGGTGAGACGATAGTATATGACTGAGACTGTGAGAGAGAACACAAAAAGGCAGGTTGGGAGGTACAGAGCATTGCAACACTCTCCCTCTCACTCTCTCTCTCTCTCACACACACACACGAGCACACACACACAAAGTTCTGTTCCAACTGTACCGGAGCAGCAGCAGCAGCATTTCCCTGGGCAGAACTTGACCCTTCAGTGCTGCCAGTTGGCTGGTATGTGACTGGCACAGCTGAGGTCTGGCTGGTACGGGGGAAAGTGGGTAGGACAGGCACAGGGTCTATGCCTGGCACACCAGGCTCCAGTGATGCCTCCACTACTTCGTGAGAGAAGAGGAGACAAGAAGGCAGAGAGAGCACAGTCAGTCAGGAGGCAGAAAAAGACTTCAGGTAAGGTGGAAAGAAGAGACCAGGCCTCTTACCTGCCACTGAACTTTCACTGTGGATCTTGTCAGCCTTCCCCACAGCTGATGTCCCAGATGTGCCGCTCTGCAGCTGGGACCCTTTCAAATATGCTTGTGTGTACATTGTGGCTTCCAAACCCTGAGACCCATAGGCTTCATCCTGCTGGTAATAGCCATAATCAACCGTCTGCTCATCTTGAGCTGCCCAGGTTGCCTCACCACCCTGTGATGCCTATTGGAAAAATCAAACAGGAAACTGGTCAAAGAATTTGTTATAAAAAGAGATGCAAGGGTATGTACTTTGGCCTATCAGGAAAAGGTTTCACTAAAATGTCCATGCAAAGATTCTTTCCCCACCTAGAACAATTCCTTTTAGAGGGCTTTTCTATGCTTAATGTATTTAATTACACATTTTTAGCATATTCCAAAAAATATTTCTGCATATATTAGCTACAACATACTCCTCTAACTATACTTTCTGGGGGCAGCAGAACTGCTAGGAGAGAAAAAATGTGTTCAGAGTCAAGTAGAGATGTAGTCATTTTAACTCCCATTGTGGTGCTGGTTTAGGCGGAAAGATATAAACCTTCTCTATCCAGTGGAGCACCACAATGGGGATGCAAATCAGCCCCACGTCAGATGACTGATCGGAATGGCAGAGTCAGCTGGGTGCACATGTCTGTATCCTCCGTGTGTGCGCGCACTTATGTGTGTGAAGCATGCAGCTCCCAGCAGGTTGGTCTATGACTAACATTTCCCCACTCCTATACTAAGTCAATATGGGCCAATAGCTAATGAGGATAAGCCAAAGACATTCCTGCTACCGAGAGCAGTTCTCGGGAGCCATTATCACTCTCCTTGTCCCATTGTTCCTTGTTCACTACGTTACCTGCGAGATGGCCCACTGAGCAGCTGCAATGGCAGTGCTGGCTACAGAAGCAGCACTGATGCGGTTTCCATCTGATGAACTCATGTCCCTGCAGAGAGACACAGGAGTCATTAGGGATGTCTGCAGCAGAAACTGCAGCAGGCCCAGCTCTGGACACTCCTATACTCACCGCTTGGAACCTTTGGCAAATTCCACATTAATCGTCTTGCCATCAATGTTCAGTGGTGGATGCAGGGCCTGAAGGATCTGCAGCAGCTGAGCTGCCTCCTGGGAGAGAGCACAGGGAGAGAAATTAAACTACCAAAGCTCTTCAGCTGGACCATAAAGAAGGCTGATCGCTGAAGAATTGATGCTTTTGAATTATGGTGCTGGAGGAGACTCTTGAGAGTCCCATGGACTGCAAGAAGATCAAACCTATCCATTCTGAAGGAAATCAGCCCTGAGTGCTCATTGGAAGGACAGATCGTGAAGCTGAGGCTCCAATACTTTGGCCACCTCATGAGAAGAGAAGACTCCCTGGAAAAGACCCTGATGTTGGGAAAGATTGAGGGCACAAGGAGAAGGGGACGACAGAGGACAAGATGGTGGGACAGTGTTCTCGAAGCTACAAACATGAGTCTGACCAAACTGCGGGAGGCAGTGGAAGACAGGAGTGCCTGGCGTGCTCTGGTCCATGGGGTCACGAAGAGTCGGACACGACTAAATGACTAAACAACAACAAATCTCTTTCCTCTACAGCCCCCCATTCCCACTGCCTTTTTCTAAGACAGGACTGGAACTACAACATGCTGTTTGTGGCACTCACCACAATGGTAGAGAGCTGAATGAACGCAAAACCACGGTTGAGTTGTGTCTGCTTATCTTTGATAACACGGACGTTTGAGGAGGAGAGAACAGCATATGGTGCCAAGGCACTTAAAATGGAGTCCATTGTGCTATGAGGATTCAGGTTTCGCAAGATGATTGCTGTGAAGAGTAACACATGGTATGGTAATCAGAACCCTGGCCTCTTTCAACCACCTCAGAGCTCTCCTTCAACAGGATTTAAGAAATTTCACAGCTGAGAATGGATTATGGATTAACAAAGCTTGTACAAGTTCCCTAGAATTTTGCCTTCAATTTTTTGGAAGGAAAGATCAAGCTTCTGGCCCTCATTGTTGCAGAAAAAAACGAAACAAAAATGTATCAGCACTTTCTGCTTCTGAGAGAATAGATGCACATTAAGAAAAAGAGCACAGAACACTGAGCACACTTTCAGACGGAGGTTGGATGGCTGTCTGCCAGGGATTCTTTAAACTGTGATTTCTGCATTGCAGGGCATTGGACTAAAGACCCTTGAGATCCCTTCCAATTATCATCATCAACATCATTATCATCATTATTATTCTCCTGCCATATGGGCAGCACATATAAAAACATTAAAAACTTCCCTGAGCAGGTCTGCCTTCAGATGTCTTCTAAAAGTTGTGTAGTTATCTCCTTGACATCTGACGGGAGGGCATTCCACAGGGTGGGCGCCACTACTGAGAAGGCCTCTGGCTGGTTCCCTGTAACTTTGCTTCTTGCAGTGAGGGAACCACCAGAAGACCCTCAGAGGAGGACCTCAGTGTCCCAGCTGAGGGATGGGGGTGGAGACGCTCCTTCAGGTCTACAGGGCCAACACTGTTCAGGGCTTTAAAGGTCAGCACCAACACTTTGAATTGTGCTTGGAAATATACTGGGGGCCAGTGGAGATCCTTTAGGACTGGTGCTATATGGTCCCAGCAGTCACCAGTCTAGCTGCCGCATTCTGAATTAGTTGTAGTTTCCAAGTCATTTTCAAAGGTAGCCCTATGTAGAGCACACTGCAGTAAGCGAGAGATAACCAGAGCATGTACCACTTTGGCGAGACAAGGCAGAGGCAGGGAGGGTCTCAGCCGGCGTACCAGATGGAGCTGGTAGACAGCTGCCCTGGACACAGAATTGACCTGCACCTCCATGGACAGCTGTGAGTCCAAAATGACTCCCAGGCTGTGCACCTGGTCCTTCAGGGGCAAGGTTACCCCATTCAGGACCAGGGAGTCCCACCCACCCACCTGCTCCCCGTCCCCCAAGAACAGTACTTCTGCCTTGTCAGGATTCAACTTCAACTCATGAGCTGCCATCCATCCTCCAACTGCCTCCAGACACTTCCAACTCTACAGTTCTAGGATTCTATAGGCATGTTTGTGAAGGATAAGGCATATATGCTGTAGTCACTGACTGGCTGCTCCACCACTGCCACCATCTCTCTTCTCTGCTTCCTGCTGGGGTACGAAGTGCCCTACCACCAGTAACCTGATGCAGAAGGAATTTCAGCTATTTCCATTTCATACACTAAGGAAGCAATGAAAGAAAACACTTTGCTGTATGACATCTTATTTTCCTGCACACTCACCTTCCCATTGCTATTGAGGCCACTACCTCCTAGTGTTGCTGCAGAAAAGAATGCCCTCTCAGATCTAACTAACTGTCGGGTGCATCATTCCTGGGGAGGACGCAGCAGCAATGAAGCAGCCAGGCAATAGCTGCAACCTATATCACTGCCAGATTCACCGTTATGCTCTAGCCACTCATATTGTGTTAGAGACAGAGCTCAAAGCAGATTTCACAGTGGTGTGAGCCTCTTTTTAATGCATGCCTGTCTTATTCCATAGAGGTAAGAAGGAGTCATCACTCAGCACAGCTCTCAGTCTACATTTTCCTCATTTATAGCGTTACAGCCGTTCTCTCTGCAGTTTTGAAATCTATGACAAAAATAATTAATTACAGATCCTGCCACAACTGACTCTTAACACATAATCTACTCGCTGGATAGCTCAGTTGGTTACAGTGTGGTGCTGATATTGCCAAGGCTGCAGGTTTGATCCCTGTATGGGACAATTGCATATTCCTGCATTGCATGTGGTTGGACTAGATGATCCTCAGGGTACCTTCCAATTCTATGATTCTACAGTAGTACCTCAGGTTAAGAACTTAACTCGTTCTGGAGGTCCATTCTTAACCTGAAACTGTTCTTAACCTGAGATACCACTTTAGCTAATGGGGCCTCCTGTTGCCGCCGCGACATGATTTCTGTTCTCATCCTGAAGCAAAGTTCTTAACCCGAGGTACTATTTCTGGGATAGCAGAGTCTGTAACCTGAAGCATCTGTAACCCAAGGTACCACTGTGCTCTGATAGCGGAACTTGGGGTTTTTTTGGTGGTCAATATATTTAGCACAACATTCCAAAACTTGTAACATTACAATCAAATGTACCAGGCTTTATCTCCCCGCAGCAGCACCCTCATGGCTATGAATCTCACAGGCTCTCAGACTCTTTAAACCAATCAAATTCCATTCTAGGGCTAAATCAGAGACCTGCCATCACTGCCATGATCCGTTGCCCTGTAAGTAACACAGGAATTGGAGCTCGCTGAGGTGGTCAGGGATGCCTAACAGGGTGATCTCAGCAACATCATGATACTAAAGTTTGTCACTTTCACTGGGAACAAGCCATAAAACTGAACAGGTTTAGGTCTGATTGCAGCCACGTAACTGAAGCTCTTATATCACTCTCCAATTCCATACTCACTGTCATTAGCATTCTCCGCGCAAGGTTCAGACATTTGTGCCACAGGCTGAGTGGACAGGGCTGCTGACACTTGGTATGGCTGTGGGAGGGGCAGAAGGCCTTGGCTGAGTTCTCTTCCTGACAGAGCCACCAGCTGGTCCAAGCGACTACCCGGTGGCAGCTTCTGCTCAGCTTCTGTTGAGGGATGGTCATAAAGAAAAAGAAGAAGAAATAATAATATCAACGGGGAGGTCACTATGCTACAGGCTACACTATGCTACTGAGCTATATATCATCAGAATGCTAAACTTTATCTACTCACTACATGTGGACATGGCCTTCTTCACTTGAACTAACACTTTGAAAAGTGTTGTATGTTTGTTGTAACTTGGACTATATTCCCGCTGATGTGAAATGGCACAGTAACTGTAGCACTTGGAACTACTGTGATTATCAGACCAGAGCAGGGCTGCCATACGTCCAGAATTTCCCAGACAAATCTGGAATACTGCAGTCGGAAGCAGCGTCTAGGCAGAAATCGCTAAAATGTCCAGGAAAATCTACATGTATGGCAACACATGTTGGCAGTGTAGTTGGCAATTTTAACTATTTGAAAAACGGCAACCCTAGTCCAGAGGTTATTTACTTCTTTAGTTAATTGGTTTTTATGTAGTGAGAGGTTTTGCTCTTTTTTGGAGAGTATGTACCCATATCAAATGTATCTTCCATGTGATTGGTACTTATATCTTTGTAATTTGAAAATAGAAATCATTGTAAAAAAAACAACAACCACCCCATTAAACTTTACCAGATCTGGGAACGCCACACTTGAAGCACTTCTCTCTGCGCTTGAAATTCTGCACTCCACACTGTTGAGAGAACAGACACATCCTGTCTTTATTTAACTTCCAGAAATGGGAAAAGGCTGACCCTACAAAGTCTTGCTACCTCCTGCAAAACATCTAACACTTGCCATAAAGCTGGTTTGGTTGCTGCATGCCTTCTCTGCTTTTCTGGCCCTCAGATTTGTGAAGAAAAAAATCAAAAACAAAAAACCCTGATAAATGCTTGGCATAATCTCAGAAACTAGGTCCTTTCTCATGTCTGCTGTGCCTTGATCTCTGGCCCCAGTAAGCTGTTCTTTGTTCATTGTGCCTTGTTTTCTTTCCAGTCCCAGCAATCATTGTAAAAAGCATTTTAAAACCTCTACTTGAAAGCAAAACTATTCAAAATAAGCAAAAATACTTAGGGCAGGATTGAATTAACTTGAACATACAGAATGAGGTCCACTCAACAGGACTTTCCCCACATTTCCTACCCCCATGGCCCCTAAATCTGCTCTGGATGGTTGAGATAACCCCCAGAGCAGGGGGCAGGCAGGAGGAGGACAGAAAGTCCCATTGAGCACATGGACCTCATTCCCTGCACAGATACCCTACCATGTTGATTTTCATTTCCAATTGACTCTGATAAAGGAAACTGGGTCTCCTGGATGCTGAGTTTGGATTTCCATATTGCACTGTTCCTTTGAAGCAGCCGTGTCTGGAAGAAGCTAACCATTACTGTTGCACAGTAGAACCCCATCCCCAACCCCCACCCCAAAAAATTCCTCCAGCCTTCTCTCCACCCTTCACCTTGCTCACACAACACCCTCACACCCCATCTGACTCCTCTGACACCCTCAAACTGACCACAAAGCAGTTACCTTACTGCATAGCCAGTCCTCATTGATCTTGGGCTTGGGATCACTGTAGTGCATGGAGACCTTCTGGCCAAGGATTGTGAGGGAGTGCTGCAGGGAGAGAAATGCTGCAATGAGACTCAAACGCAGAAGTGGTGAGCAGGTGCCCATCACTGCCACAGCAGAAAGAAGGAGAGGTTCAAACCCTTCAGCTGAATGGATGAGGGTGAGGGAGGGAAGGCAGCACAGGCCGAGAGAGGTTTGGAACTTGGCTACTTGGCTAGCACACACCTAACCTGGCCGACAGAGGCACCTGTCTCTACCCAAGGCACCGGGACGTCCGGCTACTGTGATGGAGGGAGAGTGTGTCAGAGAGAGACAGAAAGAAAGATGGAGAGGAGGAGAAACAGACAGAGAAAATGCAGCCATGCTCCGAGACACCGCCATACAATAACCTCTATGCCACTAGAATGATCTGTCTTGAGCTTCCGTCCTGAAAGCTAGCAGCATGCATTTCCATCCTCTCCTCCCAACCCAAAGCCATTGTGCCCCCACAGTGGGCACCTTCCCCTAACTAGGGATCACTCCCTCATTCAGCACAGATCTCTGCTGTGCTTATGTCAGCTCCCATTTATGGGCATGCTTGGAGGAACACCCAATGTTCTGGTTGCAACTCTGTCCAAGAGGTAAAAACTTTGGGAGACCAAAACTAAGGTTTTAAGCTACATACACATCCCCAGAGGTTCAGTACTCATCTTCCTACCCTACTTTGCTCATGCACACAACTAAACTGCTTCCAACTCATCATATCTTTCTAAAGTGGCCTCTGAAAAGTACTGTTATCCTCAATTGGTGATTCTCAACACCTTGTGAGGGCATCAAATGATTACCAGGACTCATAATTTATAAGAACTAGAGAGCTAAGCCACACCAATTTCTAAAAGCATTTGCTAGGAGCTTTTAACTCAAGGTCCCATAGGCTAGAATCTTCTTCTGACAAATGCTACCTCTGACCTGCTGCAATCTTACAAAGTAACATATTACTACTTTCACACGCTTGTAGAAACTGTGCTGGAAATAATCCCTTGCCCACATCTTCCTGTTAGGCCAGTTTTTGCACTATCCCCTCCTGCATCTGGAGCAAAGTGCATCATCTCAGCCATGCCAAGGCTACCTGTGTCAGCTCCCACTGGGGATGCGCACACACGGCCCGGCTACACTGCCAACACAAGAGAACAGAAGGAAGAGGAGGAGGAGGAGTCGATGGCAGAGGCAATTGCCATGACTGCATAAACAAGCATGTTTGGAAAACCCAAACATATTGGGCTAGGGGTGCATTTTCACCAACCTTATGGCTGCTTGGAAACAGGACCATAGTTTGAAACTCTGGTCAAAACAGACAGTTTGGGGTCTAAAAGCTTGGTTTGTGGCCCTTCACACCTTTATTGTGATCCTACAGTGCTGGATAGAAACAAGGGGTCTCGCACAGATGGGCTGTCAAGACAGAGACTGCTGTGAGGAAGGAGATAAGGCCTCCCAGGAAAGCTTCCTATCTTGAACCCTGACTGCACTGGGAGAGAACGCACACGCAGCATCAGCATCATCTCTGACAGATACCCATTGAGACTGGAGCCTGTATCACACTCAGGATCATGCATATATCCAGAGCAGAAAGAGCACACAGGAGTCCTAACTCCCCAAACCCTTTCCTTACTACCAGGAACTCCTCCAGCCCCCACTACCGTGGATCATAGCCTAGATCCTTAGTTCCCCTGCTCAACTTGCTAGACCACCTTCTCCCCAATGTGGAAATTAAATCCAGAGGCTAACCCACTCCCTGGGTTGTTAATACCACTCAGAAGTCCTGACTTTTTGTGTCCCTATTGTAAGACACCAGAACCCTACTTCTTGGGACTTGGGTGGTCCCAAAAAGTCAAATTCTCTGTTTGATTCCTGAGACTAGAGATATCTGATTCAGACCTAACTCCTCTTCCCCATTCCCTTCAGTAATTTCCTATGGGGAAAGCGGCTGGGGCTTTTCATATGAACCAGGTGTTTGGATTGGTCATTAACAGTAGCAGTACTTGTGGGTTTCAAGTGCAGCAAAGCAACCTGATTGGCTTCCATCCATCGTGTAGCGTCCTGCAAGTGATTAAACTCGACGAAGGCGAAGCCCCGGCTCTGACCTGGAGGACAGCATTCAGATACAGACGCAGTGTGTTAGTCAACAGATCCAGCCAACATCACGCATCCCTGTCGCTGTACCAATTGGGGCAAGGGCAGGATGCGGGGGAGAAACAGGGAAGAGTGGAAAGGCACAGAAAGGGCACCCTAGGTGTAAAGTGGGATGGTGCAGACTCAGATGCTGACCACAAAAAGGGAGTTGCTTGCTCTTCTGATCATCCTAAGCAAGGAATGTTTCTGATGTACAATTGCCACTCACCTCTACTCAAACCTCCAAGTATTTCTCCCCTTCCCTCACCCCAAGCTGGGAACAGATCTGTGAAGTCACAACTTTCAGTCCTGTGCCTTTATCAGCCAACTCATAATACCTCCAAATGGCGAAAAGTTTAACAGAGAGTGATGGCTCCAAGCAGATCTATTCCTACTGCTTCCACTAACGCTATCTTTTTCCATTAGCCATCTACCACTTTTTCCTTAAGTGTACGCCACAGTTGTGGCAAAGCATCTGTGCAGGAGGTTCCTTCTTAATACCACACTAGGGCACTTGTGCTATCATTCGGAAAGGTGAAGTGCCTGCTTATTTTGGAAGGAGCACCAAAAAACACCCACCACAGAGGGCACTAGCACAAGGGACCCAGCAGCAATGGCATCTTCAAGATACACACAGCTGTGATCTGTTGGACTTGAACTTAGAAGATTTGGGTTCAAATCCCAGTTCTGCCTCAAGACTCACTGAATGACTTTGGGCCAGACATTTAGCCTCATTTCCCCATTTAGACAACAGAAATAATAGAGATCTCTTAGAGCTGTTGTGAAGAAGAATGAGCTACATAAACACCAGTAACAACATGTGCCTATATTGGAAGAAGGTTCATACAAACCCAGAAAAGATGTGCTGAATCCAACCAACTAATATGGCAGTGATTAACCTCTTCCCCACTTTTCCCCTTAGCAATACCATAACTAAGCACAATGTTGGAAGTCTATGAACAGGTTTCCTATTCTAATATGACAGATGGTTTTTCAAAAGAATTGAACCAATATACACAAGAGCAAGCTGCTGTGGACAGCTCTCAAGAGGTTACAACTCTCCAGGGAATTTTATTCTCAAGGTTTGCAGACTCTGCCCTTGTAAAAATGGATTTTCCCATTTATGTAATGTGTTGCAATGTGTCTTTGCTTCTCTCAGCCTTTGGCTGCCCATGGAAGCAGGGTGCCTTTCTGTACCCTCCATCTTGTAGTACCAACCAGCCCTTTTCAGGCCTGGTATAACAGAGGGCAGATACAGAGGACTATAGTCACATACACACCTTGCTTTTAAAAAGAAAAAGGTACACAACCATGACTCATAGGCTGCAAGTGTGTGTGATATGCAGGGAGTAACCCTGGAAAGAAGGAGCAAACTTACCTGCTTGGTTATAACTTTACTCAAAAAACAGTCCTAAGATGCAGACCTGACACAGTCTGACCATTTCTCTTGGAACAGACTTAAGGGATCTCATGCTTTCCTTTTACTTTCCAATGCCACCCCAATTGGTTGGTAACTACTTTCCTTAATGGAGGCCTGCATAACTTAGGATCCACTGAAACTGACCACAATACTTGATTGGTGAGTTGAAAATCCTCCCTCCATGCCTGCCCATGATAATAAGAAAAAATTCAAACAGATTTAATATGTCCCTGGTAAGCCATATATGGTTAAAGGGCTGCATTCAACTTGATAGGTTAAAAGTTGTATAGCCTGCCTTCATATCTGTTTCCTCAGTGCCACTATTAAAAAGAGCTCAACTTAGGCTGCAAAGATCCAAGACGAATCACTGCAAACCTCATATCTGATCAAATGAGGCCAAATAGAAGACACCATACATATCCAAAAGGATTGTCTTCAACCTTCATCCATTTGTTGGTTTTTGTCTCCTACCACAGAGAAAGAGGCCAAGCAAGAAAGGCAGAAAAAAACCCAAAGAAGAACTTCCTATGGAAATAAATGCTGAATTGCTAGATCTGAGGATGCTCACAATTATATAGTATGCAACAAACCTTGGAAAAGAACAGGAACCAAGAATAGGCCTCAATGTTCTGCCAATCACACAGCAGAGGAACTACAGAGTTCCAAGTTTACAGAACTACAATAGCACACAAGGAGCTATTAATGATCCATTGGTGACATCTAAAAGCCTGGTTGGTTCTAAATACTAGGGGAATGTACATAGCACAGACCAAAACTAATGCCACAGGGCAAACCAGCTATACATAGATACATATCTGGAAGACTGCACTCTAATTTGGAGTGTGTCACATGGTAGGTGAAACACTATGGCAATACCAAGAGAAGGGAAAAGATAGAACTATGAACGGGAGCTCACCTGAAGCTTTATTCCGCATCAGCCGCACCTCTCGGGGCTGGAATCCATGTGCCTGCAACTGGGCTCGGATCTGCAGAAAAGCATAAAAGGAGTGATCAATGCCAACATCAGGAAGCATTGAAGAGGTAAGAGTTAGAGAAATAAGGAAGCAACAGCAACAAGTTACTGCAAGGAAGCAGTGCCTCCCAGCCCAACTGCCTAACGTACATCATTCTCAGTGGCAGACTGAGGCAGCATCCTCAGCATAATGATGCTGCTAGCCTTCTGTTCTTCTTCCTCTTGCTCAGTGCGGTAGTCCTGGTCCCGGTAGTCACCATCTGCAGGAAATCCCAACTGCTCACTGGGGCTGTCCCGCTTTCTACGTTGTGTCTCTGATCCAGAGGAGGCCTCATAGGAATCCTGGGTTAGGATTGTTGTACAGAAAAGAAGAGAAAAGCTCAGAATGGATGGGGCTTAAAGGAGTAGTGCCCAGCTTTGCAGGACAAGGCCTAACAATTCCCTACTAAATGTCCGGCAGTCACAGCACCATCACCACTTTCACTCCTCTGCCTTTGGTGGTGCCATAGGAAAAGCAATCTTCCAAAGCATACAGCATTTTTCTAGCAACTGGGACTGTTTCACAAGTCCAGTTCCATTACCTGTTCCAGCACTTCCCTCCATGATTCCTTCACACAACTAGTAGCATATTGTCCCACATGACCACCTATTTCGTTGTGGCAGCTACAGTGGTACCTCAGGTTAAGTACTTAATTCATTCCGGAGGTCCGTACTTAACCTGAAACTGTTCTTAACCTGAAGCACCACTTTAGCTAATGGGGCCTCCTGCTGCCGCCGCGCCGCCAGAGCACAATTTCTGTTCTCATCCTGAAGCAAAGTTCTTAACCTGAAGCACTATTTCTGGGTTAGCGGAGTCTGTAACCTGAAGCGTATGTAACCTGAAGCATATGTAACATGAGGTACCACTGTACTTAACTTGTTACAGTCTCCCCACAACAGCAGTTCTGCAAAAATACACCCAGAAGCATAACTGTTGGGTGCTAGATCCCACTCCTACTGCCAGCTGCTTATAAAAATCAGCTGTGAAATCCTCCCATCTGATGGTTTCCTCTGGAGAGGCAGCTCTTCAGAGAGCCATGCAGGCCACTGCATTCTACCTCCCAAGAGGTAGTCACAAAGAGGACAGGCGTCTCCAACAGCTCTGCACCACAACTTACCTCCACACTGTGCTCCTCAGAAGAATCATCATAGTCATTGGTAGGCTCCTGGCTGTTGAAATCTCTCATATAGGATCTATAATCCATGTCTCTGTAGTCATGGTCTCTCTGGTTCCGGCCTTCTAACCTCTCATCCAGGGTCTGCTCAACAGCACCATACCGACCAGTCCGATCTCCACGACCACCTCTAGAGCGTATAAAATGAAGGAAATCTGCTATGCTATCAGTGCTGATTACCCATAAAAGTAACCCCCACTTTGTAATCTGTTCATAGGAAACAAATAAAAACAATGGATTCCCCCACCCTACCTGCATAACTTGAGCTGAAGTCATCTAGTGACTAGCATTCTGGCTACAATCTAAAACACTGTCATGGGCAGATAAATACAGATGCTAGTGCAACATGCAATATCTGATAGTTGGGAGCACCAGTGACTCCTTGCTGTATCTGTATCTCAACATCCAAGGGATGATACAAACATTACTGAAGTGGTGGGAAAGCTACTGTAGGGGACTACAGTTCCGTTGTTGTTGTTGTTGTTGTTGTTGTTGTTGTTAATTCTATATTTATAACCCGCCTTTTTCCCTGATGAGACTCAAGGCACCTTACAAACTAAAAAACAATTAAACATTCATAGAATTAAAGCTATATGCATATATAAAATCTGTCTGTTCGTATGTAAGAGCCATGTAACAGAGGCCATGATGTGTTTCCCTCTCACTCACATGGCTCCCATTTACCTACCCACTTACAACTGAGTCTAATGACAGAGTACAGTGGAAATCAACAACAACAACTTATTATTATTTATACCCTGCCCATCTGGCTGGGTTTCCCCAGCCACTCTGGGCAGCTACCAACAGAATATTAAACAGAATAAAACATCAAACATTAAAAACATCCCTAAAAAGGGCTGCCTTCAGATGTCTTCTAAAAGTCAGATAGTTGTTTTATTAAATAATAGCCCCCTCCACCCCTTCTGCACTTTATTAATAATGTTTCTCAAAATAGGATCCTGTGCAAAAAACATTGTGATAATGCAGGGCTGGCTTGCCATCCAAAGGCCTCGCATCATTGCCAAACCCATCCTTTACCTGCTTTCTGTGGTGGTAGGATGCATTATGAAGCCATTGCCTTGCACAGAGGATGAAGAACAGTCAGGAAATGGGAATTAAGATTATTCATATGAACTCCCAAACTAAAAACCTTTCTCCCTATGTTACACCACAGCACTCCTGAGCAAGACTTCATGGTACCTGGAGGTCTGCACAAGAGGAAGTGACATCCCAGCCATTTTATTGCAGTGCTGTGCCACCTGCTAATAGGGATGCTGAGCACAGCAGTGGTTAAAATGATACCACTCTTAATTTAGGCTTACACCCACTTTTCAACACAGCAAAGCAGAGCTCAGAATTAGTGCTGAACTCATCCAACTGTTTACATGCTTAGTGGCAAAAGGTGGGGAACTGCTCATTGGGCTAATGTGGTTACTTTGAGTCACTCCACCAGGCAAAAGTGGTTTGCCTTACTCCATCTTAGAAGCCAGAAATAGTTAGAGAAATATTTTACCTCCTCTCATACTCCATTGCTACCCGTGAAGTGCAAGTGCTTCAGGAATCTCCCAACGCCAGGCTCTTCAGTGGGTGACTATCATTCCAGCATATCATGAAAAGTGGGGTGTCAATTATCTCTGCAGAGAAAATAGATGAAATAAATCAGCAGCATTTTCACACAGAGATTCCCACCCTAGCTTGGCACCAGCAATAATAATAAGAGAAAGATAGCATCTTTTTAAAAGACACCAGCATGTTATATACATAAGCATATATATATCCCATTTTATCTGGTTATTTCTCAGATCCGTCATTTCTATAGTACACTCACACAACTTCAAAGCTATCCAAAGTATGAACTTTGCTAATGCCCATGTCAATATAAATATGGAACCAATCTGGCCCCTTGGTTCTGGATTAAGGCATGCTCAAAACCTAAACTCAGGCCTAGTTCACCAAGCTACAATTCCTCCCTTGTAAGGTGGCATGGCTACCCCACAGAATGAATGTTGACAGATTACCATGTGACATTTTTCCTGAACCTTAATGGAGAACCACGACATACCTCAGACTCCTTCATCTTACTAGGAGGCAAAATTATCACTCCGAAATGAATCTTTTTTTATATTTTAATCAGGTAAGCCTAGGTTCCAAGTCTCTACAGATGTATTCCAAGATTTGAAATCAACAGCTGTATGACCTTGAGCACATCATTATTGTGCCCATCAGAGAGATACCTTATTTTTCCATGTATAAAACTAGGGTTCCCCCCCCTAAAAAAATGATGTCAAAATTAGGGGGCATCTTACACATAGGGCCATCTCCCCCCATTTTCTTAAATATGAGTCTCCCAAAATAAGGGGCATCTTATACATGGGATTGTCTTATAGATGGAAAATACAGTAATTCTTTCCTGGATTTCAGGTGTTTGAGAGATTTAGAAAGATTTATGGGACTAAATAACTTTTGAGCCACAACAAATAAAGCTACAAATACCATAAAAATAAAATCCCTTTACAATAGCAACTGTGTCCTCTCACTCTCATTTGCAACCCAGGATTTATTACATCTCTTTGAGTCAGCAATCACCTATGAAAGCAAAGCAGCCCTGTGAGCTTACAACACATATAGGGTTGAACACAACCAGGGCAATAGAAAATTACAAGATCCCTCTACAAATGACAGGCCTCTCCAGTGTCTGACTATGATGCTTCTGGCTGCTGAGCGTAGGTGGGTTATGAGCTCTTTGTGTTGTGAGTGGGGGTTATTGTCTTGGAAGATGTTCAGTAGAGCCAGTTCTGGGGTGACTTCTAATATTTGCTTAGTTATTTTGCATATCTCTTGTATGATTGATGTCCAGAAGAGTTGGATCTTAGGATATTCCCACATGTGGAGGTGTGTCTGTGGAGGTACATCCTCTCCAGCATTTTGGTGAGGTTCCTGGGTGTATTAGCCTTAATTTTCATGGTGTTAAGCACCACCTGTGAGTTTCAGAGTGAATTCTTTTCTTTTCGCTAATATGGATTTAAAGGGAGGTTTAGACCACATTCTGGTTCATTGGGTGGGGTTAATCTCATAGCCTATGTCATCCTCCCAGCTTTTTGATTACGTTTAGGGGGTTTGTGGGATTCTGGAGTAGTATTTTGTATATTGCGGACACCATCCCTTTGCCGTGTCCCTTTGTTGTTAGGAGGAGGTTTTCAAAGGTTGCCAAGGGCCTAGTTGCTGCTGATTTTACTACTGGATTAAGAGGGCATGTAATTGGTGGTGTGTTAGCCAGGGCATTTGGGTGTCCCCTAGTTTGTCTTGTATTTCTTATGTAGATATGGTTTGTTATTTTTGTAGAAATCTGTTAGGTGTATAAGCCTTTGGTTTGCCAGGTTTTAATCTGGAAGTTTTGTGCTACATGGTGGAATAATGGGTGATGTGCCAGGGGAATTAGTGGGGATAGGGTTGGGGACAGCTTACCTACTTCTTTCCATGCTTTAAACTTTATTGATTTGTCACCATAAGGGTTTGTAGTTGTGGAGGTATAATTTGTTGAGGTTTCTGGTTATTTGTACCCCTAGGTATCTGAACTTGGTGCAGCAAAGTTTTATCTTGGTGATGTTGGCAAATTCTTTTTGGGTATGGGGTGTATGTTGAAGCACATAGCCTCAGAGGGTTTGTAAGAAGTTGGGACCAAATTCCATGTTAGTTAGTACTGCTAATAGGTATTTCCACTCTAAGCAATCAAAAGCTTTGACTTCTGGTTTTTACTGCCTCTGGGACAGGTGTGCTTCACAGAGGCTCCAAGAAGCAGCTGTTAGAAGGGTTTTATGGGGGGGGAGTAACGCAGAGGCTATGCGTCCCCAGAAAAGATTCAGGGGGTGACCCTGAATCGAAAGTATCCAGCGGTGTCAAGAAAGGGTGCTCCATATTCTCCATCTTAAGCAATAGGTGTTAAGAGCATAGAGCCCCCGACGTGTGGAGATGAACATCCCTTGACAAAAAGCCTCAGACCCGAAACGGTAAGAGCGGCAGTAGAATTTCCAGTTCCTTTTATCCCTAATATCAACTATCTGGCTGCTAAAGAGATGTGAAAGTTAAGAGAAACAAGTGAACTGTAATAACAGTAAACACAACGTTTGTGAGGTCATGGGAGGGGACGTAAAACAAAGAGTATCCTCCAGCAGACCAGAACACCAGGAACAGTGGCTGGGAAAATCTTTTTTTTTTTTACTCTGGAAATTCTTTTCACTGTATATAAAAGATAGCACAGGAAACCTCCACAAGTTTCAATTTTAAAAAAGATAATTGTAAGGAGTAATCTGCAGTGACCATGCCTGCCCCCCTGGAAAAATAAAAAGACTGTGAGGAATCTAAACTGCTGGTGTGTGTGTGTGGGGGGGAAACAGCAATACTAAATGAGACCTCCAGCAACTGGTGGGAGATATAAAACCACAAATATTAGATATTAAATAATGGAACAGGGGCAGCAGTGGAAAAAGATAAGGGAAGGAAAGCCCAAAACTGCGATAAAGTAAAACGCAGAGGAAAGCACAAAAGCTCAAAGGTCTACAAGCGTAAAAGGACTCAGCAGTAAAGCTGGAAAGGAACGGAGGACACAAAGGAACACCAAAAGAGAAACAATCTTGAACTAAATATTTAACTTTTACTCACAATAAATATGGCGCAGCATGATTTGTAAGGGGATTGAGCTGCAGCATGACTCAGGGGAAGGAAAGGGAAGAAGACAAAGAGATGAACAGAAGACTACAAGAGAGACGGTGGCAAGAAAGAGTGGAAGGACTAGACACAGCGACACCAGGTGGTGAAAAAAAGAAACAGCACCCTATTTTAATAGGTGCTTTATATGAAAGAAATATTTAAGTAGAAATAAAATAGAAAGGGAGGGATTAACAACAACACATAAATTGATTGGAAAAATAATACCAGCAAAAAATACTGGAAATTTCATTAGAAAAAGGAGGGGAGGAAAAATAACTTGGAAATCTCGAAAGATATCTTTTGGCTCAGGGAAGTGCTGGGTGAGATCCCATGGACAGTAATACTAAAAGGAAAGGGAGTTCATGATGGCTGGGAGTTTGTTAAGAGGGAGATAGTAAAAGCACAACGTCAGGAAATACCAATGAGACAGAAACATGGAAGGTGCCTAAAGAAGCCAGGGTGGCTATCTAAAGAACTTTTAACTGAGTTAAGATTAAAAAGGATGTGTACAAAAATGGAAAAGGGGGAAACCACCAAAGAGGAATTCAAACAAATAGCCAGCACGTGTAGACACAAAGTCAGAAAAGCTAAAGCACAGAATGAACTCAGGCTTGCTAGAGAGGTTAAAAGCAACAAAAAGGCTTTTATGGGTATGTCCGTAGCAAAAGGAAGAACAAAGAAACAGTGGGGTCACTCAGAGGAGAAGATGGTGAAATGCAAACAGGGGACACAGAAAGAGCTGAACTCCTCAATGCCTTCTTTGCCTCAGTCTTCTCCGATAAAGAAAACAATGCCCGACCTGAAGAATTTGGAGCAAATAATTCAGCAGAGGAAACACAGCCCAGAATAACTAAGGGGATAGTACAAGAATACTTGGCTAGTTTAGATGTATTCAAGTCTCCAGGGCCAGATGAACTGCATCCAAGAGTATTAAAAGAACTGGCAGATGTGATCTCAGAACCACTGGCAGTCATCTTTGAGAATTCCTGGAGAACAGGCGAAGTCCCGGCAGACTGGAGGAGGGCAAATGTTGTCCCTATTTTCAAAAAGGGGAAAAGAGAGGACCCAAATAATTACTGCCCAGTCAGTCTGACATCAATACCAGGGAAGATTCTGGAGCAGATCATTAAGCAAACAGTCTGTGAGCACCTAGAAAGGAATGCTGTGATCACCAATAGTCAGCATGGATTTCTGAAAAATAAGTCATGTCAAACTAACCTGATCTCGTTTTTTGACAGAATTACAAGCCTGGTAGATGAAGGGAACGCAGCGGATGTAGCCTACCTTGATTTCAGCAAGGCATTTGACAAGGTGCCTCATGATATTCTTGTAAAGAAGCTGGTAAAATGTGGTCTTGACTATGCTACCACTCAGTGGATTTGTAACTGGCTGACTGACCGAACCCAAAGGGTGCTCATCAATGGTTCCTCTTCATCCTGGAGAAGAGTGACTAGTGGGCTGCCACAGGGTTCTGTCTTGGGCCCGGTCTTATTCAACATCTTTATCAACGACTTGGATGATGGACTCAAGGGCATCCTGATCAAATTTGCAGATGACACCAAATTGGGAGGGGTGGCTAACACCCCAGAGGACAGGATCACACTTCAAAACGACCTTGACAGATTAGAGAACTGGGCCAAAACAAACAAGATGAATTTTAACAGGGAGAAATGTAAAGTATTGCACTTGGGCAAAAAAAATGAGAGGCACAAATACAAGATGGGTGACACCTGGCTTGAGAGCAGTACATGTGAAAAGGATCTAGGAGTCTTGGTTGACCACAAACTTGACATGAGCCAACAGTGTGACGCGGCAGCTAAAAAGCCAATGCAATTCTGGGCTGCATCAATAGGAGTATAGCATCTAGATCAAGGGAAGTAATAGTGCCACTGTATTCTGCTCTGGTCAGACCTCACCTGGAGTACTGTGTCTAGTTCTGGGCACCACAGTTCAAGAAGGACATTGACAAACTGGAACGTGTCCAGAGGAGGGCAACCAAAATGGTCAAAGGCCTGGAAACGATGCCTTATGAGGAACGGCTAAGAGAGCTGGGCATGTTTAGCCTGGAGAAGAGGAGGTTAAGGGGTGATATGATAGCCATGTTCAAATATATAAAAGGATGTCACATAGAGGAGGGAGAAAGGTTGTTTTCTGCTGCTCCAGAGAAGCGGACACGGAGCAATGGATCCAAACTACAAGAAAGAAGATTCCACCTAAACATTAGGAAGAACTTCCTGACAGTAAGAGCTGTTCGACAGTGGAATTTGCTGCCAAGGAGTGTGGTGGAGTCTCCTTCTTTGGAGGTCTTTAAGCAGAGGCTTGACAACCATATGTCAGGAGTGCTCTGATGGTGTTTCCTGCTTGGCAGGGGGTTGGACTCGATGGCCCTTGTGGTCTCTTCCAACTCTATGATTCTATGATTCTATGATATCTGTTGAATAAGTGGTTCTATTTTGATTGCATTCTATTTAATAGTAATTGGGAATAGTGGTATAAAGTCGGTTCACAGAGAAATATCAATTACTCCAATATCTGGAAGGAGTTACAACATTTTCTTGGAGAATAAGGAGTAGACTAAGCTGCAACCTCTATAAAAAGTGAACGGAGGAATGCAAATGGGGTGGGCAACCATAACAATGGTGTGATAAGTGAGCTTTTTCAGAAGTCTGGTCTATTGGAAAAAGTAATCAGTGGTAATATTCAACCAAAATGATTAAGGGAAAAGACCAATATGTCAAACAAAAAACAAAATGTGGGCCAAACCTATAATCAACAGGGCAGAAGGAATTCTGGGATGGACCAGGAGATGTATTTAAAAGAATTAATTTGGAGTCTGAAGGGCGATATAGGGGAAATGAAAAAAGAATTTAGTAATTTTAAGATAGAGATGAACAACAAAGTAAAAGGAATGGATGATAAATTGGATAGGATGGGTGGGGAAATTGAGGGAAATACTAAATCAATTATAAAATTATAAATTATAAAAACACAAGTAAACGATCTTCTCAAGGAAAATAAAGAACTAACAAAAACGGTACATGAACTTAAAAACAAAACACAACATTTGGAAGAGATTTCCAAAAAACCCTCCAAAGAATTAAGAGAAAATAAGAAAGAATGTGAAAAGGTTAAAAGAGAAAATAAGGAATTTTAAATCACACAGGAAGCAACCTGGGATGCAATGTCCATTCTTCAGATGCAAGTCAGAGAGAAAACTCTCAGAATATGGGGTGTCCCAGAGGTTCCAGAGGAAAATATACTAAAAAAAACCATTATTAAAGAGCTAGCCAATTGGTTAGAGGTAAAGAAAGATGAAATATTAGAGAATACAGAAAATATATTCAGGGTTAACTCTAGGAAAGCAAAGGCAAATAAATGGCCTGGGGATTGCCTGATCATTCACATCAAATAAACTAAGAAATAAGATTTTACAATTTACAATTTAAAAGGAAAAAGAAATTCAAAATTGAGGAGAGGATATTAAATTTTTGAAAGATTCCCCCCCAACTACTGAAAAAGAGAGACAAATAGCAATTTCTGACTAGAGCTCTAAAAGCAAAATCAATATTCTTCAAATGGGAGTTCCCTGAAGGAATTTATTTCACCTTCAAAGGGAAGAGGAGGAGACTAGAAACAGTAAAAGAAGCCGAAAAATTCCACAGGACGTATAGGAACGAACTAGCAAGTGAGAGACAGATACCAAAAAGAGTCCAGTCCAAAAACTACAACCTTAGAACACGGTAGTGAAAATGAGTAGAAGTTCAATAAAGTATTGGGTATTAATTTCTGTAACTAGTTTATTTTCTTTATTATATTTTAATGAATAAAAATGAATTTAAAAACATTGTCTTGGAATGTTAACGGACTAAATGAAAAGAAAAAAAGAAACAAAATACAACATATTCTGATCAAACAGACTTGATGTTACTTGTTTTCAAGAAAAGCATGTCACAAGAAATAATAAAAGTGTTAATAAAACCCAAATTAGGAAAAGAATTTATCTCAGCAGACCAGGTAAAAAAAAGAGGAGTGGTGATTTATGCTAAGCCCTGTTTAGAACCAGTACAGAACAACCCGTGTTGCAAACTTAACACAACAAACAACACAAGCAACACGATGACCAGTATACTAGATAGCACTGCAATTCTTATTGCATAATATACATAATTTAGTACAACAAAATGTGTACACTTGTAAATTCTCTAATATATTTGAAATCAAATGAACACGTCTGTCAATCTTTGAAAGTCCGTAGAAGTATAATAAGTCTATAATCGAAACAAAGTAATAGACGCTATCTTGTGAGCTAAGCGGAAAAACTTTTTAGGCCTTCGTGGTGCCGAAGTAGTAAGTGAATAACAATGTAGGACAGTGATCCTGGATAATCTGACTGTTTTGCTGGAATCTTCTTCAGCACAACTACAAAAGAATTCAAATATGAAACAATGACCTGTGTACGTGAAAAATATATAAACTTCACACATTACAACCCATATGCTACAAATACAATAAGAAGAACAAGGGTACATACCCCATAGATTAGAAAAATGCACAAGGAGCAGTGGTCATGAGGATATGTAACTACTGCTACTAGTTGCATGATACCTGAAGCATAAGTAACCATTCCCAGGTTGCACTCATTACTTGGAGACTGAATTACAGTAATTCAATTTAAAGTTACAGAGCAATATAACAGCAATAGAAAAACATCAAATAAAACAATTTAAATCCAGTTCAGAATTAAGTCCTTCAGGGTGAATGGTCTTAAACATAAAAATGAATTGCGATTCTTTGTCGTAGCCATCTTTCATGATCTTGTCCCCATATGATTTTGTGTGCGTGAAATATTAGAAGGGCTGAGTAGTACAGAACGATCCTTCACAAATTATTTAATTTTAGATTTATTGACTACATCGAGAGGATATCCCCTAGCATATAAAGAATCAGCTAGCTGGTCAACATTCTTATAAAAATCATCATCAAGAGAGGAATTCCTTTTAAGACGTAGGAGTTGTCCATATGGTAAGTTGTTCCTAAGTCGTTTAGGGCGAAATGAGGAATACTGTAGGAGGGAATTACAATCTGTGGGTTTTTTATGAGGTTTGACAGCTAAAAAGCCATTATGTTTTATGACCTCCACATCTAAAAAAAAACAAGATACGAGGCTATGGTGACCTGAAAAAGATAGACATGGATGTAGGGAATTAAGCCAAGAAGAAAACTGCAGAAACTCATTCTCATCCCTAAACAAAAACAAATCATCAATAAATCTGTAATAAAGTATTAAAGCAGATGCAAAGGGATTGTTGTTTAAAATATATTTCTCAAATTCACCCATGAAATATTTGCTACTGAAAGGGCTATGGGAGAACACATAGCTACACCTTGTGATTGAAAATAAAATTGGTTGATAAAACGGAAATAATTCTTTTCAAAAATAATGTCCAATAAATCCAAAAGGAAATCGGGCGGGGGTATGGGATCAGTACGAGACCGTACCAAATGACTAATAATGGAACGTGCCTCATCCAAAGGGATATTGGTGTATAATGAGGCAACATCCAAAGTAGCAAGAACCATGGTATCAGTAACTTTAGTATGTTCAATGATACAAATGAAATGGACCATGTCGTGCAAATATGCTGGTGAATCCTTTGCAAATGGTTGCAGGAAAATATCCAAATATTTAGCAGAAGGCTCCAAGACGGATCCCGACCCAGAGACTATGGGCCTGCCAGGGGGAGAATGAATGTTTTTAAGAATTCTGGGAAGGCAGTAAAAAATCGGGATATGAGGAAAAGGAGGTAATAAGAACTCAGATGTTTATCAATGGTTCCGACGCTATATGCTTGTTGTAAGACTGTCTTTAAGATGGTAGCTATGGAATCCATTGGATCTTTTGATGTTTTCTGATAAAACCTTACATCAGATAACAATCTCTTAGCCTCCATGATGTATTGCTGAGTATTTTGAATAACAATACCACCCCCTTTGTCTGCTGGCTTTATGATGATATTTGGATCATGTGATAAGGTTTTTAAACAATCACGTTGAAGCCTGGACAGATTATCTTTAACTTTGGGCCTTTCTTCTCCATTTTTTTCCAAATCACATAGGACCAATTGATGAAATAAAGAAATAGATGGATTGGAATTGGCTGGAATGTACATGGATTTGGGTCTAAATTGGCGTTCCAATTGGTCACTTATACCAAATATGTCACATAATCTATTATTACGTATGAACTTGTATAAATCAACTCTTGTTCGGAAAGCATTATAAGCAGGTTTGGGAACAAAACCTAGTCCCAACTGTAAGGTTTGTAATTCATTAGCAGACAGAATGCGTGAGGAATCGTTGACAATCAAAATTTCTTTCTTGCTCGGGAGTCTGCCCTTCTGAAAATCCCCTCGGTTAAGAGCTGTACCCTATGTGGGAGAGGGCGCAAGGAGACTTGTGGTTATAAAAGGATGTCACATAGAGGAGGGAGAAAGGTTGTTTTCTGCTGCTCCAGAGAAGCGGACACGGAGCAATGGATCCAAACTACAAGAAAGAAGATTCCACCTAAACATTAGGAAGAACTTCCTGACAGTAAGAGCTGTTCGACAGTGGAATTTGCTGCCAAGGAGTGTGGTGGAGTCTCCTTCTTTGGAGGTCTTTAAGCAGAGGCTTGACAACCATATGTCAGGAGTGCTCTGATGGTGTTTCCTGCTTGGCAGGGGGTTGGACTCGATGGCCCTTGTGGTCTCTTCCAACTCTATGATTCTATGATTCTATGGTTCCTCTCTGTCCGACTGGGATGACAGACTGGATTGACTAATGGTTCTGTTATCAATATGTAACAGACTGTAATGAAGGAGAAACTTTTTCGAACCATGGATATACCTGATCTATTTCATAATACTGAATATCAAGTGAAAATTTACAAGTTTTCCAAGATAAAATGGAGTCTGAATATTCCTTCAATTGGGACTGCATAGTCTCAATTTGCTTATTAATAATGGCACTCTCAAAAGAGGAATTAATTTGATCTTTGATCTTAGCAGTCTCATTTTGCGTGGTAACCACCTCCGCCTTAGACCTCTGAACTAAAAGTAACATTAAATCAAAAGAACATTTGTTGAGACTGGAAATCAATTTCTGTTTAAATTCAATATCGTTGGTAAACAAAGTAGACGCCTTTTGTAGTCTCAAACTTCTGGGTATACGGTTGGACTTAAGGTAATTCAATAGAGAGGAAGCATGGAACTCGTAACGAATCTTGCGCTTCTGCATATAAAGAAGCTGAGAAAAATCAACATTAGGGGGAACAGGATTGCTATTCTCTGACCCTAATGGAAGAATAATAATTAAAATAAAAAGCCAAGGAGAAAAGGTTATCATTGCAGGTGATGAAAAAATGAAATAAAAGCAATTTTCTTCAAAAATCTAGAAAAGAAACTGTTAGCATATTTGGAAAATAAAATACTTTTGCTTGGTGATTTTAATGGAGTAATCAACCCTCTAATAGATAGAACTGGAGAAAATAAAGGACAAGGGAAACTACCAGCCAGTTTTGTTAATTTGGTAGAAAATCTAGACTTAAAAGACTCCTGGAGGTATAAGCATGGGTTTGAAAGAGATTAGGGCCGACTTCCAGTGGAGCCGCGGCCATGAAAAGAAGCGTGAGATAACCCTCTGGGGGAGTCTCGGGCAACGCGGGAGGTTTTTAGAGGCTCTGCAAAGGCTATGCGGACCTCAAAACCCCAAGAGGATTATCTTGGGGGACAGAGTACCTGGCGGTGCCTGGCTGTGCTCTCCTGCTCCCCGGGCTTTAGACAATAGGCTCGGAGATGGAATGGAGCTGTGGGCACGGAGGGGAAGCAGCTGATCCCGCGTTGTGCAGTCTCAGGCTTCTAGTGAAAGCAGCAAGCTTCCAAGACTAAAAAAACGGATTTGGACTATAATTAAAAGCAGTTACTGCTTGAGGATTTTAAAAAGTGAAAATTATCAAGATTCGGTGCGCTGAGGGGCGAAAAAAAGGGAGTCTGTCCCGGCGGTGAGGAGAGGATGGCGGAAGGTTGAAAGAGAGAAAGTAAGAAAGTAGCTGCTGAGTGAGTGTTGTACTGTTTAAATGTTCTGAGGCAAGGACTCTTGCTGAGATAATTGGGTGGTGTATAACGTGAATAAAACTTGTGTATCGTCCTGGTCAGAGTAATTTGTGTCAGCGGCCAGAAATCAAGTTCATTACGTTCCGCCATTTTTATTTGTATTTCTACCTTCTTTGAGGAGAGACTCTGCGGATCTTAATTTGTTAAAATTAATAGAAACATGAACTTTAATTTAATATTGAGGAAAGTTAAGACATCCGGCTAAAGTCTACATGAGATGATTTTGGGGCTGTTTTACTCGTGAGGGAGTAAAAGAGAGCTGGATTCAACACGCCCAAACTCCCCCCCCCCCGCTTCTCCTTCTTTGCTGTCTGTGAGAAGGGAGTCACTACGATTCACTCTTTCCTGATCATCGGTTCCTCCTGGAGAGATTTTGGATTAAGCCGACAAACGGTGGAAAAAAGAAGATCCCTAATTTGGATTACAATATTTTGAATTACTGCTTTTTTGGTGGTTTCCCCCCCTTTTTTTCTTTTGCATTTTTCTTTTTGCTTTTTTCCTGCTTTTTATGGCAGTTTCTCTGTCTAGTCCTCCAGCCATGTGAAAGGAGAGATATCCTCTGATGAGCAAAGAAATTGAAAGTAACTTTGCTTAAGGAAAGGTTACTATTGGAACTGCTGCCATCGTGTGGGGACGGAGGGGAACTGCAATTTAAAGACTGTTCATTTAAATTTGCGACCTCTAGAGGTAGACGAGATGGTTGGATAGTGTTCTTGAAGCTATCAGCATGAGTTTGACTAAACTGCGGGAGGCAGTGGAAGACAGAAGTGCCTGGTGTGCTCTGGTCCATGGGGTCACGAAGAGTCGGATACGACTAAACGACTAAACAACAGAGGTAGAAAATAGAACTGTGTTAGTTAATTCCTTATTTGAACAAGTTATTGTGTTAAAATGAAGAAAGGAGGGAGAACACCAGGGGAAAGAAGACCATCTAGACAGGAGAATGGCAAGAATGGGAAAGAAATTAAAGACTATGATACTTTGATAGTCGAAATAAGGAAGGAATTTAAACAAAATGAGCAGTATATTAAAAAAAATTATTGGAAGTGCAGGACACATTAGACAAAAAACTAGAGGGGGTAGTGGGGGAACTGACAAAGTAAAGGATTTAATGGTAAGATCTAAAGTGTTAGAGGACTCAATGAAATTAATCAAAAAATTAGCGATCTGGATGGACATGAAAGAAGAGGATATTGGATTTACAATTGCAAATGCATTTAGAATAAAAGTAAAATCTGCCAAAGCAAGAGGGAAGAAATTGCCACGGGATGTGCTGGTTATGTTTAATTCTATGGACATTAGGAATCAAATATTGAGATTAAATTATAATAAAAATTTGCACATTGACGGGAAGGCAATTATCATATTTAAAGAAATTCCATCCAGATTTCTTCGAAGAAGGGATGTTTACAAAAAATTAGTGAGCCAGTTAAAGAAAAATGGAATTCAACACAGATGGGGATTTCCGGAAGGGATTTCCTTCTGCTACAAAGAAAAGAGATTTAAATTATCTAGCCCTCAGGATCTTGAGAAATTTGCTAGAAGATACGATAAGGAGTTGGGAAAGGTGGAGAAGATAAGACCAGTAGGAGAACAGCAAGAGCAAGAGGAGAAGAGGAAGAGGAGGAAGAAGAGGAAGAAGAGGAAGAAGAAGAGACTAACAGCAAAGAATACCAAATTTGAACCAGATTTCACAACAGCTTTAAATAAATAAAAATGGCTTTGAGAATATTGTCATGGAATGTAAATGGGCTTAATAATAAAAGTAAAAGAAATCAAATCGAACATGTATTGATTAAACTGAACCTTAGAATCATAGAGTTGGAAGAGACCACAAGGGCCATCGAGTCCAACCCCCTGCCAAGCAGGAAACACCATCAGAGCACTCCTGACATATGGTTGTCAAGCCTCTGCTTAAAGACCTCCAAAGAAGGAGACTCCACCACACTCCTTGGCAGCAAATTCCACTGTCGAACAGCTCTTACTGTCAGGAAGTTCTTCCTAATGTTTAGGTGGAATCTTCTTCCTTGATATAATTTTTTACAAGAAACACATATCGCAAGAAAACACAAGAGGATTTTAAGCAATAAAAGATTAGGGAGAGACTTTATTGCTTCAGATAAAAACAAAAAGAGGTGTGGTGTTATATATAAAAGAAAAACTTGACCCAAAATTAATTTATAAAGACGAAGATGGAAGAGTGTTAATAGTGCAAATTACATTTCAAGGGGAGAAGATAATTGTAGCTGGAATTTACGCACCTAATGATAAAAAGGCGGACTTTTATTCAAAACTTAGCAAAACGTTGCTGGATTTTCTAGACCAACAATTGATATTAATGGGAGACTTTAATGGTGTGGTTATTCCAGACCTGGACAGATCAACAAAAAAAGAGACACAAATGAGGGTAAATTACCCAGACCGTTTTTCAATCTGGTGGACACTATGGGACTAATAGATATATGGAGACTAAAAAACCCCACAACAAAAGAGTTTACTTTTTTTCCGGATCCAAATCAAAGTTGGGGGAGAACAGACTTTATTTGGACATCTAAGGAATTAGTCCCAAGAATATACAAATCGGAAATTCTTCCAACGACTTTCTCCGACCACAACCCGGTGTATCTGGAGGTGAGAGGAAAAGATCCTTCATCATTTAGATGGAGAATGAATGAAAGTTTATTCAATATCAAAAGATAATAAACAAGGTGAAAGAAACAATTATAGAATATTTTAATTGGAACTTAAATAAAAGAACACCCATAGAAACAGTATGGGATGCAAGCCAAGTCGTTATGAGAGGCTTCTTAATTCAAAAAAATAGTTTTCAGAAAAGGGGTAGAAAAAAGAAAAAAAGAGGAAATTCTAGCTCACCTAATGGAGAATGACAGATTGCTAACAATTAAACCAAAAGATGAAACAATAAAACAAAATAGAAAGTTGTTGCAGGCTCAGTTTTCCATGGTGGTAAATCAAGAAGTAGAATGGAGAAGGGACACAAACCACCCCATCATTTTTGAGGAGGTTTGTTTTTTAAGGGATGTTTTCTCTTTTATGAAAGCTCTTCTGGTGACCACTTTCATTGCGTCCCAAATGAGAGGGGTTGTTATATTGTCTACATCATTTTCTTTGAAGTAGTTTTGGAGAGTTTTTGTGATACTCTCGCCAATTTAATTGTGGTTAGGATGGGACTGAGGGACCATGATGGGGTGGTTTGTGTCCCTTCTCTTATTCTAAGGGTAGCTTATACTGGGGCGTGATCTGTGATTTTAATGTTACCTATCAGTTGTCAGTTGATTCCACTGAGGGGGTCAGACCTTGTGTGAGCAGAATGTTGTCTAGTCTGGATACTGTGTCATTGCGCCCAGACTAGAATGTGTGGCAGGTGTCTCCCGGGTTTTCTTCACCCCAATTGTCACAGAGACCCTTTTTTAAAGCATTTTTAGCAACTTTCCTTCGGAGGAAGGTTGCCCATGGGGTTGTATGGTGGCTGTCTTTCAGGGAGATGCCTCTCATATTTAGGTTGAAGTCACCTCCCAGTATTGCTCCCCTTTCAGAGGAGGAGAGGAACCTGTTCAGTGTTTTCCGGATAAACTCTTAGTTGTTTTGAGTTTGAGGCATACAAGGAGCCGATTGTCAGTTTAGTTTTGCCATCTAGTGTCCCTTTAGCAAAGATGAATCTGCCTCTTTTGTCTTTTAGGACTGTTGTGGCTTTGAAGTTCAGGTCTCTACTGAGTATTATGGCTACTCCGCGGGCCTTTCCTGAGCCAGGTGCTACCTATTGTTGACTGAAGCAGGGATTGCTCAGGAGTTTGCTTCCTTTGGGTGGGTTGTGTACTTCTTGTAGGAAGGCGGTGTGGTTTCATGGTGTTTACATACAAGGTGATGCATTTTCTTTTGATAGGGTTTCCCAACCCCCTCACATTTGATGTAATTGCTTTTAAGCTAGCCATCTTGCTTATCTACTTTATAGGATGATTCCCTGCCAACTCATCTGGGTTGCCCTGTGTCTCTCACCTTGCACTGTCTATCGAACCTATTAAGGTGTGTTGACCTAGAGTGTGTGTGGGGGAGGGGGGTTAGGATTAGATTTGGGTTAAAAAAGGGTGTAGATGACAGAAAGTAGCCTATATAGGTGTTTATTTGGGGTATCTCGGACCATCTGGTGTCTAGGCAGTTGGTCCTGGGTCTCAGCTGACATGGAAGGCCTTGTTTAAGGGCAGGCTGTCCTCTCTGTCATTTGCAACAGGGAGTGGTCTGTGAGACAGTGTTAAGCATTGTTTGTGACGCCTGTGTTGGGTAGAAGGTTTATAAGCAATGTTGTGTGTTATTAACATCGTTGGTATGTTGGGGTGGGAATATGGGTGTTGGCACGCTCTAGCGCCACCATTGTACTAGCTGTGTGTCAGATTTTAGCCTGTTTGTGGCTTGTTTTATTGGGGTTGGGGGTATTATTTTACTTGGTATGGGTTGGTTTGTTTTTCTTTTCTTTTACCTGCTTGTTTGTTGCCTTTGCATGATTAAGGAGGAGACGGAGAGGTTGTGTGTGTGTGTCTATTTTTGTATGTGTGGTCTTTTCCCCCCTCTTTTGTTATGGGTGGAGTCCTTGGAGTGGAGGGCTGAGAGTGTGGGTTGTGGGCTGTTGGGATAGTTGGGGAATGTGATTTGATGTCGTCTGGGTCAGTGTTGGTGTGGGAATGGGGATCTCCATGGAGGTGCGGGGCACAGGGGGTATTGGTGCTGTTGGCAATATTAATGGCATGGGGAGAGATGAAAAGGGGAAGGGGCGGTCACCAATCCGTCAATTTGAGGTGATTTCCAGCTGCTGTGGTTGTTGTTGCAGGGTTGTATGTTGGTTTGGTTGAGGCTGGTTTGTTCAGCGGGACAATTCTATGAGCGATGCTTGACTGTACTGGTTTATGTTGTCGTGTTGTTTCTGTGGTTTCTTCTTCCTCTTTGCTGTTGTTTGGTCGTGGCTGTCGCTTGGTGGGTCTGTGGATTGCCATTTTAATGGAGGGTCGAGTCTGAGGTTCTTTAGTAGTTGCAGGGCTTCAGGTATACTGGTAGCTGTCTGCTGTGCTGGTTGTTACGAGGTGGAAGGTGAAGCCCCATCGGTACTTGATCCCTGCTTGTTGGAGACATTGGGAGCATGGGCATAGGCTTTTCCTCCGATTTAGGGTCTCCTGTGATGTCAGTCACTTCTCCTACCTGGACAGTTATCTTTCCACAAGGGCCAACATTGATGTCGAAATCCAGCGTCGCCTGAGCTCTGCGAGTGCAGCTTTCTCCCAACTGAAGTACAGAGTGTTTGAGAACCAGGACATTCGCAGGGAAACCAAAATGCTTGTTTACAAAGCTATTGTACTACCAGCCTTACTGTATGCTTGTGAAACATGGACCACTTATAAACATCATCTGCAACTCCTTGAAATATTCCATCCATGGTATCACCGAAAATTTTTACACATCACTTGGAAAGACAGGTGAACGAATGCCAGTGAAGAAGCAAAGATCACCAGTGTCAAAGCAATGATTCTTCAACATCAACTTTGTTGGACTGGTCATGTTGTTTGGATGCCTGATTATTGTCTTCCAAAGAAACTACTCTATTCAGAACTTAAAAATGGAAAGCGTAATGCTGGTGGTCAACAAAGACTCTCAAGGCAAATCTAAAAAAAAATGTAGTATAAACACCGACAACTGGGAACACTGGTCTGCAAGCACTCCAGTTGGAGAACAGCCATTACCAAAGGTGTCTTGGGTTTTGAAGACACTAAAACTCAGGATGAAAGGGAGAAACATGATAAGAGAAAGGCACGTTTGGCAAATCCTCACTGTGCTCAACTCCTGCCCAGAAACTTATGTCCCCACTGTGGAAGGACGTGTGGATCCAGAATTGGCCTCCACAGTGACTTATGGACTCACTGTTAAAATTGTGTTTATGGAAGACAATCTTACTTGGTGATCGCTGAATACAATTATGATGGGGTTTTCTCCATAAGGAGATTGGTTGAATTTTTGATGTTGTTCAATACTTTTCTTTTTGTAGCAGACGAAGCAGACGATGATCTCTCTTGGGGGGCGTTGGTTTTCAGCATAGGTTTTAGAGCTCTGTGAACCCTCTCCAGGTCATCTACCTCGAGTGTCAGGCTAGGGATTGTGGTTTTTAGCCACCATACAATGAGGTCTGCTGGGCTTTTCGCCTCCACTTTTTCGGGAAAGTTGTGGAAGCAGATGTTGTCTACTGCGATCTTCAAGATCCGCTTGTTTGATTCTCATTTCGGAGCTTTCTGTTTCCAGGTGGCTTTCCAGTTCAGCCAGTTTATTATTCACACGTGTGTTTTCCTCTTGGTACTGCTCTATTATTCTTTCTTGAATTTGGTTCTTGTTCCCTAGAGTGGAGATGGTGCTAGTGAGGGTTTCCACATTGGAGGTCAGGACACAGATATTATATTATCTGCTGGGGAACCACTGTGGTCTTCAGTAGTTCTGCTAATCTTAGTTCCATTTCCCTCAGGTCTTGTTTTGTTGTTGGGTTGTTGTCATCTTGGGGAGGGGGTGTTGTGGTCTCAGTGCTGTTTGCCATCTCCCTGGTTGGTGTTATCACAATCTCCCTGATTATCTTGGTTTGAGATCTGCTTGGTGTCCTCTTGCAATGGGGCATGCTATGGTTAGGAGTTGTGGTGGTTCCTGGGTGTAGAGTTGCTGAGTTGAACAGGCGTTGTTGTCTGGTGGCTTTTAAAGAGCATCTGGATTAGGCAGCCATTTTTATCACATCTGGGCTGTGTTTTAAGGACTTCTCTGGGGTTCCCGTAGTTGCCTCAGTGGTGTTGATGGAGTAGGAGGCAGATGAGCAGACAGACAAGTAGACCAGTTGACATAAAGGGGTTAGCAGGCAGAGGTACAAGAGACCAATGGGGTGGGGCCAGAGGGAGGGTGTGTGTTAGGTGGGTTATCTGTAGATACACATGTGCGCACACACATGCACACTCATACACACAAAAGGGAGAATGGGGTCCAGTTAAGGGTGGAAGGTGAGGTTAGGGATTCGTAGAAGAGCTAAAAATTAAAGACTGGCAAGGGTGTGTTCAGAAATAGAACCAAACAAAACAGAAGCAAAAGGGGGGAAAGAAGAGAATGAAAGGGAAAAAGGAGAAGGGGGAAATAAAAAGTAAAATAAAAAGAAGAAAGGAGAAAAAGAAAGAATAGTAATGATAATGCTAATAAACTGCAGTGGTGGTTCTAGTTATAGTATGAGGTAAAAGACCACCAAGGGGGGGTTGCTATTGAAAGTGGGTGGGGAGGTGTATGTATGTAGGTATGTGATTATTTATTGGGGGCGGGAGAGAAAAGAAAAGAGAGATGAGGGATGGGGGGAATTTAAGAGTTAAGAAAGAGGGAAAGAGAACAAAAAACAAAAGGCAAAAAATGGAAAAGAGCCCCCCCCCCCCCAGAAGAACCTGAAGATGTTGAGGTGGTGGAATCTATCTGGAAGTGTTGTGTGTGTGTAATGATAAAAGTAAAAAAATAAAACATATAACAGAAAACCCTTTTGAGAGGGGAAAAAGATAAGATATAGATGTTGGGAGATTCCATTCCACCTTTTGTTGCAGACATGGGATTGTTGCGTATCACATGTCTGTTTACATTCCAGCACAAACTGCTGGGTCCCGTGAGTGGAACTTCAGCTCTGTATATAGCTTTTCTTTTGAGTCTCTCTTCGAGAAGACGGAAGGAGAGACATGCTTCTTTCTTCTGATTTATGTAAAATAAATCCGTAGGTTTACTATGTATTTACAGCCTACAGCCTCTTCCGTTGTGCAGTTTACTCTTCTCCATACAGCGTGCTCAAGACAGCAAGCTTGAGTTGCTGATTTACGTCGGAGCCAGAGGTCAATGAATCTCCACAGCGTGAAGGCTGAGAGGGAGACGATCCAGCTGGGAGCTAGCCAGCTGGCCTCCCAACCCCCGGATGCCGACAATATATGTGTGTGTGTATGTATTCTCTTTAAAGAAAAAGGGGAGGGGGGAGGAAAAAGAAAAGAGAGGAAGGGGAAAATAACAATAGAAATAATAATTTTTTGTTTGTTTTTTAAGAAAAGATGATAGTAATGGGAGGGCGGGGAGAGAGAGGACTCCCCCCTATAAAACAAAAATAGAAAAATAAAGGAATCAGGTTTTCATTTTATTCTATTTTCTTTATTTCTTTTCCCTCTTTAATTTAAAAAATGAGTAATAAAAAATAGGAAGTCAGGGCAGAAGCATCGATCCCAGGCAGTGGCCTGTGTTAGTTTAGGGCTCCTTTTTGGGCACTGCCATTTTGATTCCTTTGAGTTTGAAAAAATGGAGGTAAGAAATTTGAGGGGAAAAGAAAAAAGAAAAAAAAGTGTATTAAAAATGTTTTAAAAATATTTTTGAAGAATTAAGGAAAAGGAACCAAAATAAGATCAAGATTTTTTTAAAAGGATTTAAAAGAAGATCAAAGAAAAAACATCAAGAAGAAAAAAACTCTAATCAATGTATGTATGTGTTTTGGTGGGCCCTGCCTGTCTCCCTCGAGGTTTGGACTGGGCCTCCATGCGGCTTCCGCTGGGCTTCCATGCAGCCTGCCTGGCTGTCCCGGTCCCCTCCTACCTCTCTTCACTTATGGCTGCCGCGGTGGCCACGGCAGCGGCTGGCAGGTGCTCGGTCAGGGGGTGGGCAGCTCCGCTGCACTCACTCTGAGCCTCACCGGGCCACTGCCAGGGTGATCCCTGTCCTGGTACAGCCAAGGTCGCTGGGTGGGGTGGGGACCTGGGAGCCTTGCGCAGTTCCCCCAATCACTGCGTTCGGTGCCCCTGGCTTTCGCTTGCTCATGGCGATGCCTTTGGCAGCTCGGGGACCGGCCAGAGAACCTTGTTGGTGCTGGCAGTCCCTAGGAGCTCTGCACTGCCGTGGCACCTGCTATTTTGCCTCGCCAGAAGTCCCCATTTTATTTATTATAAATAAGTCCCTCAGCCTAGCTAGTGAGAGACAAGAAAAAACTAGTCATTGAATCCCATTGTACCAGCCAATGTGTTAAGATTTCCCCTTTCTCCCTTCAGCTTTCCAATCTGCTCTGAATGAAGGACAAGACCAGTTTGCATAGGTGGGAGAATACTATTGAATATCCCTCTGCGTATTCTATTGCTGAATTAGCTGCTGGTTTTCTATTAGGTTTATCTGTTGTCTCTATTCAACTAATTTTTTCTTACATGCCTGCACTTTGAAGACTGTTCAGAAACTGCAGTTAGCAAACTAACTCCTGAATTTTGAACTACATGGGAATATGGATCATATCTCACCAATTTCTTCCCACAATTGCAGTGACTTACAGTCTATATATTTAAAACCCTTTTACTTGGCATTTTAATTACAGTACTGTTATACTAAACATATACTTTCCTCTACAAACAACTCTGTCCTACAGACCAAGCATCTGCAAAGATCATGACAGCAGGTAGAAGCCAGGCCCCTGTCAGAGCATGGACTTAAATTCCACAACTATGTTACTTAAATTAGCCTCGTGTGATCCATATACATTTCCACCTCATGTTAAATTCTTAATAGCACCTTCCCAATCTAACCAGGTCTGTCCATGCCTATCCCACATTTTCTATTAATTTTTTTTAATAGCCCTGGGTTGTATTCAAACCTGTGCAAGCAGAGTACAGTATTCTTCAAAACCTTTCATTAAGAAGCAACCAGCCTTGCCTAACAGAGGGCTCACAAAATATAGGATTTAAGTGTAGCAAAACAGATTTAACATATAACAACCAAAGTACCATAGGCTGCAATTTTATGCACTTACTTGAAAATAAGTTCTACATCAGTAGGACTTACTCAAAACTACAGGACAGGGCTATAGGAGTTTTCACCCTCTGCAGTTTCCCCCCAGAGCCATTATATATAGGATCCTGCCAGGTGTTTATAAACATAAAAGATTTCTCTCCTGCAATGGGAAATTGGATTTGATGACTTAACTTAGCTCTTGCTCTGCAATTCTATTGCCTTTACCATTGGCTTCTATATTATATACTGTAGGGATGGAATTAAATACCACATAATATACAAAGCCTAGTAGCAGGTTTTCACATCCTGGAGTAGCTAACTGCTACCTACTTTAAAATAATTATTATTCAACAAAGATATTTCAAAGAGTTATTTAGGTGTAAAACTGAAACACAAAACTATGACCTACAGTTCTTAAATAAGCAAAGCCTGCCCTTCACCCAAAGTCCCAGAGAGAGTTGTAACATTAAAACACAATATAAAAACAGTTTAAAACAACTTACAACCACAGAAATAAGATTAGTCTTCAAAATATACACCTCAAGTGCCAAAAGGGTAAAAGTGCACGTTCAGCATTCCCTGGGAGCTGCATAATGAAGATGGCAGACGCACCTCTGTGAGGAAGGAGTTGCATTTACAACCTATAACTGTGGCTGTTGTCACTGTTTTAAAATCCAGAAAGATCACTATGTTCGTTTGTGCCAGCAAAAACAAATTAAAATTAAAAACAAATACTCCACAACAAGTTAAATTAGGCCACAATTGGAAGTCAATTGACCTGGGACTAAATATCATCTTACTCAACAGGACTGACTTCTGAATAGTCATGGTGAGAATTATAGATAGCCTTTTGCGGGGGGGGGGGGCACAAGACTCTCTGCAACTCCCAGGGATCCTTCGCCCACTGCACACCCTTTTGACTCCAGCACCTACACTCATGAGCCTTTGGGTCAATGTGTGGCAAATGAAGAGAATCACCCTAAGATCTACAGATGAAGGGCGATATACAAACCTTAACAACAACAACAACAACAACAATAATAATAATAATAATTCTCCAAATGAATTCTGCTGCGGGTCACAGATTCATGTGAGATAATGTCCAAGTCTCTTCAGCACAACAGGACTGTTTACTGGTCTTACGCATACAGAGGGAAGTATGTCACAGGGGTGGCATTGCAGCCAATGAAGGGGATCCGAGGCGCGCTTGTTGCTCATGAGGGAGAGCACGAAACAGCACGAGATAATGCGCACACGCGTGTACACACGGATCCACACGCGCGCATCAGACCCACACGCCCCGCCCCGCGGTGGGCCGTTTGCGCCGCCCGAGGGCCACTTTCGCGGCCCCTGCTCCTCGCCAGGCGCCCTCGCCCCGCCCGGCCCTCGCCGCCTCCGGCGCCGCCCTCCCTTCTCCGCGGCGGCCTCCGTCTCTCGCCCTCTCGCCCGCTTCCTCACCTGGCGAGCGCCTCCCTCACGAAGGGATTCGCCCCTCACGGCGGCCGCCTCACAAAATGGCGGCCCCTCCGCAGCCCCTCCTTCCGGAGACACTGGCTGGCCGGACACGCTTCCCGCCCCGCGCGCATTGGACGCGCCGGCCCCGCAGCGACCGCCCGCTCTCCGGACGGGATTGGCGGAAGCCGGTGCCACTCAGAGCTCGCTTCAACCAGCGACCGGCCCGCGCCTCCCTGCCAGGCGAGCTCCGGCGCCGCTTTATCGGGCGTGGCCTCCCGCAAAGGATCATGGGGTGATCTTGTCCTTTTAAGCTGGGCTGCCGCGATTCGGAGCTCCGGGCGGGTTTTGGTTTTCCCCTAATGGTCTCGGCGCCCGCAATAAACTCCTTTCCCGGCGTCTTGGGAGAATCTTTGTTAAGCAGCGCCGCCGTTCATCCGCGCGCTCCTCAGCTGCTCGCTCCTTCTAAGGGAAGTGTCCTTTGCCGCCTGCTCCCTTGGGGTCCCTTGCGCCCCCTCGTTTCCCCGGCCGGCTGGCGGGCCTGGGAAACGGCTTCCGACCCCGCTGTGCAGCTGGGCCTTCCCCTCAGCTCGAAGGCGGCTCCCAGGGTAAGCTGGCCCGAGGCAGCCTGGCTCGCGGGGCTGCTGGCGGGACAGCCTGGGAGCCGAGGCAACAGAAGCCCGCGCGTCAAGATCCACGAGGAGCGGAGCACCGCGGCCTCGCCGGTGATTTCATAGGCTTGGTCCCGGACCTGCTGATCCGCAGCTGGAATTAAATTCCCATCCCTCCTTGCTGAAAACTCAGAAGCCGTCGTGCGGGCAGCTGTCTGGAATTTTCGCCAGGAGGCGCGTGGACTTTCAATATAGATAATAGATCCTCTCTCTCTAGCCAACATATATTCCAGATATCCAGGGGCAAGAGCAGTCCCTGCCCCCTCTCTGCCAAGCATTGGCCAGATCGCATGGGGTCACAGGCGCCCGCACAGGGTCGGTGTCCCTTTCGTTGGAAGAAACTTTCTCTGAACGACATTGTGGAGACTCTCGTGCTTTAAGAAATAGGGTTTATTTGTCTGTATGGAGGGCGTCCGGAGCATGGCAGGCAGTCCTTCCTTCACTCAAGAGCAGCTACCCTGGTCCCACCTGGGACCAGGAGTTGTGGACGAGCCTCGGTGGCTCTCTCGCAATGCTGACAGCTCTGCTCTTGCCTCCGCCAGCTAGACAGGTTTGCAAAAGGCAGCCCAGGAGTTCCCTTGCAGTTTATATTCTCTCTTCATATCGCAAACAACCCCAAATCCTAGCATTTATTACTTTTAGGGCTTAGGGGGACCCCTCCCCCCACAAGTTCTTTTACACCAGTTACAGTAGCCTCTTTATCCTTGAAGCAAGTCTGAGGGCTCAGCGGAACTCCTCGGGCTGCAGGAGAGACTCTCCATCCTAGGCGGGGTCGGGAGACCCCCCCAAGCCAAAGCCTTTCTTTTTTTCTGGCGGAAAACCCCCAGGAGAGTGACCCACGGCCCTTCCCACGCGCCTGCCTTCCTTCCCCGCCCCTTCCGCCCAGCGAGACTTCCGCTTCCGGCGGCGCTGTCGACCATGGCGGCCCTTCGGCGGCTGGCGGGCGTGCAGAGGTTGCTGGGGTTACCGGCCCGGGCGGCCCGCGCTGTCTCTTCCGGGGGACCGGCCAGCTCCTCGGCGACGGTGCAGGTGCCGCCCGCCTCGAGCCCCGCGCAGGTGGCGCCTCCGCGCAAGCACCACGACGACGACGACGAGGGGGTGTCCGTCTTCATGAAGGTGAGCGCGGGGGGGGGGCGAGACGCGCGAATCCTGCCCGTCAGTTCCCAGGGCCACGAGCCCCGGGGATCCTGGAAGAGTAGAAGGCACCCCGAGCTCTGCGGAGGGAGCTACCTGCCTAACCCAGAGGCTTCCTTGCAAGGGGCAAAAGAACATGGCTTTTTGAATGTCCCAGGCAAACGTCTTGTCACCGGGGGCGAACCACAGACACCCAGGGAAGAAGGAGCAAGCAGGGAATAAAGATCAGCATTGGGATCCGCTGCCCCTGGGGGTCATGCAGGGGGAGGCGGTTGCTAACCCTGGTCCCTGGGATGCTGTTCTTCGGTGTTTTCTGGGCAGTGTGGATGCTTCAGGGACCTGCACCTGTGCTGTGCTGCAGGATTCCAGTGCCCAGTAGCACCTTAGAGACCAACTAAGTTTGTTCTGGGTATAAGATTTTGTGTGCACACGAAAACTTATACCCAGAACAAACTTAGTTGGTCTCTAAGGTGCTACTGGACATTTATTTATTTTTTTATTTATTTCGACTGCATCAGACCAACACGGCTACCTACCTGAATCTAAGATTCCATTGCTTTCTTGCCTCTGCATGCAGGACGGTGCCACTGCCAGAGAGCAAGGGACAGATCAATGATACAGGGAGTTTCCTCTGTCTTTGAGAAGCATTAAGTGGTAGGTGCTTCCAGCAGTGGCATAGGAACACAGGAAGCTGCCTTATACTGAGATCAGATACATGGTTCCATCCAGGTAAGTATTGTCTGCACTGATTGGCAGTAGCTCTGTAGGATAGAGGAGTCTCTCCCAGCCCTACCTCGAAGTGTCAGGGATTGAGCATGACGGCTTCTCAGTGCAAAGCAGATTTTCTGCCATGTGGTTGTGGTTCACTTTCAGTGAATGCTTCAGACTCACTTGTGGGTATCACTGTTGTACTGGGTAGAGAGTTATTCAATGCACACTGAAGATAGCTTTGGGACTTTCTTAATTTTTGAAAACTGTCGCAGGTTCATGTTCTTGGTGATTACAGTAATTTTTGCCCAAATTAATCATTGATTTTACAACAGACTAAAACTAGAGTCACTTGAGCTCCATCTGTCACCGTGAAAGATTCATTATGTTTCTTAACTAATGCTATGTGAAAACTAGCCCAGGATAGCACTTCAATATGCAATGCTGCTTGCCATTGTATTGTGCACACTTGTATATATCTCAATAGTGTGCTAGATAGAGAGAAGTTTTTCTCCCTCTCATAACACTGAAACCTAGGATTACCTAAAGAAGCTGAATGGGGGATGTCACTCCTGTGAGGCTCTTCCATATGTCCTCCTCTGTCCCTCCACTTTGCTGGAACACTTGTGTGGTACCAGATACTTATTTAGAATATATACGATTCTAAGAATCTCTAAAACAATAGTAACAACATTAACAAAATAGCTTAGAATCATAGAATCATAGAGTTGGAAGAGACCACAAGGGCCATCGAGTCCAACCCCCTGCCAAGCAGGAAACACCATCAGAGCACTCCTGACATATGGTTGTCAAGCCTCTGCTTAAAGACCTCCAAAGAAGGAGACTCCACCACACTCCTTGGCAGCAAATTCCACTGTCGAACAGCTCTTACTGTCAGGAAGTTCTTCCTAATGTTTAGGTGGAATCTTCTTTCTTGTAGTTTGGATCCATTGCTCCGTGTCCGCTTCTCTGGAGCAGCAGAAAACAACCTTTCTCCCTACTCTATGTGACATCCTTTTATATATTTGAACATGGCTATCATATCACCCCTTAACCTCCTCTTCTCCAGGCTAAACATGCCCAGCTCCCTTAGCCGTTCCTCATAAGGCATCGTTTCCAGGCCTTTGACCATTTTGGTTGCCCTCCTCTGGACACCTTCCAGTTTGTCAGTGTCCTTCTTGAACTGTGGTGCCCAGAACTGTACACAGTACTCCAGGTGAGGTCTGACCAGAGCAGAATACAGTGGCACTATTACTTCCCTTGATCTAGATGCTATACTCCTATTGATGCAGCCCAGAATTGCATTGGCTTTTTAGCTGCCGCATCACACTGTTGGCTCATGTCAAGTTTGTGGTCAACCAAGACTCCTAGATCCTTTTCACATGTACTGCTCTCAAGCCAGGTGTCACCCATCTTGTATTTGTGCCTCTCATTTTTTTTGCCCAAGTGCAATACTTCACATTTCTCCCTGTTAAAATTCATCTTGTTTGTTTTGGCCCAGTTCTCTAATGTGTCAAGGTCGTTTTGAAGTGTGATCCTGTCCTCTGAGGTGTTAGCCACCCCTCCCAGTTTGGTGTCATCTGCAAATTTGATCAGGATGCCCTTGAGTCCATCATCCAAGTCGTTGATAAAGATGTTGAATAAAACCGGGCCCAAGACAGAACCCTGTGGCAGCCCACTAGTCACTCTTCTCCAGGATGAAGAGGAACCATTGATGAGCACCCTTTGGGTTCGGTCAGTCAGCCAGTTACAAATCCACTGAGTGGTAGCATAGTCAAGACCGCATTTTACCAGCTTCTTTACAAGAATATCATGGGGCACCTTGTCAAATGCCTTCCTGAAATCAAGGTAGGCTACATCCACTGCGTTCCCTTCATCTACCAGGCTTGTAATTCTGTCAAAAAATGAGATAAGGTTAGTCTGACATGACTTATTTTTCAGAAATCCATGCTGACTATTGGTGATCACAGCATTCCTTTCTAGGTGCTCACAGACTGTTTGCTTAATGATCTGCTCCAGAATCTTCCCTGGTATTGATGTCAGACTGACTGGGCGGTAATTATTAGGGTCCTCTCTTTTCCCCTTTTTGAAAATAGGGACAACGTTTGCCCTCCTCCAGTCTGCCGGGACTTCGCCTGTTCTCCAGGAATTCTCAAAGATGACTGCCAGTGGTTCTGAGATCACATCTGCCAGTTCTTTTAATACTCTTGGATGCAGTTCATCTGGCCCTGGAGACTTGAATACATCTAAACTAGCCAAGTATTCTTGTACTATCTCCTTAGTTATTCTGGGCTGTGTTTCCTCTGCTGAATCCTTTGCTCCAAATTCTTCAGGTTGGGCATTGTTTTCTTTATCGGAGAAGACTGAGGCAAAGAAGGCATTGAGGAGTTCAGCCCTTTCTGTGTCCCCTGTTTGCATTTCACCATCTTCTCCTCTGAGTGACCCCACTGTTTCTTTGTTCTTCCTTTTGCAACTGAACAAACCCATAAAAGCCTTTTTTGTTGCTTTTAACCTCTCTAGCAAGCCTGAGTTCATTCTGTGCTTTAGCTTTTCTGACTTTGTGTCTACACGTGCTGGCTCGTTGTTTGAATTCCTCTTTGGTGGTTTGCCCCCTTTTCCATTTTTGTACACATCCTTTTTAATCTTAACTCAGTTAAAAGTTCTTTAGATAGCCACCCTGGCTTCTTTAGGCACCTTCCATGTTTCCGTCTCATTGGTATTGCCTGAAGTTGTGCTTTTACTATCTCCCTCTTAACAAACTCCCAGCCATCATGAACTCCCTTTCCTTTTAGTATTACTGTCCATGGGATCTCACCCAGCACTTCCCTAAGTTTTATGAAGTCGGCTTTCTTAAAGTCAAGAAATTGAGTCCTAGTATGCTTGGCTGCTCCTTTCCGCTGTATAGTAAACTTCAGAAGAGCATGATCACTCGCGCCTAATGATCCTTCCACTTCTACCCCACTAACCAGGTCATCAACATTGGTTAGGACCAGATCTAAAATGGCTGTTCCTCTTGTTGCTTCTCCCACTTTCTGGACAATGAAGTTGTCTGCAAGGCCAGTGAGGAATCTGTTTGACCTTATGCCCTTGGCTGAGTTTGACATCCAACAAATATCCGGGTAATTGAAGTCCCCCATTACTACTATCTCACTTCCTGTTGCATGCTTGGCCATCTGTTCCAGGAAGGCATCATCTATGTACTCCGTTTGGCTTTGGGATCTATAGTAAACGCCCACAATGAGGTCACTGTTATTCTTCTCTCCCTTAATTTTGACCCAAATGCTCTCACTTTGGCTTTGAGGTTCTAAATCTTGGATCTCTTCACAGGTATACACATCCCTGACATATAACGCCACTCCTCCTCCTTTCTTGTCTGGTCTGTTTCTCTGAAATAGATTGCATCCCTCCATTATTACATTCCAATCGTGGGACTTATCCCACCAGGTTTCAGTGATGCCTATTATGTCATATTTAGTTTGCTGTACCAAGACCTCAAGCTCATCTTCTTTATTTCCCATGCTTTGTGCATTAGTGTACAGACATTGAAGTCCATTAATCATTCCCCCGTGTCTCTTATTTAAGGATTTTTTCCTCCCACCACTAGGTCTGCGTGCTGTTTGCTCCATTTGGTCTATGACATTTGGATGATCATCTTCATCAATTGATAGACTCCTACCTTCAGGAGCACTGTCTCCCTCCCCACATTAGTCAGTTTAAAGCCCTCCTGATGAGGTTTCTGAGATTTTTGGCAAAAACATTCCTCCCAACCGTTGTGAGGTGCAGCCCATCGCTTGCCAGAAGTCCATCTTCAAGAAACTGCAATCCGTGATCTAAGAATCCAAACCGTTCCTGTTTACACCATTTGCGAAGCCAGCTGTTCACTTCCACTATTTTTCCCTCTTTCCCTGGGCCACGTCGTTCAACTGGGAGGGCAAATGAGATGACAATTTGTGCATTTAATTGCTTCAATTTCCTGCCCAGAGCCTCGTAGTCTCTTTTGATCTTCTGGAGGCTATTGCTTGCAGTGTCATTGGTTCCCACATGAACCAAGAGGAAGGGGTATTTGTCAGTGGGTTTTATGATTCCTTGCAGTCGTTCAGTTACATCTTGGATCTTAGCCCCAGGGAGACAGCACACTTCCCGAGACATCTTGTCAGGCCCACAGATCACTGCTTCTGTTCCCCTCAGTAGGGAATCCCCTATCACCACTACACGCCTCCTCTTAGGTTTGGTTGGGGTTCTTCCGTGAGCTGTCCGTTCCAAGGTCGCCTGCACATTCCCTGAGGACTGACTTTGCTGCTCGTCTTCATATACCTTATCGACTGTAATGAGGGAGAGATCCTCAAATGGAGTCTGCTCTTCGTCTTCCATGCTAGGGGAGAGGACCTCAAAGCGATTGTGTATTTCTAAACAATCAGAGGGAACCCTGGGCCTCCTACTTCTTTGAGTAACGTTTCTCCATATATCTGGCTCCTGTGTTGGTGAACTAGCCTCCTTCTCAGGGGATTCCCCTGTTTCCTCCTTGGTGGAGACGGTGTGCTCTGTTGCTTCCAAGAAGAGCTCCAGCTCTCTAATTCTTTGGAGCATAGCTACAAGTTCCTCCAGTTGCTGGACTTTGTCTTTTAAGAGGGAAATCAACATGCAATTGCTGCAGGTAAAGCTGCCTGCAACCTTTCGCAAGATGGCAAACATTGCGCAGGAACCGCAGGCGACTGCAGCTGTTCCCTCCCCCTCCATCTTGAGAATGTGTCGTTGGGGGTGGCTACAGCGGTCCTCCATCATAAAAAGCGTGAAGACAGGACAAATAACTCCCCCCCAACCTCTTCCTTTCTTCCATGTGGCAAAGCATTCGAGAAAACAGGACTGAGGACCAGGTCCCGACAGCACACAGGCAGCTTTCCACTTACAGTTGTCTCCTTCGAAGTCTTATTTTGAGGCCTTATTTTGCCATGCATATTTCTAAAGCTGAGGCTCTGAAGCACAATACAGAGTTCTTAGTTCTTCAGCATCCGCAGTGCGTTATTGCAGGCATGTCCAACTTCAAGTAGGCTGTGATCTACTATCTACTATTAAAAACTGGCAGTGATCTACCACACTCCCATTGTCATTCTTCAGCTTCTTTGCTTTAGGGGCAAGGGGTAAAGCGTTGTTGGTGGCCAGGAAAAACCCCTTTCTTTCCTTAGCATGGATTTGTGGTCGATTCCATCGCCTTCTTCCACGTATCGCCAAGGCGGCAGCTACAGGCAGCTCTGTATGGAGGAGGGAGGAAAGGCATACTCCTTTTATCCAGCCTCATCCCGAATATGGAATATCGGCACCCCCGGGATCCACTTTCCTTTTTCCCCGAGGGGGACCGCTGCACCCTCAACCCGCCACACGAGCGCAGCCCTGCATCACTCAGTGAAGGCAGCCCAGCCGAGGGCAGCTTCATTAGCAGAGTGAAGTGAGAGAGGCGTGTGCTCTGGAGCTCACGGGATGGTGAAAGCGAAGGTGTAGCTTGCTCCCTCCCACAGCTGAGCCCTGAACAAAGGCTGCCTAGCCATAGTGTGATCAACCAAAATCCATCCTGCGCGATCAACTCGTTGGACATGTCTGCATAGTGGCTTGTGCAATGCACCATCTTGCCACTAGGTGGTGCTGTGAATCCACATGCCATAGCTAGGCTAGGCATTCTCTTTCATAGATGAGCATGTATTGCTTGTTCTCTTTCCTCTGTAGCTGTGGTGCCTCAGGGAAATGTTAAATATCAGGGCCAGAGAGCTAGTGTTATTCACATTTCCCGTGAGCTTTATTGCAATGTTCAGTTCAGTGCTGTTTCATTGTCTGGGGAAGTGAGGTCAAGGCTAAGAGGAAAATCTATTGCCTGCTTTGTCTGAAGTAGGTTTGCAGCCATTTGTGCTGCATGGGTGGGAACCCAGGTGCTGGGCAGGGGTTGGTCCTCAGGGCTGCGCTGGCATCACCTATGGGAACACTTTCTCCTCCCTTGCTGCCACTTCTGCATTAGCTACACACCTGTAGTATCCTCTCTCATTTTTTACTGAACTTCAGTTACTCCTGGTTTTCACTGGCTTGCCACAAGTAGGTATGTGATGTTGAGTGTTGTGGCTCTTCTTTCCTTGGGTTACAGCAGTCTTCTCCAGCCTGATGCTCTCCAGAGACCATTACTCCCATCATCCCTCGCCATGCTGGCTAAGGCTGATGAGTCTCACGACACCTGAAGGGCACCAGGTTGGGGGAGATTGGATTAAAAGTATGCAGAGATTGATGCATGTGACAAGGGCAATCTATCCATTGTCTTCTGTCTCAGGAGGAGACATGATTCTGCTCAATTTCTGGCAAAGTAATGTTGAAAAGGGAACACATTTTTGTCTTGAGTGAAGTCTTGTGAACCATTGGAATTAACTCTGGCCAGTCAAGCAAAGGCCCATTAAATCCCTCCTTCATTAGACCTTGGTATCAGGACTCTATCAGAAGTTGCTCCCAGTGAAACCCAAGATCCAGGCAAATGGGGAGTGACCCAGCTCAGGTGAATGAGGAGCCTTGTGAAAGCCTCTGCTACTCTTGACATGGGAGGGTGGAAGCTTTGAAGAGCCTTTGACCTGCCTCCATGAGTGAACAGCTAAGATGTGCATTAGGGAAAAGGCTGTGTGTAAACCTCCATTGTTGTTCTCACTGCATGCAGCAGGTTGGAAGTCTGACTTTGTGCTTGTGTCCTGGCTTTATGTGGGGAGAAGCAGCTGTGATGCATAATCAGAAGGGCCCTAGGAATGTGGGTCTCTACTGCAAGCCAAACGGAAAGTCCTTAGGCCACCAGTTGTTATCTTTCCCTGTCTTGAATCCTTTGTTGGAACTTGCACCAGCAAAGGACCCATCAAATAGGAGGGGCACTTCAGTAGATTTGAGTGCTGGCCATACAAAAAAATGGTGTGAAGCAGCATTCTTTGGGCAGTAGGTGCTGGTGGGGCAGGGGGAGGCATTTTCCCCCTTCTAACCTTTTATCTGTCTTTGGCATTTAATAAAAAACCAAGCTCCAATCCCATGAGGTTGAGAAGAGAGTATGTGTGTTGGGAGGGTTCTTTTGACATTATGTTTTCTCTGTCAACGTTTATGATGAGAATTGTGTATTGAAGCAGTAAGCCTGTGCCAAAGTGTGAACATAGGCATAGGCTGGTGCAGTCTCTTCCAGAATTGGGCACAGCGGTTTCTTTTTTCTTAACCTGTTATTAGCTATTTAGCATCCATCAGCAGAGGAAGTGTACCATTGCAGGGTGGTGGCCTGATAGATGAACAGATCTGGACAAAGCAGCATGGAAAGCACAGAGGCTGCATGGATTTGCAACGTGTATTATTGTCTGTGTGTAGAGGGGCTGCCACTTTGATTTGTATCCTGGGCAATTTAGGAAGAAGTTTCATCAGAAAATTCACCAAGTAATCCTCCTATCTACCTTACCATTTTTCCATTATGCTAGACAGGTCTCCCCCTCCCCCCAGTTTCCTGTCTGTCTCTTTACATTAATCATCAGTATTTAAACAAAGCCTCAATTTAGTACTTCAAGTGCCATTGTAGTGATGTATCTGAAGCTGGTGTTCAGTCAGTGTGCACACTGCTCTGGAAGGTTGGGAGACCCTCTGGAGATGATATTTTTTGGAGGGAGTGGAACTCTAGGAGGAAAAAAGGGCACATCCCATTTCACAAGTGGAAATCAGAGGGCACCACTGGATGCCATGAAGGTAATTGCAGATCTTTAAAAATCACCAGGGATATAAACAGAGGAGAAGATTTGTAAGACACTGGTTTGCATTCAGCGCAGCACTGTGGCTAAACTTCCATCAGTTCAAAGATTTCTCTTGCACAACAGGACCTTCTCCCACTCTCTTCCCCCATGCCCCCTTAAATCTGTTCTGGGCTCCCCCCAATTTGTCAGCTTGGGGTACACGTGGAAGGGGAGTTTCTTTGTGCTAGCAGAATTATTTGCACTGGCTTTAGTTAAATATGGCTCATGAGTTTTTTGGAGTTTCCATAGGTTACACTTGAATTGGGTGTTGAATTGTACAAGAAAAGCTATAAAGAAGCCCATGCCGAGTTTTATGAGCTTCCAGCCTCCCATGTTAAGAAGTGAGGTGTTGTGTTTTGCACCAACTACATTCTGTACAGCCATCAAGACCTGCTCTGTACACCGCACTGTACAGTTCCACAGAGGCTTATAAAAATAAAGGAAGTAGAAGGGCTGGGATAAGTTTAAGGGTACAAATTAGTGGTCAGCTAAAGCAAGAGAGAACTTGGATGGTTGGAAGGATGCCAAGATTGCCTTATGGTTTCATGGAGGAGAGGATAGTAAATTGCAGGGAGAGGATTTGCATTTGGGCTTCAAATCCTTGACTTCCCCACCCCCTCCCCTTTCTATGTTATTTAATAGCAAGGTCTCCATGATTAATAGAGCTGAACAGTCTTCTTATTGTGTCTGATGTGACACCTGTGAGCACACTTTCTCTCCTTCATCCTTTAAATCTGGGCCCAGCAGCAGCTGCATCTGGCACCACTCTTCCACATTTTTGTTTTTAGAGCTCATTGGCTAATCCCTGCCTGGAACTATGTGGGCCAGAAGGAGCATGGTGCAGCAGTACAGATGCATGCTATGCCAAAGGGACCAGGGAACTGTTTGCCCCTGTCTCTTCCCTTGGGACTAGGGCCAGATTTATTAGACAGGAGAGCTGTTTGCATTATGAGGCGCCACCGGGACTGCTGTGTCTGGTGTAATACGGAGAGCTGTTTTGTCCACTGCTGAGGCCTTTCACATCTTTTTCCCTCCTTCCTAGGAACTCTAGCTCCAAGGCTGTGCCCCAGATGAGAAGAATCCTAGCTGCAGAGCAGCTGGGGCTTTGCAGGGTGTGATGACAGCCTCAGTTCTGGCTTTGGCAGAGCTGTATGTTCTCTGATGGGTTGGGCTCTGAGCCAACGCATCTGTTGGAAGGACAGATGGGATATCTGGTCCTAGAAGACACTGAGCAGCTGGCTGCTAGGTGTACCTTCTGCAGGGGCATCCTTCGTGGGTCACCTGCCTGCTGCACCTTTGCTCTGTTCTATCTCCTCCCTAATATTCTGTCCTCCCTAATATCCTGTTGCCTACATTCAGAGTGTCTTTGGTTCTTTAGACCTATCCTGGCTCTGTTTCTTTCCTGCCAAAGAAAAGGAGAGAGCAGGATCAGGATCAGCCCAATACATTTTTTCTATCTAGATCAGGGGTCCCCAAACTAAGGCCCATGGGACTCATTTATCCGGCACCCTGAGACCCCTGCCGCCCGCTGTCACCGCCCGCTCTTACCGGCACTGCACTGCTGCCCACTTCTGGGTTGGAGGAGCAACGGAAACAGCTTGTGCGCATGTGCAAGCGTTATTTGCGGTGCACATCTGGGTTGGAGGAGGCCCGTGCACATGCACACAAGCTATTTCTGGTGCTCCTCCGACCCGGAAGTGCGCCAGAAATAGTGTGTGCGCATGTGTATGGGCACACACTCCCCCGCCCTCTGGCCCACCACGTGATTGTCGCTGGAGACACTGGCCCAAGGCGTGGTAACTTTGCTGACCCCTGATCTAGATTGCAAAATTCAGATGGCGCCACCTTCCCACTAATTAGCTACAAAGTTACTGTACTGTCAACCTTACTGTATGCTTGTGAAACATGGACCACTTATAAACACCATCTCCAACCCTTGAAAGATTCCATCAATTCACATCACTTGGGAAGACAGGCAAACTAATGCCAGTGTACTGGAAGAAGCAAAGATCACCAGTGTCAAAGCAATGATTCTTCAACAGCAACTTGGTTGGTCTGGTCATGTTGTTCGGATACCTGATTCTCATCTTCCAAAGGAGCTACTCTATTCCAAGCTTAAAAATGGAAAGGGGTTCAAAGACTGTCTCAAGGCAAATGTTTCAAAAATGTAGTATAAACACCTACAGCTGGGAAACACTGTCCTGCAAGCACTCCAGTTGGAGAACAGCCTTTACCAAAGGTGTCTTAGGTTTTGAAGACACTCAAACTCAGGACGAAAGGGAGAAACATGCAAAGAGAGAAGCACGTTTGGCAAACCCTCACCATGATCAACTCCCGCCCGGAAACTTATGTCCACACTGTGGAAGTACGTGTGGATCCGGAATTGGCCTCTACAGTCACTTACAGACTCACTGTTAAAACTGTGTATATGGAAGACAATCTTACTCTGTTACAAGTGATCGCCAAAGAAGAAGAATTAGCATGGGCCACCCCATGCTCTTTCTCAATCCTCAGTCGTTTCTGTGGTGCTTGTACAGGACTACTGCACAATTGATGGTACTTTGGGGTCAATCTTATGCCCTGAGACCTGTGGGTATAGGGATGTATACAAATTTTAATAATAAGAATGGGAGGTATACAAATTTTAACAACAACAATAAATTGTGTGCCTCCACTCATCCGTCTTTGACATCCCAAATCCGTCACCCTGAGGTGGTCACCACCCTGCGGCGGGATAGGCAGATGGACAAAATAGGCGGATATAGCAAAGAGGAAAGCAGTAGACAGGCAACAAGGGTCAAGGGAAAGCAACATAGCCACACCTTAAAAGAGGAGCTTAGCACAATGTCTGACTGCCATCCTGTGTTCCCATCATCCTGTGTGTGCCAGGGAGCCATGGCCAATCAAATAATGCAGAACCCTCTGTTTTTTGTGTGGAAACTGTCAGTGGTAGGTGACTCTTAACCTGTACAATGGGTTACATTGCACCCATACAAAACCAAAGGGTTCTGCATTCTCTGTTCTCCATTCAGGGAAGTAAGAGACATTATCCCAGTACAAGAACTCCTTGCAGTCAGGCAGGAGCACTCAAAGTGGGGGAAGAGCACTTCCGGGGTGAAATGTAGTCTAGGGAGAGGCACAAGAGCTGTAGAGGTGCCTGGAAGCGGCTGCATTTGGCTGTCTGGGCTTGAGGTTCCCCTGTCCCGATTGTGGTGTATTCATCTTTGTCTTCACACCTCTTCCACCACTCTCAAGATCTTAAGCTGGCTGTACAGGCTTCACTTTTATTTTTGCATGTTTTGTATCCTGGTTTCAGAGGAACTACAACAACAGAGTCTTGCTTTAGCATGTACAGTGGTACCTCAGGTTACATACGCTTCAACTTACAGACTCCACTAACCCAGAAATAGTGCTTCAGGATAAGAACTTTGCTTCAGGATGAGAACAGAAATCGTGCTCTGGTGGCGCGGCGGCAGCAGGAGGCCCCATTAGCTAAAGTGGTGCTTCAGGTTAAGAACAGTTTCAGGTTAAGAACGGACCTCCGGAACGAATTAAGTACTTAACCCGAGGTACCACTGTGTTTAACCCTCTTGTTACACAATTACAGAACCTTGCCTCTTGGCCCATCTAGCTCAGGGTTGTCTATACCAAGGATAGAGAACTTGTGCTACTGCAGAAGGTATTGGGCTCCAACTCCCTCCCCTCCTACCCAACCAGCAGAGCCAGTGGTCAGATATGGTGGGGGTTGTGGTCCAGCAGCAACAGCTAGAGGGTACCGGGTTCCCCAGTCCTTGTCAGCACTGACTGGTAATGGCTCTTTGGGATTTCACAGCAATCTTTCTGAGGCAGCCCTGCTTGGAGATGCCAGGAATTGAACTTGAGAGAAGGCTCTCCTCCACTGAACCATGGTTTTTCCTGGTACATGGGAAGTCAGAAAAGGCAAGTCTTGCCCTGCAGAGATTATGGTCTAAATATCAAGGGCTGGGGAAATAACAAAAGGGAGGCTTGGGAGAACTGAAAGAAGGAAAATTACGAGGGATCACAATCTCTTCTCTCCGACCCTGGGTCAGGCTGGGACATGAGCACAGCCCTGCCAGAAACATCCAGCCGCTACCACCACTGATCTAAGTGTGGGCTGCAGGCATGTGTAGCCGTTGACCTTCCGGTACTTTGCCATAGGAAGAGGGAGCTCTCTAGGCTTGTGTCATCAGGAAGGCTCAGTAGGTAAGGAGTCCGGGGCCTCTCATGCTCCTGCTACCTCCCGGCCCTGCCTTCATCTCACTTTCAGAGCTTCCTTTGGTTAGATTGCATCTCCACAGACCTGTTGGCTGATTGTTGTTTAGTCCACACCAGTTTGCAAATCCACTGGACTGAGGTGGGGGGGGGCGGAGGGACCCTCACATTCTCCTAATTTAAGTGTAATGCGTGCATTGAGCAGTGACAGTTAACTTATCTCCGAGTGCCTTTACCCTAAATAGCAGTAGTGCTGGGACCACAGTCCACTTCCATTCTCAATACGTGAATGATGAAGAAGCCCCTTCTGTAGAGAAATGAGATTTTCCCAGTCTAGCAGCACTGCTGCCATAAATCTCCTGCCGGGTTCACTTTAGCAGCCGCTCTCTCTGTATACCCCTGAAATGACATTAACCAGGAGCTGGAACAGACTCATACTGTCTGCACTGGATGGAAATGTGATGAAACGCTTGAGCATCTTGGGAGCAGTTTTGAACCTGGCTCCATAATTAGCGCCCAACACGGGGGGGGGGGGGGCGGGGCGACGGGGGGGGGGCTGCCTGCATATGAGCAGGAGGCATTGATTGCTGCATCTGTAGACAGGAGTTGGGTTTTGTAGCTCCAGGCGATGGTTTACACAGGCTCTTCGAGTGTCAGCACTGATGCTGTATGGAGAAGGCAGCAACTGTGGAGCCCTGGGGGTAGCCATTTATTAGACCCAGGGGAAATTAACAGGAGTGACTGCTGTATTTCTGATGGGTTGGGAGGGGCCAGGATGGAAGGAGAGAATAAATTTCTACTTGAGGAATTTTTTACCAAGGAGAGAGGGGTTCCACCTCCCTGCCCACCAGGGGGCTGGTCTTCAGGGGTAGAAAAGCACCAACTGCCTGCTGAGATCTCTGGAGGGAGATCTCTGGAGGGAGATCTCTCTACGTGGCACCTTGCTTCGCTTCCTGTCTCAGCATCTTTTGTTTCCAAAAAGCTCTCTGGCACAGGACATGTAGAAATCATTCGCTTGTGGAATGCAAGGAGCTGAAGTCACTCTCCAGCCTTCTCTGCTGTGGCTTTTGGTGGGTGGTTCTTGGCTGGGCTTGCTAGGAGGCCAACTTTGAGGTTGAGAGGGGAGAGCGATTACAGGGCTGTGTGCTTGAGTGCTTTCTTTGACTCGGCAGAGGGCTGTGGAGAAATGGAGCCATACTCTGGGAGCAGCCCTATGTCTTCAGTGACTTCTCTTCAGCACCGATCCATCCTCTGCCAGAGTGTCAGCCCACAAAGGGCAGTGTATTATGCCACAATCCCTGCAACCATGTGTGGCAAGTGGGAGCAAGGCCAGAGAAAAGAGAAGTTCCATAGTGTAGCACAGTTGCAGCTGACAGTATCATGTTCCATGCAGTTCTGACAGTGTTGTGAGACAGGACAGAGACTCCCCCAAAGACCTTAGCAGTCAGCCAGCATCATGCTGGAGAAAGCAGTAGTCCTTAAGCACCATTCCTCAAAACTATTTAGAGCGTTCAGTGATAGCCAGCCTTTTGAACTGAGATGGAAAGAATATAGTGGTCAAGTGAATGTCACATAACATGGCATTTTATGCTTTGGAAAAGGAGAAAAGGCTTCCATCAGTACAGTGGTACCTCGCAAGACGAATAACGCGCAAGACGAAAGAGTTTTTCGTTTTTTGAGTTGCTTCGCAAGACGAATTTCCCTATGGGCTTGCTTCGCAAGATGAAAAACGAAAACGTCTTGCAAGTTTGTTTCCTTTTTCTTAAAACCGTTAATACCCTATGGGAAACTGTGCTTCGCAAGACGAAAAAATCGCAAGAGGAAAAAACCCGCAGAACGAATTAATTTCGTCTTGCGAGGCACCACTGTACTTTGGCTGCAGCATTCTGCAGCACCTGCAGTTTCCAAACACCTTCCAAAGGCTGCGTCATGTAGAATGCGCTGGGAGTAGTTTAACCTGGATGTGATGATGGCATGGTATCTGTAAATTAAGCAGATATGGGATAACCTTCTAACCTGTGTCTTATACAGAGCTTGTCTTCCCTGGGTTTGCCCTTCCCAAGCTATAGTATATGGGTAGGGGTGGACTAGCTTCAGTGTTTGAAATTAGCTGCACGCCAGTCACATTTTGTGACTGGTAACCAACCATTTGCAACTGGATGGAGATGTCTGGGTGCCACCCTTGGTGCCTCGCATCTCCACTTGCCTGGCTGTAGTCAGCTGGTCTTCCGGGCACAGTGGCAGCAACCCCTGATTCACCCAGCAGCAAAAGATATAAGATTAGAGAGAGAGAGGGAGAGAATTTTTTGCTGCCAGGTGAATCAGGTGTTTGGCGGGATAGCGCTGTAGGAAAAGACACACATTTTGCTGCCTTCCTACCTGCAGACTACCTGATTCGCCCGGCAGCAGGTTTTCCCCCCATGGGGTTGCCTAGTCTGGCAGTGGGGGTACCAAAAAAAGAGAGAAAGACATTTTGTTTTGGCACCCACAACCTGCATCCCAGGAGCCACATGACTCCTAGCATTTCTATCCCAGTTTCTAACACTAGTTTTTTCAGTTTGGGTAGAAAAGGAATTTTTTTACATCAGTGATTGATCAGTTAAACTTTAATATGTTTCCAGAACCCTAGTAATTATTAATCATTTATAAAGAGACACTTCCCCCCCCCCCCAAAAAAAAAATAATTGTTGGGCACTGTAGAGATGTTTGAAAATTGTGAATTGTCTCTGCCCACAGGCTCACAATTCAAAAGTAACTGGAAGCAAAGAAAGGAAATGCAGGTGCCGGTTCTCAAAAGTTATGCAATTGTTTTTCTAGAGATCCATTGGAATGGCAGCTGAGGAAGCAGCTTGTAGTGGAGGAATAGGAAGCAAATGGCCGTTGATTCCAGCCAGGCCAACGGTGGAATCCTTTGTGTGTCTCTTCTCCTTCTGTTGCAGCCTGGTGGAGATGGATTTAGTTGGGACAGTGTGGTGAGATCAATGAAGAAAGTGGAAGCTAACATACAAGTTCCTAGCCAAAAGGTGCTCTTGGTTAGAAGGAAGGACCATCGCCACTGTTTCCTCTCTTCATTTATTCCCCTATGATACACTGGAACCAAGATTGCTTCAGAAGCAAACTGGTGTGCTCTCCTTATTTCACAAACTTGCAAGTTAAAATTGCCCCCTTGCAAATTAATCAGCTAAAGGTTTGGGTTGATTAATTTAAACAGATCTGAGCTAGTAGCCTTAGTCATTCAGGCAAGCCAAAGGCAATATGTCCTAATTCTGATGCATGATTAGTGGCCTTTACTCCAGCCTTTCTTGGGAAATATTTGAGGAAACAGATTTCATGACTTTCTGTGCCACCTGCTCCTTTGAGGAATCATCTGAAATGCAGTCATGCTAGGGAAGCAAGGCTGAATAGGATGGTATCCTTGATGCACTGAAAATTCCCCTTAAGGACCTCTATCAATACTAATAAATACACTGAGTCTTGCTGTTCTGAGCAGTTTGTGTCTAAACAATAGCTCGGCATTGCACATTGTAGCAGGAAACCTGATTCTGGCTTGATCTCTTTTCCTCCTGCCATCTCTAGCTGCTACAATTTGTTTTCCTCTATCAGGAAAAGCTGGCTTCCTGGTTCCAGTCTCTGCGCCTTTTCACTTTTCTCTCTTGGGGCAGTTTCATGCTTGGGACTCTCTTAAAAAATGAGACTCTAGTTAGACATCATGTTACACATGAACCATAGTGGATGAAGAAGATGGAATTCTGGGGATATCAGATTTCAAAGTACATAAAGGGGCATTTAGAATTAAGACATATTTTTCAGGGGCTAAAAGTAAAGCTGTGTCAGGCGTGGGGCCGGTGGGTTGTGTTGCACATTGGATGTGGGGGTGGATTAATTTTTTAAAGGAATTTCAAACAGCATATCTATATCATGCAGAATAGTAGAACTTGAGCTTCCTTGAGCTAGGCAGATACAGGGTGCTGCTGTGGGGGGGGGCGGCTTTGGTGTTCTTGGGAGCAATACATTTTTCAGCAAGTGGCTGATTGGAAGTGATTTCTGCAGCCATGCTAGTCTGAGGTCCTCTGGGGGGCATCTGGTTTTCTATCTGCAGAGAGGAATGGGATGGGGTGAAGAAGTGTCTCTCCCACAAGGCACCTGACGACCTGCAGAATACAAGGCCGAGTTCAGTAGCAGCATGGCTCCCTGGGAACCTTGGTAGGACTTACCGATTGAGCATGTAAAAAGAATTGCTGACTCAACTATGGCTGCATGTGTGTGCTCTTGTTTCTCAGTAAATGGCAGGCAGAGTTGTCAGGTGCGATCATGGTTGAATTCCAAGAAACTTCTTCCGGGTTGGCGCCATCGACTTCCGGGTTGGCGCCATCGTTAATGGCGGATTCCCTCTGAGTCTCTGAGGGACCAGCTCCGCGGGATCGGGTCTGACCGCTGCGGCGAAGCGGGGGCCCTTTAAAAATCACAGGCGGGTGAAGCCTGTGAACGTGGGGACTCGGCGGGCACCTTTTGCGCCCCCCCCAAATTGCGAAGGGACCCTTTTAAGGGCTCCGGAGCGAGACGGGTGAGCGGCGCAGTGCTGAGAGTAGACTGCTTCTTCTGCGGAGTGAAGCCGCATAGCCGTTATCGGAGAGCACTGACTTTTTCCTGGGACAATTTGACTTTGAAAGCAACTACCCGTGAGTAGGATTAAATTGGATCTAAAGGGGGGGAAATAAGTTAATTCGGCACCGAAGCGGGAAGGTATAAACAGGAAGTCTGCCTTCCTTTCTTGTAAATAGATCAAAGCAAAGAGACTAAGCGGAAACTCTGAAAGACGTTTGAAAAAAGACTTAAATCTCTACATCAGGAAAGCGATCTCCCCTCCGGATTGCAGGAGAGGAGGGGGGAAAGGTTTGAACTGTATTTATCTGCAAAAAAAGGGGGGAAAGGAAGCTAAAATCCAACGCCTAAAACCTGGGAACGGACTGCCCCGAGATAAGGAATGCCGCTCTGTGGAAAGCCTATCGGTAAGCAGAGGACTTTTGACAGCTAACTCTGCAAAAGAGATACAGTGTTTCTGAACGTCTTCTGGTTTTAAAGTAACTGATTAAGTGCAACTGAAACTGTTGTTTTTATATGAATTGGGGGACTTATAAGGACTATTTTCTTTTTTAAAGTTGCAAGCTTTGGCTGTTACTGTGTCCCCCTAGAGGAGGCTTGACATTGCTACAATAACAACTGGGCTAGAGGAATTTTCCATTCCAAAACAAATTTCAGCTGTGGGATCAACCTTGGATTCTCATGAGAGTGTTATGGCAGATGGAAGAGGAAAGTTAGAGTTGACGCAGGAAAAAACTACCAGGTCTGGCAGACCCTATCGGACAGATACTGCGTTGCAGCGAAGGGCTTCAACATCTGGTCCTTCTGGACCACTTGGAATACCAGGGGCTGCACCTCCACAGGTTAAACCAAAAGTTATGTCGTCCGAAGACGTTTTGGCACAGGCACTTGGAAAAATTAATGAATCTTTGGAAAATTTGGCTAAACAAGTAGCTGAAACAAATAAGCAAGTAGCTGAAGCATCAGTTAAAATTGACCAGAATACTACAAGCATCAATAATTTGGGACAGAAGGTGAATACCAACACAGAGTCTATTGAAAAATTACTACAGGAATCTGCTTCGACCCGAAAGATAGCTGAAGAAGCAAAAGATATAGCAACTGCTACTCAAGAGAAGATACCACTGGTATATAAGCAACTCGAGGACCATGGTTTGACATTGTCTATGATTGAATTGAAAGAGAAACAAAGAAATTTAAGAATCAGGGCTGTACCAGAACGTGAGAAAGACAATTTGGCTGATTTTCTTACGCAGGAATTCGCAGATTTCTGGCAACAGGATTTGGGGAAGGAAGAATTTAAGATAGTGAGTGCATTTAGACTTGGAAGAGGAGGAAGGAGGAACAAGGTGAGAGACTGCTTGATTACCCTTCGAACAAAAGAGGAGAGAGACAAAATCTTGAATCTGCATTACCAAAAGACTTTGGAAATTTACGACTCAAGTGTGGAGATATTTAAGGACATTCCAAAACATCTTTTGGACTTAAGACTCAACTACGGAGATCTGGTTGCCCTGCTGAGAAGAAATAGAATCATCTTCAGGTGGGAATTCCCTCAAGGCCTGTCCTTTAAATATAAAGGAAGAAAGATAAAAATAAGATCAGCCAATGACAAAGATAGGTTTCTGAAGGACCACGGAGAAGATCTACAGAAAGAAGTGGAATCCGGAGAAGAGCCAAAAGCACTGGAAAAAGGAATACTAGATATAGCAAACTTATCTTTTGGATTGCATGGTCCAGAGAAAGTGACACCACTGACAGAACAAGAACAGACACTTGGCGCAGTTGGAGGTAAAGCGAAGTAACCCCATCATGGCTCTGCAACTGTTAAGTTGGAATTGTAATGGTTTGAATTCTCCTCGGAAAAGAAAAAGTGTTTTTCATTTATTAAAAAAGGAACAATTGGACTTGATTTGTCTACAAGAAACACATGTAACAAGGTTACACAGGAAACTACTGATTAATAAGAGATTGGGACAGGAGTTTATCTCATCTGACAAAGTAAAAAAAAGAGGAGTTGTGATATATGCAAAGGAGAGACTATCACCGAAATTTATTTTCAAAGATGACCAAGGAAGATTTTTGGCAATTGAAATTCAAGTTCAAGGAGAGAAATTTTTGATAGTAGGAATTTATGCACCGAATGAGGGGAAATCTGAATTTTTTAAAAAGTTGCATGAGACTTTATTGGATTATTTGGATTACAATTTGATTTTGATGGGGATATGAATGGAGTAGTATCTACAAACATGGATAAGGCACAAAGACAGGTAGTTACCAAGGATGGTAGACTACTGAAAACATTTTTCGAGATGACAGACAATTTTGACTTAGTGGACACTTGGAGAACAAAGAACCCATTGGGCAGAGAGGGAACCTTCTTTTCTGAAGCTAAGATGACATGGACTAGAATTGACCAAATATGGGTAACTAGAGGAATGGCACCAAAGATAAAGAAAGTGGAAATCTGCCCAAAAACCTGCTCCGACCATAATGCGGTAAGGATGGAGTTGAAGCTAACATCAACTGGCTCCTTCAGATGGAGGATGAATGACACCCTATTTAGAGATGAAGAAGTGTATAAAAAGGCCCAAAAAACCTTGAGAGACTATTTTGAAATAAATATGAATACTAATGTAGAAAAAAGAGTAATCTGGGACGCAAGTAAAGCTGTCATGAGAGGGTTTCTGATACAACAGAATGCAATAAAGAAGAGAAGTCAAAATGAGAAGAAAGATAAAATTTTGGGGAAAATAAAAGAAAGTGAAAAGAAATTGAGAGCAAAACCAAAGTCGCAGGAGATTTTGAGAGAAATAAAGTTATATCAAGTACAATATGTGGAAATGATGAATCAGGAAATAGAATGGAAAATTAAACAAATGAGACAAAAACATTTGAATCAGCTAACAAATGTGGGAAATTGCTGGCCTGGCAAATGAAAAAAAGACAAAAATTAAATACTATTACAAATTTAGAAATGGAAGGAAAGAATATACATAACCCAACTGAGATTAGAAACTGTTTCCAGAGGTATTTTAAACAACTATATACACAAGGGCCACAGAAAGAAATGGATATAGACCAATTTCTGAAGACAAATGGATTACAAAAATATCCCAAGAAAGTAAATTAATGTTGAACTATAAAATATCTGAACAGGAAGTAGAAGGTGCCATTCAAAACATGCAATTAGGCAAATCTCCAGGACCGGATGGGCTGACTTCTAGATATTATAGATCTTTGAAAGAGTGGTTATTACAACCTTTAAAGGAAGTCTGCAATGAAATATTGGAAGGGAAAAGGGCACCAGAGTCTTGGAAAGAGGCGTACATTACACTTACACCGAAGACAGAGACTGAAAAGACTCAGCTTAAGAACTACTGCCCCATATCGTTACTTAATGTGGATTACAAAATTTTTGCAGACATTTTGGCCAAGAGATTGAAAAAAGTATTGATGGAAGATATTCATAAAGACCAAGCGGGCTTTCTCCCGGGAAGACACTTGTCCGATAATTTGAGGAATATAATTGATATTTTGGAAAAACTAGAAGTGAACATAAATACTAAAGCAGTTTTGATATTTGTGGATGCGGAGAAAGCTTTTGACAATATCTCTTGGAGTTTTATGAAGAAGAACCTACAGGGCCAAGGTTTTGAAAACGGTATAAGTGCAATTTATTCAGAACAAAAGGCTAAACTAATTGTAAATAATGTGGTGACGGAAGAATTTAGGATAGAAAAAGGGACAAGACAAGGTTGCCCAATTTCCCCATTGCTTTTTATATCGGTCCTGGAGGTTCTGCTGAACATGGTTAGAAAGGACCAGTTGGTTAAAGGTATACAGGTCGGAGCCAAACAGTACAAATTGAGAGCATTTGCAGATGGCTTAGTATTGACGTTACAGGAGCCAGAATCTAGTACCAAAAGAGTTTTAGAACTGATTGAAGAATTTGGTCAAGTTGCAGGATTTAAGTTGAATAAGTTAAAGACCAAGGTTTTAGAGAAAAATTTAACACCAATGGAGAGCGAGAGGTTTCAGAATGAGACAGGTTTAACAGTGGTTAAGAAAGTTAAATACTTGGGGATTAATATGACAGCAAAAAATGGGAATTTATTTAAAGACAATTATGAAAAATGCTGGGCTGAAGTGAAAAAAGATTTAGAAATTTGGTCAAATTTGAAGCTTTCACTGCTGGGCCGTATTGCTGCGGTAAAAATGAATGTATTGCCTAGAATGTTGTTTTTGTTTCAAACACTGCAAATTGTGGACAAAATGGACTGTTTCAAGAGGTGGCAGAGAGATGTTTCTAGATTTGTCTGGCAGGGCAAGAAGCCTAGAATAAAATTTAAAATATTAACAGATGCAAAGGAGCGAGGTGGATTTGCCCTGCCAGACTTTAAACTTTACTATGAATCAGCAGCTTTTTGCTGGTTGAAAGAATGGTTGCTTCTTGAAAACACAGACATTTTGGATCTAGAAGGGTTCAACAATGTATTTGGATGGCATGCATATCTGTGGTATGATAAGGTCAAAGCACAAAGCATTTAAAAATCACATTGTCAGGAAAGCATTGTTTAATGTCTAGTTAAGATACAAGGACTTATTGGAAAATAAAACTCCAAGGTGGCTGTCACCGATGGAAGCAAAAGCTCAGAAAAAGCTCAATATGGAGGCCAAATGGCCGAAATATTGGGAAATTTTGGAACAAGACGGAGATAGACTGGAATTGCAGAGTTTTGAGAAATTAAAAAACAAAGTGTGAGATTGGCTTCATTATGATCAGATAATGGAGGCATATAAGTTGGATAAGAAAATTGGCTTCCAGGTGGAAAAATCAAAATTAGAAACAGAACTATTAGAACCCAAAACTAAGATTTTGTCAAAGATGTATAACTTGCTGTTGAAATGGAATACTCAGGATGAAACGGTGAAATCTGCTATGATTAAATGGGCACAAGATGTTGGACATAACATAATGATGGCTGACTGGGAACAGTTATGGACCACAGGTATGAAGTTTACAGCATGTAATGCCTTAAGAGAGAATATTATGAAAATGATATACAGGTGGTACATGACCCCAATCAAGCTTGCAAAAATTTACCATTTGCCCGATAACAAATGTTGGAAATGTAAAGAAACCGAAGGTACATTCTTTCACCTTTGGTGGACGTGCCCAAGGATTAAGGCTTTCTGGGAAATGATATACAATGAACTGAAAAAGGTATTTAAATATACCTTCCTGAAAAAACCAGAGGCCTTTCTCCTGGGCATGGTCAGCCAAATGGTGCCAAAGAAGGATAGAACTTTTTTCATGTATGCCACAACAGCAGCAAGAATACTCATTGCAAAGTATTGGAAGACACAAGATCTACCCACTCTGGAAGAATGGCAGATGAAGTTGATGGACTATATGGAACTGGCAGAAATGACTGGCAGAATCCGAGACCAGGGAGAAGAGTCGGTGGAAGAAGATTGGAAGAAGTTCAAAGATTATCTACAGAAATATTGTAAAATTAATGAATGTTAGAACGATGTTGGATAGAAATTAAGTGGTTTCCAGCTGTAATGCTTTAAGGGAATATGAAAAATGGATTGTTAAGAGGTAAAAATCTAACGTTACTATTTTAAGACCAAAGATTAGGACAAATAAAGAGGGTAAGGATTTGCTGAAACAACAAACTGAACTGGAATACAAAAAAGGGAGGTATGAGGAGGTCCGGGAAACAAGCTAAGGAAAAATAAGCAATGGAAAAATTGAGTGGTTTTTAATCATTTTTATTTTGTATTTTCTTTTTCTTTTTCATTTTTTATTGTAATATTTAAAAAAATCTTAATAAATGTCTTATTAAAAAAAAAAAGAAACTTCTGCTTTTTCATTTTTTAGTGAGTGAGTTTTTGTCCTTTATAGAGCTAAGCTGAAAGGATGTTGGCAATGTCTGCTGGAGCTTCTGGTGTTTAGAGAGCGGCATCCCAGTAATCTGTGTGGCACTGGCCAAGCTGTGTCTTCTTCACGGCCCCAATATGCTCCTTTGTTGCTGTTTCTTCTCTCGATGCTGCCACACGTTGGGCATTTGGGGAAGGCTGAGCTGAATACCTGTTCTCTCCTGCTGCTTGCATTGTGGTTTTCTGATGTTTTCTGATTTTAAGCTCCCGTGCAGTGCTGTAGGTTATATTTTAATGTATTTGTTTTTTAATTGAATTTGGCTGTGCACCGCCCAGGGAACCTTTGAGATGAAGGGTAGGTTATGAGTGGAAGAAATAAAATAGAGGGTATATATAAAATACCGTACTACTGTTTGCCAAGAAATGTCAGCTCATGTTGCTGAATTTGCATTCTGCTTCTGTTCTTACTGTGTGGCTATCTATTTACATAACCTGGGTAAGGATTTTGGAGTTTTTGTTGTGGAAACCTTGTGCTTGATAAACCCTCCCCTGCCCACCAAACTGCTAGGTGTTGAGCTCTAAATCAAAGTGTAGGAGCTGGTTGAATTTGGTCAAATGCATCCATTCCTGGGAAAGACTGACTGAGCAACAGTGCTGAAATCCTATCCAGTAAGCATTGGAAATCCAAATATCCCTTTGCAACCATGAGATTTGATAACTTGTGCTTTCATTCTTAAGGAAACAGTAACTTGGAAGCTTAGTTTCTTGAGGTACCAGGGTGCATATTTATGGAATAAAAATGTGAATGCTTTGGCCTCCGAGCGCCCTCGGCGGTGACATTGAACGCCAGAAATAGAGAGTGGTGTTTAATCCATGAAAGTGTTGAGGAAGGCAAGCTATTACAATGTGAAAAGAAGTCTGTAGGGGCCACTCTCACGCATCCTCCAAAGAGGAATGAGCAGAGTTCAAGGAAAGCTTTTAAGTATGTTGTGTTCCAGACAGTTCTGTGGCTCAGCCCCCCACCCCCCTGAAGCTGCTTCCGTTCTCCTAGCTCACGTCTTAAAATGCCCCATCTCTGCTTTGAATAGGGTGTGTGCTAAGAAATCAGGTGGTCTGTTAGCATATCTTTTGGGATGGTTCCAAGAATGACATCATTTCTGATGCCCCAAAAGGAGGACTGTGGGGGACAGGCAGCTCCAAGCCCCATCTACCCATTGCTACTGCATTAACATCTTCCACGCTGGGTTGGCGGCATACACCTGCCTTGAGCAAGGGGGTGGGGTCAGGTGTCACAGGAGACTTGCCAATAATGGAATAATCAGCCTCCACTGACAGCTTGTCAGGGCTGACACCCCCGCTTCCTAGCCTGCCAAGTTGATGCCTGACACAAAGATGGGCTTGGGAGGGGGAAGCAGGTCAGGGCTCTGCGCACAGCTCCTTGTTTGCACCACCCACAAAGAAACTTCACTGTTGTGCTGTCACGTTGGTGTGGAGCATGAAACCTATTGGCTAAGGAGTTTGCAAAGGGTGGTTGTGTCTCTGGAAGCAGAGTCTGCGGTAAAGGTGATACTGTACAGCACAGGGGGAGGAGGGAGCCCCTTGATACCAAAGATAAAATATTTTAAAATACAACCGCTCACATTTTCTTACTTACGTCTGCTTGTTAATGCTTATATGTGGACATCCTACAGAGGTTTGTTGGGTGATTTCCCTTTAAGTAGGCCCCACTCGTTGCCAGAGGGATGTTTGAGTCCCTGACTAACCCTTCCTCATTCAGGATCATGTGCAGGTGTATGTGTTTTTTGTGTTTTGTCCCTTTTTCTGCTCCATCAGTGCAGCAGAACCTCTTGTGTTCCATGCTGCCTGTATAATTTCTGCAGTGATGGAGAAAAAGAGAAGTATTGGACCATAGAAATTAGGGGTGCAATCTCAGTTGAATTGTGCTGCCCACCTATTATTACGGAATGGTAGGACATTTGTGACTATCTTTGGCAGGATTTCAAATCCACTCTTATCTAGAGCCTGGCGATTATAGCTTTTAAAAATGCAAATAGAATATCCCTTGAAATCCGACACACATTTTCAGGGAGCCTGGGCCTGGGTCAAACACCTGCCTGGATCTTGCTTATATTTATTTAATGTCTCACGTGTGCATTCTGCCCTTCCTTCAAAAGGGCCAGGGCAGTATGTCTGTGGTTGTCTCATTTTCTCCTTGCAACAACCCAGTGAAGTAGGCTAGGCTGAGAAAATGATTTCTGGCTGAAATAGTCAAGAGGGCATTCTACGATAACCTAAGGCAGGCCTGCACCACTATCCTAGGCAGGCAGTACAAGTGCCTGGGTGGACTGATCTCTGATGGGCTGGCCTGCATAGCCAGTGACGGCTGCATTCTGCTTACTTGGCCGCAGGTCATTGTGGAGGCATGGCCTTGCGAGAGACATGGGACTGGGAAGAAAGTGACCCCTGGCTTCTGCAAGGTCCATGTCTAGATGGAGCAGAGTCTCCCTTGAGGAGCCATGTGCAGTTGAGCCCAAATTGCCCCACCCTTATAAGAAGGGAGACTTTGGAAGGCAGCTCTGGGAGTCCACAGAACAGCAGCTGCTACCAACAACCTTTTCCATCTACTTCATGACTCCAGTCTTCAGGAAGGATGAACCATGCTTTCTGCAGCACCTGCTATTTGTCTCTCTCTCTCTGTGTGAGCACCATGCTTTTTCTCTCAGTACAAAGACTCTTTAAATATTTAAGCAGCGGCAAAGCTGCTCATGCTGTTTAATAAATCATAGTGACCTGAAACTGCTGCCTTGCCTAAGGGGAGCTCCAGAGCAAGGTGGCTCACACTGCTGCTGGTCATAGCAAGACAGAGAGGACAGAAAGGGAGCAGGCAGGGGAAAGGACGTGCAAAGAGCTTCTGCACCAGGCTGACTGGGAGGGAAGCCCTTTGAAGCTGCGCGCACACACACACACACACACACACACACACAGAGGCACCCCCACCCACACACTTTGGTTCCATCCTTCATAAAATCATAGAATTGTAGAGTTGGAAGTCCCACCTCTTGCAGTGCCCCCCCGGATTAAGCCCCGGGATTAATGCCTGGACCTGACCACGGTGCTGTTGTCTTCTTGCTCCCTAAGAATATGGCTCCAAAATCTTGGTTTCTTCCAAGACCGTAATATAGCTCCTGCTATAGGGTTGGGTATATGGTATAGTTCAGGGGTGGGGAATCTGTGGTCCCAGGCAGCTCCCACCCCCCTGCATATCAGCTCCAGCCAGCAGGGCTCATGGAGTGGGGGTCCTTTCTCTCTCCTCTGCTGTATTTCAAAGCAGAGAGAAAGATGGCAGGACTCATGAATGCATCATTGTGCCTCCTGAGCAGGAACGGGCAATGCTAAACAGTATTTGGAAAGGCTGCTGATCCGGACCAGGCAAGAAAGTTGCTCTCACAGACCTTTCCCTCTTCATATTCAGTATATCCCATGCCAATAATGGATCCTTTAAAAAACAAACCAAAAAGGGAGAGAATTGTCCCAGCTCTGCTACTGAAGCAGGGAGGGAGGAAGAGAGAATTGGTTGCAAATATAGCTCCCTAGATGTGCAAGAGAGGAGGGGCGCCTGTTCTCTGAAGCCTGCTGTGACTCAGCCTGAACCAGTAAGTGGGCGAAAGAAAAAGAAGCCCCCCACCGTGCAGGGAGGTGGGAAGGCAGAAAGAGGAGAGTTGGGTGGCATGGAGCAGGGAAGCTCAAGGTGCCCAAACTGGTCCTTTGACCAACTTGACACCACCTCACCACCAGCCCCACTGGAGGTCTTGAGGGTCCTGTACATCACTAGGTCAGCATGCCTGCAGACATGTTGCTTCTATATGGTTCCAAGGAGGCTGTGCCTGTATGCATGCGAGTGGGCTGCGGCAGGAGAATTTGCTCCTTTTGAAGACTGCTCTTACCCAAGCACTTCATCTTTCACAGCCCCGGTGCCAGGAACTGGGCAAAAAGAAGTATCCAAGCAACGGCCTAATGAGATCTCATCTCTCCTGTTTTTGTTAGCTCTCTGAAATTTCCTTCTCGCCCTCCCTCAATTTTGGGGGTGGGTGTGTGTGCATGTGTGTATGGTTGGGGAAATAAACCCAAAATTTCATTGCACGGATAGTTGGTTGACATGACAAGGAAAGCACACACTGCCACAGTAGGCTGGAAGTGCAAGTAAATCTACTAGGGAAACAGGTGTGTCTCTGAACCAGGAAGTTCAGGGCAGTTGGGAGATGCCTGGGAACCAGCGTGTGTGTTACAGTAAGTGCCACACTTTTTTAATTGGGGGGGGGGGGGGAGATGCTGGTACTGCATACCTTTGAGAACCCCCAGGAAAAAAGCCTTGCTGGGAACTTGACTATTTTTAATATGGGGGTTGGTGCTGTGCTGCTTTTATTATAATTATTTGTATGGCTTTAATAGAATATATTCTTTCAATTTTTTTTAATATTACACTTTCTATTTTATCTGTAAGTTGCCTTGAGTCCCACCAGGGAAAAAGGCAGGGAGAAATTAATTAATTAATTTTGTATGCCACCCTTCATCCGAAGATCACAGGGTGGTTCAGGACATAAAAATTCAAGATGAGAACACAAAATACATAATAAAAACCAAAACAAACCAATAACAACCCCCCAAACAAAAATTAAAAGGCCATAAAATGTTGATCCTCCTCACACCTCCCCATAATGCCCAGGTTGGAACTGTTTTTGTCTAGCAGTTATTTTTGAAAGAGCACCTGAGCCCTCACCCTTCCATTTCCCAGGGTCCCTGCAGTGGGCTTCCACACACCTGAGTCAAAAAGCAGGGGTGGCAGGGAGCTTTAGGGAAAGCAGGACCCCCTGCATGTTCTCCCCACGTTGCACTGTTAGTTTCCAGACTTGCTGTGCTGATCCTTTTGCACGGGGCATTGTGCAGCTCAGTGTGTTGTGTGTCTGGCTTGAGTTCTGGGTCTGCCTCTGCTCTCTGAGGAGCTTGGCCTCCCCTTGTTTCACTACAGAAGAAGCCACTGGAGGGCATACATGTGTCCAAAAGAATTCTGCACCTCTGCTTGGGTTAATAATGCCAGGCAGATTCTGATCCCTTTGTAGCTTGAAGGGCTAGCTGGACCCAAACCATGTTTGAGGTTTGAGGAGGGATGTCTGCATTCATGTCTGGGGGAGTCGAGGAGGGAGCGCTGCTGCCTGAAGGTTCAGAGGCAGCCACATAATAAGCAGCTAGAGAACAAGGGCTCTCACTCGGGTGTTTCTGCAAAAGAATCCCTCTCATATGCACAAATGCTCAAGCCTAGTCCAAGCTATTGAATATCATGCTTAACTCCCCTTAACACATTCTCCATTAGTTCCATTAGTATATTTTACAAAAGTCAGTGTAATTGTCTCCTCTTTCCATTTGCATAGCTTAGGATTTTGGCAGCATTGTAGACTCTTTTGAGTTATTGCAGGCTCAGCAAAAATGGCTATCAAAGAGCCCTTCCCAATCCAGTGCCTTCCAGGTGTTTTGGACTATAACTCCCATCATCCGCAATCAGCTCAGCTGTAGTCCAAAACGTCTGGAGGGCACCCGGATGCCAAAGGCTGCTGTATAACAATTAATGTGGAGTGGGACCAGGACCTCTGCTGAACACACAGAGGAAGGAATTGAGCATAGCAGCTCTTAGCCAGCATACAGAATTCAGCTTGCCAGACGGAACAGCCCCCTTTCCCCGACCTGCACACTTTTTTAATAAAAAAGTTATGATTTTGTATTTCTTTCTTTTGACAGAGTAATAATGATAAATAAATAAGAATAAAAATGTACACCCCATCACCAAGACCGTTCCATTGTAACTATCCAAACTCCCAAAATGTCAACACCTCTTGCAATGGTTTGACCCCTTTCCATTTTAACAGTACAAATTCTACAAACACCTTCCATTTCTCCTCAAAATAATTTCTCCTGCATATTCCCTATCTTACCTTAATGGCACATGTTAATTTATCATTAATCATTAATTCATACCGTAAGATATGATTGTGAGCAACAAAGAATTATTTTTTTTTAATGCACACTGTTCTGGGGAGTTCTCCCAACCCCCTAGAGCCAATTTGGGAAGGGCACAGGGGAAGAAGAGGGGGAGAAAGCTCTGTTGCACTAAAGGAAGTCCTTCCGCGGGACTTGTTGGTTGACTCCAACCCAAAGTTGCATTCATTTCTCCAATGAAAAATTGGAAATTTTAGAGAACACTGGAAAAAAGAGTCTGTGAAATAATTTTCCCTTTTGGAATGAATAAGGGGTATAAAGATTTTTACGCAAGTAAATCTACATGATTAGGGAATGCTAATTCTTGTTTAAACTCTAGGAATATTACAACACTTGCATCAAATATGCATTTCTGCACCTAGGTTGCTGTCATCTCCATGGAAGGAGCAAGCGGGGGCTTTTGCTTTCTTGCAAATTGCTGCTTGTCCTCTTTTGAAGAACTTTCATAGAATCATAGAATCATAGAGTTGGAAGAGACCACAAGGGCCATCGAGTCCAACCCCCTGCCAAGCAGGAAACACCATCAGAGCACTCCTGACATATGGTTGTCAAGCCTCTGCTTAAAGACCTCCAAAGAAGGAGACTCCACCACACTCCTTGGCAGCAAATTCCACTGTCGAACAGCTCTTACTGTCAGGAAGTTCTTCCTAATGTTTAGGTGGAATCTTCTTTCTTGTAGTTTGGATCCATTGCTCCGTGTCCGCTTCTCCGGAGCAGCAGAAAACAACCTTTCTCCCTCCTCTATGTGACATCCTTTTATATATTTGAACATGGCTATCATATCACCCCTTAACCTCCTCTTCTCCAGGCTAAACATGCCCAGCTCTCTTAGCCGTTCCTCATAAGGCATCGTTTCCAGGCCTTTGACCATTTTGGTTGCCCTCCTCTGGACACGTTCCAGTTTGTCAATGTCCTTCTTGAACTGTGGTGCCCAGAACTGGACACAGTACTCCAGGTGAGGTCTGACCAGAGCAGAATACAGTGGCACTATTACTTCCCTTGATCTAGATGCTATACTCCTATTGATGCAGCCCAGAATTGCATTGGCTTTTTAGCTGCCGCGGCACACTGTTGGCTCATGTCAAGTTTGTGGTCAACCAAGACTCCTAGATCCTTTTCACATGTACTGCTCTCAAGCCAGGTGTCCCCCATCTTGTATTTGTGCCTCTCATTTTTTTTGCCCAACTTTGATTTAATTTGGAGATACTAGAAGCAAGTAACCTGCTTCTGCTGTCCTTTCGCTTGTACAAAACTAAAGCTACACTCCTATATGTAGAGTGCTATATTTGCCTGGGAGTAAGCCCCACTGAACTCAAAGAGGCTTGCTTCTGAGTAGACACAAATAGGATCACACTGTAAATCATTAATACCTTTGGAGTTGTATGCAACATTGCATGCATGAAGTTCCAGTCACAGAGAAAGACTTATTCTGCTCTGCTCTCCCCACATGTCCTCAAAATCTTCTCCAGAGGATCCCCCACCCCTCTTGAGCATATATTACGGGTGCATGGGGGACTGCAAGGGAGAAGAGGGGAAAGTTCCATTATGCAAGCAGAAGTCTGCTGTGCTAGTGGAACAGCAGGATTGAATATAACCCATCAGGCTGAAATTCTAGGGGTGTAATCATACTAAACATCATAGCTTTTCTCCTGAGTAAACATGCTTAAAATTGCTCTGTAAATTTCATAAGCATGCCAAATATAAAATAGTTTAGGTTTGATAAAAAAGTAATTATTGCACATATTTAAATTTCACCAAAAATGTCAGACTTCCGGGGGGGGGGGCAGGATGGGGGGTGTTTCATTCCTTCAAAACTTGCACCTTTTGGACTCCTATTTGTTTATAGGGGGTGCTACCTACATGTTTTTGAAATGAGAGCTCAGATTTAAATTTAATAAATTTAAATTTAATACATAATAATAATTTGCAAGTACATTGGCCGCTCTGGGGAAAGGGTCAGGGCTGCCCAGGAGTGGGCCCCAGCCAACATAATGGCCAGGACAAGTTCCACGGAGGGGATGCACTGGGACACCTGATCTCAGTGATCACGGACAGGAGGAGGAGTTAATCTAAGACCAGACCACGTCATTACCGAGGAGGCAGGTTTAGTCATTGTTTGAAGACTATCCCTGCCTCTGGGTCTGGTCTTGACCAGAAGGATACTGGAATCAACAAGGGAGACCCACATAACCGTAAGGCGCTGCTGTGCAATACTAGGTCAATGATTCATAAGACCACTGCCATCCATGATCGTGGATGGAGGACTTGACCTGGCATGTATAACAGAGACTTGGTTGGACGAGGCGCATGGTCCTGTTCTTGCTACTGCTTGTCCACCAGGTTTCTCCTATGCACAGCAACCCAGGTCATGTGGGTGGTGAGGGGGGATGCAGGGGGGAGGTGGGATGCAGTCATTAGCTTGCACCAGGCATCCTAACTTTCATCATTCTAAAATTGTTGAACCCCCCTTCGGAAGCAGGAGAAGAAGGGGGATCTTTTTCGGACTGTTTAAACCTGCAGAAGTGAGTTTAAAGTAAAGTAACTTTCCACCGTCCTGATCCTGGAGCGGGGTGTCAGGACTGACGTGTGAAGCTCATTGACCAGAGACAAACGTTTTTGACAGACAGCTAAAAGAAGAGAAACATAGTGATTCCACTGTTCCCTTTCGCATTTTAAAGGAACAAATATTGACAAAATATCTCAAAAAGGAAACTTTGTTGCTAGATTTGTACTTAAAAGAAAGAACAAATAGAAGTTTTCCCCCTAGAGGGAGACTGTGAAACTGTAACTAATTCCAGGGAGCTTGCAGCTGTTACAGATTACAATCGTGGGAATAGACCTGTGACCTTGTAGGACAATGTATTCAGAAGCTCTGTGGTGTGCTCTCTGTAAAACAAATGCCTTACTGGAACAGTTAAATGAGAAGACGGATTTGATGACTAATGCGGTCAGAATTTTTGAACAGGCAGTGGGAAACTATATGGAGCCCACCCAGGAATCAAATCAGGAGTGTGCCCTGACAGAACAGATGAGAGAAGAGGATGTTGCTGAAATTTGGGCACCAGAGATGGAGGGAGCTGTGGCCCTGCAGGAACATGAGCTTTTGGACTTGACAAATGAACTTGGAAAAAGCCAGATTTGGAAAGATAAAGTTTGGACTGGTTTGGAAATGGGGGGGTTGGATAGACCCCCCCTATGCAGGGATGTTTGGACTTTCCAAGTCTGGCAATGGGCCGGGAGATGTTTGGGGCTGTGGGGGAATTTTGGAGGAATTCTGAAACATGTTTTCAAATACCACATGGAGTTTAGTCTGGTCTTTGGAAAAGGGGCTGATTTGTTGAAAAGGGTCAAAAACATTACCAAGCTGGAGTTCCCACGAGTGAAAGGAGAATATGAAGAAGAGCCGCGGAAGGGACATGGAAGAGACTTAAGGGCCTCGGATATAAGGTTACCAGGTTAATGCGCTAGATCAATGGGATAAAAAGGACTGACAAAACCCGGGACCAGGAGGAAAGGACGCTGGATGAAGATTGGATTGTTTTTATTTCTTTTTTATTATTAGGATTGTTTTATAAAATTGATGAATGTTAGAAAAATGTTGGAACGAAATTACTTGGCTCTAGCAAAAATGTTTAAAGAATTAGGTAAGAATATTATGGTTATGAGAAGTTGGTAAAAATAAGATTTAAGTTTTAAGTTTTAAGGTTTTCTATAAGATAAGATGAAAATAGATTAAGGTAATGTAATGACAGAATATTATGAAATATGGAAAGGATTTGCTGCGATAATTAATAACTAGGATACAAAAAAAGGGAGGAGGAGGAGGTCAAAGAAAGAACGTAATGAAAGTTGAGGATTCGAGAATGATGGATTTGTTTTTATTTGTTTGTGGTGTATTTTTGTTTTTTGAATCTGCATTGTTTGATGTGGTTTGTTTTCTTTTTGTTTTCTCTTTTTTCTTTTTCTGCTGTGTTTTTTTCTGTAATTTTAAAAATTTTCAATAAATATCATTTAAAAAAAGGGGGGGGGGAGAAAGCCTCCCTCTTTGAGGGAGTCTTCCCAGACCTGCTTAAAGAAGCGGTTATTAAACCGCTTCTTAAAAAACCATATTTGGGCCCAGCCAATATGGCCAACTATCGCCCAGTCTCAAATCTTCCATTATGGGGCAAGGTGATTGAGCGAGTGGATGCTGAACAACTCCAGGCACACCTGGAGGATGCAAACCATTTGGATCCCTTCCAGTCAGGATTCAGGCCTCAACTTGGGACTGAAACTGCCTTGGTTGCACTGGTCAATGATCTCCAGCGGCAGGCTAGGGACAAAGGCAAAAGCTGTTTCCTAGTTCTGCTGGATCTCTCAGCAGCCTTTGATATCATTGACCATGATATCCTTCTGGACTGTCTAGTGGGGTTGGGAGCTGGGGACACTGTTAGATAGTGGTTCCACTCCTTTCTTTTAGGCCATGTTCAGAAAGTGGTGTTGGGGAATGAGTGTTCAGACCCCTGGGCTCTCAGTTGTGGTGTGCCTCAGGGTTGCGTTCTCTCCCCCATGCTTTTTAACATCTATATGAAGCCTCTGGGAAAAAGAAGAAGAGGAGTTTGGATTTGATATCCCACTTTATCACTACCCTAAGGAGTCTCATAGCGGCTAACATTCTCCTTTCCCTTCCTCCCCCACAACAAACACTCTGTGAGGTGAGTGGGGCTGTGAGACTTCAGAGAAGTGTGACTAGCCCAAGGTCACCCAGCAGCTGCATGTGGAGGAGTGGGGAAGCAAACCCGGTTCACCAGATTATGAGTCCACTGCTCTTAACCACTACACCACACTGGCTCTCTAGGAGAGATCATCAGGGGGTTTGGGCTGGGTGTTCATCAGTATGCAGATGATACCCAGCTCTACCTCTCTTTTAAAGCAGAACCAGTGAAGGCAGTGAATGTCCTGTATGAGTGTCTGGAGGCGGTTGGAGGATGGATGGTGGCTAATGGATTGAGGTTGAATCCTGACAAGACAGAAGTACTGTTTTGGGGGGACAGGGGGCAGGCTGGTGTGAAGGACTCCCCGGCCCTGAATGGGGTAACTTTGCCCCTGAAGGACCAGGCGCGCAGCCTGGGAGTCATTTTGGAATCACAGCTGTCCATGGAGGTGCAGGTCAGTTCTGTGTCCAGGGCAGCTGTCTACCAGCTCCATCTGGAACACCGGCTGAGACCCTACCTGCCTGCAGACTGTCTCACCAGAGTGGTGCATGCTCTGGTTATCTCCCACTTGGACTACTGCAATGCGCTCTACGTGGGGCTACCTTTAAAGGTGACCCGGAAACTACAATTAATCCAAAATGCAGCAGCTAGACTGGGGACTGGAAGTGGCTGCTGAGACCATATAACACCAGTCCTGAAGGACCTACATTGGCTCCCAGTATGTTTCCGAGCACAGTTCAGAGTGTTGGTGCTGACCTTTAAAGCCCTAAACAGTGTTGGCCCCGTATACCTGAAGGAGCGTCTCCTCCCCCATCGCTCAGCCAGGACTGAGGTCCTCCTCCGAGGGCCTTCTGGTGATTCCCTCACTGCAAGAAGCAAAGTTACAGGCAACCAGCCAGAGGGCCTTCTCAGTCATGGCGCCCACCCTGTGGAACGCCCTCCCATCAGATATCAAGGAGATAACTACACAACTTTTAGAAGACATCTGAAGGCAGATCTGCTCAGGGAAGTTTTTAATGTTTGATGTTGTATTGTGTTTTAATTTTCTGGAAGCCACCCAGAGTGGCTGGGGAAGCCCAGCAAGATGGGTAGGATATAAATAATAAAATGATTAGGATTATGATTATCCTAGGGATGCGGGCGGCACTGTGGGTTAAACCACAGAGCCTAGGGCTTGCCGATTAGAAGGTCGGCGGTTCAAATCCCCACGACAGGGTGAGCTCCCGTTGCTCAGTCCCTGCTCCTGCCAACCTAGCAGTTCGAAAGGACGTCAAAGTGCAAGTAGATAAATAGGTACTGCTCTGGCGGGAAGGTAAACGGTGTTTCCATGAGCTGCTCTGGTTCACCAGAAGCAGCTTAGTCATGCTGCCCACATGACCTGGAAGCTGTATGCCGGCTCCCTCGGCCAGTAAAGCAAGATGAGCGCCGCAACCCCAGAGTCGGCCACGACTGGACCTATGGTCAGGGGTCCCTTTACCTTTATGATTATTCTTGAAGTGCAGACTTCCGGTTGGTCGCCCAGTAATGGCAGTCAGGAGCTCTTTCGGCTGAAAGAGCCCCAGCGCTTTGAAGTTGGGGAGACCACGAGAGTGTCGTGGTTCCCCATTAAAAACCTCAGATTGGGCGTTCTGAAGACCTGATGTTCCGGCGGGTGCCTTCCAGCGACTCCCCTGCTCCCCGGTAAGCTCAAAGCAGCGAAGCTCCGAGACTGGCGATCGTGAGTGGCCAATTCCTTCACGAAGAAAGATTTAAAAATTTGGAACTGTAAGTAACTACAAAATTAATTTGGAAAAAATTTGGAAGAAAAGGGAGACTTAAAAACGGAGGTCGGTCCCCTTTTGTTGTCGGCGTACAAAGACCAAAGCCTTTAAGAAGCAAAAAACTTTTGAAACTTTGCAAGCAATCTTGCTCCCCCTCCTCGAGGGAAGAGGGGGTGTTTGTGTCTAGGAAATTATTTTAGGAAGACAGTGAATACGAGAGAGCCTTCCCCATTCTGCAGCGGACCACCCGGGAGGGAAGACTTGTATCCATTGTGACATCACAATGGAAGAGGAAACATTCAATCTCCGTTTCCACTGACTTTGTTACAAACTTTCCTGTGCTGCCTGGCTACACCTTAAATTGACTAAAAAGTGTCCTCATCCCTTAGATTGAAGGGGAGTTTTGGAGAATTTTCTCTTTGCCATCCTGGTTTTTGGTATTCAGTTTGTTTGAAAGAACAGGGACGCTGCCTCTGGGCCAGCTGCAGTGGGACTGGTGGAGAGAAACTGTTTTTCTCCTCCACTGCGCCAGACTGTGGAACTGACCTTGACATTCCTAAGCTATTATGAGTTCAGAAAAAGTAAGACGTGGCTCTAAAGCCCAGCAATTTGAGGAGTCGGTGATGTCAATATTGAGTGACATTAGAGAAGGTTTAAATTGCAGTACAGCAAGCATTGAAAAATTGGATAAAAAGATTGAACTTTTAAGCACTGACTTAAAGGAAGTGAAAGATGAGAGATGAGAGAACCACGCATGATACAAGGTTGGCACAGTTGGAGACTGTTAGAGTGCCAGATTTGGAATGGTTGCAATATGAAAATGCTCATGCAATTGCCTTTCTCCAGTTGAAGGAAAAAGAATCGCATTTGAGATTGTGGGGGGGGGGGTCCCTTTTCTGGAAGAGGAAAAACTCAAGGAGTCTTTGATAGGCTTTTTTGTGGAGTGTTGGGACCTGAAAAAAGAGGAAGTGGAAGCTTGGATAGAGAAAGCTATCCAATTCAGTCCCAAAAAGGACACTAAAATAACTTATGACTGTATAGTGGTTTTTAAGACCAAGGAGCAAAGAGATATTATTTTGGGTCACCACTGCAAAGAAGGCCTAAAAATCCAGGACAAATCTGTGGTGCTCTTTAAAGAGATCCCATGCCAATTTTTGAACCTGAGATCCCAATATACGGATTTGACAAACATCTTGAGGAGGAAGAACATTTTTTTCAGGTGGGAATTCCCAGAGGGCCTATCCTTCAAATTTGAAGGAGGAAAGCAAAAGATAAAGACCGTTGGAGATAAGGACAGATTTCTACAAAAGCACTCGGTGGAACTTGGATTACAAAGCCCACAGCTGTCAGGAGCGGAGGCAGCATCCTCTTAATTTGGCATTATGGCATTGAGAATTTGTTCATGGAATGTACCGTAAATGGTTTGAACTCTCCTCAAAAAAGGAGGCAAGTTTATCATGTTTTGGAAAAACAGAATATGGACATAATTTGTTTACAGGAAACCCACATTATAAGACTACATAGAAAAATGCTAATAAACAAAAGATTGGGACAAGAATTTATTTCTTCTGACAAAGTTAAAAAAAGAGGAGTGGTTTTCTATATCAAGGAAGAATGGAATCCAAAATTGGCTTTTAAAGATGAGGAAGGAAGACAAAAAACGGTTTTGCTTCTGAAAAATCCAAGTTGGAGATGGAGTTGTTGGATTCTAAAGTTAAAAATCTGTCTAAAATGTATAAGTTACTGTTGGAGTGGCATACAAAGGATGAACAAGTTACATCAGTAATGATCGATTGGGCAAGAGATGTAGGACATAACATAATGTTTGAGGATTGGGAAAGATTGTGGAAGAAAGGGGTTAAGTTCACTTCATGTACAATGTTAAAGGAGAATATAATGAAAATGATGTACAGATGGTATTTGACCCCTGTTAAATTAGCAAAGATTTATCATAACTGTGATAACCTATCTTGGAAATGTAAAGAAAAAGAAGGTACTTTTTATCACATGTGGTGGACCTGCCCCAAGGTGAAAGACTTCTGGGGAAAGATTTATAATGAATTCAAAAAAATGTTGAAATATCCATTTATAAAGAAGCCAGAGGCCTTTCTTCTTGGAATAACAGGTATGGAATTGCCCAAGAAAGATGTTAAATTATTTTTGTATGCCACAACTGCTGCTCGAATATTACTAGCTAAGAAGTGGAAAACGCAAGAAATACCAACCGTGGAAGAATGGCAGATGAAGATGATGGACTTTTCGGAGCTAGCCAACCTGACCGGAAGAGTCCGCGACCAGAATGTGGAGGAGTATCAGGAAGGAATTTAATGACTATTTAGCTAAATACATCAAGTTAAATTAATTGGGAAAAGTTTACAATTACCAGCTAGGCCTAGGATTTAAATAAGTAGTGTGAGGAATTATTATGTTTAATGCTGAATTGGGAAGAAAGACTAATGTTAAGTGATTAAGTTAAGATTTTAAGAACTTTGATTTGGAAAACCGTTAAAGTGATATACATTGAAATTCAACTAAGGGGATACGAGGAAGTCACTTAACAATATTAAGAAGATTATTTCTAATAAGGTTATGATTTATGTTTATCTGTTTATTTGTTAGTGTGTTTTTTTTTAATTTTGTGGAAAATCAATAAAAATTTTGAAGAAAAAAATATGAAGTATATACCTTCCTATGCGCCCTTTGCAGTATCAGTCTTGATTGATTACCCACATCCACTGGTTCATACACTTCCATGTTTTTCTCCTTAAACTTTTGCCCTTCTGTGTGTCTGAAGGTTTCCAGTTTTGGCCTCTCAGCAATTTCATCTTCTTAAGTTGATGTTTTGGGCACCTGTGTATCACCTGTGGTGGGGATGGAGGCAGACAGGCAGTTGGGGTTGAATATAGTAGAAATAGCATGCAGTGCAAAGAAGCCTTTCCCTAAGGATGGAAGCTGCATGGCTTTGGCAGGAGATGATTACTGGTGCCAAAGACAAATAAGAACTGTTGTTGTTGTTATTATTATTATTATTATTATTATTATTATTATTACGCTTATTGCTTCAGGTTTTCTTTATTGCTGTTTATATTTGGTTTTAATGTTTTTTGTTATTTCTGTTTTTATTATGTAAGCCACTCTGAGAGCTGTCTGTGTAAAACACAACAAGTATTAATAGTAATAATTGTAGTTTTTGTTTATTGTAAGCTGCCCAGAGGACTTTTTATGGGGCAGCAAAAAAAGGAGGAGAAATTACTGGCCTGTGTATGTTAGCTGACCATAGGAGCAGCTTCTTGGGCTTGCTCAGAACAAGGACCTGTTTTTTCCACCCTTGCTGGCTGACTGTTTGCATCTTTCCCTTCCAGAACCCAGATTACCACGGCTTTGACCCAGATCCCGTCGTTGACGTCTGGAGCATGCGCGTAGCCTTCTTTTTTGGCATATCCATTACCATTGTATTGGGCTCCACCTTCGTGTGCTATCTGCCGGACTACGGGTAAGGTCCATTTGGGAAACATTGTTCCAAGCTGTGCTGAGACTTGCAGGCTTTTCATCCCTCACACAGAGACTCAGGGCAGCCCACTCATGAGGCAAGATGAGGCAACCACCTCAGGCAGCAGGATCCACCAGGGCAGCAGATCTGACACCCAAGGAATGCATTGCTAAGGCTGCTGCCACGGTGGCAGTGCCAGCTGCTGTGTGCTCCCTGGAGGCCGGATCTACTGCCTCCTCAGCAGCCTTCCACCATGCAGTCTCTCCGTGAATGGGAAGCACTGCTGGTCTCATCCCACCCCTGGGGAGGAAAGCCTGGTGGCTGCCCTCCAGAGTCTTCTGGGCTCTGCTCCCACTTGGCAGGATTCAGAGCATCGCCCCACCCTGCAACAGCCTTTGTTTCTCACTTCAGCCCTTGAGCGAGGTTGATTTGATTCCCTGCCCTTTTTCTGATGTACAGCTTCACTTGCCTCCTTGTTTCTGATGTAGATCTACTTTCTCCCCGCTTCTGTGGTTGTGGGGGGTGGGGTGCATTTTGAGGTTTGCCTCAGGCACCAACATGTCTTGGGCCATTCCTGCAGAGATTCTTCGGTCCAGATGTTTTGGGGCAGGGCAGGGCAGCCAGTATCATCACTAGCACAGCACAGCAACTCCTCTGCTTCTGACCTGTAGCTTCCCCATAAGTCCATTCATTTCCTGAAGCACATCCTGGATCTCCCAACCCCTTCCTCTCATCCTGCTTCCTCATGAAGTGATCCACCCCTTCTGTCCCTGTTTTCAGACTCCTTCTGATCTTTGGTCTCAGTTTTGACCAAACATTTCCCTTTTGTTGTTGCTGTTGTTATTTTATTTCAAATTGGACAAGGAAAGGAAAAAGAAGATAAATGACAATTTTAAAAAGAAACGGGAATAATAATATTACACAAATAATGCTAATAATAACAGTAGACCACCATCAGTTCACATTGCTGATACAATGACTGTCAATACACAAATCTTAAATTAAACATAAATTAATATAAGCCCTCTAGAAGTCCAAATCAGTATCCCGACGAACTTTATGCCCATATGAAATATGTTCAAATGTAGTCAGGAGAATGAGGCCCCCAGAACATTATGTAATAGGTGTTGGGTATGTATCCTCTGAGGCTCAAGGTAGACATTCCTTAGCCACCATAAGGGCTCACAAAAATCCACTTTTGTTGCCCATACATTAATCCCCAATCTACAAGGATATGTTTTAAGAGTACACAAACATCAAGGATTTTGCTAGTACAAAATTAATGCAAGTAACACCTTCAAACCAAAAGGAATATATGTATCATTTCCCTTCCCAATAACACAAGTGTTTTCTGTGCTGGGAAGGAATAAGCCTATAAGAATCCATCTCAGTACTTGCAGTTAGTCAGAGAAGAGGGGCCAGGGGCCAGGCTTACCTGAAGAGGAAACCTTTTGTCTTGTTTCCTTCTAAACCTTTCTTTTACACATATCAGCACCAGATCACAGATGTTTATCTTAGCCCTGTATTGTGCATTCTCCACCTCCTTTCCAGAGGCGAAATTCTCACGCTAGAAGTCCAGTAGCCCAGGGAGAAGTGTCAGTGGTGAACAAATATAACAATATTCTGCCATTCAGATCTTGAAGAATGTAAATCCTCTTTTAGTAAGCTTTGGATACGTCGCAGGGTGTACACATGTAATGGTGATGCAAAGCCAACTCTTAGAGGTGCACCAAATATTTATTGAACAAGAGCGTCTACAGTTCCATCATATGTGGGGCTCTTTAGCTTGGGGGGGGACATCTCAGGGGAGATGAACAGAATCTTCATTAAAATGTTACAGAAGAGATGAACTGTGCCATACCTATGTGGGTGAAGGTGTTCCTGCAGATTTCATAGAATTTCATAGAATTTCATAGAATCATAGAGTTGGAAGAGACCACAAGGGCCATCGAGTCCAACCCCCTGCCGAGCAGGAAACACCATCAGAGCACTCCTGACATATGGTTGTCAAGCCTCTGCTTAAAGACCTCCAAAGAAGGAGACTCCACCACACCCCTTGGCAGCAAATTCCGCTGTCAAACAGCTCTTACTGTCAGTAAATTCTTCCTAATGTTTAGGTGGAATCTTCTTTCTTGTAGTTTGGATCCATTGCTCCGTGTCCGCTTCTCTAACCAAGTTCCATGTTGTTTAAGTTTTATAAATCCAGCAGCGAAACCTTCAGCCTTGCGCCTGCTAGCAAATAGGCAGCCCTGCACCCAGACATTAGCTCAGGGCTTTCTTGGTCACACCTGACTCAGCGGTCACCCATCTAAATGAGACTTGCCTTCAGATCTCCCTGGAAAGGGTTTTTTTCTCTTGGTGTGGTTGTTCTTGAGCTTTCTCAGTCTTTCTGTTACTATGCAGTTAACCATTTGGGCATATTTAAGTCATCTTGTTGTGCATGTGTATTTTCCTACTTCAAGAGGCAGGATTTTGTTAGAACTGTACAAGATGGAGTATTAGAACATTTGTACCTCTAGATGTGACTAACCTCCTATAATTTAATGAGAGCTTTATTTTATTTTAAGGTATTTCCCTGAAGAAAGACTGTGCGGCCTTTTGGACAATTTTGTGATTCAATAAATCTTCCATTCACCTCTAACGGTCTGCTTTGCAACAGTGTTTTGGAGCAGTATCCCTTCATTTTTGTACCCTTTTTATGGTGAGGCAGAGATCTTGCTTTGAGGAGCTCAGAGGGAAAGGTTTAGGAAAGAGATGGAGGGAATTAGAGGGAAATAATCAAAGGCCCGGAGTCTGCTGCTTGTGGGAGGTCTAAGATCCTTGGGAGATGTAGGTGGATTTGACTGCCTGAGGGTCCTATATGCTCTGTGCCCATAGCTGCCCTCTTGATCCCTCTCCGAAGTGGCTTCTGGAGAGTCTATTCTGATGAAATGTTGCCTTGCAGAATTGCCTCTGGCACTGAGGCAGCTTTGCCCTGGCAGCAATCTCCCTAGGTCTTGAGTATGAAGAAGGCAGCAACTGTTAGCTGGGAGGGCTGCAAAGCTGGGAAGGAATTTGTGAGGTTTCTGGACCTAATCCCCTTCCTTGTACATGATCCTCAACAAGTCTGTGCAGGCTTAACCACTCAGAACACCGGTGGATTCATCCAGTACATTGCCACTTCCTCTTGGTGTTATTCTTGGGGGTCAGGGGAGAACAGAGAAAGCTTTGCCACTAAATCTGACTGATTAAATGTTATTGCACAACACTTAGGCACCCCAAAGTAGGATAGGCCTTCTGCTTCCCAGATTGGCACGGGCGAAATTCCTCTTGCCCTCCTCTGCATGCCAGGCTTTCCACCACAACCATCCCAAGGTGGAAGCAGCTCCTCTTGGGCTTCTCTCACCCTGGCCATGACTGTGGGAGTCACAGTGGGTGCTTCTCCCTGCAAAGCTAGAGTGCCCGAGAAACAGCTGTAATAGGAAAGCCACTTTTACTGAGAGTGGAGGTCCTTCCCTCAGCTTTACAAGGAAAGAACATGTTGCAAAAGGAAACAAAAGGGGGAAAGGCTACGAGAGAGATGCTGTAGTCATTATTTTAGGGTGGGAAGCTAGCAAACTTCTTTCCCTCCCCCCTCTTAGGACCCTGGATAGTAGAGGAAAATGGGCCTTCTAGGAGAAGGGAGGTGTATTGAGGACTAGACGCTTCCCTTCCCATGCCAACTAAAATACCCTCCTGGACTTAAGTCTAGTTTCTGGACTGGAAGCCATTTTCCTCAATAATTAGGAAGGTGAAAAATTGTTGTGGGTTCAGAAGATCTGGTTGGGATGGAGTTAGGGTGGTGATTGAAGGATGGAATATCCCTGCTAATTGGCTGCATATTTTGAATGGAGCCCCCCTCCTCCCACAACAACATTGTCCTCGCTGCATTTGTATGTTTGTGAGAATAATCTGGACCAAGTGACCTTAGGAGGGGTAACCTGAGCCAGTAGTTAATGAGTGCTCTTGGCTTTTTTGGTTATTTTTATCATGTCCTATCCGGGGAGTTTAGGGCAGCTAATGCCTCTGAATGATACAGAAGGGCTTTGTGGCTTGCAAAGGGCTCTTAGTAGAAACCAACTAGATAAATAGTAAGAGGAGAACTAGGAAATATTATAAAATAATGTTGGGGTGTATTGCTAATATAAAGTGGTATAGAAAGAAGGAGAAGAGAAAAAGGAAAAAGAACGTGGGTGTTTCAGAGGAAGGAGTGGGGAAACTCAGTCCTGGGGGCCACTATCTCAACTGGCTATACCTCTGCTCCCCAGGCCACACCCTTCACTGGGACCCTGGATTTCTGCCAAAATCCCAGGTGTTTTTGCCTGGCTGCAATGTGTCCTTGAGCATCTACCATGCAACAATGAAGTGTCCATTCTTTGTTCAGCTTACCTTTGCCTGTCACCATCGCTCTTGCAAGGTTGCTCAGCAGGGACTGCAGCCCCCAGCTGGAGTCAAAGGGATGTGGCTTGCTTGGAACAGTGTGTGTTTGTAAGCTGGCCTGCCCTCGCTTCTGCCCTTTCCTCCTATGTTGGCAGGTAGGCTGGTACAGATGGGATGTTCTTGCTCTCACAACCGTGGTTAAAAGAATGGCGCAGGCTGCAGGAGCAGTGCTCGCTCTCCCGTCTTGGGTGCGAACCCCTCCAGCCCACTTTTAAACCAAAGCGAAGTGTTCCATTGGCATCAATATGATCCACCACCAGGAGCCAGTGAAGCCGTTGTAGTGGTAAGTGTGCTAGACTACGATTCAGCCTCCCTGGGTGGCCAGTCGCTGTCTTTCAGCCTAGACTAGCTTCTTCTTAGGGTACAATGAGTCGGACAGATGAAACAGGTATACCCCCTTGACTAGAGGGCTCCTGTTTAACTGTGGCTGACTGGTGTAGATGTAACATCTGAATCAGGCTGGAGGGGAGAACGCCCACAGTCCTGGAGCCTCTTAACCAAAAGTGTTACATCTGCCCCAACCCATATTAAGTGCTTCTCAAGAACAACAACCTGCAAATCAAATTCTACATCTAGAAGACACAGACCCTCTAATGATAATTTTAAAATGATACGTCTACAAGTAGTTTTTCATAATATATTCTGCTTTCTGATTGAGTTTTTCAGCTCAGTTTTGTTTTTGTTTTGTAAGGAAGGTAGATGGCTGGGTTGGGTGAGCTGAGCAGTGAGAGAAATGCACCTCCACCCTGCTGAAGCTTTTTCTCATCCTTTGCGAGGTATTTCCTGCACACTTCAGGTGTTTTCTCTGTGATAATGAGGGCTAGAAAAATAGTTTTTCTTCTAGGGAAGCTGCATTTCTCAGGATGCTGGATGAATAATGGGTTATACTTGCTTGTGAGTCAAAGTGAGGTTTTTGGGATATGTGCAGCCATGCTCATGGGAGGCAGGGAGAGCAGAAAATGGGAGGGAAGCACCTTGGAAATCTGATTAGAGCACCAGGCTGTGCCTGAATGGCAGCTGGTGGGTGGTCCAACATCCACGACAAGCTTTCCTCTCCCTCTGTGCCTCCAGACTCCATCTCCCTTTATCTCCAGCCATTGGGCCACGCTGGCTGGGGCTGATGGGAACTGGAGCCCAACAGCCTGGGACAGACACAGGTCCCCCACCCTGGTTTTAAAGGCATTAGCCATGGCCTGTGCAAGAGCACCCACCCCTTCTCCCCTTCTCCATCCCCACTCCCCAGCAGCCCTCCCAGCCTGGCCCTGGGTTTGCGAAAGGGTTTGTTTCCAGACAGGGCAGGCTATTTAGAGGGCGAGTTGTGGAAATTCACCGCTGCTCATGAGCCACTAGAAGTAATTTTGGCAGTGCACTAGATGAAGCTAGGTGTGCGCGTGTATATTTAGCTTATGGGATATAGATAGAGCCGAGGCCCAGAGCCGGGAGCCGTGCTGTTTTGGCTGGCAAGGAGGGGCAGGTTACAGCTTGGCTCTCTCTGCTGCTGACGCACATCGAACCTTCTGATCAGAAGCGGCTTGCGCAGCTCCTGCTCCCATCCGCTCTGGCTCTGCAAAAGACCCTGTAGAGGAGCATTGCTAATGAGTAAGGCTTTGCCCCCAGCTTTTGAGCTGAGATGGGAACCCAGGAGTCCTGATGTGCAGCTTCCTCCTTCTCATCTTCTGAGACAACACATTCCTCTTACAGCTAAGACTAGAGCCCGTCTCTTTGTCTCCTTCCCATCTGCTTCCAGTTCTCCTAAACATTGTCGACTTGAGTTGTCCTGTGTTACTAAGGAGTGGGGGTGGAGGGCTCCTGTTGGGCAAACAGACAGGTGAACTGGGAGTTGAAAGGGCAAGGGTGGGTTGCCTGCAAAGCTGTACACTGAGAGCAATGTAGAGGTGTGGTCAGGGAACGTATTCCATGGTTTGTACTGCAGCACTGCAGAAATTAGAACTGGGTGCAGAATTCAGCATTTAGAGAATGCAGAGCTTTCTGGGTACTGGAAACACTGGAACTGGGGGAGGCGGTGGGCTCCCGTGGCAGACGGAGGGGGGTGCTTAATTCTTCCCTTGCTTTGCTGGGCTTTTCTCTCTGCCATCCCCCACTACTCAAGTGGCTTTCCACCACTACCAGATATGTGACAGGCTCATCAAGGTGAGAGAAGCAGCACAGGAGAGGGAGGCCCAGAAGGACAAAGGACAAGGGGGTGGGGAGCAGAAGCCCCTTTCTGCTTCCCTGAAAAAACCTGGCTGCTCCCACCATTACTGTATACATCACAAGTCCTGTCTTTGCCTTCATGGTGTTTCACCCACAGCTGCTGCAAATCAGACCCCAGGAAGCACAGGAAGACCAAGACTTAGCAGGCAGAGTATATTTGGTGTAATTCTGAGCAAACAGCACCTGTCCTGTTTGTCAGACACAGTTTCTATTCAGTACTCACAGAGTTGGCTACTACCCATACCAGGTACTCTGCACTAACTCTGAATCAATGCAATCATTTTAAGGGAAAGACAAATGAAGAGGGGTTTTTGTGGGGGGCAGGGGTAAAGCAATGTGATGTATTCATACTCCATACACCCTGTGGTAATGGACTTTTCTTAGAAAATACTGGCTTCCACTTCGTGGAAAAATGGGGACTAGAAACTTGTGTTAAAAAACAAACCTTGAAGGCTAGAATTCTTGGAAATAGAATGGAAAAGGGACAAAGTAATCCTTTAGGACCTTCATTCGGTGACTGGCAGTCAATCACAGACACATAGGAGCCTTTCTTCTGGGCACTGACTTCTGTGAAAAATACTGAGTGCACAGTTGAAACCTTTTTTGCCCATTTATTGTAGCGAAAATTCTGAGGCACAGACTTGCAAATTCTCTCTTGCGATGCATTCCTAAACTGATTAGGGTGACAGCCAAAAATCTGTCATTGCTTTGCATCCCTGATTCTCTGAAAGCATCTAGTTATGTTGACTGTGAAAATGCTGGGATAGATGGACCAATAGTCTGGCTTGCTGCTGCTGACACCTCCACACACACCTCGGAAAAGGCCTAGGTCTGCGGTGTCTTGATTGTGAGTGGTGGGAGCCTGCCTGTCTACTTTTTGTGTTCTGGGGAGGCGCCAAATCACAAGACATAACTCTTCTCTAATTGATGGGGTCTCATTAGCGAGGTCTTTGGGGAGCCTCTAACTGCTGTTGTGGCAGCAGGAGCCTCTGCTTGCTGGAGTTGGGGAGGGGGACATGGGGGAATTGAGCTGACAGCATTTAGGCAGGGGAGAGGACCAGACAGGAGAGGAGAAGAGAGGAGAGGAGAGGAGGGCAGTGGAGAAAGATGAATGCATATTATAATGAGCATCTCAGCTCTTTTGGATATCCTTAGTTATAATTGCAGTCTTAGCACAAAGATCACAGACATCTGCTTTGCCTTTGAAGCAGCCCACTCTTCCCATTTTACAGATGCGGAACTGAGGCTGAGCGTTGAGTGGCTTATGCCCTTTCCAGTTGTGTCTGTGGCTGAGTTTGGGACTTGGAAGTGCAGCTTCTCTCCACTCTGCAATGTTGTTCTGCATTGTTCCAGCCACTGGAGTGTTCCTGGACCTCATCTCAACCAGCCACACCCTTGTTGTGTGTTTTGCCCCATACTCTGCCTGATTTTGAAGCTGTGGTACATGCATAGGCCCCAAACATTGGCAGCAATCGGGCAGGTGGGTGTCAGGGGGCAGGTAAGGTCCATCTTTAGTCTGTTGCTGTTTGAAAGTACCCTTAGGGCCTAGGTTTTCTCCCCACCCCCCGCCTCCCTCCCCTTCTGAAAGTCCAGGGCTGCTTACAGTTTATTTACATTTTATTATATCATCTTATACAGGTGAAACTTGAAAAATTAGAATATCGTGGAAAAGTTCATTTATTTCAGTAATTCAACTTAAAAGGTGAAACTAATATATGAGATAGACTCATGGCATGTAAAGCGAGATATGTCGGTCCTTTACTTGTTGTAATTGTGATGATCATGGCGTACAGCTGATGAAATCCCCAAATTAACAATCTCAGAAAATTGGAATATTAAATGAATTCAGCAAAACAAGGATTGCAAATAGAGCAATATTGGACCTCTGAGAAGTAGAAGCATGCATATGTACTCAGTACCTGGTTTGGGCCCCTTTGCATCAATTACTGCCTCAATGCGGCGTGGCATGGATGCTATCAGCCTGTGGCACTGCTGAGGTGTTATGGAAGGACAGCCTTTTCCTTCTAGAGTGTTCGGTGTGGCCCATCCACCAGCTCTACATAATGAGGTTCTGAAAGAAAAGTGAAACTTTTCCATGATACTCTTAATTTTTCGAGTTTCACCTGTATTTATGAGCCACCCAGTAACAATGTTATTGGAGTGATGAGCAAATAAAATTGCTTAGCAATTGGAGAAGACAATCAAACACTAAAAGCCAATAACCAAGGCAGGAGTACGCCACTCTCTCTTACCCTATCTGCTGGCATAAAAGTACAAGAGCAATCTCGGGAGGCTACTGCTCCCATTTCTATTTCTCTTTTTCTGAAGACTCTTCTTTCTGTAAAGGCATTTCTCTTTTACACGCACACAAAGTCTCCTTGCCTCCACTTCAGACTCCTTCCAGGAAGGAGGGAGAAGGTCTCCCCTCCTACACAGAGAAAGAGCTCTGCTCCCTGGCTTCTCCTGCCTGGCCCCTTTCCCTTTCTCTGTGGAGTTGCTGCAGTCCCATTTGTCAGCCAGGGAGCTTCAGATGAAAGCCCGTTTCCAGTCCGTTAATATTCCGCTTAATGAGCTGACAAAGCAGATCCTCTGTGGTTGCGGAGTGGGAAATAATAATTAAACTTACTTTAGGCTGATGCTTTGCATTATTGTCCTCGCTGCAGGTAGTGAGTGGCCATTTCTGGGCAACAACCTCCCCTCCCTCTCCTGCCTCCTTCAGGTGGCTGATCAGGTGGTGTTCTCTCATGTAAGGGATTGTCCCATAGGAGTGGCACAACATCTGGAGTGCGGGGTGGGGATGGGGCGAAAGGGAACAGAGAGCAAATTCATTGGTAAATGCACTTTATGGCCCAGGGTTATCAGTCTTGAATGAAAGCTAATGCCACAATAAAGCCTGCTTCTGAGTTCCCCTCCAGTGCCTCTACTAGGACTGGAGAGTGTACCCTTCCATTCTCACTCCCCCCACTGGATACTCTGACATCAGTCTTTTCTTATGAAGTTGTAGCTATTGACATGCCCATTTGCAGAGGGTGAGAGGAGAGAGACATACAAAGAATGTGGCTCATGGCTGGCTGAAATGCAAAATGGGCACTTAGTCCTGATACTCTGTGGTCTTATTTTGGGGCGGGGAGACTAAGTGTCTAGTCCTCATGGCTATAGGCAAAAGAACTATTACTTTTGCTTACTAAATGTTTGCCAAAAAAGAGCACTCCTGAATGCAGCTTCTAAAAGTCACTAAATTTTTGTGCTGCTTCACTTGTCAGTGGCAACCATAAAACCATATTTCTGAAGTTACACAGAACCAGAATACTTTCTGTCCTTTTGATGTATTTTATAAAAATGTTCACAGCCACTCATGAGTATCTGCTCCACTTTTTTCCTTGAAATCTTGCCTCTCCCATTTTGAAATCTCCACAGGGCAATTTCTGTGGCCAAAGAATTGGCAGAAGTGTGGGCCTCTGTTTGGAGAATGTATTCCACTGCAGTGCATAAAACTGCCTGGCTGGTGAGTTTGAGGTTTGCTGGAGAGGGAGCAACCAAAGCTCCCCCCCCCCCCCAGCCACCCTCCTCAGTGGTCCTGAGTCACACCCCAAATAATTTTGCCTTGCTGGAAATGTGTCCTCCTGTGTGGAGAACAGAAGGGGGGGGGGAGCGTCTGCAGAAACTGGAGTGCTGTGTACCTGAAAGGCAGCATTGATATTTGCTGCTTTGCCCAGTTTGGCCACTGGCATGTGGCTCTCAGAAGTTTGCCCCCAAGGGAACGTGGGCCCTGCACTGAAGAAGATTCCTCACCCATGGAGTTAGATGACCCTGTGGGACAGACTGGGGGGGTGGGCATGAGAGTCGCAGGGAGGGAGAAAATCCAGCACCAGGAAGACATAGCAGAGGTTTGGCTTTGTAGTCACCCGAGCTTTTGCATGTGAACTAAGGGAGGGGCAAGGGGACACACTGGGAGTTTCGGGCCACATCTTTCTCTCCTCCTCCCCCCTTTTCCCTGGGCCAGAGTAGTGAGCACCCGCATGCACACATTTTGATCCACTGGGCTGCATATGTGCAGTTGCGCACGAGGACTTTGTGTGCCTGCTTGCCAAAGGGAGGGCCGCTGCTTGCATAGAAAGATGTTTTGGAAGAAGGACAGAGTTCAAAAAGTTTGAGAAATGCTGGCTTAGATGGTAGCTTCACTCCTGCCACTAGACTAGGAAGGAGGGGGTGATGCTGCCGCCATTGTCTCCCTCCTCTTTGCCACTAGAGCAGGGAGAGTTCAAAGGATCCTGCCTTCCTCCCTCTGTTAAATTTGCCTGACTTCATGCTGTCTGTTGGAAGAGGAGATGGAAATAGCAGGGAGGGGCTGCAAACTAGGCCAGGGCCCATTACTGCATTCTGAGCCACCAAAGCAGCTGTCTGGTTTGTGTTTGTGTATGTGGAATCAGCTGCTTGTGTGCATTGGACTTGCCCTTTGCTAAGAGCACTGACCAAGCCTCAGGCAAGAAGCCCCAGAGCAAATGCAAGCAAAGGCCATGCCTGATCAACTGGGTTGACTGGTCTGTGCTGGGTCAGCTGAGGCAGGGGGCAAAAGGTGATTTGTTGGGCAGAGCCATGCCAGTCCGTACCTTAATAAGGAAATTGGACTAGGATTGTTCTCTCTCTCTCTCACTCTCACATGCACACACAGCGATTCTGATGTTTTCACAGGAAGCCCAAAACTGAATAGAGCTGGGCTAAGCAGCAGTCTGGAGACTCCTTAATGAAGCACTAATTAAGGCAAGCTGCTTTGCACTTGATCTCAGCACAGTATAATTAATGCTGCAGCTTTGATTGGGTTCACACTCCTAACTCCTTGTGCCAATGTGGTACATCCAGGATATAACAGTCAAACGGCTCCGAGTGCTCCTTGATCAGCTGTGCCTATATGCATTGCTAGAGCAGAACTGGAGAACTTAGTGACTCTCCAGAGGTTGTTGGACTACAACTCCCATCAGCCCCAGCTAACACAGCCAACAGCCAGTGGTGGAGGCACTGGCAGTCCATCAGTATCTGAAGGGGCCACAAGGTTCCCCACCCCTGTCCTAGAGCAGCAGAAAGCATGCTGAGAAATGTGCTGTGGGGCTTGAGCAGTTCTGTAGAAGTGTCATTCAGTATCTGTCTCCCCTAAATATTCTATATGAATCCCATCTCTGATTTGAAGACACGAACAGCCTTGGCCTGTGATGACTTTTCTGTGCTCCAACACATGCTGAACTTTGAGTGGAATTCAGTGTCTAATGCAGAACCTGGCTTCCTAAGGAAATGTAGTTTAAGCAAGCTTCTGGTCCTCATCGTCATGCAAATGCCGCACTTTCTCTGCCTCATGGAAAGAGGCTAGGCCATCTCGGTCTCTTCCAGGGAAACTGCTCCCCCTGACTTACGTGTCCTTGTGTTTCTACCCCTTCACCTTTCCTCCTTCCAAAGAAATCCAAATTCTGTAGCACCTTGCCTCCCTACAGTCCATTAAGTGGCTGCAGCTGGCCTCTTCCCATTTTTGCAGCCTGGCTGCTGTCCCCCTCTGGCCCTATTTGGCCCATAGCAGGAGCTGGGTCCCATTACAGTAGAACAGCCTCCCTCAGTCTGGTGCTCTCCAGATGTGGCCAGGCTGCAGCTGCCATCATCCCTGAACATTGGCCATGTTGCGGAGGGCTATGGGGAGAGGAGAGTCATAGAATCATAGAGTTGGAAGAAACCACAAGGGCCATCGAGTCCAACCCCCTGCCAAGCAGGAAACACCATCAGAGCACTCCTGACATATGGTTGTCAAGCCTCTGCTTAAAGACCTCCAAAGAAGGAGACTCCACCACACTCCTTGGCAGCAAATTCCACTGTCGAACAGCTCTTACTGTCAGGAAGTTCTTCCTAATGTTTAGGTGGAATCTTCTTTCTTGTAGTTTGGATCCATTGCTCCGTGTCCGCTTCTCTGGAGCAGCAGAAAACAACCTTTCTCCCTCCTCTATGTGACATCCTTTTATATATTTGAACATGGCTATCATATCACCCCTTAACCTCCTCTTCTCCAGGCTAAACATGCCCAGCTCCCTTAGCCGTTCCTCATAAGGCATCGTTTCCAGGCCTTTGACCATTTTGGTTGCCCTCCTCTGGACACGTTCCAGTTTGTCAGTGTCCTTCTTGAACTGTCCCAAGACCCCACGCTGGGGAAGGTTGGAGTCTAGCGCCCCGTAGCCCTTTCCTGTATTTCCAGGGCACTGTTGACACCTTGCAATAACTTGCTCTGCTTTGGTCTCTCTTTTGTCTCTCCCCCCAGGATGGAAGAGTGGTCTCGTCGAGAAGCTGAACGGAAAATTAAAGAGCGGGAGGCACAGGGGCTGCCTGTGCTTGACTCTAATTATTATGACCCCAGTAAAATTGTGCTGCCTCCAGAGGATGAGGAATAAGTTCCATGATGTCTGCCTGTCTGGCTAAGCTGAGAATAAACTTCCAAGATGATTTGTGTTTACTGCCAGCTTCTCTCTCTCTCTCTCTCTCTCTCTCTCTCTCTCTCTCTCTCGTGGGTTTGGAAAGGGAAAGTTCAGCCACCTAAAAGGGGTGTGTAATCTGAACAGTATAGAGTAGGCCAGGCCAGCCACCCCACTCTCTTGATGTTCTGCTTCAAGAGCGATTGCATTTGCTACATATCCCTGCTGCCAACATCCCAGCTGCTGTGTTGTCGAGATGCTGCATGTGCATGTTGTTATGAGGAAACACGACAATGAGCCCTGGGATGCTGGCAGACGCTGCACACAGTCAAGAGTTAGCCTGTGCGTTGCCTGTTAAGAAACAGGCTAATGCTGAAAAGGAGGGGGAAACATCAGCATTTGGACTCATAGCTGCTGTTGTCACGAAGGGAAATGGGAGGCCTGAGGGCTGCTTCGGTTTCGGCCAGGCCTTTCCTTGGCCCTGCCTTGGATATAGTAGAATTTGGCAGCACCACACACTCCTGGCTGAAGCCAGGCCTTGAGCAGATGGCCCTCCTGGTGCCTTGCGGTGGAGTGCTATATTTATCCTGTGTGTCTCTGCCCATCCTTGTATGTGTATCGACTGCGTATCTACAGAGCCTATCCTGTGTCCCTCTTGCTCAGTATTGTCAGGACTGGCCGTGAGTCTGGATTATAGCCCTCCAGGATCCCAAGACAAAAGCAGAGATGTGCACCATGTGGGGGGGATTTTGTTACCTTGCTGACTTTTTTGAAAGACACTTCCAGCAGAGCTCTTCCACCGTTTGCAGCTATGTCAGGGGCAGAAGTCCAGCAGATGAAGCTTTCCTGTGTCTGTGCCTCCATGCTAAAGTGGAACTGTGCCTGTTGGGTTTCTGCCTGTTGCAAAACTTTTTGGAAACGTTTAAACACTCTGACTGGCAGGGAGGGTGAGATTTAGCAACTCCTGCTAATCACAGAAGACAAATTTATGCCTGCAGAGTTTACAATTGACCATAGGAAATATGCACATTTTTTTATCTGTGTTCTTGAAATCAAGGGCACTTGTGGTTCTATTCCTGAATCTCTACCACCTGTTCTGTTTTTCAGGTATTCCTTTAGGGAGGAATCCCCCACCCCCCTTTCCCCATTAGTCATGTGATACACTGCCTTTCTTTCCTGGCCATAACAATAAAGCTGCGGTGACAGTCCTCCCTCCCTGAGTGCTGGTTGCTGGTAAATAATAGCATGGGAATGGATGGCCTTGAAGAGCTCTAGGGCTTTTTTGCAGTCACTTCCATGTGGTGGGGAAACGGCGGGGGTGGGGGCATGTTGCATTAGAGCAGAGCTCTGTTCCGTGGGCCACAGGACTATGGCAACCAGCAAAGCTTTCTGAGAGAAGAGCCTTTTGAGGTGCCCTGGTCACTCACCGCGGGCTTTTCTCCTGCGTTTGCATATAAACAATGCATCTCAGAAGATAGGGTGGACTCCTCCTGTCTCCTTCCTTTGCTGGAAATTATGGGGTGGACAGTCCTTTTCAAAAGCAGTACCCTCCCCTGTACCTTTACTGGATGGAGAGGGATACAAGGTGGTGGCTGGTTTGTGGTGTCCCCCCCCCCATTGCACCAGGCAAAGAGGAACACCAGTGATGCTCAATCCTCACTAAATGCTTTTGCACCTGTTTGCAGGATCAAAGTCCTTCACTGTTGAAGAGGACGAGCAAATGGCAACCGTTTGAAGGAGCAGATGTGGGGAGGGTTGGGGGAGAATTTTCTAGAACCTATACCTGCCCTCTGTGCCTCTTTTAGCTGTTGAGTCCTCAGCTTTGTAATGCAGATAGTCTAGAGAAGGGATAGCCGATGGATCCTGCAATCCCTGACCACTGACCATGCTGGTTGGGGACAATGGGAGCTGCAGTTCAAAACATTGGCTAGCCTGTTGTAGAGCACAGCATCTTCCTCCTGCCACCCCCTGCGTATGAAACACCCACTTTCCTCTGTCCCAGATTTCTCTCTGCTCCCTGCCTCCATCTACCTGCCCCTGCCCCAAGGTACAGGTACAGTTCTAAGGCCAAGCACTTGGAGGGAGAAACAGCACCTTCCGGCTCCCCTTGCAGGCCAACTTCATTTGACACACCGCTGCAGCCTTCTAGTTACATAGTGCTGGCTAACATGAAGAAGAAAGTAGAGCCGGTGTGTGTGTGTGATGCTCCTCCCTGGTGATTCTGCCCCACTTCGATAGACCAAAGCTGGACTCCCAGCGGCTGCTTCACTGGGCTGCCGTTTGGCATGAGCTGTGGCCTCCTGGTGCTCAGCAATGCCTCCTTCCTCTGGGATGTTCTTTTGCCCTGTCTCCCTTCACACTTTATCACCAGACTTGGAAGCACCTGTCAAGACACACCCCTTGGCAGCCATTGCTTTCCCTCCCACTGCTGGGCGTGCCTTGCATCCCTTCTCTGCAGCCTCTCTGGAGTTAACATTTACACACACGGAGAGAGAGAGAAAGATGCAGTCTCATTTGAGTTTATTTTCCTCTCGCTTCCTGCTACGAGGAGCTTTGTTGAGCCGCCTCTCCGCTCCCCATAATGCCGTGCATGGCCAGAGCTTTCTCTGAGTTGCACATCTTTAAGGGTTTACAGCAGCGAAGAGAAGTCATTATCCTGTTGAAGGGAGGGAGGGAGGGGAGGGAAGAGAAGCAGCCTCAAAGAGCAGATGTGACTCACGCTCATCCTGGTGCTGACGCCACCCTCTGCAAGCAGGCAGTGGGAGGCTTGGGCAGAGCACTCTGGGGGCCCTGGCTTCCAGCCCCATACCTCCCCCACTTTGTCTGCTCTTTGACCTGAGCCTATAGCCTGGGAGTCTCCGGCTCCCCTGCCCCATCCAGAGCCGCAGCCGGGTGATCTTGCGCCCCTGGCAGAATGGGGTCCAGGTTGCTCCCCCTAGCCACAGACAAATTAGCTCTTCTTTCTGCCTCTCCTCCAACCCTGCACCCCCCATTCAATTCACCCTCTAAAACCATTTCTTATGAGGCAATAATCAATATTTATATTTATGGACATATTTTTAGCTGATTTTGTGCCCCCCCCCCATTGCCTGCGCCCCTGGCGGGTGCCCACCTCACCACCCCCTAGCTATGGCCCTGGCCCCATCAGGCACTAAAATTGCTCATTCTCCCTTCAGAGCTCCAGCCAGAACCCAGGAACTCCTTCCCTTCTTTGCTTTTCATCAGCATTCGACAGTCTCTCTGGGAATAGCAGTTCCTAAATCGGGTACGGCTGCTCCCATTCAGCAAATGGTGCTAATTTCCTTTCACAGCCCAAGCAGAGCTGTGATTGCATCTTGTCAAGTGTGCCGAGGTGTTCTGGACGGCTGTTCTCTTATTCGTCCCACCCCAGAGGTGGCTGCATCCTTCCGTATGTGTGACAGACAGTCAAAAGGAGGTGAACTGAGGAAGGGATGTAGGCTGGGGAGGAGAGGGGGGATGAGTTCCCCAACTTTGGGGTGGGGCGTTCATCCCTGTATTCTCAGTTAAAATTTGGTGACCATGCTAGGAGGGTCCAGGAAAGGGATTAGAAAGCTCTAAGCTGTCACTGGCGAAGTAAAGCCAAGTGAGATGCTGACTGGAGGGAGGGGCAGAGGAGCGTGGAGCTCTGAGCCCCTCGGGAGATTAAACTGTTATTAATATTTTGAAGAAACACTGATTCCCTTCTAATGCCGCTGTCGTGGCTGGTTTTTAAGAAAAATATGCAGCATGCTATGGCTGTTGTCTTTATCCTTCTCTTACCCCCAAGGAGCTTATAAGGTCCTCCCACCACCATCTATGTGTATCCTCACAACGACCTTGCAAGGTAAGTTAGGCTGAGATAGGTTGACTGCCTCACAGTCACCCGGTGAGCTTCGTAGCTGACCAGGAATTGAACCTGAGTCTTCCTGGTGCTAGTCTGACATTTAAGAGCTGTGGGGTGTGAGGGCACAATGCCAGGTCTGAGAATGCAGGAAGCAGGACTGGGGAATCTGCACCAAATATTGCCCTGTACAGCTGTGACCATTGGCCATGCTGACCAGTTCAGCAAGTGCTGGAGGACCACAGGTCCCCTGTCCTCTGGCCAGCAGAGAGAATGGGGTCCAAACAGAGATTGTCATTGGCTGCCCAGCATCAGCAGAAGAGAAGGACTTGCACCACAGTTGGGAACGCAGTTTGCTCCCTGTGCTGCTTCAGGAGGAAGGGCAGGATCAGAATTCAGTAAACAACAAAGCCGTGAAGCTTCCCTTGAGCTGCTGATACATTCCTCTTTGGCCTGGATTATACTAGTTTGGCTACATGAGGAGCCGCAAAAAGGATCAGATGTAGATAACGCCCCACTTAAAGCCGCAAAGGGAGAGGGACTTGGCCCTGTCTGCTCTCCTGCTGGAACAAGGCCACATTTTGCTCTCTCTTAATGTATCCCAATGCTTGGCTCCTGCTATTCCAGCCCTTGGCTTTCCGACTTGTGACCTCCCTTAACCTTAGCCTCTGCTCCTCTTTCTTGTTCCTCTTTCTTGTAAGACGAGACCTGCAGGATTTGGCCAAAGGCCCATGCAGTCCCTCATCTTGGCCTCACTGTCCAACCAGCTGCCCAGGGGAAGCTCCCAAGCAGGACCTGAGTGCAACAGCGCACTCCCCACTGGGTGATTCCCAGGGACGGCGACTCAATGGCAGAATGAGTAGGACAGAGCTATTGGTTGCTTCTCCTCTTGCTTCCGCCTCCGTTCTTCCAGGAAGTGGGTTTGCTTAATAGCAGTTGGCGGGTTTGGGGTCAGAAGGCCGAGCTGCGCTCAGTGTGCCACAGGGCTGGCTTACCACTTTTTGAAGCAATTGAAGCGCATTGCCATGGGGAAAGTCCATTTTAAGTCCAGAGTTTTGACATTTCCTAATTGCCACTACCAAATAAGGCTGTGTGCCCAACCTGCATGGCCTAGGGCTTTGAGTAGAACCCAAGCGTCCTGCCACCCCCCTCCTTCCACAGCGGAAATTGTGTATCTCACACCCACAGAGGTTCCTGCTGCAGCGAATAGATTTGCAGATTACACATTCAGACAGACGTTGCTCTCGAGTTGGTGCCACTGTGGCACTTATGATGCACTTGTGCATGGGGTGAGGCACCATCACAAAGGTCTGCACACCCCTTAGGAAATATTCTGCACATGCACACATACTGCTCTTTCTGGGAGAAACTGCAAAAAAACCAAACCACAAGTGCACAGAGTTAAACTCCCCCTGCTGATTTATAAGCCCAGGCTCCATAACACACCAGAGGTTTATGCAACTGCTGCAATAGAATGAATGCAAACAGGCCATTGCATATACCGTATGCACACACCTAAAGGAAATGCATTTGGTTCTAGAATTTTCCAGCTCTACAGCTCCATGCAAATAATCAGCTACATAAAAATGCACAGTTGTTTACAGAGAAGATATGGGAAGGCACCGAATTTCTTAGGAACAGTTGCATTAGTGCAGTCCCTGGTCATTTTGTCCCTTTCTCCCAGCTCCCATCACTTGCCTGTGCTCCAAGCCCCTTCCATGCATCCCTGTATCTTGCTATCCAGTTGTACCCCTTGATTTACCCGTCACTGCATGTATACAGACACACGTATTTGTTTATTTGTTTCCAAGCTGCCTTCATAAGCAGAGTTCTCTGGTATGATGTTCACAGCCCACCATCCTGCCCCGGCTGTGTCCTGTGCCCTTTCCTTTGCTGCCACGGGGAGGAAGGGTTTGCGGGTGCTGACTTTCTGTTTCTTTTTACAGTGTAATGAGTCGAAGAGGGGGACCTTCAGGTGTCAGGCAGCCCCCAGCATGTCGCTTGACCTGTGTGATCAATATGCCAGATGGGAAGCAAAAACGGGGAGAAATGCCGGCAAACCAAGAAGCCTGTTACAAAAGAAGCAGAAATGGAGATGGTGGGGTGGGGGGGGTGGGGGGGTGGGGGGGTGGAGAATATAAAGAGCAGCACAACAACACGATCACTCTTCTGATCTGGAGAAAAGCTGCTTGCTAATACCAAATATGAGAGGCAAACGCTGATCATAAAACAAAAGCCATCTATTGAGTCTTCAGAATTGACAATTCGCAAGAGCATACATTGATGTATCCCAAAACTTACTACACACAGAGAGAGTCTCTGTGACAGAAACGCACACAGAGGAGAAAGAGAGAGAGGTCTCTGATA